GTGCGCACAGCGCGCACTTTCCAGCATGCCGAACGCCGTGGCGCGCTTTCATAAAAGTAGGATATTTTTTTTATAAATTAATTCTTATATTTGAAAAAGGTTTTCAACAGCTTTTTTTGACTTAAGTTCGATTTTTCCTACTCAATTTGACGAATTCCCTTCTAATTATAACTATAAAAAATACGCTGTTTAGTTTTTAGAATTGATTTTTTTAAAAAAATTATAAGTTTTGTCTTTTTCAAATTCTGTATTTGCAGTGAATGTCAAGGTTTTATCGTTTTTGAAAGTTTTAAGAGATATTTATAAACTTTTTCATCGTGATTATAAAGAATGGTTTCTTTGAACTTTTGTGAAATTTTAAGTACAACGTGGGCGTCGCAATTTTGTTGATGGTATCGTTATCTGAATTCTCCTCGCTGCCCATAAGTTTCAAATCAAAAAAACTTCGTGTTTTTTGGCTTTCTTCATCAAAGTGCTAAATGAAGTTCACGCCGATCCGTGTTTCTAGGTTGCTTGTAACGCCCCTTTACACCGAGATCGAACCGTTGCTGTTCCGACGAAGCAGTCTTATTGTTGGCGACGTAAGTTTCGAGCGCGTTCCATTCACTTTCGTTTGTATGGAGCTTTCCTTGTTGAGCGCGACCATTGGAACAGAGTTCCACAGAAACTGGCAGCGAAAAGGCAAGAGCGTGCGTGGAGGCGGAAAGAAGGCAAGGAGTATAAGGCCCGCCGAACGACCAAACATCGGCTTGTTCAGTGGTTGGCGGCCTTCCTTCTCCCGGCGCTCTTGCGATTCCGCCACGCCACGTGCTCTTTCGATGCGTCCAGCATGCACCCGCTTCTATCAATGTTTCTTTTAGTTATGTTTTTATTGTGCCAATTTTATAAGGCTTCGTCTTTTTTCCGCTTTTTTTACTTGAAATTCTCAACTTTTCAACGTCACTTTTTTCAAGTCTCTTCATTGTTCTACTTTAAACTTTTTTTATTTTTTGAGTTCTTCTCATGGGCAAAAATCCAACGCTTTCTTGAAGACTTCGATAATACATACTTTATGCTTTTTTAAAATTTAGTCTATACTTTGGTGAGAAAATTCGAATTCTTCCAAAGAGAACAGAAGAAAAATTTAGTTCATAAAGATTTGTTGATGTAAATACATTTAGAGTGATTTAATTCTTCCTTCTAATATTTTTTTATTTGGTTGTAACTTTAAAAAAATAGTCAACTCTCACGCATTTTAAGCTTTCACATGAAGAAAAAAATTGTTTTCAAGAAAAATTAGAAATTCATATTGTGTATATTTCCACAAAAATGTTCCGAAATTTTTTTACCCTTTTTTTCACGACTTTCTACTTGGTTATCTCATTTATTTTTTTGTTTCATACTCGCTTTCAAAAAAATTTAATCTTATAAATCGAAGTAACGGATGCTCTTATCGCCAACTTCAACGATCTTTCTGCAACCAGGTCGATAGTGATAAGAAAACAACAAAGTTCGAACTGGGTTGGGGCTGATCAAAGAACTTTTTGTCTGGTTTTCTTTTTCTGTCAAGCTATCGCGTCGTTGTTTGCAAAACGACCGCTCTATTTATTAGCTTTTTTTCTGATTGTGATGACGTTTTTTGAAACGATTTCAGGTTAGTAGTCTTGCTCCGTTTTTTTCCGCCACAAGCCTTTATTATTATTATTTTTTTTTTTTGAAACAGTCAACCTAAATTTAAAAAGATCACTATATCTAACCTTTGTCCACAGTAGCTTGAGAATCCAATTATATTTTTCTGAGATACAGTTTTTGGTAAAGAGAAACATCTGTTAAGTTGATTATAATCGCAGAATTTCCTCCATAAATAGCGCGCGAAAAAATTTAGGAAGTAGGAAAGAGAAAAATGGCTTTTGGTCCCTGGGCACTGGTTCCTTCGCGCTTTTTCGCGAAAACAAGCCAAGATTCTGGTATATACGCTGCTGGACAGCTCTTGCAGACTAAAGTTCATTGCATTTCGAGATGGGGAAAGCGTCCGCGTTTTCCAAATTCGCGTCCCGATGTTGCGGCTACGCCAGGTTGCTTTCATAGAAACCCGAGTACTCCAACGTTTGCAGTTTTCTTTTTGCCGGCCAGTTCTAATTTCTGATTGAAGCAGAAGATTTGTTAAAACTAGATTTCGAAGGATGAAACGCTTCCGTTGTTATTTTGCTCATTTTAAATTATGACAATAAATGTTTAAATGAGAAGAACCTTTTTGAATTCAAAAATGACGTTTATTGACCTTTGTTTTTTTTTATCTAGTCTTCTAGGTCGCGTCATTCGCGCGTGCTAATTTTCTTTGCCGTGTAAAATGTTCTCATCAGCTTTTTTCTGGAAGTTTGAGTCCTTCTGAATTCAAAAATTATCCATTTTCGTGAAATTTTTTCTGTTCTCTCTGAAAATTTTTCTGCAAAAACGTAATATTGAAAATTCATCTTTCTGTTTTTTTCTTCTCACTTTACAAAGGGCTCTTTTTTTCGATTCTCTCTAACTGTTACCTTCAAAAAATCAAAAGATAAATGGCCTCTTCTTTTTTGAGATTTATCAAACGGATCAGATTGAGGGGTAAAAATATATTTTCTACGGTTCGACACAATCAAATTCTTCTCGCCAAGAATCAAAGTGATCTCTTCGACATTCATGACGCACATAGTCTCAATTTGAAGTGACACTCCTCTAGATTTGTCCCCGAAAAAATCTCTTCTTTCTGTGCTTCTTCTGTGAGAAAAAAAAAATCTAAACTTATTGAGTTCTGTTAAACTTTTTAACCCTTTTGGTTTTATTAAAAGCCACATTTTTGTATTTTTGTGCTCGTTCATTTTTTTTTTCAGCTTCATTTTTCTGGCGACGAGATGAGTACATTTCCCCTTTTTTTGTTGATAAATGTTCTCTGATTTATGAGTTCTTCGCGCGTCATTTATTTTCTCGTTTGTTTGAAGACCGTAGTAAAATAATACAAAATTTGCAGAGCTCTCGAAATCGAATGGAATTTGTTCGAAACAGTCAACTCAACTAACCGCAATTATAAGGTGAGCTTTTTGTTTGGGTTTTTTTCAATTTTTTTATTTTTTTGAAATATTTTTTTTACACTTTCCCCTCAATAATTCCATGTTAAAAAGGATAAATAATTGTTCTAAATTCAATAAAAAAATTTTTCAAACATTCCTATAGTCTCTGAAGGATCTTTTTAGAGAGCATATGTTATATGTTCGTTTTTACAAATATGCTAGTTTGTCACATGCTTTTGAATTCACTTATACTACGAAAATCACTGATAAGTTAATTTTACCACGGTTGCATGCGTAAAATGACATATGTCTACTATTTCCCACACATTATTATTTTTTATTATGTTGGGAAACTTGTTTCTGACTTTTTTCTGCTTCCTAGGTTTGGGCTTTTTAAAATTGCTAATTTTTCTGTAAATACTTAACTTTTTTTGATTTTTCGGAACTGAAAGGTTGCATTTAATTAATTTTTCCCGTGACGACCCTTGGTTATTGATTTCGATCTTTGATTCATTAATAGTTTGTTTACCACCGCTCTCAAGTTTTTTTTTCCAACATTTTCCATTTGACATTAGAGTATTGCTTTGAGAAATTAGCGGAGGAAAGCTGTGGACAGAAAATGATCTCTCGTAGGCGTTTTATTTCAGATAAAACGATCATTTCTGATATTATTGCTTTCTTGGAAAGAATGCAAAAAATTCACGGCTTTGGTGTATATCTGAGCACTTCAATTGTAAATATGGTCAGTTCGAGCAAAATTGTCTAATTTTTGCTGTTCTAATAAGGACTACCTTGATCTAATTTGATGTTTATCACTTCTATCAATTGGTGTATGGCGCCTGTTACTAGAACAGTTTGCAAAGAAAAATGATTTTTCAAAACAAAAAAAAAGTTTTTAACTTTTTTCAAAGTGAATTTCCATGAAAGAGAAAAAATTTTATCGCTCCGTAGCTACAGCCTTAGGTTTGAATGATACCGACAATTTTCTCGCGCGTACTTTAAAAATCGAAATATTTTCAATCTGTTTTGAAGTGTTGCCGTTCTTTTTCCGGTGTTCGAATGTTTTCTGGTGCTGTGTCTGTTTGAACTCGAAACCGCCGTACACACGCCAAGTGCACCTATACTTGCTTGTTTTTTTCCTGTCTTTGTTCTAGAATCATTCAAAAATCTTTCCAGGCGCCTTTGAAGACACTTCGATGATATTCCGTATATATTCGCTTATTAGTGTTTGATTGGCGTCACCTCAGGCTTTTTTCCGCCTGCAAGACTTCAATTAGTTGGCTCGTGACTTTTTTATCCTGATCTTTGCAGTCAACCAAATTTCTTTCTTTTTTCTTTGCAGTAGTGATTTGATTTGCAGATATTTTCCACTCTTAGTAATTTTGGTCACTTTTTCTAAACTTTTCTTTCTTGAGATCAGTATTTTTGATCGAAAAGTGACGATAAAACAATGAAAGCGGTCAGCGTCTTTTTTGTTTTGCCATTAGTCGTTCAAGGCATCTGCAATCGATTTAATATTGCGGGTAATCGATTTTCGAAACTTTTACTTTCTCAATGGAATCTTTTTTTTCATTCTTTTTTTGGTTTATTAAAATATTTTGAACTCTGTTCGATTGCAACGCAATATTTCTACAATTTTTGAGTCGTTCGAAATCTTCCTCTCTAATTTGTTCTTAGAAATTGAACTGCGTTGCTTTTTCCTCGAATAGAAAGTTTTTTAAAGATGATCAGACGTTCAAGGTGGAATGATCAAAAACTTTGAAGTTTTTTCTGGGCGGATCTTTCTCGGAATGTGTTGAGTGGATGCTTTTTGGTGCATCAAATAAGGAAAATTCATCACTTCCTTCGAATTAGCTTCCAGAAAACATTGTTTAGTGCAGTTACTAAGAATTTTAACGTTAGTCAGCGCTTTTTTTAAATCTTTAATTGTTAATTCCTCTTAAGATCCTATTGAAGTTTCTCTAGAATCGCTTTTTTTCTATAACGTCTACATTGTATCAAAAAGGAAAGCGCTATAGATGGAAAAAAAATGTCAAGTAAGAATTTAAAAGTTACATTGTTACCTTTTTGAAGTTTTCTATAATTCTTCGAAAAGGAGATATATGGTCTTACGGTTTCCGAACTTTCTCTGAAAAACCTATCCATGGAATGGCATAGAACAAAAAAGTACACGCTTTGAAGAAATTGTTGGAACGAATTAGAGTAGTCAATCTTTATTTTTAAACGACTTGAGCCACAAATTTCTTAAACTTTCAAAAAAAAAAAAATGTCGAGTAAAGTTGTACAAGTTTGCCTTATTTGGAGGAAGTAATAACTTGTTTGTAGTTTAGTTTCCTCTGGTCTCTTTGATCATTCGCGAGAGCTTATTTGACTCCAATTGACGAAGTGAAGAACTGAAGGCGACCGCAAAATAACAACAACAACTAAAGGGGAAGGCGGTCTTTGATCACCCAAAATAGCCCGACTTCTCCGCCTCGCTGGAAAAAGAAGCGATTCGTGTATTTCCCGTCTCTCATTTTGTTTTGCCCTGCCATTTTCATCGAGAAATCGTTCGGTTCAGAGTTTTTTGCGTTTCACATGTAAAAAAGAACTTTTGTTAAAACGAAATGTGCTTTTTCAACAGCCGCCATTTCTTCAACTCTTTTTCCTCTCGTTATCAATCTTTCCCTCGGTTTGCTCGCGAATTCGTCAAGACCGGCTGGCCTTTGAACAACTCTGGAGTGCATTTGTTTGGGTTCAAAATTTTCTTTCCCGAAGTTTTTTTCTTTTTTTATTATGTTAGTTTTTTTTTGTGGTCTTTCGTGGGAATGATTTCGACTTGAGGTTTTTGCTTGATGTGATTCAGAAAAATGCTCGTTTCCAGGCCATTTTTGATCTTCCATTTCTCGAAACATCATAACTTTGCTTCTTGAACACATGGAAATGTCGCTGTCTGCTTGACTCCGCCCCTTTTCGTTTTGTTCTTCTCCAACCGAGTATTTAACCTTAGGTTTCCAATAAATTTTGTTACTTAATGATTCATTGCCTCTTTATTGTCTGTTAGATCTTATTTATTGTTCAAGTTAGAAATAGGGTATAGTTTCCATCTATAGTCAAGAACATGAGAACATAGAAGATAATGGGAATAAAATGAGATATCAAATTCGAACCAAAAATGTCATGTACTGTCCGCGTTTGTTTTTCATATACTGTCACTTTTTCTGCTTTCTGTTTCCTTCTTTTTGTTTTCAATGACTGCTAACGTTGAAAAGACTTTTTTCTTTATAACTTTCCTGAAAAGTCCGTTGATCAAAAATCCGCTCCTTTTTTTTCTACAACTTACTGTAGTCACTCCAAATTTTTTTCCAAATCCGCATTTGCGTATTGGAATTTATTCAAAACCGCTTTTTGGTGTCCTGCGGTTTGACCATTGAGAAATCTTTTTTTTTCCTGCGTCATTGCTCTCTTTTACGGATTGTAAGTGTTGTCTTCAATGAGATAATTCCCCATGCGAGGCTTTGCTCAACTGACAACCAACGAGAATAATATTTTCGTTTCTGGAAAGCAAAGATGAGAAGATGAAGAAAAACACTAGCTTCCGTCCGAAACATCCAACTTCCCTGCCAGACTATCAAATGAAAGATCGAGCTTTTCCCTCGTATTTCCTTGTTCGCCGACCTTTACTTTGCACGTTCAGTTGAAAAAAAAAGTAAAGAGTACGGCAAAATATTAAGGTCGCTTGGTTTTTGGTGCGTTATATGTTTGTTTCGAAACTCGTTCGTGCATTCAATTTAATAAGTTTTTTTCTCCTCAGGAAACCTTCAAAAAGGGATTAATATGGATTCAGCTGGGAACGTTACTTTTAAAGAGTTCATCCACATTTTTGTCCATATGCAACGTGGGAAAGCTTTTAAACTGAGTTTAGGATATACCTTTGGAGGGAAATTTTGTGGCTTTTGAAGTTTCATAACAGATGATTTTCCTCTATGGCCATAAAAAAGAAATGGTTTCAAGAATGAAAATATCAGTAACTTATTGATTATTAGGATCTTGTCTTTGAGACTTTCAATACGAATTCCGATCAAAAAAATTTGGAAGGATGTTTGGAAAGAAAAAATCATTGCCAAGGTTATTATCCTTCATATTTTGCCACCTGCCCACCTTCAAATGTTTGTTAATGCACTAGGTAGATCGAAAATGTGAAAAAAGGTCTGAAGAAACATCATAGATCATAACTTACTGAGCAGAGATGATCAAAAACTAGAAAAAAAGGTTTCTCTTTCTCTCGACACGTTGGTTTTTCCAGTTCTGCAGTCATGGCAATTTTTTTCAATTTTCGAAATATTCTTTTTTTTTGATTACCTAAAATAGCTTTTTGTCATTCTGTCGAAGTTTAAAAAAGAAGTAACCAGCTTCTTCCAAAGGTATTATTTCCTTCAAACTTAATAAAGAGATTCTTATGCGTACTTCTAGAGTTTGAAACATTGAAGCGTCTGTAAAATAAGAAGTTTCGCAGTTTTTGTCTTTAAGAACCTTCTACAGCACGTCTAAAGTGCTTGGGTCAAGTCTCGAAACTCTAACACTATGTGATTATGACTTCCTTTTAAAAGACTCTGTAACGTTCAGAATGATTGATGATGAATGTTTGATTTTGCAAATGAAGAAGAACAACAGAAAGAGAGAACAAAGATTGAGAAGACGTCGTGTTATCGATCAGCAGATGACCGAATTGAATCGTTCTGGCGAGATGACATCACGGCGGCGCGTGGCGGTTGTTGCAAAATACTCGAAGACGATCGGCGATCACGAAGGAACGCGCGAACGTGGGAGAGTCGCGACGGCACGGCGAAAACGAGCGAGAGACTCGCGGCGGCGAAAAAGCTTCAAAGCTCAATGAGCATGCGGATTTTTGCACGCAGGCCCTCCGGGCACAAACACCCTTCATACCAACCTCATCTACTCCAATATTTTACTTTTTTACTTTTTTTTTTCTTGTCCAAAGCAAACGTCTTTTCCTTTGTATTTTTTTTCTTTCAAGTGTTACGGCAGGTGGAAGGTACCTCGCTATCAGAACTTTTCAATCTTTGAACCCTTACCGTGGTTCTTTTGTTTACAATCTTTTTCTTTTCCGAAATTTTCAGAAAAGAACATCTCATGAGAAAGATTAGAAACTATCTAGTTAGTAATTCTTGGTATCACTTGCAAATGTTTTTTTCCATTCTTGTAATCATTTGATCGTGTCGCTCAAGGTTGTTTTCTTCTTTTTCCCAGAAATTTGAGCTTGTTTCTCTTGTTTTTCGATAGAATCGAAAATATTTCTATTTACACTTTTTTTTTTCATTCCAATGAGTGTGAATGAATCGCGTACAATTTGTTCTCTGCAATAGTGTCTCACGAATTTTTCGAATCTTCTTGCTAACTTTATTTGAGCAAACTACATATTGAATCTGCGTCATCAATTTTGCATTCACTTGGAAATCTCAAAAATATAAAAATTAGCTGCTTATCAAAAATCACGACCTTATCAAGATTGTTATTGAGAAGCGCTTACCGTATATCTCTAAAGGTTGGGAGTCTATGAATCATTGGCTTAATTAATTTTTTCCCAAATTAGCGTGGTTGCTCTTATTTTTGAATATACGGGTTACTGTAGTGTGGTTTCTGCACGCTTCTCAGTTTTGCAGCTTTTTTTAATGAAAAAGTTTTCCTTTGCATGAGGCATGATTGGAGAGAACATTTGTAGTGAAAGGAACTTGAACTAGAAAAATAAACTAAAGAGAAACCTTATAGAAAGATTTTTGACTTGATGTGGATGTTTTTTTTGTTGTTTTTTGAATTAACAATTTTTCTTTGTGTGGTTTCTGCATACATTCGAGATATGGAGGTTTTCTATTTAAATGACTTGTGGCGAAAGTTATAACTAGGAAGATTATTTTACTTTGCGGTTTTTAATTTTCTGAAAATTTGCTAAAATACTTTTGAGAAGAGTACTTGGTTTCTCTTTTGTCGTTGCTCAAAACTGTCTTTTTGGGATATTATTGTTAAAATTTGCAAAATATTAGTCACAAGCTCAATTTTGTGTTAAGTTCAAACTTACACAATTCTTTTTTTTTTCTTTCATGAACTGTAAGCTAAAAAGCTACTAGCAGGGATCATCTAGACCCAGAGAATATCCGGAGAGATTCTCAGGAAATTCCAAAGCTTCCTTGTAGGAATTTGCACATGAGCTTTGAACGGTTTCAACAACCTTTCTTTGCAACCTGGGGATATCAGCAGATGCTCGGTAATTCTTGGACGGCTAACCTATTTTTGAGGCCGCTCGCCGATCTGCGGTGTCTTCGGAGGCCTCCTAATATGGGTCTTCAGGCAGCGCCTACGCGTTTGGCCGCTTAATCACGGCCTGCAGCCTGCCATAATCACTGTGATTAGTGTTAGGCGGTTGTTTAGGCGGCTCCCGGCAACCCCTTAAATACGGTGCCGTTCTGCTGAAACGTTCAGTCTGCTCCGGCGGCTTCGCTCTGACCTCTTCTTTTTTTTTTCAAAAGCGAACGCCAGCTTCGAAGTTTTTCGTCTATTCTATTAGTTCATCTTGTAAATGAAACTTAACAAGATTCACTTTGTATCTGTTAGAACCCTGTTTGGCAATTTTCAGAAGTTCGGTGAAATTAGAACAGAAACCCTATTTGCTTCTAGTTTGGCCTCAAAAAGCTCATTCACGAGTTGAAACACTTTTTGGGCAGCTATGGCAACATCTGAGTGAAAAAGAAGAATAAATTTCAATTTTAATGTAATCGCTGTCTGCACTCGGGTGGGGTTGGCTTCTTCCGTATTTTTTTCTCTTCCTCGATTATCAAAAATTTTGTAAAAAAATATGAAATCTTATATTTTTTTATTTTTTTGTAGCTCCAAGCCTTTTTATAAGACAAAAGTGAACTGCGAACAAGGATTTTTTTTGGAGATGAATAATAGGTTTTAGGTTTTAGGTTTATAATAGGTTTTAACGAAATTTTTTTTTCTATTACAATTTTAAAAAAATAGAGTTCCACCTCGTTAATAAAATGTTGTCTTTTTATTAAATAGACACTTGACCACGAAGTTTATCTTGAGAGTCACAGCATCTGCCATCTCTTACCGTATTCTCCGCCTCTTTCATTGATCAGTAGCCTCACTCTATTTTTATTCGTCTTACTTTATGGTTTACAAACGATCCCATTGTCGCAGCCTCACGACGATCGTGATTGCAGAGAGACCGCTGAGAGTGACGGCGACGCCGAGGGTCTTGTCGCGAATCGTCGTCGGCTGACAGCGATGAGCTGCAACCTGTGGTCGCTGAAGAGCGCGCGACTTCGCGTTGCCTGCTCCATCGCGCTCGCCCTCACCATCGAAGGTCTCATGCGTTCCAACCTCAACATGGTTCGTTCAGATTCACCCGAAATTATTGAAAACTCACAAAAAAAAACAGTTGATGCCAGACAAGTCTCTATTCATACAGCAAAAGTTGAAATGTTATAGGCCTAAAGATACAAAATTAGACAAATTTTAAAAAACTTGCAGCGGAATTTACATGTTCAGGGCTGAAAATAAAGATATTCATAGTACTTCCGCAAGTAATGTGCCAACAGGGCGTGTAAGAGCGATGAGAAAATATTTATGACTGTGATTTTTGGTATCAATGTAAAGGTGAACCTTAAATTTTTGGAACACAAAAAAGGGAAAAAATGGATAAAAAATAGCTTTGTTAGAAATTAGCTTCATTTAAAGGCCACAAACACGAGTCGAACTGAGGTTGATGAAGTTCAACAAAAGGGAAAAAAGAAAAATGAAAAAGATTTGAAGACTTTTTTGATTGATGCACGGCAGAAGATGCCTTTTATAACGAAGAAAATAAGGAAAATCTTGTTCGTAAAAAATATTAGAATTTTTTTAAAGAATCAATAAAAAAAGATATATTACTTTGTTTCCCAAGAAAACTCGATTTTAGAAACTTGGTTACATATATAATTTGTTTCAGGCCGTCGTCTGTATGCTGAACAGTACGGCTTTAACAGATGGACGGTCCAACTTCAACCAGACGCACGAAGATTCTTCGTGTCCCATGCTCGTCATCGGAAATCAACGAAAAGTTGACCATGTCGGTGCTTTTCAGGAGTTCCAAACCAGAACTGGCCTGTTTCAGCACGGCGACTTGTACTGGACGGCGCATCAGAGGGCCGTCATCTTCGCTTCGTTCTACGCAGGCGGACTGTTTGCAACTCTGGCCACTGAGGTTCATTTTTTGTGAGAAGCACTTATTGGCTTTCGAAGTTCATGAAAATCTTCTGAAAGTCGTTGAGAATTCCGGCAGACTTTGGTTGTTTCGTTGTGCTTTCGAGTGAGTCGCCAGACCAAAACAAATACGGCCTTTCTATGAATCTCTGCACATGTTAGGCACAGCGAAGGAATTTGTTCGGTAAACGGAAAATTATGCCTTTGAAGCCGATAATTCAGGTGAATAGTCGGTAGAAAGAACCCTTTTTGCAGAAGCTGAACAGAGCCGTTGGAGCGACCAAATTGGTCTTCTACGGCGCCATTTCCAACGTCATCGGCACTTTTTTGACGCCTTTCGTCGCTCAGAGCTTCGGTCCCTTTGCACTGATCGGTGTCCGATTAATCATGGGATTTGGCCAGGTTAATAGAAGATCTGATTGATAAAAAATACACGTAGTTTGTAACTTTTATTTATTATTTAACTTTGGAGGTATGATATCACTTAAGTATATGGTCCGAAGGAAAAATGTTCTTCCCAAAACTTAGATTTCGCCCAAAATCCACTGCTTCGATGTCCAGTAGATAAAAGAGGTCTGAGCGAAAGTTCAAAATTTTTCAAAAATATAACTGAAGGCAAATCATCTGAATAGCGAAACGGCTTGTTCGAGTCATCAAAAAAAAAGTCCTTACACGAAAAAAGAAAAGTTGATGTCTGGCTGGTGGAGAGCGCACTTAGGCCACGCCCTCTTTGCGTCCGAAACTAGCCGTGAAATCGAAAAAAAAAACATAATTTTTTTTTCTCAACAGCCTGGTTAAAGGATCAAGCATAACTGAAAGTTTCTCCTTCTTGCAGGGACTACTCTTTCCTTGTATGTCAGTCCTGGTCTCGGCATGGTTCCCTCCGACGGAAAAATCGACGGCTTTGGCCATCGCCACTACCGGAAACCAAGTCTCCGTAGTGATTGCCATGTTCGCCACGGCTGAACTTTGCCAACTTCCCTGGGGCTGGCCGATGGCCTTCCACACTTATGGTTCTTTCCCTCCTCCGAAAAATGGACTTATTTGTTTTTTTATTTCAAGGCGTTTTCGGCATTCTGCTCTGTATCATTTGGTACGTGTTCGTGTCGGATTCGCCGGCGGAGGCGCGAGAAATCTCCAGCGAGGAGTTGCAGTACATCACCAACAGCCGACGGCCTAAAGTTCAGGTGAGAAAGCTCATAAGTTGATCGTTTTGGTTCAATCTGTGCTTTATGTTTAAAAAACCATGAAGCATCTTTCAAGGATAAAGGTATGAGTTTCGTAGAGATTCTGAATCGAATTTTCTCTTCAGAAAGCCAACTGGCCGGCTCTTCTGTCTTCGCCCGTCGTGTGGTCCATCGCGGCCTCTTCCTTCGCCCACAACTACATCACCGTCGGAACGGTCACCTACCTCCCCCTCTACTACAAAACTGTCCTCAACATGAGTCTCACCTCGGTATTCATCCCTTCAGTGGCTTCTTAGTTAACTTCCGACTTTTTCAGAACGGAATCCTTTCCGCGCTGCCCTTCATCGGTCAACTCCTCTCGAAGGTCGTCTACGCCGGATTCGCTGACGAGGCGAAGCGTCGCAAATGGTTCAGCTACTCCACCGTCACCAAGTTGTCCAACTCGAGCGGTAATCAGGACACCGCGACGATCAGAATGAGAGAAGAGTTTGCAGCTTCTTTCGGAATGGCCATCTGCTTCGTCCTTCTCTGTTTCTGCGACTGCTCCCAACGGTTCACCGCCATTTTCCTCGTCTGTCTGGCCATGGCTTTTGTTTCTGGTTACATCCCTGGCTACAACACGAGGTAATATTTGATCTAGGAGTATTCAAATCAGAAAAAAGAGAAGAACTTAGAAAAAACTTTAGCCCAAAGTAGCCGCGTGTTCTAATTTAATGAAAAGGCTTATAGTGATCAAATTCTGGACCTCTTTATGATATTCTCTGTAAATTTGGGCTTCTAGATTTGTTCTTTTTTCCTTGGAGCAAGTTTTTCACGCAGTAGTCTTACCTACCGAATATGAATTTTCGAGAATTATCTTCTCGGACCTTTGAAAGGCGAACCGGACGCTTCCCGGACGTTTTTAAGCATTTCTCTAGGAAAAACTTTAGCAGAACTCGTAAGTGACCCCTAAAATTTCTCAGAAAGGTTTTTTTCCGGGTCATTCATGACAGTCTTCTCAGGCCGTTCTTTCTAGGATCAATTTCATCAGTTCTACATAATATTTCTTTTTTTTAATTAAATCGGTTCCTAATGATCTCTCTTCTCAGCGTGGTGACGATTGCTCCATCGCAAACGGCAGCGATCGCCGCCTTCTCACGAATTTGGGCTCAAATCGCGGCTTCAGTTGCGCCTTATCATATCGGGGCCACCACTAGACAAGTGAGGGTTTTTCTAATTTTTATCTGCAAAAGTTGTATTTTCCAGGGTTTGCTGGAAGAATGGCGCGTCGTTTTCATCATCATCGCCGTGATGTGCGTGATAACCGGCATTTTCTTCCAGTGCTATGGAACTTGTTAGTTTTTTTTTTAATTTTTTAACTCAAGTTTAGTGACTATTCATGAAGTTTCGTAGTCATATTGAGTTCTCACAAAGCTCTACCTCAAAATAGCTCAAAAAATCATTATTTTCACTTTTTCTTTTTGAACGAGAAAGTTTTTGAGTTCCGGTTGAACTATTGATGAAACTCGGCGGAAATGAACTTCAAAGCCTCTAGATTCTAGAAAAAGAAAAAGATTTCTTGCAATATATCTTTTTTCCGTGTTATGAAGCTTCAAACCTCGCAAATACTTTTTTTTCCCATTACTCGAAAACAAAATATATTGCGAGAAACCAAAAAGCGTTCTATTGTTAGTTTTGCAGCGCAAGTCTAGACTGCGTTTTCCAGCCTTTCATTGAATATTTGAATCTATGAAACTTTTTGGAAGGAAAATGTCGTGATTTGCAGCGGACGTGCAAGATTGGGACACTGTGAGCGTGAAGGGCGTCGAAACGACGCAGCAAGAACTCATCGACAAGTCTTTGCTCGATTCGAAGGAAATCGAGGCCAACGGCACGATCGCATAAAATGCGCCAAGTCCTTCACAAGTAGTTTTAGTTCGGCTTCCCTCGTCTTCTTACCTTCTTATTTATTGTTTCCGCTTCCTTTGTAAATCTCTCAACTTAAATCTTTGTATCACCATTTTTTTTTCCTCTGAAGAAAACTCAAAACTTATCGCAATCTCAGTCTTCTCGATGTTTCCTTGTCTTGCCCTGTCCTTTCTCCACTCTCCAATCTTGCAATTTTGTATGAATACTGTTCCTCGCAATTGGTTTCCCCAGACGAGTCAACATCTTTTTGTGATATCTAAAGATAATCAGTTGTTTTGTTTTGTTTCATTTTTGTTGTACTTTTGAAAAGCCATAATGACGGCGCCCACGGTTCTTTTGTTGCTTTCAAAGTTGTTGAAAAGCCAGGAGACTGAATAGATCTTCTAGAATCTAGTACATCAACAAGTTTTGATTCAGAAACTTTTATGGCTTCTCATCGTCTTTGTGTAACATTTTCTACAGAAAATATGTGTTAGTGACTGGAAAATTATTATTTCTGAAGATTTTTTTTGCAATTCTAATAAAAAAAAACTGCAAGTCCAAATTATACGGTTCGCGAATCTGTGTTGGTTAAATCTCCTCGGACGTTTACACATGTCTAGCGTTTCTCAGTTCTTACTCCCTTACTAGGCTTTAACGGTGCTTTTGCCGATTCCCCAAATAATTGTATCTATACTCTCTTTCCTTTCCACATTGTTCAGTCTTGCTTCACATATTTAGTATCGCATCTCAACTTTTTTCATTCTCTTTTTAAGTAATTTTTTTTCAACTTGAAAGGAGAATTTATTAAAAACATAATCATTTTTGGCGAATTTTAGTTCATTTTTTCAATTGAATCAATATCCCTCCTGTTTCATACGACCCCATTACGTTCGAAAAATGCGGTTGACTTCGGGTACACTTGATTCTTTGTAATATATCTAATGAATGTATTCGTTTTGCTATGAACGGAAAAATAATAAATACTTGATTTCTTGACGTTGCTTTTTTTGTTTGAAAAACATCGATGACACGTTTTTTTCTGAATGGAATTCCGATGCCCAATGGTTGTGCAGAAAAAAAACTCATGAATTAACCGAACTGTTATACAAAGTACGAAAACCATTCAGGAAAGTAGATATTTTGAAATACTACTTTGAAATAAATATATTCTACAATTAATCTATCCTTTCTCACAACTAAATCACTATTATTACGTAGGGTTGGAAATTAAGACTGCTTCTGAAAAAATAAAACTTATTACGATCATAAATGTGGGAAAGATTTAGACCCCAGTAGGTATACATCTAACGTTTTCAAGAACTGGATGTTTCAGCAAACCAAATTTTTTTCTAATCACCAAATAAAGATGGTTTCATAATTTTTTTAAAAAAATTCCAATTCTGTGATTTGTCATCTGAACTAATTTCTTAAAAAAATTTTTTTGTCATTTCCATTTTTTTCGAACGATCTCCAATCAAAAAGTATCTGAAAAAGTATATTTTTGTGACGAGGTTCCGCTCGAGCGTTATCCGCGGAGCGAATCTTCTCAGTCTCAATCGCGCCCAAATTTCAATTTTGCACAAAAATATTTTTTTTTTGTCTTTGAATTTACTTTTTTTCAAAAAGGACACCCTATCTAATATAATTTACCCGATCTAATATAAAAGGAACACCCGACTCAATATAAAAAGGATAAAAAGGATCGTTTTCTCGTCTTTTCTTAGATTTAACCATGACCCTCTAGATTTTTCTTAGATTTCAACGAGGCTCTCGAGATCTTTAAATATTTATGCTCCTATTCATGTTCAAAGTAACTCTTCAATGGTGAAAAAATATATCAATAAAAGTTTTTTTTTTCCTTCAACCTCAATCGTTACCTCTCATTTTTTTAAAAAAACAAAATCTGGAAATTCAAATTATTAACAAAAAAATTTTTTTCTCGCTTCAGAAGCTCTGCTTAAAAAAATTTCTTCTGTTGGTATAATAAACATATTTTAGTCAGATCGAGTTATGAAGCACAAGAGTCAGGATGACGATTCGACGCATCACGTCACGAAAAGAAGAAGGAACGACGCTAAAAATAAGCGAGATTCGCTGGATTCGGCATCAGTTGACGTAGCAGGAACGAGCAGAAAACAGGCAGGGGCACAGAGCGGTTCGTACAAGCTTTGATTAATTCATTACAAGTTGATTGTTCAGACGATTTGGTTAAGAGAGTCTTGGACAATGCATGTAAAGACAGAAGCAAGGTAATCATAATTTTTGGACGGCAGTGATTATTATATTTTCTAGACAAACCTTCAAAATTGCTTCAACACAAATCTCCCGTTCGATGTTCTGAGCATGGATTCTCTCAATGGGCTGAAAATGCAGGCAAGTTTATTTTTTGCTGGATTAAATATGAAGGATTGTCTTAGGTATGCATTCAAAGAAGAACTCAACTTTCAGGAAATCGCCATGTTGCTGGAGTCGTCGAACCATATTTACTCCTACAGGGTTGATAGGACTTTGCTCGAAACTCGAAACGCTTTGCACGACTTTTCCAAGGGATCTGTTGATGATGGTGATTCTTAAATTGAGGACCTTCAACGGAAAACAGTCTTTCAGCTGAGGGAGCTCCTAAAGAAGAAGACGAGGGAGCGTTTGAAAAAAGGAGGAAAAAGAAGCGGATGGGTTTCGAAAAAAAGAAAAACTTTTCCATAGATGATCGATTCAGATAACATCGCGGAGCAACTGGATCAAGCTTTGCGGATGGGAGAGAGCATGGACGAAGATGAGGGCGACGTCGATGAAGACGGTTAGACAATCTTTTTCCAAATGGAATTTCCAAAATTTTCCATAATTATCTTCATTTTTCCCTCTCAACGTATAAAGAAATAATTAGTCCCCCAGTCACCAAAAAAAATTTTTCAGCAAGAACTCTTCGGCTTTTGGCGACTGATACTCGTAGGAAAGATCGGGAAGACGCGAATTTGTTGGACGAAAACATCGAGAATAAAGATTGGAATCCCAACGACGATCTGGACGAGATGATCAGTCGCCTTGTAATCTTCCGACAAGAGAAAAAAAGAAGGCCAAGTATGAATCGGTGAGTTTTTTTTGGGGGGGTGAGATATTTTAATAATATTATTTTACTGATAAGATGTTCGATAAAAAAACTCCATGATGCAAGTTAAAAACAAGCAAAAAAATTTTTCATAATGATCTTGAGACGAAGAAACAGTTTCTGCGTTATTTCAGAGCGTTTTTTTATAAACGCCAAGAGTTCTTCAAAAAGTGGAGTGAGAAATTTTAAACCGACTATGAAATCCATACAAAGTATACCACAGAGTTGGATTTTTTTTTCTTTCTTTCTTCTTTTTTTTTTCTCTTTTTCTTTTCTTTTACTTTCTCCGATAGAATTAATGGATAAAAAGTGTTTGATCTGAAAACTTATGGTTGGAAAGCCGTTCAAATGTTTTGTATCTTCAAAGTGAACTCGTTCACTCGTTCCTCGTCATTTTTTGTATTTTCCTTCTCCAGTTACATTTTTAAGAAGACTCTGTTTTCATATTCTCAATGCTAAAGATGGATTCATCTCCATGTGAATCAACAAAAAAATAGCCTTGAAGTTGTCGCCGCACTGCGTGGTGGACGACTCTTCGCTGACGCTGCCGTCGAACGAAGGCGAGACTCTTTCGACCAACTCCTTCTACCAAAAGGTGTGACTCCTTCTGAATCCTCCCGACGTGACCTGACGTCTTCAGGCGATCCGCGGCACGGCGTCCGCCGTCCCCAACTTCCCGGTCCTGCAGTACAACGGCGTCTACTCGCCGGACGGACGGGTCTTCTACCTCCACCCAAGAATCGAAGACGAAGGCGCCGGTCTGGCGCCTGATCCTTCCGAACTTTCGAAGGAATTTCTCCATACTATGCATGGTGAGTTAGTGCGACGGGTATCTTTTTAAAACCGTGAAATTCTGACTTCAGAAAGATACATTAATTATTTTAAATTTTTTTTTCCATGAGTTTTGCTCTGATTTCGAGCTTGATAAGAAGTTTTAGTACTTCTCCATATAAAAAAATCCGAAACAGAAATTAAACAGGCCTGACGACGCACGCAATGCAAGAGGAACACAAGAATGTCAAAGATTTTCTCATCCCAAACGTCGTAAATCGGCCCAGAGTCGGACAGTTCAACATGCTGCGGCAGCCGTCGTCCATCGTCACGCCGTCCACTTTTTCCAGCACTACCAAAGGTTTTCAGCTCAAAAAATGGTAGGAAATTTTTAAAAAAAGTTGGTTCCCTCGATGTATGTCTAAAAAGAGTATCACAAAAATAAGTGTTGATGGCTGCTCAAAACCTGTATGATTTAAAAACGAATGGTAGAAAAAGAGCCAAAAATTGAGATTGAAATTTTAAAAATATTTTAGGGAACTCTTCTAAGAGTTATAGATATAAAATCTTTATTTTCCTCTTTTTTTATATCAAACAGAAAGAAAGGAAATTCTAAAAATTTTTAATAAGTTTTCAGAAATGTATGACTTTTGCCTTTTTAATGAACGTTACTTTGTGTAGATTCAGCCTTTAAAAAGAAAAATGAAACATAAACTTATCGAATCAGTACAAAATATTATGAAGATTTTTTTCTTGAACGAAAACTCATTCAGATTTAACTTTTTTTTACAGAAACTTTTCAGAACTGCAAAAATTTTTTAATCGTTGTTAGGCGATATCTCGATGACGATCGCGGACATGACGGTGGCGGTGCCGGCGCCTCGGACCAACGGGATCAGCAACGGCGGGAGCAACAACGTGAGCCCCGACATGGAGTCGACGACGATGATCGAGCCAGAATCGGTCCCCCGGAGACTCATGTCCGAAGACTCGGTCCTCGGTCCCTACGACGAGAACCAGGCAATGGAACCTCAAGTCCCGCCTTTCGACCAGGTTTTCTTTTGCGATGCAAATTGTGGATTGTGAATGTTTGAATTTCTTGAAGTAAAATTAGGAAAAGAATTGCAAAAAGGAGAATATTTAGATTTTGATGAAATTTTTTTGATGTGTTGTCTAGAGCAGTCTGATTAAAAAAAATAAGAAAGTTACGATTTTTACCTCTTAGTCGATCTATAAATTGGTTTAATGTGTGTTTGTGTGTACAACCCTATCAAAATATTCTGTCGTTTCCAGTGGAATAATATTTGTTCAGATTCTGATCGACGACCTTCTCGAAGATTTTCCCATTGATGATATCAAGTACCGAAGAGATACGCTTCGTGTTTTGTTCGAGAAAAAAGTCGAAGAGGCCGAAAATGTTGGAATTTCGTCTTGAAAACCTTCATCTTTCCGTTTAGGGACAAGAAATCTCGAATTTGTTCCGCACCGGATTTTTCTCCGATGAGTGGACCGAAGATCTCAGCGAAGTATTCAGGGAGACGTGCGCCTTGCGTGTAAGTTTCGCACTGTTTTCTATCATTTTCGTTTTTAGTTATATTTTTCCGGATGAAAATTGGTTAGTCAGAGACTGCTAATTTCTTGAAAGTGTTTAGAAAAAAGGTTAGGGTTTCGAGTCTATCACGGGAATAATTCGAAAATTTTTTAGGGTATATAATTTCTCTTTGTCATCATATCTTCGTTAATCGTATACTTTCAAGCGTTGAAATTACGTAGAAAAATAATTGAAACTGTTTTGAGGTTCAATAATTTGTTCAGAAATTCGAGAGTTCCTAAGACGTAGATAAAATTTGAAACAACTTAGCTCCCTTTTTACGAAGTGATAGATTTTTTCACTTCAGCAGTGTGAAGATGAATGATTAGAATAATCAAAAGACAAAAATGCTGTAGGATAACCAGTAACGGAAGTTGTTCCACTATAAAGAGTGCTTTCTGAACCGGTGTTATACAATAATTTAAGCTATGAGGAAGGAATTTATTAAATTTTTGAATCTTTTTCAGGCTTCCTCTGTTGATCCTTACATCGAAATTGCGGATTTGATGATTAATGCGGAAGTTTTCAAGATGAACGTTGGCCGAGAGGATTACAACCGGCTTGAAAGGTTTTCACAAAAAAAACTTTTTTGCCTTTCAAAAATTCTGGAAAGTTCAAATCCTTCAGAGAACTGGACAGACTCTCAGAGGAAGATCCGACCTGTTCGAAAAAACTTCTGACTTTGGGAAGACACGTCCTCATCCGACCGCCGACCAATTATCCGGTGAATCAATGCGAAAGAGAATAATGAACGGAAAAAATCTGTTGAAGAAGCTTTATCCGACGGATCCGTACTCGGAAACTGAGCAGAACATGTTCCCCGAGTATTGTGCCGACGACGAAGAATTGAACACTCAAAAGTTGGAACTCTGCAAATGGCTTTCTATTGAGCAAGTTGTTCAGAACTGTCGATCCGGTCGCCGACGTCTCCTTGGATTTGAGCTTGCTCGACGCTCAGATGGCAGAAGAAGCCCAGGTTTTCAGAAATCCTAGATTTGATAAATAATTAGATGATTCGGACGTTGAAATTTTTTTTGTTGTTTTTTGAAGTTTCCTTGAAGCCCTCTGAACTACCAAAAAAAGCGTTTTCGTCGAATTTTCTTTTTAACAAGAAGAGTGTGCAATCAAGTTTCCATTCATAATTCATCAAAATGTTTCCTGTGAGATTTTGAGTCTGAAAACAAAAAAAAAACTTGGCAAGATTTTTCATTTTCAAATATTTTGTCCGAGCGAGGTTTCAAAAAGTTTACTCCTATTTTTATCATTTTTGAAACTGGAATAGATTCGAAATTGTTGCTAAAAAAAGTATTTTTGTAAAAAAAGGGAATTTTTTTCAGTATCTAAATAGGATTTACGATAAAAAATCTTTACCTAAAAAGTCGAAGTTCAAAAATTCGAAAAAAATAGTATACATAATTATTTTGGGAGTTTCAGAGGACCAATGCAATTGAACTAGCCGAAGTGAATCACAATGCGATGGTGGATGTGGAACGCGACCGACTCGCCAACTTGATCATCGACGGTCCTAGGTAAGTAACAGAATATAATGGGTGTACGAAAGAAACTTCAGAAGAAAAAATCCATTTTTTCCCGGAAATTTTCATGAATAAACTGTTGAAAAATAGTCAAATCAATTGTCTTTTCAAAAGTCATTTATGTTTTTTTAGAGAGGAATGGTCGAAGTTCAAAGAAGTGTCTTGGCGAAGAGCCGTTTTTGTTTTCATTTTTAGATAACAAGAGGTCGAAAAAGATAGAAAGGATCAACTATTCGTGATTAAATTGATTGATTTCTCCGAGATTTTTAACACAAAAAAAATAGTAAATCATTTGATTAGTGATTTTGACTTGTGATTTTGAATAAAAAGTTTTCAATCAGTGAGAAAACTGAATCTCTTCAAAAACTCACACGTATTTTGACTATTTCTCTTATTTTTGAAAAACTGAAATGCAACTCCTTTTCGCAGATTCTTAATTCCGTTTCGGTTTGATATGTATAATTTCAGAAGTTGTATTCATTCAGAAAACCTTCGAATTTCCAGAGCTGATTCACCGGCGTTGAGCGTTGGCGGGGACGACTTCGGAGGGTTCGAAGATGAACCGGACATTTATGATCCGGACGCCCCCGTCGCCTTGAGACCCAACGCCGAGAAGGAACTCATGACCCTGGGAAAAGCTGACGATTCTCACTGGAAAGGTTTCTTTTTATCGAGAAAAAAAAAACCATTTTGTGTCTTTTTCAGGATCTGAAGTGATTGCGAAGAAGACCGAAGTGAAGAAGAAGGAGAAAAAAGAGAGGAAGATGAAGAGAAAAATCACGATCGAGGACTTAGCAAAGTTAGTTTTCTACAGGAATGGGCAAAAATAAAAAATAAAATTATATTTATTTCAAAGACTTTCTTTTTTTACTTCCTTAACTGTATTGAAATGAAATTTGACGTCAAGAACTTTTTTTTAAATTAGTTTATATATCTGATTTTGAAGGGTCGCAAGGAATTTAAAAAGGGTTTATTTCTTGTGTGCATTTTCATCAAATAGAAAATCGATCTCTTATTTTCAAAGTACAGGAATAAGGCTCACAATGACTCTGAATCGATATAAAACATACAATTTTCGCTTTCCGCGTTTTTATCCGAGCTTTGTCGAGTTTGTGGCAAAATTCAGAACTTTCGACATCTGAAAGGCTCCATAAGTCGAAAAAAAAAACGATGAAAACAGCGAAAAATTCATCCAGAAATAAATTCGGAATCTCAAAGTCAGCCATCTCGAAAATCTCACGAAGAATTCTTTTATCATCAGGCCTGGTTAACTCTAAAGAGAAAAAAAATAATGGTTTAGACATGATTCTCGAGAAGTTGGATTGAAGTTGTTCTGAATTGCCGTTTTCAGCTACTTCACTCCGACGAACGTCGAAGATCGCGTCGAACTGACCGCCAAAGGCCGCTGCTCCAAGCCTTTCAAGTCCTATATGATCAGCGAGGACCAGATTTACATGCACGAGACTCCGTCCGAAAAGAAGCCCCACATCGTCTTCGAGTTCCAGAATCTCGGCAGATCTTCCCTTTTTTCTTCGGTTTGTTTGTGGAATGATGAAACATCCGAAATATTTCGATAAAGAAGAAAGTTCGATTTATTCTTTTCTAGTTGATAATAATGTATACCCAGATCTGTTTAAAATTCACGAAATAATTTTTTTTTACCATAAGTGAAACCAGGAAAATAAATTTAGCATCCATGAAGTCTAGAGAAAAAGTTCGAGAGATATTGATTATGATATATCATCCAAGGAGTTGTTGAGTTTCAGGTGGATTTGTATACGGAAATTTATCAGAAGAATTCTTGTTTCAAATTTCAATTGGTATAGTGAAAAATGCATTCAAAAATTACTTTGAAAAAATCTGTTTTTGTATTTTACCCGGAGCTTCAGATGAAATACGGGCGGGTGAGAATCGAGAACACTTCTACTGATCGAAAGGCCAACAGCAGCAAGAATCGCGACGACGACATCTTTGTAGAAGACGTCCGCGGCGTCGGCGAGAACGCCTGTCTCGATTGGCTCCTCTCCTTCGGCGGCTACAAATGCTACTTCCACGAGTTTACATTATTATTTGAAACTAAAGATGAAGACGTGTTTGCAGAGACGAACAACAAGCCGCCGAGCAAGAGCCTGAGCCTGAGCTTGTGCACGAGCACGAGCCGGAGACGGCGGCGGATGATTGGGAGCCTGAGCCTTCTCATGGAAAAACGAAACATGTTCGATGAAAGTCTGGATGAGTTCCATGCAACCGGCAACGACGACGACATCGTTGTGCGTGTTCCTATTTTTTTATTTTTTTGAAAAAAATTAGAAGAAACTCCTTTTTATACTCTTTTTTTCTCGAATAAGCGATCGGAAGCAAAAAAACGAATTAGTTCGTTTTTAACGAATTAGTTCGTTTTACTTGAGATCTCTCGGCCATTTATAACAAGGTTCAAAAACGGAATTTGAAAAAGAATTAATTAAGTTTGTTTGAAATCTGAGTTGTGAGAGAACGAGTCCATTTAATAGGGCTCTAATAAAAATGAGCTCAGTTTTTTTCCCCGATCTTACAAGAATTTGAAGTACTTTGAACTTTTTAAATCTTCGTTCTGTATTGCTTTTTGAGTTGACCTATTTAGACAAAGCTATGACTTTTTAATAACATCTAGTTTTGACAATAAAAAATATTACAAGGAAGGTCATCAAAATAGGAATTTTCAGGTAGGCGAAGACGGAAAAACGATGGATCAAGTCCGACAAGAAGTCATGAGTCGACTGACGTTGCCTCATCGGGTTCGACCTCACCATTCCAGATTTCAATCATTCTCAACAATTTCAAGGAACAATACAAGAAGATCATCGAGGAAGCGAAAATAATCAAGCAAAGGATGCGCTGGATCCATGAGAACGTCGGCAACACCGACGACGAGTCGGACGACGAAACGACTGAGGTGATCAGACCCTACATTTGACAAAAAAAAAGGTCGTCTCGAAAGAACGAAATTGAAGAAAACCGCCTAAAAAAATTGATATAGTTTCCTTTTTAATTTCTGAGTCTCAAGATTTCAATTCATGAATCAAATGATGTTTAACCCAATTTTGTAAACCTTCAATTTTTCGAGTAAAATGATATTTTTAAAAAAGCCTAGTGAGTAAAAAGAGGCTTCGAGAATGACAAAGTTATGACCGGTTCGAAATAAATTCAATTTCCGTTCATTTGTAAGCAGATCTGATACAAATGGTCTTCAGATAATGGGAATGCGAAGGAAATTGACCGTGCGGAATCTCGACGCCGCCAAACACAAGAAATGCATCGCCGAAGTGCTCACCAATCCTGTGGTTCGTTTTGTTTTCAAACTTCATCTCAAAAACAAACAATTTTGAAGCTTTCCATGCGGAACATTGAGAAGATCCTCACTGCAGTGAACGGCGAAGCTTTGGAAGAAATTTCCCCAGAAGGCGATACAATCAGTTGGTTTAGGAGCGGAATGTCTGAGTTGATCCCTGTTTTTAGGTCCTTCGAAAAAAACTAGAGGACTGAGTACCGTCTTCCACACAATTCCTGAAAGAGGAAGCCTTGAAGGTTCGTTTTTTTTTCTGAATTTGAATAAAAACATCTGTGCTGTAAAAAATGGAGTTTGAGATAAATCTGCCATTTTGTTGAGATCTTATCGCGTGTCGAACGGTGTACTTGAAAAAATTCAGAGGTTTTTAGTTTTGGAGAGAAAAGTTTTTGAATTCCCGCCATACGCGCGTTTTGCAGTAAAGTTGTTCTATGGACAACACATGATTTTATAAGTGGACCGTTCTATTCGCAAAAAAGCTTTACAGAGTCCCTGATTGCACCGAAAACACCGTTTTTGCTGCCCATATCTCTTTTTTTAGAAAAAAAATTTTCGAAGTGGTATAACCTTAACTTAAATTAAATTTTTTTGAAATTTTTTTCTGGAAAAAATTCTAAACCTTTTTCCTTTTCAGAAGTCAATCGTATGTTCGTTTCTCTGTTGGATGCTCCGGAATACAGCGAAGACGCGTTTGTAATGAAGACGAACGATCCGATCAAGGCCAACGACGCCGACCCTCTCAAGGATCCGAAGAAGCGGATCCACGTCGCCGGTGAGTCCAAGTCTTCTGAAGATCTTTCAATGTACTGAGAAAAAGAAAAAAAAAAGCTCTGCAAAATCGCTCATTTAGTCATCCTGATGTTATACTTCGTCAGTTATAGTATCCGCTAGGCTTAGTCATTCCACATGCGACCTTCGTCTTTCAAGTTACAGAAAACTAACATAAGTAGAAAGAAAATTGGGCACGGTAAAAAGTTCGAAGGTTTCACAAGTTTTCGAACTATTCTATTCAAGGTTTTGAGTCGTTTCTAAGTTAAAAATCAGTCAATTAGGTTAAGGGACATATGAAAAAAGCAAGAAAATTGTTAAATTTTCTTTTCATTGTTAAATTTTCTTTTAAACTATTGTGATTTTAAATTTTCTAGTTTTAACTGATTTGGTGTTGAGTCGTAAAAATCATGTGTTCTTCTCTCGGAGCATAATTGAGAAAGAAGGCGGAGAAAGAATTCCGACAAAATACTTTGGAAAGTAAAATTTGTCTTGAAAATGATTCTTCCAGGGCTTCATACGTTCAAGTCAGCGCTTCTGTGTGTCCCTCATCGAATGAAAGAGAAAGTCGAGCCCTCCTCCATGCTAAACTTCTCGCTCCATGTCGCCAACGAAAACGTTTGATTTCTCCATCATCACGAAGCTAAAAGTCTGATTTCAGAGCTTGAGATTGGTCCAAGACCAATCGAAGATCAACTGGATGACCGACTTCATGGTTCTGAACGACGGGGATCCGATTCCGGACGACGTCGACTACGGAGAGACGGATGTGCCTGAAGAAGTCAAGGATATTTGGTCAGACCTTTGTTTTTTTCTCTTGAATTGAAGAAAAAAAGTTGAGATTTTATCCCCAAAAAAATATTTTTATTTATTTTCTCAATTTTTTTGAAAAAAACATCAAACATTTTTCATAATTCTTTTTTTATGGAAAAAAAAAAAATTCAAGGAGTCCGAGAAACTAGAGAAGCCGGATAGTCATCATCATCGTTTTTGAATTGATCTTCCTAATATCCATGAAATCGTTAAAAAATTGAGAAAAATGAAATTAACGAAGTTTCAAAAAAGAGTTACATCCGTGGTCATCCGTGGTCAACTTTATTAATTATTTTTTTCAAAAAAAGTTATTCTGTTGTGCAGGAATGAGACTCATGATCCGTTTGCGAAACTGATCGACCCTGAAGAGTTGCAAGCTCTGGAAAAGGCGAACGCTCGAGCTGGTCCGAGCACCTCCTACGACGCTCCTAGAGCTGCTCCAGTTCCTCACCGTCGTCGGCTCTTCGTCGACAACGGCGGCAGGTTCGAGGCCGTCGTCGAAGAAAACGAGCAAGAGCCTTAGAAACAACCTCTTTTCTATAATTTCCTTTGTTTATATTTCAATATTATACTCTTATCTTGTGCTAATCACTCCCTGTCCCGATGTTGTTAGGCTAAATATTCTCACGAGGTCTCAGTTAAGAGAAATTTCAAGGGTAAACATTTTTCCAGTGATCTTATGAGACTAGATTTACTTTGTAATAGGTAACTTTTCCTTTTACTCGAAAACTCGAAGTTATAATGGAGCACCAAAGTTGCGGACTGGTTCAAATTGTATACGGTTGAACCTACTTACTCATTTATTTCTCTCATTAGAAACAGTTCGTTCACTTCTATCCACTTTTCAAAAAAGGGCAGAAAGCTTTATCGAAATTAAACTAGGATCTCCTCCCTTTGGCCTTTCTTATTCAGCGTATTAATTAAGCTAGACTTGCTTCGCGATTCGTGGACAACTGTATTATAATTGGTCTCAATTTACTTTTAAATGAATAATTATTTTTGTTGGTTGATTCATAGCGGTAATCGTTTATTATTCGAATTCGTACTTGAGAAAAGTTCAATTAAGTTCTTCTTTCAATTGTAAACAGACATATTATCTTCAAAAAGGTTTTTGAGGCTTTTTCCAGTTGATATTCGCTTCAGAATCCACAATCTTCAAGAATTTGAAAATTATTCAGTATTCAATAACATGACGAGTATATGTGGAGTTTACACGTCGACGTCGTGGTTTTCAACGACGGCTTTGATGCGAAAAACCTCGCCATTCGTGTACCGAAAAACGGGAAGAATTTGCGGCAACGCCGTGTTGACGCGTCAGGAATGGAGGTACACCAAGGTTGGGTTTTGACGCCTACATGGCTGACGTCGGGAATTGAGGCCGTGGGACGGCATTTCCAGCGGACGATGGGCCTCAAATACGGCTTCGACATGGGCCTCGACGATCGCATTCTACTCACATCCATTGCACAGAGACAGCGACGGCTCGACGACAAAAAGATGCGCCAACTCGGTTTTTTTTTCAATTTTCAATTTTGGAGCATAGCTTTTGAAAGTGACGTTTGTTCCTGTTTTTAATCCAACTCGCCATCGATTTTGTAAAAAACTTCGAGAAGACAACATCGAAGAGAAAAATAAAACAATTTAGTAAAGAGTAGAAATTATCCAAAACTGTAGCGAAATTCGATAATAGTTGATAAGCATTCCAGGAAGTATAATGGAAGGCCGAATAATCGACGTGATGTCGATGGATGAGACTTTGGCCGAACTCGCAATCCAGTTGACCAACGTCGCGGTCGACAGAAATTTCTCCCATGTTGGTTGAGCATTTCTCGAAAACTTATCTATGAAACATTCAGCGAAAAAATGACTTTTTTCCAGGTGAACGTCAGTTGGCTTCGCCGCGGCCAAGGCGACGAAGAAGTGCAGAAGACGTTGGACGAGGAACGTCATCAGATGCGCCGAAGAGTCGGCGAAATGCTCGGCATCACCTGTCCGGAGATCAGATTTATAGGTTCTAAGAGAACCTTTGGGAAGGCTGCAGAACGGGAAAGTCCTAGGAGAAAACACGAAATTGATGGAGGAAGAAATGGACCGACTTTTCCGCGAAGCCGACTATGGAATGGACTATCGGTCGCTAAGCAAAACTGGCCGAGTTCTGGGCGCCTTGTCCAAAACTGCAGATGTGAGAGTCTGTTTTGAGAAGCCAAATTACCGATTTTCTTCAGAAAGAAGTTTCTGCTCCAGAAAAGCCACCGCGGCCTTGGCTCAAAGCCATTCAAAAACGCAAAGAACAGCGGAAATCTGAAGTCGCGAGTTCATCAGATGAAAATTAGTTGATAATTTGTTCCATATCATGTTTTATTTATTATTTTGTGCATAGAAGAATACATATTTTCCATTTATTTATTTATTTTTTTCAATTTTTTCCACGGTTTGTCTCCTATACATTCAAAATTTCACCAATACTTGCAAGGGACGTCCTTTTAGTGTGACTTTTGGAGTTTTCTATGAATTCGCCCGAAAATTCTTGAAAGTGCATGTTCTCTATTTTCGTGATAGCAACTATCTATGCCAACATTTATTTCGGGAATATCATTTTTCAAAGTTCGCGTTCAACACAAATTCGAGCATGGAACCAATTTTCCTCAACATAAGACCCACATTTTCAAAAAAAAAGCAAGTTAAATCAAAGTTATAGCGAGTTCCAAACTTCACCCTTAAAATACGTCCTTTATTAGACTTCTACTAGTCTAAATATTCAGATGACAGCTCCCCGCAAACTGAAGGTTCTGTGCTTGCACGGCTACCGGCAATGCGGCAAGTCGTTCCGAGAAAAGACAGGCAGCACCAGAAAATTGGTGAAGAACCTCGCCGACTTCGAATTCGTCGACGCGCCGCACACTGCCCGCGCAGATAACGGTTTCAGTTTCTTCAAAAGTTATGCCGACAGAGAAGTAACTAGGCTGGTCGGTACTGACAAACGTTGAAAGAATATTGAACATTTCGATCCATTTTAGATGTGCCGACAAGCCGAGCGTGGTGGTTCTCGAACAGTGGCGAAGTGAGTTTCTCATCTCGGGAGCCGACGGACGTCGACGTCGGATTCGAAGAGTCGATGGAGCATCTGGTGGCGTTCATCAAGGAACATGGACCTTTCGACGGACTTTTTGGATTCAGTCAAGGCGCTTCGATGGTCCATCTACTGTTGGCCAAGATCCAGCTGGGGGAGATCGACCTCCCTGGAATCCGCTTCGCCTTCCTCTTCTCGTCCTTTCTCAGCATCTCCACCCAACACGAGCGATTCACGCAGGCGACCATTGACGACGTCGAGACGTTGCACGTCTTCGGCGACGCCGACGAGATCGTCTCCCGCGACAAGAGCGAACGCTGCGCCGAACGCTTCTCCAAGAGTCCTCAACGGATCGTCCACGAAGGCGGCCATCTCGTTCCTTCGATGACCAAACATCGCGAGGTCCTCGTCGACTTTTTACGTCGTCAAACCGTTCAATAACTTTTTTGCTTCTTTTAAGCTTTCAAATCTTCCGTTTCGCTACTGGTTTTAGGATTTTCCCTGTCATTCCTCAGTTCTTTAAGATTTTATGATATTCAAATTAGAATTAATCTGTTTCATTAGTATCAATAAATTTGTTAACAATTGTTTCATAATATACCCGTATAAACTGTTGAGCTATCAATCAAGTGAACTTCTTGCCGAAGTTTCATACAATTCATTTTGGAGCATGGCCAGTTTTGGCACTTCTCGGTCTAAAAACCACGTTTTCGCGGCGACTATCTGAACTTTCATCTTTTTTTGGAATCTCTTTCCTCACTTACCTTGACTTCAATTTTATCTAGACAAATCGGCGAATTCAGGTCTAAACCTTCAGGAATCGCCACGTATGCTAATAAAAGGGCCTAAAATAGACTTCCTTATTTCATAAAACTAGACTACTGTCGAACTTTTCTGTTATTAGTCGTTATCCTTGTTAGAGATATTAATTGGAGAGCATCAATTTCTTCGCAAAGGAGCACGGCGGCCGAAGCGTGAAAGTATTTGGCGCCAAGGCGGTAGATCACTTCAAAAATATTGAATTTTAGAAATAAGTCAATATGAAGGTTACGGTAGGTGCATCCGAAGGTCTGTCCACGTCGAACACACCATCCGTTCCGCTTCAGATGTCGGAAAACGGCGTAGTTCTTGATAAAATCGACTCCTCCGATCGAACAAAGTTTGGACCATAAATCTTCTGGAAAACTACTTATTTTTCCAAATGCTCGTCAGATGAGCTACCTCTTGAGTATGACTGTTTTCTTTGTCTCATTTGCAAAATATCCCAGTCAAAAGCAAGAAAAGCAGCTTCTTCCGGTAACAAAAGTAACATTTTCACAACAGGCGTTTGATCTGGAACTTTATAAAGTCAAGGCTAAACTCAGGAAAGTACGAACCAGCCCAGCTGGTAGCGGCTTCCTGAACTTCCAACTCCTCCAACCCGTCCGTTTTTTCGTCCAGCTTCGTGGTGAAGCATCGCGGATTGACTGGCGCAGTGCCGAGTCGATCATCGTCTGGCCACTGACCGAAGCCTGCCTGATCATCATTGAAAATGTTTCCGAGTTTTAGGAAATAATGAGAAAAGCTCAGGTAGACAATTGCCTTCTGAAATTATCAGAGCCGTGACTCAGTTTCACTCACCAATTCGTACAAGTTCACGGCGACGGCTTCATCGAAGACGTGAATACTCCGTCCCAGAAGCCATGCTTCGACGTCTCCGCCGCCTATCGTCGACCGAAATTCTTCAGAAGTGCTCGCCAAGTATACCGTCGTCGCTTTCGTCAATTTCGAGTCAAACTCGAGCAAATTCATTGACAGGACCAAAATATCATATTAGGCTGGAAAAATGTCAATAAGAGCTTCGAAATAATAGGTTTAGAGCGAGGTTCACCTTTAATCAGAAAAACACAAATATTTTTTGAAATGTAATTATTTCATTTCCAGTTGAGTATTTAAAGTTAGTTGATAATTATTGTACACATAAGGCTGATAAGTAATCCAATAAGGGAAATATTCCTTTCCGAAGGGGATCCTCAAAGTTAATCATTCTTTGAGAAGTAACGGAAAACATGAACTGAAGGTTATATACAATACACATATCTGGAATCACCGATTTCCCTGATACAGAAAATTAGAATGAACCTTGTCATTCTCTACATACAGCATAAAAGAAAATGAGCATTTAGACGCTTTTCCACAGATTTTCGACACATTGCATGGCGTGAAGACAGAGTTCCTCTTCAAAGGGAAGCGCGACGCATTGGACGGAGCAGGGAAGGCCGACAGAAGTCGTCGCCGCATCCCGTTGCATCTTCAGAATCGGGTTTCGAGCTGCAAGTCACTCGAATCCACGGCTTCTCATGACAGACGAGTACCGATGGGGAACTTCCTTTCGTCAAGGAGGTCGACGTCGTCCTGCTTGGTGACCGTGCCAGTTGGAACAACGCCTGCCGGGAAATCCAACAAGTTGAACAGACCTGTGGCAAAGCCGGCCGTGGTCACTTTAGCCGGGAAACGGTGCGGCACAGCCGGAACTGAAACGAGAAAGTTGATAAAAATTATTTCTGAGCTTTCCACATCGAGTCTGACCAAAAAAAAATACTTGGAGCTCCGCAAAACTGCTTCACTCTCAAAAAATGACTTTGACTCTGGATATTCCAGGATAAATTTTTTTTTTCCTACGATTCATTAAATGAAGATCAGTGGGAGCTGAAATGATGCATATGAACAGGATTTCCAACTAATTATACAAAGATCTCAATAAAAACTAGAAAGGAAGCAAATTAATCACCAATGAAAGCTGGACAGATGAGTGCATCGATGCCGAGGGTCTTCCAGTAATCGATAAACTGCAAAATTGACGTTCAACCATATATTTCCACTGAAATGAACAGTTTCTCTGTAATTGTCGGTGAGTTCCTGCGTGTAGCGAACGTCTTCTAGATCTCCCATGTAGGAGGCGCTGATCAACGACATCTGCGAGCTGAACGGCGCCAGCAGTTTCGAAGCGATCCAACGGAGTATTCTCGGCGTCTGCAGCCAATGACAAGCTTCAATAGAGTCAAAAAATTGAAGAAAAAAGCCCTCTTCGGCACAGTTTGAGGAAGTATTAATGAATGAGAAGACTTTTCTGATTATTATAAATTTTAACTCTCTATTTCGCAAAAGAAAAAACTCAAAAAAAGCTTCAAAACAGTTTTTTTTTCCTATTATTGAGATTTAAGGCTTTTCCAAAAAGGAAAAGGGTAATTTTTGAAAAGAAAAACCTTGAGCAAGGTGACAAACTGAGTCATATTCGAATCGATGTCCTCGTTTTCGTAAACACCCCGCATGTAAGCTCCGTTGTCCAGCATGATGTTCTGAAAACGCCAAAATTTTCCAAATTTCCTATTTGTTGGAAAATTTAAAATAGAACGTAAACGGGGCGCGTCGTAGCGCAACAGGTTGTCTTCCTGTTTTTGGGGTCACAAGTTCGATCTCAGTCTCGACCCAACCAAAGGGTTTAACAAATGTTGGTAGTGGGAAACCAAGACTTCACAATCTCTGGTCGTCACACACAAAGACGGTTAGGTCACTAGAGCCATTAAACTGATTATCTCTGGTATCAGTATATGAACTTGTTCCAACGTCACTCAAGCGGTAGAAAGGCTTGAGGAGAAGAAGAATAAATGAACATCTCACCTTGTAGAAGAGTTTTGCGGCGAGTTCATGCTCAGGGACGACAAACTTGACAACGACGTGTCCGTGGCTCTTCAGTCGCTCGACCGTCTCCAAAACCACTCGCTTGTGTCTTCAATCAGAATAATCAATGTGATGCATAATCTTTTCCATTTTTGAAGTTTTTCTTTTCTGGAAAAATAACTTTGTTTAAGAACGGCTTCAACGTTTTTCAATCAAAAGCATGCCCCGCAGAGATTCTGAGAAATGCGATTGACATATTTTAATATCAGTCTGACTTTCGTGAAAAAAAATTTACTGAAATCGAATAATCAATCAAAGTTTCAAGCTTGACTTGAAATTGATTTTATGTCTTCTTTTTGATTTTTCGAAGATATCCGGTAAGAAATGCAAGGGACAGAGTTTTTTTCGGCTTTCACAAGAAGTTTTTGGAAAAGGAGAGGAAAACTGACGATGGAACAGGTGGACAGAAGCCGTCGAAATCGTAATAACCGAAAACAATAGGACGTTTGAGACGCGTTTTCTCAATTTTATGAAGTGATCGATGGAATATTTTAAGTGGAACCTCTAGGGACAACGGAGCCGGTGGAGACTGTGGGACCAGCTGACGGTAGGCCTCATCACCGACAATCAGACTCAACAGGAAGATCTTGATTGGTTCGGTTAGATTTTATTGCAAAACTGAACAAAACCTGTTCCTCGACGGTTCTGGTGAAAAATCCAAAGCTGAGTCCAAGTCGACCGCGGCCAGGCATACCGGCGTGGATTTTATTGACAACGAAACGATCTGGAAACTTTTGAAGTAATCATATTATCATCAAAGATAAATTTAGCATATAGGGGAAAAATAAAGAGCTGGAATATACAGAAAAAAAACCAAATCGACGTCAAAATATTACGTCCGAACAAATAGCCGACAAACCGCCTCCTCAAAAAGTTGGCAAAACTTTTTCTCTTGCGATTGGGTTTATGAAGTGAGAAACATAGGATCGCATGAAGCTCTATCTCATCTCTGAGCTTTTTCGACCATTTGGGATCACCTTGAGTTGGTTTCAGAGTGGTCAGGCCGCACATGGAGGCTGGGATTCGCAAACTTCCAGCGAGGTCAGATCCGGTTCCAAAAACGCTCCCGCCACCGGCCAACAGAGCCGCCTCTCCACCGGAAGATCCACCAGGAACTCTTCAAATTTGCTTTGTGATAAAAACAAATCAAACTTCCGTTTTTTAAATTCAGTTTTCAAGAAATCTTCGAAACAAGGTTGCAAAAATTCCACATATTCTTTCTAATTATTAGTCATTGTGAGGTTATCCACCTCATACTCTTTTTTTTTGTTTTCTGCTTTTTTGCGGACCTTAGAAGTATGTAAGCTGGGAATACCAAATAAATTAAAATATTGCAAAAGATTGATTAGTTTTTCAAGTCGCATTTCCTATTCACGAAAACTCTGTACTTTTTCAAAAGTTCAATACTATTCAAAATCTAACCTAGTCAAATCCAAAGGATTGAGTGTGGTGCCATAGACGGTGTTGGAACAAACATAGGACAGCAGTCCTTGGGGAACGTTGGTCAGAACGAACGGAATCTGAAAATAGAAAATTCAGTAAAGAATCATTCCGAACTGAAAACCCCGCCAAGGTTGATGAGATGTTCGATGAAAGGACAATTTTCGGTTTTCGGGTCGTCAAGGAGTTTGGCGACGCCGACCGTGCAGTCGTAGTTCTTCATCTGAACGACAGAAGTTATTCAGACACAAAAAATAGATGAAACGTAGAAGTTGGACTTGACACTGAAGGGAATGCCGTAAAGAGGCGGCTTCCGTGTTGATTTCGCCCATTTTTCATCGGCAGCTTCTGCCATGTCGAATGCCTGGAAATGACTTTCAACTGAGGGTTTTCGAAAGATAGAACCTCAGAAAGGACTTCAGTGCAGCAATTGATTCTGTCGTTGACTTCCAGGGCTTTTTTCACGTAGGCCGTCAAGACAGTCACTGCGTTCAACTCATCCGACTGCAGCTTCTCTGCAAATTTTCGCTCTTATGAAATCGAAAAAAGCTTTTGAAAAGTTATAAACAAAACACATATAACTGCATTTCGAGTTCTCGTACTTTAAAAAGTTGCAAAAACTCCGAATCGCGTCAGATGTCAACTTTAAAAGTCATTCTTTTGAAAAGATCTTTTTTTTTCTCAGATTTTTTCAAGGCCAATACAAGGATACAACTATTATTCCTTCAAAGCTAGTTTCGGAAACGTGAAATAAACCTCGGAGTTCGAAGAAAGTGAGCGAAACGATCTCGGTAAGCCTTTCCTCAATGGATTCTGCAGATTCCGGGAAACCGTCGCTGAACAAAGTTATGAAAGAGGAACAGTCGGAAATGGAAAACCCATTGCTGAGTTTGAACTCCTCGACACGTTGACGGAAATCTTTGAATCCGGCCTCGCGTTTTTCTTTGAACCTGTCTAGTGCACGGCGGTATTCAGATCGAACGCCCCAAGGCTGCAAATTTTTGAGTTTCTCGAAGAAAATGTTAACTGAGTGAGGATTTTTCAGTTATATTCTAGCTTAAACGGAAAAACTGAATTTAATTGGTGTTGGAGCATAACGCTTATATTAAGCTGATTCTAGAATGTTCTATAGTTTTCCATACATTTCTAGTCTCATTACGTCATAGGGATCATGTGTAAAGGTTTCCCTTCTAGAAAGTTCCACAATCTTCTCATTTGTTCTCTACCTTTCTAGAAGGTTCCACATTGTTCTCGAATGTTCTAATGCTTCCGGGACAGATCTCTAAAACTCTGGAATGTTCCATATTTTACTCTAATCTCAATACTATCTAAACTCCACCTTTATTCGGGAACATTCCATAATCTTCGGGATCTCTTCCCTCAGCACTATATAACCCCTTGTTTGTTATTGTAAACGGGCTAGCATAGTCTAGTTTCTTGTTACTAATAAATCTTCTACTATAACGTCTTCACTGGCCACCTGCGGGCACAACAATTGGCTAGATTTTTTTTTTGATATTTCTTATGATTAAAGCTCCAGTAGGTTTAATAATGCAGATTTCTTTAACTGGGCGACACACTTTCAATTTTTTTTTTCTAAATCAGTCAAAGATTTGTATGGCTTTTGAAAAACCAGTCTAGAAAAAATTTCAACGTTTATTTATGAAGAAATTGATTAATGAACTACTTGAAGCTCGTTTTTGGTGATGAAACACTTCCCCTACTTTAGAAAAAATTCTTTGAAGCAATAAAGTCTTTCTACGACATTTTGCTTTGTTTTATTTTTTTTTTTCGAAACTTCAAAGCTCAGTCACTTTTATAGTAGTTTTAAGCTCTTGCGACTACTCAAACCGAAGGTCTTGAGAACAAAGAAAACATGAATGTAATCCAAAAAAACGTAATTACCAAGCACCTTTGAAGAGAGTCCCATTTCTTTGAGAACAGAAGGATGAAATCAAACGCGACGTTCCACTTTATCAATATAAGTTTGTTCTGACTATATTCTAGCGCCTGATCTCTACTTGTCATCATTCACGTCTTTCCCGGGATAATTTCACAATCGTTCGCCGTGAATCTCAACGGCGGACCTTGTTGACGAGGAAACGAAAGACGCCGTACACGACGGCCGAAGACCACAACGCAGTCGCCAACAACTGGGCGCCGAACAGAAAATTTCACCCATGAAAACTTCCTTCTAGCCAATCAAGTATTTACCTGAAGATTGCCCATTTTGCAGCTTTGAAGCGGCGCCTAAAGAAGAGCTGTGTCCTGGAAATCTCAGGGTAATAATTGAAAAAGATGATTTCAAGGCGAAAAGAAAAAATTTTCGAAGTTTACTCAACTTTTCTAGCTCAAACACTTCTTTATTGTTTTTTCTTCCCAATAAATTCCCCACCTTCTTCTTTTCAATAATAAAGAACCCAAAAAAAGTCATTTTTCTTGAAAAAGCTAAAATATTTCGAAGTATTCAAAAAATAAAAAGATTCTGAAACTAGTCAACCTATGCCGAATTTTTGAGCCTTTGAATACTCTAGAAAGTTGTTTCAAATAGGAATATCCTATCAAGCCCAAATAAACATCGCAAAAAAACGCCTTTAAATATCATATTCCCAGAAATTATAAATCTTTATTGATTATGACAAAATAGAAAAAAAGATAGGCATTGAAAAAAGTGAAATTGCACGAAGCTCGCATACCCGTCAGGGGAATGTTAACTGGTAGAATCAACGGGAAATGAAAGACTAGCTTCATATTCTTCAGCGTACTGTTGAGCGGATAGAAGAGAAAGCCTCCTTTAGACATATTTCGGCTTCCGAAGCAAATTTAGGTTCAGAAGTTTTCATTTTCGGCTTTTCCTTTCTTGAAATTACCTTATAATGTGTTTGTGAAAGTGAAAATAATTAAAAAAAGGCTGATTCTCAAAAGTATGAGAAAAATGTCCAACTCGTGCACCAAAAGTGAGGATTCAACCCAACCGGTTCATGAAAAATTAGGTTCAACCGGAATATAAATCACAAAATAAGTTATATCAACATATTATGACAAGTTTGCACGAAAAGTTAGAAGGAAAAGTTGATGACGGATAGTGGTACGTGAAGGTCGGAAGTTGCTAAATGAGTTCAGAAATCGTTCATTTCGCCGACGATCCTCTGGCGAGCGCGATTTCGCAGGTTTCTGGCGCATTTCGGGCAGGCGGATCCAGGCGGCATCGCGTCGCCGTTGGGGCATTTGGGCAAGTGCGAAAGCGCTCCACAAACTCCGCATCTGAAAAAATAAAAATGCAAAACTAAACTTTCTGAAGCTTATGGGTTTGGAGAACTTGTATTGATACTAAAATATTTTGAAGCATTACAAGATCAACATCTTCAATGAAGTAATGCTAACTCTAAAAAGGATTTGGAGCTATCGATAATGAAGAAGAGTCCCGCCATTTGTACAAATTATTGTGAATTGCAATTGAAATTACTAAAATTTAGATTACAACATGAAGTCCAAAAACATAATCAAATACGCTCAAATCTTACCGGAAAGGAGAAAAGCAAGTCCCTTTTTGAAAATAAGGCTAAAAGTGGGGATTCTTAAGATACCGATTTCAATCAAAAAAGAACCTGAAAACTCGGTCTTCGAAAGGGAAAAGATTGGCGCCCTTGTTGCAGCGAATGCAGACGTGGCCTCGTTTCCAACAATCTTCGCAATTTGAAATATGAGTGCGCGAAAACCGTGCAAGTGGCTCCAAGTGATTGATTAGATCCTAAAAAACTTATTCATCAGGTGAAAGATATAAACAAAAAACCTTGTTGTAAACTCTTAGCAGGTCGTTGAGGGAGAAGACGTCGCTCGACTCCAGAAGATACCTGTCGAGACTCGCGAACATCGTGCTCAGATTCCCGTGCTCCGTCACGTACTCGGTCGCCTGTGCGCAGATCTGAAACATTTCTCCCACTTTGATTGAACCGAAAGCCATTCAAATGTTTCAGAAAAACCTTGATGAACTGCTCCATGTGCTTCAGCTTCTCTCGGATTTCGATAACAGCCCGCAGAGCTTTGTTCTTTGCAATGAGCTCTGGAGAAAGCTCTCGGATATGAAGGACGGGCATTTCTCGAACTCCTTTCAGAAACCTAAAACACATCAGATTGGAAGTATTGAAGGAGAATGAGATTGAAGATTTCACAAATTTTTTTCGAAAAAAAGACCAAAATAGTACTCTGCGAAAATCAAACTTTGAAATAAACGATATTTCTAACAAAAACCTCGGATTCATTTTTTCATGTTCATACTATGAAAAAGTTTCGACTCCGATAACCAAAATGCATTCCCTTGTTTTAGCTGTTTAAAATACTTGAAAAAGAAAAAACCTGAGAGCCTTGTCGCAGACGAAAGATTCGGAGAAGTTCCACGCCAGAATGATTTTGCCAGGGAGGATGCTCTTCTCGCCGCCATGGCACAGGGAGCAGAAAAAGAGACCGAAGTACTCGCAGAAGCGTGGATTCATGTCGCCGTGCTCGCTGGCCGTCTTGGCGTTATGCGTCGCCGAGAGAAAGGCGCCGCAGTTGGCGCACCGTGATTGCTGAGCTTCGAGGCCGACGCGGACGTTGGGCACTTTGTGGACCTTCAGAACCCAGTCGTCGACCACTTGCGGCATCGTGTTTTTGCTCTTGACGACGTTGGGACCGAGAGACCCTATCCAAGAGGAGACGTTGCAGTACTGAGGCACCATTTTCCGGATTCTTTTGTCCCTCGGTCTGTCTTGAGAGAAATGTTTGTTGAGGACGGCTGAGCAGATGCTCTCGACCGTGTCGTTCTTCTTGCGAACCAACTCGATGGCGTCAATTCCAAGTCTCGCAGGAACTCGCGTGATCCAGAAGTCGTCGCCGTGGCTCGACGCCAGCGAGGCGTTCGACTCTCCGATTGTCGACGTCGACTGACTCAGTCCGATGGAGCAGCCTTCGGTCTCATCCGGCCTGAGAATCGCTATCGGAAACTCGGGGTCCATCTGAAAATGCAAATTAATAACTTCTGAATGGTTTTGGTTTCAAGAATATCGTGAAAAACTTTTGTTGTTAAAATTGTGAAAAACTTTTTTTGTTAAAATTAGAGTGAAACTGATGAAAGGAAAAAAATAACTCATTCCAATATTATTTTTTTCATATTCAACACTCCCATCATTTAAATTTTTTTCTTCATGAAATCAAAAAAATGATACATTTTATCGGTGGCCTACCCTTTCAGTTGGAAAAAAATCCGAAACTACATAAAATAAAATAAAAAGAATGGCATTAGAAAAATAACTAGCAAATCAGCTCGAAGAAAGGAAAAACAAAACGAACGCTGCTAACACACGAAGACAGAATTGGATCTCTAGAAACTGTGTTGTACCATCGAGTTCGCTCCATCAAACCTTAAAAAAATTTATTTGAGAATAAATTTGTCGTTCTTACCGATAGAAGCTTGGATGGAACGACATAAAACAGCCATTTTATTGTCATCAACTTCCTCATCGTGTCGAGCAGAAACTTTGGGCTCAGACATTTCCGGAACTTCATCTTCGTCATACCTGGAAACAAGATTTTTAAAAAATTTACCTATTTCAAACTCGGTTTTTCCTTTTTAAACGTGTTATTTATATTAAAATTCCTTTCACAACTAAAACCGACCAGAAAAGAGAAGTTCTGAGGACGGACGGCAGTTCAGATTTCTCGGAATCAAAAAGTTGGCCTTTGGCGCAAGGCGTCGCGTATCTAATACTCGACTGCCTTGAGAATGATCCAGGCTCAGTCTCGGCTGAATCTGTGAGAAGATCCTCTCCTCTAAAAGTGAATTTCAATGGTACTTTTTCAATTTTCGAAGGTTTCCTACCTGTACTGAGATCCGCTCCCCCCAGATTCCGTTCTGATTGGAATTCCTGGAAAATTGCTTCGTTCCAACATCTTTTGACAGTGTAAAGAAGAGTATTTTAGCTCCAAATGAACGCCAACTCGAGAACAATTTTCATTCGAATTTTTTCAGGGGAAGATGACTGAGCGTTTTATTCTGTTGGGACGGTCAAAAATGAAGCTGAGTACACACAAAATCGCGATTTTTGTGAAAAGCTAGCATCGTTCTTTCAAGTTTATACTCTACCTTACAGAAAAAAGTATATATTTCAGTTCATTGATTCTTGGAGGGAAAAAATTTTTTTAAATATTTTTCTTCTTTTAGAACCATCTAACAACAAGAATATTTCTCTCTTGGTTCTCACTCTTAAGTAATCAATTCTCCTTTAACCTTGCCACACAGCTCTACTTCTTCACAAACCTTCGAGCAAGATTTGTGGCTGAAGAGGCAGGGCCGAGGAAGCTGCACCAAACATTTCGGGTTGAGAAGACGGCGGCGTGAAGGAGATGAGAGGCGGCGGCTCTTCGTCCTCGGAAGAGTTGCTCGCGAAAGAAATCCGGTCCACCTCGATCGAGTCGTCGGCCGCGCACCCATTCACCGGCTGGTACTGTCGACGTCCGAACCATTTCATACTTCCATCCGCATCGAACGGCGCTACACAATCTTCCATTAGTAATATTTTTCGATTTGTAAACGTGAATTTCGTTCGCAATAATTATCATTTTTTTTTTTTGAAAAGCTGATGATTCATCTTCTAAAGCAGGAGTAAATTTGAAAGAGGATATTCAAGTTGAAAACCCAAGTTTCCACTGTTACGGAACTTAAAGCCGGTAGTTGAAATTTCTTAGTCATCTTGGTCTCTTTAAAATTTCTTCAGAGAATTTTTCTACGAAACTATCCACTCACTTCAATGAAACAAAAAATGGAACTTCTAAAAAAACTCTACAACCGGTTCTTCTCTTCATCAATACGAGCACCTAAGAAATCAATAAAAAAGATATCTAGTTGCATGAAACTCAAAGATTTTTTGGCGTGGAAAAAAGTAGTTCGAAGAATAAAACTTCAAAACCGTTTTAAACAAAAGAAACCGGAGATGATGCAAAAATTTTATGTCCAAATACGAAATTCAACAAATACAGCCGATTGAAACTAGCAAAAAAGCTATGAAGACCCTATATTACCGTCACACAGACAATTTGACTAACGATATTCATACATAAAAAGAAAAAAAAACTGGGAAAGTTGAGGTGGATGAAAATCATTCGAACACGTCTTCCTTGTCGGCAATATACTGGAAGATGTCGCGAGGCGTCTTGAACTTGTCGGCGTCACCATCAGGAATTTCGAAACTAGAACGAACTAGATGAGAAACTCGAAGAAGAATTAATTCAAGGAGAAAGAAAAAGCAAAAACTACGCACCCAAACTCTTCTTCCATGGCCATGACAATTTCCACGTGATCCAAAGAATCGAGGCCAAGATCCTAAAATATCATTGAACAACTTCTTATGAAAAAATTCTCACCTTAGTGAAATCTGAGTCAAAATTCAACTTCTTGGGGTCAATTTTGTCGTATAGGCTCAGAACGAGTGTAATTCGCTCTTCCAGCGTCTTTTTTGTGAGTGGCGCCTTCAAATATGATATTTAATCAATTGGAAACATCCAGAATATTTCTGAATTACAAAAACTAAAACATTCGCCCACCTTGGCAGAGTAAAGCCGCGATTGCGTGAAATTCTTGTGTGAGAGGCTCGAAGAAGCGGGGGCGATCAGCCTTTGTTGAGAGAAGCTGGCGTTGCTGATGGCTCGGACGGTCGACGGGCGCAACGCACTGACTGCTCGAGCACAAGCCACACGTAACATTACCTTAAAAAGATAACTTCAAAAAGTCGTGGTTTTCTTTCCTAACAAACGGCTCAAATTTTTGGAGAAATATTGATTTGATTACACCAGGGGAAATGGAAATACTGAGATGCTGAAAATATTTTTGAAAAAAGCGAGCAGAGGTGTAACAAAGCAAAGTCGGAAAAACAAAAGTTAAAAAAAATTAATGTTCAGCAAAGTTTGACTTCTGAATTCAAAATGAAGCAAACTTTTGGAAGACAAAATTTTTGATGAAATGATTGCAGCTCTTTTGTTCTACGAAGTCGGTTTCAAACAAATTAAGTGAAAGTAAACACGGCGTTCTTGTCAGTGAAAGAAAATGCAGAAAAAAAATACCAGGGGCGGGCGCCGTAAATCGTACGGCAGCAGTAGTTTTGATCTGTTCAGGACCCGTTTTTTTGGATTACAATACCCACCCTTTAAAGCTCTCGCAAGATTTACGGAAAAGAATTAGTTGAAAAAAAGCATTTTTTTGCTTTTTTTCTTTATTAATACTTCTTTTAACGTTTTTTTCTATGAGTAAAAGTTATTATCCAGTTCCTTTGGCGTAGTTTGAAACCAGTTTCGTGTAAATTAGAGCCAAATTGAATTTACTGATGCAGTTTGAAGATTTTGTTATATGAATCATCTAAATTATATTTTTTTCCAGTTGTTTCATGGTTTTTTTCGGATTTAAACAAAGATTTCGCCATACGAGGTTTTTGAAAATTTCTGCTTCCTATCCATTATTTGTTTTTTTCTGAAGCTAGGTTTTCAAGGTATATAAAATGTTTCTTTTTTTCATTTGCTCCTCGAATTTTCCTCATTTCAATATTTTTTTCGTATTTACAATTGCTTATTCAATTAGAGCTGATTCACCTTCATAATATTTTTTTGTTTTCATTTTGTAATTAGTAATTTAGAGTTTTTCCCCTTCCGAAATCGTTCCTAAATTTTTTTAACGCAAGTGAATGTTTTTTTCACATCATAATCTTCAAACTGACAAGATTTCGAACATTTCAGAAGTTATTATCCTAAAATTGCAAATTCTAAAATTGAAAAAAACAATTTTTGAGTATGCGATAGTGCGTCTCGGTGTGCTTACACCCTAAACATCATAATTTACGAGAAGTCTTGACCTTGCGTAATAAAAAAAACGCCTTTATAAAGAAAATTTACCTGAGAGGCGGTGGAAAATTCAGCGAGCCGCTTCGAAAGACCCTCAAGTGGCAGGAAACCTCTCTAGTGATTGCTAGATATTATCAACAGCGCACACATGTCTGCTCTTGTTTTAAAAAGTTTTAAAATCTCGTATTGCAGAACTTTTTATTTTTTCACGTAGGTACCTATATAGGCCTATCTCCCTTTGTAATTCGCTTTTTTGATAATCAAGTGTGGCACCACCACAGAAAGATTTCGACATGTGTTTGTAATGCCGTGTTCAAAGTAATTTCCGCGAAATGCAAAATGGTCTCTGACCCTCCAAAATTTAGTTATCTTTCTCTTTCTCTGACAGCTATTTTGAATTTCGCGGAATCACTTTGAACACGGCATAATATTTGACAATTTTTGCCCTTCTTTCAAACGTGTTTTTCAAATTTAAATGATATTTTTATTCTATACGGACTTATTTTTTGAACGTAAATCAATGATCACTCTTATCCGTCGATTTTTCTGAGTCAACTTCTCTCGGGGATAGTTTTTGTTTGTCGTCGATTGAATGTATTGTAAGATCGCTAATAACTGGAACAGAATGTAAATTTTCATGAGGAAGAGCGTTTCGTCGAGGGTAAAATGAATGGTCCAAAGAGTAGGCGTCCAAGTTAGGCACTCGGCTTGTATAAATGTCGGCGAGTCTTCAAATCATTGATTTGATTTTCAATTTCTCCGTCGTTAACTCACCTGTTCAAGCGACGAGAAAAATACGTCATGTTGTTGTAGGTGCGGAAAAGGGATCCAAAATGGGGATTGAATTTTTCTTTCACTTTTTTCCTGTTATTAAAACCTTTCCTTCATTTTCAGTCCTTCAAAAAACCTCAAATCCGTTCTTTCTTCTTGCCATTCTTCCAGAACTTGGTTTGTGTCTGATCTTCTCGATGCTTCAACGTGATATCTTTCTATAATTCCTGTTAGCAAGGAAAGCCATTGAATATTTCTTCTGAAAGACGAATCATAACCCTTTGTGACTCACTTTTATATGACCTGTAATCATCCTCGTTCTGTATTCTGATTTCTCGCGCAAGTTCTGGAACCACGGCCGCAGTGTGCCAGCCGAGTCTTTAAAAATAAATCTTGGATGGTTTTTTTTTCTCAAGTTTACCTGAGCATGGGATCAGCCAAATCAGTGTAGATGTGGTCTCCAAAGTACAAAACGCCTTTATCGGTGAAACCAGCTCGTAGAGATAATTCTTCTATGTTTCCCTAGGACGCTTGTTATAAATTTCAGAGATGAACTCCTACGCCTGCATAAATTTTGCCGTCTTCGAGATAATTCACTTTCTTGAAACTCATTGCGCCGGTATCTGGGTTGTATAACCTAAGATTTTTCACTTAAAGGTTTACGATTCTCAACGAACCTAAATGGCTCTTTGCCGGAGAAGAAACCGGGCTTTTTAGCTGAGACGACGACATACTCGAATAAATGACGCCAGTCAGGACCAAGCATGTAGGAAAGGCCTTTGTCTCTGAAAAGGGTGAAGTTATTCCCGAAGTAACGCTTAGGATCTTACATGAACTTGTAGGGACTATTGGTGACAACGAACAGAGTTTTTCCGTAGGCGTGAAGTCGTTCCAGGTAGTCGCGAAGTCCGTCATTTGGATGCACGTAGCGTTTCAACTCCGTCGTTACTTTCTCGTACATTTCTCCAGAAACGTGGACTTGCCGCACGCACTCCTGTTCAAAATTAAGAAAATACTTTTCATTTTCCATCGTCAAATGTTTCATGTATACATATAAATTTTTTTCTTTCTTTCTTCTTTTCTTTCATTTTTTTTTTTAAATTGAAAGTTTAGCTTACTCCCAAATCCTCGAAAAGACATTTCGGGTCGAAATCGATGTTGTGTTCATCACAGTAGTGAATAACGTTAGCTAGAAGTCCTGCCCATGGAAGCGAAAAGAAGTCGATTAATTGCGGTAAGTCACGACCTGAAAAATGAGTTGTTTTTCAAAATGCTCACTAAATTGCTTTACTTTCTTTGAGTCTGACATTTTAACCTTTAGACGGACAAGGTTTTTTGAAAGGCAATCGGAATATTCAGGTATTTAAATTCAAAATGACTACCTTTGACATCAGGCAACCCATAACCCGGATAGAGTTTGACAGTTTCTTCGTCGCTCAGTTTTCGCCGTCCTCGATGTACTGTTCCTGAACGGTTTCTGTTTTTCACCGTTCATAAGTCATTCTGAAACCTCTTTGAATCTGTGAAAAAGCGTCGACTTTGAGTAGACAGCACGTCTGAACGTCGAAGTGTAGACCTCGGATGGCGAAAGTGCTGTCGTAGTCCATCACCAGCATGTCTTCTGGGTACTGAGAATCTTTCGTTGAGAACTTATTGGTGAGTGTTTCTGACCTTGAACTGCTCGACGAGCCTGGTCAACGCCAGTCGGTATATTAGATCGTTGAGCCCGCGTGCATACACTGCTAATGTGTAATCATAATCGAAGCCATAGACCTGTTTAAACTTGAAGTTCTCCTTCGTTCAATCCTGACTCACATCGACGGTGCTCAAGTCCAGGTCGTTGTTGACGAAAACTCCTCGAGGATTCACCCGAGGCGGCGGTTCCATCGCTTCCCAAGCCTAAAAATTCTCTCTTCGTGACGGAATTTCTCTCGCTTTTTTCATAATTATCTTAAAAAATAATGCGCTCCATGATAACTAAAAAAAAACTATTCTTAAGCTCCTTTACGGTTCGATTATGTCTGTACTGATTATACTGATTTTTTTTCAGAACCTAATTTTATAAATAAGTTTTTTCATCTTCACCCATCAGTTTGAACAAAAATTTTGAATTATAAAAAAACCCTTATCTGAATCCTTTTTTTTTCAGATTCGCTTGTCAGTTCTACTGAAGAAAAAACTCCAGTTCAATTATTTTCGTTTTTTTCCTATTAAAAGAACATTGAACTTCGAAATAAAGATTCTCGTTTTTTTTATATTTTCAATAAGTTTAATTTTTATTACCGCGTACTCACATTCCGTGCTGCCGAATAAACATTTTTCATTTTCTCAACTGATGCCCTTTTGCCAAAATTGCGCTTGGAGGGTGGAAAAAGTCGCAATTTCAGAAGATTCCGTGATATCATCGCAATGAGAGTAACTTGATCAGCAGAAGAGAATATTAAAAAAACTGAAATCGAAAAAGTCTTTTTTCAGGTAAGAAAAAAAAGGTAGTAATTTCTCCATAAGCATCTCTACGAACATTTTGAGGTGCATAGCAAGGAAATGTTTGTTGCGACCGAGACAGAACACAGAAAAGAGAGAGGGAGAAAGATTTCGACGACAGACAAACGCTGTTTTCTTTCCTTCCGTCTCCCGGCTTAGAGAACGAAGAACCCGCATTAAATGTTTGCAAACAAAAACAAGAGCTTCTGAACTTTTCAAATCAAAATTTATGTTTCACGAAAAGTAATAACAACAATAAAAATTTCATAACAAACAAAAAAAAAAAAGGTAGCCGTAAAAATTGGAACTCGCTCAGACTGCTTTCTTTCAAAACAAGGACGAAAATACAGCCAAGTTCACAAATCGATTGAAAAAGAACCAAACAAGGGAAAGCGCCAAACATCTTTTTGATCAATAACGTATGCAAAACAAGAGTGTGCTATTAGAAATGGGGCAAAAAAGTTGTTCAATCTGGGAAAACATAGTTTAGTTTCCGTTTAAAGCGAAAAACGTCAGCTCACTTTTATTAGCGGTTTTATGATCAAGTTATCAGGAGCAAGTGTTATGTTGCATGTAGGATCAAACTGGAATATGTGAAAAAAACAGTTAAAAGAAATAATCGCTGCACGAAAAGAAATTATAAAAGAAATATTGAAGTGAAGAAAAAAAAAACTAGGCTCAATCATTAGTTTTTGTCGAATTTTCTTCGGGTTCCTCCTTCATTTCGGCTTCCTGTGGGCGCACGGACTTTGGGGTTCTCAACATGATGAATGGGTAATGACCCATTCCGCCGGCGGCCTGTGCTTCTTTCACCGTATAAGGTACTTCTTTCAGCGTCTTCACTCGGTTTTTGTGCAGCTTGAATAAAAAAAAATTCATTTTTCATTAATTTTTTCCAATTAAAAGAAGAGTAAAAAAAAACCTTTGTTTTCCGATGGATTTGACGAGTTTTCTCGTCCACAAAATATCTTTCGCACTCGATACAGTAGAACTGTCCATCGCCAGGGAGGTCTAGATCAATCTCAAAACAGATTCATGTTGGATACGCGAAATGAGGGATTCAAAATACCTCCTGGTTCATGAGCTTCGCCGCTTTTTCTGGCTTCAGGTCTTCATGGATCTGGTCGTAGTCCTTTCCTGGCCTTTTCCTCGTCTTGTTCGATATCGTGTGTTTTCTTTGTCCTCCGCTTGGCATTTCGCTTAAAAATCATGAATTTACAAAACAAATCAGAGATATTTTTCTGAATTTTTGAGATAGCTAATGATTGAACTAATCATTTTCAGACTCACTTCGCATGTTTGTACGACTTTTTATTTAAAACATATCTAAAAAAAAAGGCAAAGAAAAAGAAATGAAAGGAAATGGCGTTAAAAATTTTGTTCACAGGAGAGGACAAAATAACAAATGAGAGCTTAAACATCACTTACATTCGACCAAGTTCAAAAAGCAAGTCATACTGTAACTATAAACGACAATCGAAGATTATGATGGCGAGTTGCATGCGTGAATTAAATCCGGTGAGAAAAAATCATCTCACATCGCAAAACAATCACCGTCAGTGTGTTAGAAGAGAACAAAATCGGAAAAAAGTATCCGGATAAACAACATTAGGTATACAATTATACAACCACAGGAAAAAGTGACTTGAACTGATGAACTGGAAATGGAAGATTTGGTGAATAATCACTTCAACAAAAAAATCTGTATAAACATTAAAGCCATCAATCTTCGATTTCCAGAGAAAAAAAAAACGAAAGATCCTCTGTACGCGTAACGTTTATTAGAGGGACAATCTATACATTTTCAAAGGTGAGCATGAAAAAAGACGCAAAAATGAGAAATCTGCTATTTTTTCACAATCGACATTGATTTTAAAAATTGAGTCCCTCTGAGCTACGCCGAGATGACTTCTTTTGTTGAGTGATCTTCTAATTTATTGGACGAAGCTGAGTGGAACATGGAAAGAGAAGAGCCCAGTCCGAAAAGGTGGCCTTCAACCGTCGGGGCAACCTGAAACAGACAACTGAGCTTTTTTGAAATTTCTATCAAAAAAAAAATTATTCAAGCGTGATATCGCAATTGGGAGAAAAAGAATCAGTAAAATAGTGCGATACAAAAAGTTCAAGAATGAGGGCTTAATAAGAAAATAATGAAACTCAAAAATAAACTGACCTGTTCCCAGGTTTCTGAGAAGAACTGCTTCTTGATCTTGAAAAACGTCATGGCAGTGAGCAAGGCGTCAGATCCGGCCTGATGACGGGCTCCTTGTCTTTTCACGTCCAATTGGTCGGCAACCTGAAGTCTTCGAACAAATGAGAATAAATCGAGCTTCTCCTCAACCTCCTGAAGACCTCCTTTCAGTTTGGCACTCGCGCATCCCGGCGTCCGCAGTAACAATTTGATATCAAAGCTTCGGGGGAATAACGTTCGATGGAATTGAAAGAAGGCTGCCTCCTATTAGATTCTTCTGCGTATCCTCTTCATAAATATAGTGATAAAACCTCTTTTGGTAAATCTCCTAGCGTAATTGACTTCAATAAATATCCAAAGTCATAGCCAGAAGAAAAGGTCAGCCACGTAATACGGCTATCCACTATCAAACCAGACGTCGTCAAAAGTTCTCCAAAGACTTCCGTAGGTATTCCGTTTGACTGAAAGCAAAAAATAAGAGATGAATAAAAGAACTATTTGAAAATAGATTGAAATTACTTCAAAGCATCTCATTCGCTATATTGGTCTACTGTTATTCAAAAATATATACAGTTGTTTATTAATTAGACAAAAACTCTAAATTTTAAACTTACCGAATGAATAAGGGTTTCATAATTCTTAAAAATTAACTAATGTTCTGATTTTTCGAACATCCTACGATTGAAAAATATTCAACATTTCCAGAGAATATGTAGTAAGTCCTGAAAACCTTACTTTCACCTCCATATTATAAAAAAATAAAACTTGAAAAAAATGTTCCCACTTGAAGCATATTAAAGTCGATTCCAGCGGCTTTGAGCATGTCGACACTTTCTTGAGAGAACATGTCGTCGGTGAAAGAAAAGTTGAAATTGAACTGCCAAACGTCTCTCGACGGTGGCAGTTCTCCTTTTTCGTTCACCAAGGCAAAACCAACCTTAATGAATACTCATAACTCAAAAAAAGAACAAAAAAATATTTATTTTCCACCAACCTGTATGAGCTTCAACATATTAACGTTACAGGAAACTTGTTGATAGTTAAAGTCTTCTTTACTTTTGAAGGTTCCTAAGGGTGTCGCCACTACTCCTGGAAACTCGGTGTCCATTGCTACGTAAGGGTAGTCCTGTAAAAAAAAATATGTCGAAACAACAAAAAAAATATTGACTGACGGGGATGAGCGCTCGCATTTTCGCAAACTCCTCTTCGACGTTTGAATGGTAGACATCGTGAAGTTTGATCTCCGGAGCGGAATTGCTAGCCATCCAAACCTGAAATGTACATCTTCTTTTTGATTCGTCGAAGAAAAAGTGTTAATTAGGAAACACGTTCAGCGGCCAGTTGATAATTCAATATACGATTCGACATAAACACACTTACAGTTTAATTTGATGAACTGTATTCATTTACATTGGAAAGTTTGTCTAAAGACTGCGACATTCTGTTTATTTAAAAATATTATGCTGAGAGTTTTATCTTGCTTCCAAGAACAAGAGAGAACATATTTTTTTAAATATGAAAAAAATAAAAAAATAGTTTCATAGTCATTACAGCTCATAAGTGTCTTTCAAAGTAACTCGACAAAACTTGCAATAATTGATGGAAGCTACCACTATGTTATTTTGCTATATTTCTTAATTTTTATTATTAGGTACGATTAGAAAATTGATAAAAATAACGTTTAGGAATTTCCACTTTAAGAAATTGCCAATGCACGAGATTGCAAAAAGTGGTGGAAAGTTTGCCCTAACAAACAATGGGTCTTGGCTGGTGCGAAAGCGAACTGCAACTACCGTGTTTTTGGCAATTTTCCCGTAAAAAGATTCTCGCAGTCCTCAGGCACTGACGGCGCGTGTTTGTTGCCAAAAGTGCGCATGCGCGCCGCCTGCTCGCGCACGCGCGGGGTGTCTCTTTTGTTTTTTTAGCTTTTTTTAACTAATTGAAAAGTTATAAATTTAATGTTTTTCATGTCTGTTCATCTCTCAACATTGCTCTGCACCAGTTTATAACAATTAGATTGCCCAAAAAAATTTTTAAATATCAAAGTTTCACTTGGCAATTCTTTTTTTCATAAATTTGTTCGAAAGTGCTCGGAACAACTTTAAAACGTGAGCAGGGACACAAGGTAGTATCACAAAAAGTATAAAAAAATCTATTTCAAAACCGTATTTCAGTGAAAAAAAGGCGAAAAAAAGAATCAGTACCCCCGCGCGTGCGCGCACCAGTGCCTGAGTCATTTTGAACTCATATATAAATTGATTTCACCTTTAACACGTTTTAAATATCATATCTGAAAAATTTCTCGATTTCAGTGGCTTGGATAAGAATGCTGAGAATCCTCATCGCCCTGTGCATTGCGTCTTCCGTATACGGCAAGTTTTTTTTGCGTTTAATTCTCTGGGGTTTCAATTTGAATCAATAAAAATATATCGAAAAGACGCAATTTTCAACCCATCTCTTTACTGTTGATTTTTTGATTATGATTTCGAAAAATTTTTCTTTACAAAAATATTAGAACTATGCTTTTCAGCCGCGAAGTGCGAATCTCCGCAGCACTCTGCATCGACATTCTCAACGAATGACGGCTTCTTCCACTTCCGCACGACGTACATCACCGAGTTGACGATCCAATGTGGAAACAACGCCAAGGTCTGATTAATTTTTTTTATCATTTTCTACGGGTGTAACTTGTGGGGGAAGGCTAAAAACACAAAAGGCCAGTATTACCCTAATAAAACATTTGGAACTAGTTTTTTTTTATTTTATGCTTTCTAGCATCACAGCAGAAATTTGAATTTATTATATTCTCCGTTTCAGTTGATAGAAAACAATGGCGTTTTTCTTTTCATATTTTTATCATTTAAGAAGAATAAGCTAACCACAAGTTTTCACATTTAATGCCGTTTTTTTTTTAAAATTTACTTGGTTACAGCATTTAAAAAAGTTTTGAGAAGTAAAAGGTAACATGGTTTCATCTTTATTGAGTTATTTTTTTACAGAACACTCAGTTCTATGCTGAGGTTAACGGAAAGGTCGTCCCAGTCGCTGTTTCTGAAGAAACCTCCAAGTACCAGGTAGAACGACAGTTTCATGGCTGTAAAAATCAGAAATTAAATAGGTGTCATGGACATTGGATCATGAAGCCTCTAACGCCCAAACCTTCTACGTCAACGTCTTCGACGAGGAAGGAATCAAGGCCTATACCAAGGATCACTCGACCAAGCCTCTCTTCTCCGTCTCTCACTACCACTCAGTTCGTTTTTTTTTTTCGCGTATTTACTATTGGAATCGTTTGCTTATCGATGCCCTACATACCTAATTACTCTCTCTCTCTCATTACTATTTTTTTGCCAAGTTAATTTATTTAAATTCTTCCATTCAAGAATTCACTTCATAAGTCCAAATCTAGTGTGAAAAAGAAATACCTTTTCTGCGAATCGTGTTTAACTTAAAAATTTGTTTCTTTTATTCATTCTCTCAAAAAACAAAACAGATCGTGGTACAGGTTTTAAACTCATTTTTTTAAAAAAATGTTATTGTAAGCAATAACGAAAATATCTTGGATAACGGAAAACTTGAAGCTGTTGAATTTGAAGTTAATGTTTCTTTCTAGTTATAAAGCTTCAACAGCAAAATAATCAAACTTCCTTCAAGTTGACTTCTTTTTTTGTTTTTGTTGTATTTTTTTTATAGTTATGTAATGAAAAAAAAACCTCCAATCGAATCCATTTTCGAACAGCAAGTTATTTTCACATTTATCATGAACCTCAAGAAAGCTTTAAAATTTTCACATTTCTCATGAACCTCAAGAAAGCATTTAAAAAAATCGTTTTCAGGGTCTGACGAAAAAGTCGCCGATTTCATCGGAAACCGTCGCTCTGCTTCTCAGCGTCGTTGGCCTGTACTACGCCATCCGACAAAAGAACGAAATCGTGCACTAAATCGCTTGGTAAATATTCACAGTTATGTATCTGAAGCAGTTTTATTTTAATTTTTATTGCACCGCCTTTCCTTTATACTGGTTGTTTCAAATTATAATTTATTGATCTGTAATTACTTTGAAATAAAAATAATATTATTCACCGAAGTTCACAAAACAATTTTTCTCATGATTGGTTAGTAATCCTTGATACTTTCGAGGGAAACAGTTCGAAATTTCGAGGCGCGACTTCTTTTTCAGATGATCACTTTACGGAGATTCCCACTCGCAAATGTTCTAAAAGCCAGGGAAATCAGTTTATGCCCACAAAATGCACTGATGATGGTGGCTGCACAGAGAAATCTGACCTGTTTCCGATGTAACCCTCTTCCCACATCTTCGAGGGCTTTGTTCAGTACATCCAGCGCTCTTTATGAAGTTTGATGCACTGAGAATATCATAAAAAGAAGAACTTTCAAGGATGAGAAGAAGAAAAAGATCTGGCCGTTTCACCTGACAATGTCCGAGGATCAGAAAAAACGCAAAGAGGAGAAGATTGAAGAAATGAAACAGGTTCTTTTCGTTCAAAATTTCGAATAAAAACACAAAGTATCAAGATACACATTTTCGGGTTTCGTATAAAATAAAATAAAAACTTCGTTAGTTTTGGGGCTAACTTTACTTCGAAGACGTTCCTTTTCTTTTTATATGCTTGTTCTCTAGTAAGCGGTGAATCAACCAGTCCGTTAATTGCTTTGAAACGATAATAAATTGAAGGCTCCACGTTTAGAAAAATGGCGAAAAAGGGCTCTTCATTTCCTCCATGTCTTTCTCAACTTCGTGATTATGAAACTAGACTAGAATTTGATGAAATCAAACCGGAATTTTGAAGGAAGAACCACCGAAGACGCTATTTGCCAAAGTGAAGTACTACTTCAAAAGGTACTGGTACATCGCAGTCCCCGCCCACGCCGTCTCTTGCTCCGCCTGGTTCGCCGCCATGTACGCCATCGTTCACAGGTTTTTTTTATTTATTCATCTTTTTTCTTGATCGAAAATGCTTCAAAAATACTATTTTTTTAAAAAAATATAGAAAGCTCAAATAATAGTTTTTTTATGTTTGTAGGAGTATCGAAGTAAGTTTTTGATAAATAAAATATGTTTTCGTCGTTTAAATTGAGTACATTTCTTATGCCGTGTTCAAAGTATTTTCCGCGAAATGCGAAATGGTCTCTGACCCTCCAAAATTCAGTTATCTTTCTCTTTCTCTGACGGCTATTTTGAATTTCGCGGAATCACTTTGAACACGGCATTACAAGGAGAGTCAAAATGTCTCAAAAGGTAAGTTTGAGAAGTTCATACGCATGAAAAACGTTCGAATAACTCAAAATGATAAATTTCATCGAATCGAACATTTTTCTAGTGGCGTCGATGTGATATGGCTTCTGGAAACTCTTCACATTCCCGATTTGGTCGTGGAAAAAGTTCGAAATACTCCTCCGGCGGCCGGAGAACTTGTCGTTGCTTTCATTCTTTACAAGGTTATAAACAACCTTTAGCTTGTGAAATTTTGATAATTCAGTCAGAACATTCTCCGCCTTTGTTTTTGAATTTTTATAATTTTTCCTTGTTTTCTTCAGATCTCGATGTTTTCCTATGCAATTATGGTATTGTTTTCGAGATTCAACCTTTTCAGTTTTTCTTGAGAGACCTAATCCAATGTTATAGCTCGTTTTTTAAATTCTACGACATTGTTCACTTTTTATCTTTGTTTTGGCAAGTAATTATTCAGGTTGTAATGCCGATAAGGTACGCGACAACGCTGGTTCTGATCCAGTTGTCGTTCTGGACACTAAGAAGGATGGGAAAACTCCGGACAGCGAGAGAAGTCGAGTACAAGGTCTGTAATACTTTTTCCTAAAGTAGGCCAGAACACTTTTTGTTTTACATTAAGCTTCTGTAAGTCTCAACTTTATATTTTTTTTTGATTTTTTTGAACCCTCAAAATATTATAAAAATAGGCTATTTTGGGCTTTGAACCCTTATTTCTCGAAAACTAGAAAGTGATGCAGGTTAAGACTTTTAATATCTTTTTCTGGTACATCAAGGATTTTTCTGACGAATTCCTAGAAAATTCCTATCTGCAATCAAAAATAACCCTCCTTGTAAGCTGGGGAAAATAAATTTCATTTTCAAAATTCAAAAAAATACGTTGATTTTTTTGCTTTTTTTAGTTGCTATGTACGGCAAAAAAACTTTTTATCACGACGTTTAGCAGATTATTCGATTCAGAAAGTTTCGACAGAAGGATTGCACACAAATGTAAAAATCGTACTTGTAAGTGGGGAATTTCCACATTGTTGTTTTTTTCGAAATCTATGATTAATTTGTTTTTCAACAAGTTAGCCTCTATTTGCAGGTGCGAACCGAGTATGAGAAGAATAAGAAGTACTACGGTCGGAGGATGTACAGGTTGGTTTTTTCATAAAATTTTATAGAAAGGCGTTTCTTGGAAAAAATGCTTTTTCATGCTGAAATTGATGAAAAACTTCTTAGGTACCGTAATTTGGGCGTGAGAAGCGTGGCCAAGAAAAGTTCCCTTCACCAGCAGCCGACGAATTTTTCCAACGATCCTAACAAGAAAAATCCGTAAGCTCTCCAGATTTATTTTTCAACTGCTTTCTTCCAAAAAGCGAGCTTTTTCCTTGATTTATTCTATTCCTTTCTCAGCTTTTTTTGCTAGTCTTTCTCAAGTTTAGTTCTGTTGATTTTTTGCCGGTAATTCCATCGTTCAGCCTGTTAGTTTTTACATATACTATTCAATAGAGAATATATTACCTTAGCTTGCTCTTTTCTCCTACGGTTTTGTGCGAATTATTTTTTTGCATAGGTTAGTTAGTTGTACCCCTCCTCTGTTTTTGTTGATAGACAAAATTTATCGTTTTTACGCATGTAATTAATATGTGACTTCATTCCATTCATATTCGTTTGGATTTTTCTGTTTTTTTCCGTTAATAAAGAAAAATGCCTACAAGTTCTTGGTTTCCGTTTTGGTTATTCCCGAAGATATCTCGTAGAGATTCTGAAAATGTTTTTATTTAAAATGTCAAAATACGCGAAAAATTGCAATTTCGCAACAATTAATTGTCGAAAAGTACTTTTAAAAATATTTATTTTCGTAAAAATTTCTAAAATAATAATCTTTTCTCAACTGTTCTATTTTTGAATCGATTTCTGTTCAATTGTCTTATCAATGGTTATCACAACATGGCCTTGTTTATTATTGTTTGGTTGGAAAAGGGGTCGGATGTAGTTATTGTCTCTATTTCTTTTCTTTAATGTATATTTGATAGTTTTATGGACTAAGACATTTTTTAAAGAGAAACATTTATGAGCGCTGTCCTTTTTTGCCTTCACTTTCCCACCCTAATGCGAGTAACTTCTCGATTTTTTTAATTAAGCTTTATTTGATCATGTTTCAAGTTTTGCAACAATCATCGTCATCCATGTTCGGTTTCATTATAGTCAAATATGCTCTTGCTAAGGACGTACGCGTTTGCGACAGCCAGGAAGATGTCGGCGGCGGCAAACCAAGGAAAACATCTCGTGAGCCCCGAAACGGCATCAAATGGAATTCTGGAGCGACTTGCAGATTGCCGTGTGTCAGCTGACGTCGGTGCACGACCTGGAGAAGAACTTCGAGACGGCCCGAAGAATGGTCGAGCACGCTGCCGACCGACAGTGCAAGGTCTGTGGCGAACTCTGGAAGGTCGCAATCCGAGCTGTTGAAGATGGTCTTCTTCCCGGAGTGCTTCGACTACGTTGGCCGCACTCGAGATGAAAACGTCGAGTTGGCCATGGCAACTGACTGCGACTACATGCAGCAGTACAGGTTCGAAAGCAGTTCGGCTTATCTTTGCTTCATTATTCCGATCTATTGTATTTTCCGAGAGTATATATTTTTTAATATAAGATGAGATAAAGATTTTGATTTCCTATGCTACTGTATACTTCCTGTTTCGGTATAGTTTCCAAAATCTGGAAGTGAACATGAGGAGAATTGGGAATGAGAGTTTGGAAATAGATACGAGAAGTTATGGTGATCTGAAGAGGCGCCAGAGAAAGAGACACCCCTACTTATCTGACTTCTCTTCTCCACTATTTTAACTACCTTTCTTTATTGTGGCATTGAAAGTCTTCTGTATAATTTTTATATCCAATCCACACTTCTACTGCTACATCTGGATTTTTCAGAGATCTCGCCAAAAAGCACAAATTGTGGCTATCATTGGGCGGTTTGCATCACAAGGTTTTCCAGATTTGCCTTGCAGCTTGTCATTATTTTTTTAGGACCCAAACGACTCCAAGCGCCCGTGGAACACGCATCTGATCATCGATGAGGATGGAAAAACTCGGGCCGAATATAAAAAGTTGCACCTTTTCGATTTGGAAATCCCTGGACAGGTGCGACTGATAGAGAGCGAGTTCAGCAAGGCCGGAACCCAGGTTTGACAGCGAAAAAGATTCAAATAAAAAAATCTGAAAAATTCAAGTCAAAAAATTGAGAACAAAAACTAAAAAGTTGCGATAAGAGCTTTTTTCAATGTACCATAGAGCAAAGCTGTGACTTAGAAAAATTTCGAAAAAAATCCCTCATAGAAGAAAATTAGAATGAAAGGTTTTTCGTTTATTGGTAAATATCAACCAGATATTGAAGAATTCTGTTTATAAGTCCAAACAGGGATTTTAGAAAGTTGAAGGGATGTTTTTGAAGGGTTGCAGCGTAGGTCAGAAAATAAGAACAGCGAGTAGAAGTTTCAAAGAAGAGCTTACATTAATTAGAAGGAAAGGTCTACGTGAAGTTTTTGAATAAAATAATTCTATCACAGCTACTCATGAAAAAAGAAAACAGCCACGGTTTTCAATAAACTAATATTTTGGATGGTGCCGCCTGTGGAAACGCCAGTTGGAAAGCTGGGACTTTCGATTTGCTACGACTTGAGATTCCCAGAATTGTCAATATGGAACCGAAAAAAAGGAGCTCAAATCCTCTCTTTTCCGTCGGCCTTCACTGTCAACACCGGTCTCGCACATTGGGAGGTCCTCTTTCTTGGATACACCCTGAAAGTCGAAGACTACAGACTTTGCTGCGAACGCGCGCCATCGAGAATCAGTGCTACGTCGTGGCTGCCGCTCAGACTGGAAAACACAACGAGAAGCGCGTTTCGTACGGCCACGCGATGGTCGTCGATCCCTGGGGCGCAGTCGTCGCTCAGTGCTCCGAAAGAGTCGGTGCGTAGTCATTTTAAAGTTTTTGAAATAATCTCTTACGAGAAGTTGCTTTTTCTTTAAAGATATTTGGTTAGTATACAGCACCTAGGAAATTGAGTCAGACTGAACTTCAAAAGGGCCTCACCATTGGATTCTGAATAGGAGCTTGAGAGGAAAACAGTTTATAATCGGTCAAACATCGGCTGTGGTTCAGAGTTTTAGTTTGACACTTATTTCAAAAACGTATTATGATAAGAGCTTGAGACAATTTTAGTAGAGTTACAGCTGTTTAAGCTGGAAATTCAAAGAGCCGATTTTTTGAAGCTACTGAGGGCTAATTATACTATAGAACCTTGGTTTGGGATCCCGAAGACTGAAAAAAGAAAGAATGAAAGAAAAGTCGGAATGAAATTCATACCTATCAAGAAAATCTTCGTTTGGTCGACCCAAGATCAAATATTGCTGAAGGCGAAGAATATATTTTTTTTTAAATTAGTCCGATTTGAGTTTTCAAAGCAGGATTTACGACGTGAAACAAATACAGCTTGAAGCCCTGAGAATCTCTTTTTTGACGCTCAGCCAACCTTCAGACATGTGCTTCTGCGAGATCGACCTCGGTTATGTCGAAGAAGTTCGGACTCTTCAGCCAGTCTATTCGCATCGACGCTCCGATCTCTACAACGTCAATGTCAATGAGGTCGACAAAGGTCTGGAATTGAAAGTGGAGAAAAAGGAAGATATTTTTGTTCCAGAAGAGTTGGATTTCAATTTCGCGACGTTCCCAATCGATTCAAAGACGATTTTCTACCGTTCCGCTCATAGTTTTGCCTTTGTCAATCTGAAACCGGTGCTCGATGGACGTATGTTTTTCATTTTATTTAATAGACTTTTTTCCAAATTTTGGTATTCAGAATATTTCTTACTTTTTTTAAATTTCTCACAGTCTTCAAGCTTAATTTTTTCTGTAATGGAGATTTCTCAATTTACGCAATAACAAATCGTCTAAAACTGGCTTACTACAGGTAATACTTGAAAAAAAAAGAAAAAAAAATTATGTTCAAAGCGGGAAAACATTTGCGAGAATTAACTCAAATTTATGAATCATAGTGAAATTTTTCTGTTGTTTATTTTTCGTTTTTATCACCTAACAATTTTAAATTCAAAAACTTTTTTCCGCCTAGCCTAGATAATTTTTGTTGGGATTCATGCTTTTCAATCATTATCAACCTTCCGTATATATAGTTTAGCCAGAAGTTTAAAAAAGCTTTTTATTGCGTTTCCATGTCTTTTTCTGTAGATCTAAGTTTAGACGTGTTAATTTCTCCAAAACGGGTTGTTGAAAAGCTGACCGATTTGACCGACGAAGAAACGTCGGACCTCTTCATCACAGCCAAGAAGGTTCAGGTCATGCTGGAGAAGGTTTGGAAACATAAAAAACAAGAGAAAAAAGGCGGATTTTCAGGTTCAAAATGTTCATTCTTCAACGGTTTGCGTGCAAGACGGCGAAGATTCCGGCCGCACTGTACCCGTATGTTTGCACTAAATAATTAGTAATTTAATCTCAAGAATTGTGAAAAACAAGCTGGCTAAGTCCTGCATTAACAATTGGAATTTCATGAAAATTTGCAAGTTAACAAGTTTTTTTCCAGATAACGCAAAAAAAAGTTTCGAAAAGACTTATTCGAAACTAGCCGTGTGATGCCAATCTTTTATCGACGTTATCTTGATTAATTTCTGGTTTTTCGATTTTCTCAAAAAGCTAAAAAAATAACTTGAGAGGAATTTATTTCGAAATGGAATGATGTTGTAGAAATAAGAATAACTTTCAGCACGTGCACGTTCATGTCCTCGCGCGTCGCCCGTCGGACTTTGGCGGAAACACGGACGATTTGTACAAGAACTTGGCCGATCACGACAAGTTCGTCGTTTTCGAAGCCGTCCTGTAAATTGCCTTTCCTTCAGAAACGATAAAATCAAGCCGAGAACTCCGGAAGAAATGGCGGCGGAGGCGAAAAAGTACAGAGAAGCGATGAGACTCTGAAGACTGCACAAAGAGAAATTCCGTTGGTTGTGTAGGTAAATATGTATTTATATTGAGACAGAACAATAAACAGTATGACACCAGTGAAAAACGGATAAAAGGCAAGTCTTCTTCATTATTGGAACCGATGGGCGAAGACGGTGGACTGCCGGCTTTTGCCCCGTGTGCTCACCGTCGGGATCTCAGAAACCGGCATTCGATTCGTCTCCGAAACGCCGTTCAGACAGAGCTTCCTGACGTCTCTGCAAAAGAAGTTTTCAACTTTGGGAAGGCTGAAATATTCAATAGGCTTTTCTTTCGTTGCTTGAGGTTACTTTCGGGAATACCTTCACTTGTAAATTGGTAATAATTTCTTTATTGAGAATTTTTTTTCTTAAGTGCGAAAAAAACCTGAAACTTTTAATGGCTAGTTCAGAGTTACTGTGGACTGCTGAAAAATTCCATTTTTTTACAGTTACGTCACAAGATTATAGGAAGCTTAACTACTAAACTTGAAAACTTTAGATTTCTCTTTGTTGCTCATGTTAGCGTTGCTTTTCCTCTCAAAAAGCCGGCTCCTTCAAGAAGAAAATTTCACATCCCATCAGTTTTAAACTGAATAATTTCGAACCTGTTTACGAGCATCATCATCCACGGATTGATGAACGTCAGGAAACCCACCCACAAGGGGAGAAGGTTGCGCATCATGAACACGGCGTTCAGCATCTGAAAGTTGGAAATCAGAACTTTTCAGAGAGTTTATCAATTTGCCTTGCTGTAAACAAAGATGAGCTGCAGAATAAAGTGAATGGAGATGATCAGAAGCGCCAACTGGAGGCCGCTCACTTGCACGGTTAACTGCAGCTCTCTTTTGCTCCTAAACACGTTTCTTACGGTACTTTTTCGAGAAGTGTAATGAGTTATGGTGGAAAAATAATATAATCAAATATTCAATAGGCTGGTGCAAGATTGGAATGAAAAAAAAGCCAGAAAGTTATTCGCTTTTGCAAAATGTCATAAATCAAATAAATGTCGTGATTTTCCCTGCAAAGTCATGTCCGAAGATTGAGTACAATTCTGAATAAAGAGTTTGAAATTCATCATTTTTTTCATAAGAAATATTCTTTATTTTTAACTAATTCTATTGAGATAGCCTTTTTTTAGGTGGACAGTGTCAGCTAACATGTGAAAGTTAGATATTCAAGTAAAATCTGAAATTTCGAAAGGAAAGATCATTGACTGTCAGCTTTACTAATATTAGACTTAAATATACATAGAAGTTTCTAGAATCTGCTCTTGGTATCCAGGGGAATCCCTCCATATCCCAAGACTCACCTCACGCCATTCACTCGAAGAACTTTCCCGATGACGACATAACTGACGATGCAGGCTGTCATGGCGACAGCTGGAATCACGGCTGATTTCCAGTAATGAAACTGAAAACATTCTCAAAATTAGGCGTTATTCAATAATCACAACTTCTCACCAGAAGAGTTTGTTCTTCGATGATGTGATTGAGGTTTTCATCGAGGTGCATCGGAACCAACATCATGTTACCGTAAAGAGCCAACGGCAGCAGACATTGGACCAGAAGAAATGCCCAGGAAGGAAATTTTCGAAGAAGCTGAAACCTAACTACTGAAATGAAAGTCATTTGGAATTGAACGGACATAGTCGGCAGAGGTTCTGGCAAAGGCGACAGTTATGCAGCGCTGGACGGAGATGAGCACGACTCCGGTGATTCTCGCGTACTGGAAGAAGTAGGTCTGGACGTACAGGAAGTTGACCAGAGGCGTCCCATTCGTCGCCAAGTACAACGGTCTGAGAGCTTCTATCCCCCTCAAGTTGAAGCTGCAGTAGTACACGAAAAAACCAACGACGTCGATCACTCCCTGAAGTTATCTAACTTGATTTTTGAAGCTTTGAGGTCCTCAATGCTTTGAGGATTTAGGAGAAGTTTCATGAAATTATTCACAATCCTAACTTTTAAAATTTAAAGTTCAATCGTGAAGCAAATTTGGGTTGACAAGTTGAGTTAAATAGGAACAAACTTGATAGACGGTGATCGCGTAGAAGTGTGTCCGGAAGACTTGTCTTTTCCGATACCTTATCAGGATGTACAGTATTCGGAAATAGAGAGGCAATGTCGCTACGGCGAACACCGATAGAATACACGTCTGCCACGTCAATGCCATCTGAAACTCTTCTTTTAGGGTAACATTCACTACAAATACTAAAAATTATACCATTTTAACGAGAAATTTCCTAGACAAAACCGAAAAAGAGCTTCTAAATCGATTTCCCGAGTTGATAAAGCAAAATACTTTTAAATTCACGCCTTTGATGATTAGTATCGCAGCCGAATGAGGTTAAGTCCGTGTTTGAAATGGCCGCGGGGGCTTTTATTAGGCTGATTCATATCATAATAATATCAGTGTTTTGACCCAGAGAATGTTTTTTTCAAAGAAAACCCATGGCGAAAAAATTAGAGTAGCCCGTGCGAAATTTGTTAGCGCAAAAAAAACTTCCGCGTTTTGCTCTGATTTTAAAAGGACAACATTTTGGAGAGCGTTATACTTCGGTCGACTTGGTTTGAAATGGGATATTTGCATTTGGACTTGTTCAACACTAAGAATAACTGACGAGATAAACGCGAGCTCGGTGGCGGTACATTGACTAACTCGCAAAAATGTCGCTTTTTTCTAGGCGCGATCCCGCATTTCTCTCGGCGCGACCTCGCATTTTTCTCGGCGCCATCTCGCATTTATCTTGCATTTCGGAAATTTTCAAATTGCGAGAGAAATGCGAGCTCGAGCCTAGAAAAGTGCGAGCTGGCGCCCAGAAAAATGCGAGACCGGCGCGAGAAAAAAAGCGAGATGTTTGCGAGCTCGTCAATGTACCGCCAGTGTCTCGCGTTTATCTCGGCAGTTATTCTTAGTGAAATCGCTGAGTTTATAATTTGTTTTCAAAAAAAGTGGAGCAGTATCTCAAGTTTGGAGTCTTCAAATGTGTGACTTTTGCGAGAAAAACCGCTTCACAGCCGCTACGCGTCTATCCATTCCACATGCGACAAAGACCTTCCAGCTCAATATTTAATGAAACAACTGGATTCTTAACCAAATAATTATTCGAAAAATCGTTTCCGCATTTCAGCTCAACTCTTCTTTGATCAGTTTCTCATTTTATTGGATTAAAACGAAATTTCTCAAAAAACCTACAGAAAGATCGGACATGACAGGGCAGTAGAATGTGATGTAGGAAAAAAAAAGATTATGTGTTTTCTTCAAATTTTCTCTCGACGACTTCCTGTTTCTGATTAATATTTCACCTGTGGTATTTCAGAAAATCAAGACTACATTCATTGGATAATCCTTCATTCAAAAGCATTTCCGACAGACATTCTCTATTCTTTTCCAGTTCATTGAGAAGTCACGAGCAAAATTACGTTGTGATTCAGTTTGCAGCGTAAAATGTTTGGCAAAATCTTGCAGGAAATAAAAATGAAGCCTGTCTTGATATAAATTGATGGCGAAATATTTGTGAAGATTCTACAAAAAACGAGCTGAGATAAACAGGGAAATAAATAGTTTTTTTTCCCAATTTCAATAGAAACCTTTGTAATCTTGTTGACTCTATGGGGATAAATGACGGAAAAACCTGTTGAAAAAGGCTTTGGTAGAAACGGCAACAACTTTCAAGAACGGAAGTTGTAATTTTTAAGCATTATTGATCGAAATGATAAATTAAAAATGAAATTAAGGTTCATCAGTTTAGGAATCCTGGATGATTTGAATTTTCAGTGAGCTTTTTTTGGCTCGATGTCAAGAACTGCTTGAAAATTAAGTCTTCTTCAAATTAGGAAACCCCAAACTTCACTCGTTTGAACTTTTTCAATGCAACTTTAGACTCGAAATAATTCGAAAATAGTGATTTTGGTGGATGCCGGTCCCACGCTATGTTTCCCTTCTGGAAGCTTGTCTGCTTCGCAAGACCTTCTTTCGAAAATCGCGAGCTTTTTTTTTAGATTTTTGGTCAATCAGAGGGACCTGAATAACTCGGAAAATATTATCACGTTTTTTGAGGGTGAAAAAAATATTTTGCGATTTTTTGATTCGACACAAGCCATTCGAGAAATTTCCTGGATCTAAGATTTTTTGAAAACGAAACAAGCTTCTCTCAAATTTTTTGTGGAAAAAAACTAAAAATTGTCTTAGAGAAGAAATAGACATTGACTCGAAAAAAGTCAAAAACTCATACCTCAGAAGAATTTAGTGAACTCATGTTCCGTTGGAAATGAATTTCGGTTCTACCGACACCAAAAGAAGATTTCGAGCAGTAATAATGATGAAAAGTAACAAAATCCAATGTTTTCAGACGCATTCTCATTAATTGGATCTCATCTAATGACGTTAAACAGAGATTACTCTTGAGAAGCAATTTAAAATAGAAGGATACGTGAAACTATCGATGATGAGTCTAAAAACTTCTTAAGAAAATTCTCTTTTTTCTAAACAGCCTGAAAAAGGCTTTCTCGAAATAATTTAGATAGATAAAGATGAGACAATACACAAAGATCAATGCGATTTACTTTTAGTTTATCTATTCTTTGGATTAAACTAAAATCGGAAAAAAATTTCTGTAGATCTTGAGAAATAATTTTTTGCACGTGTAGGCGGGAACACTCCTCGGAGCTTTCTAAATTCGGCGAGACTGCCCCCGAAACAATAAAAATGATTATGTTTCCGCTGATTTGATCGAATTTAAATATAAACCTAACTTGATGAAATATAATTTAGCGACACTGCAACCACAAAGGAAAATATATTTCCTTGTTGCTTTCTTCAGATTCGATGACGCGTTTTCAATTATTCCGCTTCAAGGGACACTTCCAAATTAGAAAAAAAGACAAGTTGGTTATCAGTATGTGATTACATATTTACTTTTTATAGTTTCAATCAACCTGGTTTTATAAAAACGGAAACAGACCTGAGACATATAATCCATTCAGAACTACAGTGAGAGACCAAAATGAGACACTTGGGGCCATTAATTTATATGAAACATACTTTCCCATGAAGTACAAACTTTACATCGCCCCACCAAATTTTGAGATTCGGTAAAATCTTAGCGATATATTTTAGGGGTGCAAAAAGACCAAATTTCCACGATTTTCTTCGAAAAAAAAACTGGAAGAAAATTTTTTAAGACCCGGCTAGCTTCAAACCCATAATTTGTAATTGTTTTTTAGTTATCCAAAAAAAAATGCACCATACTCAAGTTGTGTTCTGGAAAACTTATTTCAACCAACTTCTGCTTTGAAATAGGATTTTTCGATCCCTGACTTCATTTTGGATGGTCTGAAACATTTGAAATTTTGTTGTGGACTTTAAGAAAATGTTTCAAACAAATATAGCAGTTTTTATTCAAATATTCCAATTGTTGGCTGTAGTTTGATCTCAAAACTTTAAAGGCGCAGAGTATTACAGTAATATGTGCATTGAAAAAGGCCTATGGAGCGCACATTCTTATTTTTCAAATTCGCAAGTTTTTTTCAAAAAATTTTTTTCTCCTTTTACTGCGTTTTTGTTCAGTTTCAGTTTTTTTTTCACCTATGTATATAAAAAAATGATTGAATGAGGCTATACGATTCTTTCGTAGGTTGCCTCTCTAGGTCTAGCTCAAAGCTTGGTAAGATTAAGAAAACTTAACGGTAGATCGTCAAACTTCAAAAAAATTTTGTTTTTCTATATCACTGCTTGCAGTAATGTCGGAACCAGCAGCAAAGAAGTTGAAAGTTGACGAAATTCCTAATCACCTGTCCACTATGGACGAAACGTGCAAGAAGAATTTAGTCGACATCGACAACGTCCAGTCTCAGCTCGACAAACTCAGCGAAGATGCTGCTGAAGAAATTTTGAAGGTAACATTTCTGAGCTTTTTTTTTCTCAAGATTATTCACAGATTGAGCAAAAGTTCAACAAATCTCGTCAACCCCTTTATGCCAGAAGAAATACCCTCATTCAGTTGATTCCTGCTTTCTGGGCTACCGCGGTAAGTTTTACCATATATCTTTTTTTCAATCAAAAATTTTCAGTTCCTTAACCACCCACAACTTTCCGCGATGCTGTCAGAACACGAAGAAGAATTGATAGGAGCTTTGAAGCAAGTTGAGGTTTAGAGATATTCTTGAAGACTTCTTCTGAAATGTTTTGATTACAGGTTGAAGAATTCGAAGACATTAAAAGCGGCTACAAAATTATTCTGACCTTTACCGAAAATGAGTATTTTGATACCGAGCGCATCGAGAAAACTTACAACCTCAGTATTGAGCAGCCAGTTTCCACTACGTCTTCGATCAAGTGGAAAGCTGGACGACAGCCAGCAAAGGTGACATAAATCTCGAAGTTTTATCGATAAACTCGGTTGTTAAGACGGATTTGGCAGAGGGCCAGCCGGTGACCTTTGTCGAATGGCTCAACGAGAACATTCCACCAGATTCTGATGAGATCGCAGAGGTTAATAAATTCCAACGATTAAATTCACCTTCTTTTCTTCAGGTTATCAAGGACGACTTGTTCCCCAATCCTCTTCAGTATTACTTGATGCCTGACGTCGATGAGGGCGACGAGGAATTCAACAGGTTTTTGGAAGAAGACGCGGAGGACGAAGAAACTCTTGATGAGGTTGGTTTTTTTGCGTTTATTCCAGAGAATTCGCGATTTAATGTTTCTTGCGTTCGATAAGTTGGTTGACTTCAATTTTGATATTTTAAAATTTAAAGTCTCATGGGGTACTATGAATAATCTAAAATCCCAAATCTGCAAAATACATGTTCATGTTCACTTCAAAGCCAATCTTATGACAAAAAAGGGATATTTTCAATGTAGACGATTCGTTGACTTTCAAGAAGCTATGGATCAAATTTTTGGCTCAGATTTGAAAGAAGTAAACTCAGGATAGTGTTCATAAAATTTCGAAAGTTTATTGGAAACAATTAATTTTTCAGGAGAAATAGGACTTGTGAGAAAATGTTAAATATAAAATTACCGTTTCTTTAATTGATATCACTGTTTTTTTAGGTTTACGAAAATGCTGGATCTGATGCAGACGCAGCACCAGACGTATGAATTGATACATATGTTTGTCATTTTTATGTTTTAACTTCTAAATTATTTAATTTTTTTAATTATTGCGCATTTTGTCCACTGGACCTCTTAGGGAAATTTTATGTATTTTCCATCCCTTTGTTTCTGAGCGTGTTTGTCGAATAAACGTTTTAATTTATTTTGACGAGATTTAGCCGTTAATAAAAGCCTCGCGTCATGATAAGGAGGATGTTTCTTAAGTTCAAGTCCTAGAAGCTTTCTTTATGGTCTTTGTGGATTGTCAGAATAGTTGTTTTGATTCAAAGGGAGCCACGAGAAAATAATAGTAGGATAGCGTGGTTTGAGGCTATTGTTGAGACTGCGGGGTGATGTCAGTTGGAGATAATTCAGCGAGAATTCCATTGGTTCTCGACCATCACGCCTCTCAACTTCCTGTCGACAGCTGAGCCAATCTCCAAATTACGAGACTTGGCAATTTTCCGCATGACTTACGCTCAGCTTTCTTTGCATTTCAACTTTGAACTGATCATAAAAGCGTCTTCGGCTCACTACAACACTTTTTTGTGGTCGGGTTATGGTAAAGAGAGAAGAAATGCTCTCATTTCGTAGGAAACTCCAATTTCGGGTTTTTTTTTCGCTTCATGATCTTATACCATACATTGAAAGAACCTTTAGTCTATGAACTCTTCAACTCTATTCATTAACTTTAAAATTTCCGTCGTGTCGTATTTCCAAGCCTCAGAAAGTTTAATAAGATCATTTCATCGCTTTCAGAAAGAATTAATTAGTATGAGCATTACAAAAGTTTCTTACCCAATAATTTTTTATTAAATGCATTTTTTTGACGCTACAAAAAACTTTTTTTTAATTGATTGCATTACATCAAAAAAGTTATTTCGAGAAAAAAACAATTCCTAACGTATTTAGTACATACGCGAATCGGGAGGGTAGCATAATGTGTCCACAAAGGTACCTCTCAAAATGGATCGTGATGACCCCATAATGTGTCGAGAGACCTCCAGCATACCTTCTAGTTATATCTGGGCCTTCTAGGAGGTACCTGAGAGTATCCCTCAAGTCCATCTCATTTTGCTCAAAGTCCGACAGAAGCACACTCGAGATACCATCGATAGACTTCAGACCCTGCGACATACCTCAGAGGGTATCGCGATAACCTTTCTCGAGTATGAACAGTCAATCCATTTGTGTATGAGACTATCCTCTTTTGTCAGAAAATAGATTTTTTTTTGTGTACTGTTCATGTCTTCAGCTTTTTCTTCAGTAGCTTTTTCTTCAGATAGAACGATTGAAGGAGTTATCTGATTGTTTTGAAGAATGTCGGCGGATGTTTTACATATGCACGCTTTCCATAATTAACGCTGAAAACTGAGTCCGAGATCCGGAGTAGTATGTTTGTCATTTGACGCCCAATTTGTGCCGTCTGATGTCTTCTTTTTTGGCTTCTTTCCCCGCATGTGATCGACGGTTCGCGTGGCTGTTTTCCCCTACAATTGCGCCCAGGGGAGCTAATGAAAATTCCGAAAATGGCGCTTTTCCTCTCCATTTGGCAGGTTACGGGACCTTAGGTCCATTTCATTTCGATCGTTCCCCTCCCCCGAGTTCAAAGTAGATTCATAGTTTAGAAGTGGGATTAGTGGTGCTTCTCGAGTTAGTAGAGACATGAAATAATAACCTAAATATATATTTCAATAGTTCAGATCAGAAAAACCTTCCATAGAACGTTCTCTTTTCATACTCTCCTTAATACTCTTGAATCTTTGAAATACATTTTTATTTTGAATGAAATCCATGTTACGAACTTCGTTTTGAAGTCTAGTTTGGTTTTCAGATCTGAATAATATAAGGAAAACAGTTCAAACTACATACTTCAGAAAGCTGAGACCTAACTTTTTTTTTCCAACTTCAAAAAAAGTACCAAATAATTAGTCTGCAGATGTATTTTTCATGAAAATTAACCTTGGTATCTTTGCTATTTATCGAAAAAACCTTCAAAGTCAACGAGGTATGTTTTTCTGGGATTGAATTTTTGCAGCTTCTTCAGGCTCGTGAGGTTTGTTTTTCGCGTGAAAGGCGGCAGAGAGCTGAGAATCGTGAATAATGGCTACCGTCTCAGATTCTGAGCGCACAAACCTTTTGGCAGAAGAACTCATATTTTTTGTTCTTTCTCATCTCGAAAGATGTTGACTTCCGACCAAATCATAATCACGGCTTTATCCGCTATCAATTATTGTCCCTCTCGTATTATACCTACTTCCTTCTTAATAACATGCTTGTCGGAGCAAAAGTAAAGCGTGGGATTTCTCGTTCTCTCACGCGCCTGAACATTCCTTGTATTTCTCGACTTTCTCCGTTTAATTCGCCCTTATCATCTTCTTCAAACTGAGCAAGTTATACTCAACTTCTTCGGAGACTCCTCATTTCTTTTTTTACTGAAAAAAGCTTTCCATTGAAATTCCATGTCCGTAAACTCAGTCAAATTTGAAGATCATTCTGAAGATTAGAGATGGTTTTCAGAAATTTCGACATCTTCACTTAATTTTATCTCTTTTTTTCTGATAATTTTTGATCGGCCTTTTTTTCGCTTTCTTTCAATATTTTCTGATATTCAGTAAATCTAACCACGATGATTCGCAACTTGTTGGCCGTGGTTTTGGTGGTTCTGGCGACATTTCTTTTGAGCTTCGTTTCAGCCTACGAAGAAGCTGGAGACGACGCCTACGTCGGGCCCAGGTTCTTTTTTCATTGGAGACCATAAATTTGATTAAACCCTGTTTTTCAAGGTTCCGCAGAGACCGGATGAGCTTCGACGGCGAGCCCATGTACCTACAACATCTCCTGCAAAACCTCAAACCGCGGTTCCGCCGCAACGTATGGTGAGTGGTTCCTTCTCTTCTCTTCTCTACCAAACGATAGATGGCTTCTTGGATCTTTGATTTGTTTGACCTTTGGACGGTTCCATTCATAACAACGGGCCGAATAAGAAGCCCAAGTTTGCTCTATTGACAGACTTTGAAATTATTACTTTTTCGCAACGATTTGAGATTTGTCGTCAATAATCCGATTGACATTATTAAAACTTTCAAGGAGATTAAGGTTATAATATAGTTCTTTCATAAAAATCTGCTCTTTGACTGAAAAGCGAAAAAAAGAAAGTTTGAATTTCAGATTTTTGCGAACGAGGTTTTGAAAACTAAAATTGATAATGAAAAATCCAAAAAAACCATCCGTTTAAACAAAAACTTTTTTTCATTTTTTTGAGTCTAAACATTTCAACAGCGGGTTGAAAAAAAGTCAATTTTGCATTTATAAGAGAATTTTTTTGAAACATCAATAATCTCTTTGACATTATCAACAAAAACAAGATTATAAGGTATTATGTATATATTCCAGTGAAAAAAAGCCACCACCTTATTTCTCTTCGATCATATATAAATGATTGGTGGTTTGATAGGTTTTTGACTTTTCATTGTTTGACCTTTAGACAAAAAAATTTCAAAAAAACAAACTCAAAAAAATGTTCGATGATAACACGTTTGCCAAAAAGAGTTTGACTGAAACTTGACTTTGTTTCATTTTTTTCCTCAAGCATTTTCAAATTCGAATTATCATAAATTTTGTTCAAAAAAATTATACTTTTTGATTAAAGATCTATCGCGCTTCGATTTTAGGTCTATCCTATCCATAATGGACTCTGATCTCGCTTATTTTGTTCGAAATTTTAGACTAATGTTAGTATTGAATCTCTATTTGAAAATTCTGGCATCAGTGGAATATTTTTTTCTTCCAGATCACCCACGGAAAATCTACGTCCGCCGCTTTTGAAACCCAATTAACCCAAGTTTGATGTGAATAAACCGAGTTTTGTTTGATTTTCCCGACAATCTTTATAGGTTCGGCATTTCCACGTGACCCTGCAGAAACCTGTCTTTTTTTCCTTTTTGCGTTCTTTCATGGTCAACAATTTGCAAAGAAGAGAAATGATATTTTTGGCATCAGTACAGTATATACAAATGAAGGAAAAAGTTGTTTTCGGGCTGATCATCTGTGGAAACCCAACATCTGCAGGTGTTCATTCCCGTTTAGGAGCTGAAATAATTCCGTCAACGTACAGAAATATAGGAAAAGAAAGAAGTGATTGGAAGACATTTTGAAAATGACGGTGAAAAGAAACTCGATTTGGTCATTCGAGGAGTCTGTTCCACGGAACAAAGACTTGCTAACTGCATTTGATATTCTATTGGTTCTAACTTGAAATTTCATGGTCGCACGTCGGCTGAAAAGCGCTTTCGAGAGGACGAGTCCGACTCGAAACGACTTGCGCGTAGTTTCATCAAGAAGCTCTAGAGCAAAGAAGAATATCCACTTGGACTGCGACGCTTTGAGCCATTCTACTTGCGACCACGTTGTTTCGAATTGGCCTTTCACCTCATAAAACTATTCACACAGATATTTGGTTTAGCAGAGGAGAGTTTAAATTTTATTTCTTTTAACAAAACGTTCTGACTAGAGCTGAACTTTTGAAATTGAAGTTTTAGTTTGAATTTGGTCTCGACGTTTTTCTGAGAGCTGAGTTTTTCCGCTCAGGGGGATTGGAGAGGAATCTTCAGGAAACCTTACATTGACCAGCTTGGCAGAAGTCCTCGTCGGCAATTCGTGAGGCCTCAAGGCGAAATAGTCGTCTTCGGCATCCATTTGAACGAAATGTCCCTAAAAGACAAAGATGCTGTTTTTCATGTGAGGTTGAAATAATCAACTACTGCATTATAAAAATCGAATCGTAGATAGCAAAAGTATTCTAGAAAAATCAAAAGATGAAAATCGGGACTTACCGGCCGACGAGCTTCTGCATCCAGAGTCACTGGGCCCACAATCTGAAATTTTTTCACTTTAGAAATTTACGAATTTTTTTCCAACCCCAATATGATTATTGTTGTAAGCAATTTCTTTCGCCCTCCGGTGTTTATAGAACGCATCCAACAGGGTCGCCGATTCAACTCCTGAACATTTTTTCTGTTTATTTGAGTTTTTTTCGAGATTTTTTCACTTTTGCTATGCAATATTGTCAAAAATATTGTGGTAGTTCGTATTTTTTCAAAAGATCCAACACCAATTTATGTGAGAATGTAGTAAACTTCAGTTGCATCCTCTGTGAAAAAAGGAGCAAGATTTTGTTGAATTTGTACTGCTAGAGAAATGGAGAATTATTGAAGTTATCAATGAGAGGAATTTACGCAGCAAACTATGAAAAAAAAACTTTAAGTGGAAAATCTTCCAAAAAAGCTATTTTATCGGCGTCTATTCAGTATTTGAGCCTGAATATCTCACTCTATTATATCTGGAAAATACACCGAACCTTGCTGAAAATGGAAGAAAAGGGCTAGCGCGAAAAAGAACGTCCACATGCTGTTTTCTTTGAACCATCGCCAATGGCTATTTTAAGTATCTCTCGATTATCAACTCCGCCTCTTGGCGTGACTGAAAAACGCAGAATCGGAAGATCAATCGGTTTCCAACACAGATCTTTGCAAAAAATTTCAATCAATAAATGGAGTCTTCCATAAATGTACGGATACTGGAAAAGTTTACTAATCAAGTTTCGTCTTCATATAATTCAGAGAGTTCAGAATGAGATCGTTTTGAGATTCATATTGTTGCATTTCATAATCTTCGTCGACATAAATGGCGCAGTATTTCAAAACAAGCGAACACTTACAGAAGATGATGAAATTCTTCACACATTTTTCGCGATTTTGTGTAAATTCTTAACAATTTATATAAAGAAATAATCTACCTTATATATTAACGTTTTATTAACTACTGCTTTTTTTAAAAATAATTTTTTTAATGGACGCCCAATATTAAAGTTTCATCTTTTTTTCAATGTAAAAAAATGAGCACTTTTGCTCTTTTTCACTAAAGAATTTATTTTACTGTGTGATCTGATAAAAAGAAGACCGACGTTTGCTCCGCAATCGCGAATGCACACTCACGCCAAAGACCACAAAAATGCCGTTTTTTCGGCGGCTGGCCTATTTTCGAAAATAATTACCCTGCTATTATCTTTTAATTACGTTGATTCTTATAGAGACTTTTAGTATATTGAGAGAGCTAGTATCAATTTTTCAATTTTCATGAAGTTTTCAATCATTTCACGTAATTTTTCTATAAAAGGTTTTTTTCAAATCTAAATTTTTTCTGACGTTTTTTTCTTCTTCACCTGTTTACTTTTTAGAATCAAATATCTGATTGCTTCTCATAAGAAGAATATTTTAAAAGTGGGGGCAAAAGTTAGAAACGTCTTTTAAAAAAAATATTTCTTTTAAGATATTTTTGCTTCGATTTCTTTCTCCTCTTTCTTTCTTTTGACTATCATGCTTATTTAGTTTATTTTCAGGTCTTAGATCATAGTAGTTTAGAGAGCGAAAATGGCGGAAATGCCGATGACAGAAGAGGAAGAGCTGCAGAAGGCCGCCGCCATGTCAGGGATCCGCTACACGATCGACAAGACGTGGGACGGCTTACCTCTGAACCACGACCCTATTCAGGTTTTCATAAAGAGAATCAAATAATCCAATGATGATTTAGGTCGACCTGAAATGGCACTTCGAACGGCTTTCAGGAAGGCCACATAAGCGCGTAGTTCGTATCACTTTCGACGTAAGTTTTAACTCCAAATAATTGAAAATTAAATTGAAAGAACTTTTAGGCGCCATTCTTCGACGATCCAGAACCAAACGAGCCTCCAGGTGTCACAGACAAGGTATCCAATTGCTTTTTAACAAAAAATAAGTCAATTTTTAAGCTGTGGAATTACGAAGTGATGGAGTTTTTCTTCGCCAATGACCGCGGACAGTACCTAGAGATAGAAGTTGGACCTCATGGCCACTGGCTCTGCCTTCTGTTTGACGGCGTCCGCACCACTGTCAACCACGGTTAGATCAATTTTTGTTTTCAGAATAAAGAGAATAATGAGAATATAGTTAGGTAAAACAAGAATGACTTTGGAAAGATAGAAAAGCTAAAAAAGGGTCATATAGTGCCCTAACGAGCAATTGTGAAAACAGTTCATAAATATCTAAAGAAAGTATTAAAAAAAAGGTCATAAGTTGAAAAAAAAAATCATACATAAATTATAAATGTTCTTACAAAGAGCCCGTAAAAAATCCCGTAAAAGTCCGAGCTCTTCAGAGTTAATCGAAAAATTCAGGAGAGGAACTCGAGTTGGAATGCAGAAATAAATGGCGCGGCGATCGCTGGTTGGGAGAAATCGAAGTTCCTCTCGCCTACTTCCCATCTAGTGAGTTTCCATCTAGAGACCTTTTGGAATAAAAGAAACCTAAGGTTTTATTAAACGTTAATAGTGAATATTAAGGAATCACGACGTTCAATTCCTACCACATCCACGGCGTCGACGATGAACGAGTTTATGCGGCGCTGTACCCCGTGACCGATGGAACACACACGGTAAATTTTTCCTGGAGGTTTTTTCGCTATTTCAAACATCATTTTTATGGGAATGTTTCTCCAAAACTTGATAGGTATAACACGTTTTTCAAGCAGTTTTTTTTTTGCAACAGTCGAGTCTGATCACTGAAGTTTAATCAGTACGTTTTATTGAAAAAGAAAATTCATACGAAGGTTAGAAAATATGATACATATTTGGAAGAAGAAAAGGTTGCTTGGATAAAATAATAAAATGTGTCCCATAGTGCTTGGTTTCCAACATATGTGATCTAGAAAAAGTATTCCAATGGAATATGTGCTTTTTTTTCGCAATAATTCCAATTCTGGCTTAACTAGCTTATTTTCTTCGGAGGTACATTGTTTTAAAGTTATTATTTTTTTTCTTAAGACTTTTTTCGATTTTCTGAACTCAGCTTAAATCGTTGGAAAGTTCAGGGCTATCTTCCTGTTCTATCTTTAATTCGAGCATTATTTTTAGACAGAAATATTTCAGGAACCCGACTTTCATCGTCTGCAGTTCTTCCAGCGGATCAATATCCGCCGCGTGATCCCAGACGGCTACGGAGACCGTCCTTTTGCCGATTTCAAGTACGGCGACCTCTGGGCCGGCCACTACTGACGGCGGTATTTTCCATACCTTTTTTCTCATTTTCTCTTTTTAAAATTGTTTTCACATGTTTCCAGAGTTGTTTCAGGTTGTTTGATCATGTTCAAGGCGAAGTTGTCTTTTCTTTCAGTCCATACGCGATATTAGGGATTTCTATTGAAGTGTGTACCCTCGTTAACTGTTTTATAGAAGCGGGTTGGTGTTATCGATTCTGTTGTAGGTTGTGCTTTTGAATTGCCTTTTCTTTCCTTTTCGGCGAGCAAATCCGATAGCTCTACAAAGTCGGACCATTAATTATCCAGTATAATTTTCTAGCCGTATGTTTCCATTCGAAGTAATTGATGCAAAAACGAATTCAGAGGTGGATTTCTTTTCAAAACGCAAAAAAGACATTGGGATTTCGTTCCATTCTGTTGCATCGGAGATTCGCTTGTATCATTTTTTTTTCCAACCTTTAGCTTTTCAGCGCAAACTTTCATTTTGCTCAATTTTTTTTCACGTCCTCAAAGGGTAATTTTTTTCTTAATATTTAAAAATCAGAAAAAAAAAACAGTTTTTGCTCTGTTTAACATTGCCGCCAAGTTGTACCAATTTTTTTTCACCGTTATTGATTGTTCCATTGTTATGTTCGTTGGGTTTTGGGGATGATTCATTTTAATTATTTATTTATGCATCCCTTGCACTTCAGTTCGAGATAAAGCTTTAAATATTACTCATGTACTTGGAAAAAAGAAGATAAAAGTCGCAGTTGCGTGACACTAATTAATAAGTACAATAACGTGACTTCTTGAATGAGAGACACAACATTTAAGAGTTTCCCCTGGCAACCGGAACGAAAACAGTCGTTTCACTTTGGCCTCAAGGGAAACTCAAAGGCGGAGCAACTTCGCGTTGTCGGCGGCTCGCCATGGAAACCGCCCGAAGCTATAAAAGGTCTCTTCCCAGCCACGGGATCCATTCTTCTCTTGTTTTTGCACTTTTCCGTCTTCTCCTCTGATTTCAGTACGATTTCTGAAAGATATTGAGAATCTTTTTTCTTAACTTCTTTGGAAGTTCGAGATCCTTTCAGCGCCTATGGAGTTACGGAAACATTCTTTCAAGGCTTTTCGGAATTTGAAAGAAATTGCAACGAAAAGGAAATCGAGCGTTGTACTTTGTTCTCTAGATCTCCAAACGAGTGGAGACGGAAATTATAAAGCTTCCGAAGTGAAGTCGTTATTTTTCCAGTCGTCCTCGAACAGTTAGAAAGCAGATCAGAATATATTATAGTTTAAAAGCGATTTTCTCAGTCTCAATAACTCATCTAAAGGTTAATATACTTTTTAAAGCGAAGTTTATCTCGGTGCTTTTTTCATTGTTCAAGGCTCTTTAACAGGGCCCTTCAAATAAGCTTCAGCTCCTTTTCAGCGAAAATGAGTGAGAACAACGGCGACGAGCAAATTCGCGAGGAGGACGCGACTCCCGACTACACCAAGTACGACGAAGACAGCGTGCCAATCGAGGAGAGGGTGAGAGACACAAATACCGAAGCTCCAAAGAACGCAATCATCCTTGCAGCCGATCAAGAAGACCCACGAAGGCCGTCCCGACCTCGACTACGACGACACTCCGGTCGGACCGGCTCCGGAAGGCGACGCCAACGACTCGCAGCAAAATGACAACTGATGTTGGAGCGCATTTGCTCTTATGTCATTTATATGTGATGAATAAATCGTTTTCGGTCTTTCAGCGAGAAATTAAGCAAAGACAGCTCCATAAAAAATGAAATATTAATAGAACCTCTTGAGGGACTTTTCCAAGATTTCTGACTTCTGAAAATAATTGTGAATAGCGAGTGGAATGAATCCATGGAAACAGAAAAAATTTCCTGTTTCGTTTTAAATTCTTTCTTGATTAGAGAATAAACTAAATAACTGAAAAAAAGATGCTCTGAAAATTTGTCAGAAACTTGGGTCAAGTACTTGGCTTGTTCAATCTTAAAATATTTTCTAAATATTCTATTTGCCAAAGGTTCTAAGAATAATCTTTTTGAACACAGTTTTGCTAATAGTGTATTCAAATCATGTTGAATAAATATAATAAAAAAAAATTATTAAAAAGTTACTGAAACGTCCTTTATAACTTCAGCGACGACGAGTTGAAACACTCTGACCTGTCTGCGCTCTCTTTTCTTTTCTTATCGGCGTGATCATCTAAGTATCGAAATAGCAAAGCGGAAGTTCAAATGAAAACAGAAAAAAAAGTCAAACGAAGCGATTTTTGTAAGACAACAATAAAAATTGTTTGTGGCGTGAAAAAACACGCAACTTTTCTGACAGCGAAGATCAGTGGACAATCAAAGAGGAAGACCAGGAGAATCGATGAGAAGAACGCGTGGCCGGGAAATTACCGAGAAACTGGGTGACATCACTTTTTGTTTTGCACTGTTTCCTCGACTTCATTCTTGTTTGTTTTATTGATGAAGCTGCGCTGCTATTTCCATATCATTTCGACTCTGACTCGTCATTTTACCAGTTTTGACTGAAAATCAAGCTTTTTTGGCAGTTCAGATTCTAACCGAAGTCTTTCGAGATCCTAGCAATTTCCAAGAGATATTTACTGAGCCATTAAAATGTAAACAGTATATTTTTTGCAAGTCAACCATTCATCTCCCCAACAGTAGCCCCAAGGCGTTTATTCATTCATTTTTTTTTCGAATTTTTGAGATCAAATATTGATCTTCACTGACCCGAACATAAAGCTTGTTCCACAAATAATGTTCCATGCAATAAAATATTCAGTTTTTCAAAACCTTGAGTTCTGATGCGCGGCCTCGCCTTTTCAACACCCATTTTTCGACAGGTTTTGATCTCAATTTGACTTCCAAGGAAAGTTTTTTGATTGAGCTGGTCGAGTTCCAATCCTACACGTACACCTACATTTTGGGATGCGAAAAGACTCGCCAGGCCGTCATAATCGATCCCGTAGACAAGACCGCCGATCGGGACATCCAGGTTTTGCGGAGGAAAGGAGGAATCTTATGATTTTGGCAGCTATTGAAAGATTTCGATCTGAATCTCGTTTATGGATTGAACACCCACGTGCATGCTGATCACATAACTGGCACGCATTTACTCAGAAAGGTTCTCTTTTTCGGATTTTGGTAGTTCATAAAGAGGTTTCAAAGAGGTATAATACCTTGTGGCTGGGAAATTTCGAAAAATTGATCAGAATCATTTGTCTGCACTTGAAAAAATTTCTAGCTCCGGAGAGAGAAAGGCTGAAAGTCTCAGAATGGTCCGTTTGATTGAACCGGCTTTTGATTATTTCCTTTGAGATTAAGCCGCTTGTTCTCTAAGAAGAAAGAGTAGTTCTGCAAGCTGAGACTTTCAGAACGATTTAATATGTTTTAAACATAAATATGAAAATTTTGGTAGGTTTCCGTTAGAGCGAAGTTAAAAAACGAAACAGGAACACCGTTATGACCTGTACTGTGGATCAAAAAGTATTCTGACCTGTTTTTATAAAGTTTTGAATCGCAAAGATGAAGTAGTTTCATTACAATTTCTTTTGAAAGTAGAATTATCCATTTCGTCGGCTCACGCCAGTTATTGAACACGTCAGGCTTTCCCATCGATGAAGTCGGTCTTGTCGAGGGCGTCAGGAGGGAAAGCGGACCGCCTCGTCGACGACGGGGAAGATGTTCAGTTCGGCGAGCAGAAACTCGAAGTCAGAGCCACGCCTGGTCACACGAACGGCTGTGTGACCTACGTCTGGCACGAACTTCGGAGAGCCTTCACCGGAGATTCGCTTCTTGTTCGCGCCTGCGGTCGCACTGACTTCCAAGAAGGTATTTCCAGAAGTAAACCTATTATGAAAGATTCTTCTCAGGGAACGCCGCAGCGCTGTACAAATCGGTGCATTCAAGAATCTTCACTCTTCCTGAAGATTACCAGAATTTTTATCGGCCATAACTACAACGGCATTTTACAAACATCGGTTAACTTTCCCTCAATTTATAACCTAAAAAATCGAAATTTCAGGTTCTCGAAGAGAAAAATTTGAACCCGAGGCTGACAAAAACCGAAGAAAAGTTCTTAGAAACCATGGAAAACCTTCACTTGGCTCATCCCAAGCAGCTCGGTAAATAATCCCAGAAAATATTGGAAAGTCCACTTTTAAATTCAGATGAAGCGGTTCCAGCGAACATGAAGGATGGGGAAGTTGAAAATTCATCATAAACTTTTAAAACTTAGAAAATAATGTATAAAAAATGTTTAACCATTGCCGAGGGATTTTGATCTCTCAAATCAATTCTGTATGAAGGTCAGCAGCAGCGAAAATTTTTGACGAGGAAATTGCAGGCAGAAGAAAAATTGGAGGTTGTCTAAATGTTGCATTGATAAACTCGGATTTGAAGCCTCAAACCTGATAGTACAATCTTTTCTTCTCAATTTTCGAGTCGTCTCCCGCGAGTTTGTCCAGAATTTTGACGACGAGCTTTTCGTTGGTTTCAAGCACAAAGAGATGGACGTCCCGGCGATAAATGGCTAGCGGATCCGGGTCGAAATCGTAGTCTTCTTCGGGGTTCTGCAAAAGACTTTTGTCGGATAAGTTTGGAGATGAAGACTAACGTAGAACTGAGAAAGAGATTTGCGAAGAAGAGCCTCGGCGACGGCGCTGTCCGTCGCCCACCAAGGACCCACCAAAAGCCGCGGAACTTTTCCCCCGCTTGGTTCGCATCTTCCACAAATTCCCAGACATTCTCCATCCTGATTTCGAGCTTTCAAAGCTTCTCAATCAATTAAAAACCTCATCAAACGCTGCAAACAGCTTCAGGCCGTCTCTGGTCATCATTCTGCGCATGTCGCGATTTTCTGTGACAGTCTTTTCGACGAAATCGTTCACAGCTTTCCATTTCGACTCTTCCGAGTTTTCCGACAGCTCCTCTACCCATTTGGCATCCTCAAACAATGCATAAATGCAGTTTCAAAAAATTGTATTAAAAATTTTGAGGAAAAGTAAAAAAAAAGACTCGTGGTGAAGTTGAAGTAACATTACAATGTCTAAAGAAGACGTAAAACTCAAAAATTCTCAAAATTTGCTGAATCATAGGATGTTATTGAGATTTCTGCGTTTTCAGAAAGGCAACTTGAAAAGAGAGTCAAAAAAAAAAACTAACCATTAACTTTTCAAACCCGCTAGGTGACTTGACAACATATTGATAAAACCTCCGAGCATAAGCCAATTGAAGATTGAAGCGACTAACCGAAGACAATAAGTGCGACACTGAACCTTTTTTTTGAAATCTTCTCGGTTAAGGAATCAGACTTGCGTTGAAGGAGAAGTTCTTGTGATGAGAGCTCTTCAGAACCTCTCTGAACAAGGTAGATCCGATGCCAGAATGTCGGACTTCTTCTTTCACGAAAAAGGCTCCGATCTGCGCGTGGTCCCCTTTTTCTTGGCTAGCGACGCAGCCGAGAACTTCATCGCCTAGAAAATATTATTTTTTCGGTTTTTTCAAAACTTGAAATGTGGTACAGCTTCTTAGGCAAGAAGCAAGCAAACTCACGAATATTTTTCGCCACCAAAAAGTTCACTTTGTAGATGGACCTCCAGTGTTTGATTGCTTCCACATCCACAAAGTATCCGTCTCTTTTGTAGGCTTCTTCCATTATCTGACAATTACCGTTTTCCTTTTATACTTTAAAGAAGCTCACAGTCGCGAATTCTTTTTCGGTTCCCGTCGACAGTTTGTACCAGAAGCCGTGGCGCGAAAATGCTCCAACCCATGGATTTCCTTTGAGTTTTGGCCAATCGTTGGTCTTGGTCTGGAGTAAAATTTTTGAAAGGAAGTGTCGATTTCTCAAAAATGACTCAGCAAAAATTAATTTTTTTTAACAAACGAAAATCTCAGATATAACAAGAAACGGATAGAATTGTTCAGACTCCTTTTATTCAAAGAAAAAAAAATTATTATTTCCTGCACAAGTCTTGAGGTGTCTAGAAGCCGTGGCTCAATAAATTAAGTTTTGAAATCAATAATTTTTAGAAAAAAAATCCCCTCGACCTGCATTTGGAATGGCTTTCCGATGACCAAGGGCTGCATGCGAGCAATGACGTCATCCAGAGGCTCCATCAGACGCCGTCGACTACCGCTTCTCTCCCGAATGACTCCCCGCGTCGGACCGCGATCGACGCCAATCAGCCTCCCCAACAGAGCCAATTTCAGTGCGAAAACACATTGTGCAAATTTATTTTCCGAAATCATCACAAAAGGATTTCTTAATATGATCTTGGGGTCAAGAGATCAACACGGAGATAAAAAGTGAACCGGGAATGTCATGATATAAAATGAGTTGGATGGGTTTTGTGAAAACGTGACGTCACGAGTCGATTTCGCTTCTTAAGCCGGCGAGGAACTGCAAACTTAGGAATTTATTGATTCAGTAGAAAATTCATCGATACTTTCAAATAAATGTTGTTATTCGGATGATATAGTCGATTCACGGATAGCTGAGAGGGCGTGGTCTGTCTCCACCAGCCACACACTCTCTCTTTTATTATCGTGTCAGGACCCTATTTTCGATGGCTCAAGCCAGCCGTGAACCAGCTACAGCATTACAAAACTTTTTCAATCAAATATTTCGTTGTATTCCTAGAACAGAGACAAATTAGTTGCAGTTTTTAACGATCCGAAGAAAATAATGAAAAACTGAAAAATGAACAAGTACTTCAAAAAATTGAATATTTAAGTTTTAAACTTTTATTAGAAGAAAAAACGAACATCTAGGGAAAAAGTCTACTTGCGTCCGAAGCGAATGAGCGGCTGGGCGGCGGGAGCTCTGCCGAAGCGGATCAGTGGGGCCGCCGCTCGGCCGAATCTGAATCCAAAGCATTTTAGAGAAGTTCCTCGACTTTTTCCTCGCAAAATATCTAAACGACCGAAAAGTTTCCTAAATAATGTTCAAAAAAAACATCTGCAAAAAAAATTTCTGAGAAAATACAGTGAAGAAAAGATCAAAAACCAGCCTAAACTTTTTTTTTGCCTGGTTTTTCCAAATTTACTAGAGTCCAACAAATCAAGTATTGATGGCGATAAGATTATGAGCATCTGAAGTTGGAATCGATACCTGGTTTTTTCTTTTTAGGTATAAAATTAAATCAATCCATGTTTAAAAAAGGAAACTCCAACGAACCTAATAAGAGGAGCGCCGTCGGCGGCTCGTTTTCCGAAACGGATCAAAGGCTGGGCTTCAGGTGCTCGGCCAAACCTTCAAATCAACTTTGTATCTTATTCAATCTCCCCTGAGACCTTTTTTGAAAAAGAGATATGAAAAATGAAACTTTTCTGTCAACGAACCTAATGAGAGGAACACCGTCGTCCGATCGCTTTCCAAAACGAATCAAAGGCTGCGCCTCAGGAGCTCGGCCAAATCTGGAACTCATACCTTTTTGTGAAACTGATAAGCGTTTCGAAAGACGGAGATTTTTTGCTTTTTAAGTATGTTCTGAGTCTGTCTATGCTCCCAAAAAAATCTTTCCGAATAACTGAATTTAATCACCTTATAAGTGGAGCTCCTGGAGCTGAACGTCCAAATCGGATCAATGGTGAACCCATATCTCGCTTCGGCACTGAAAATCAAGTCTTAAAAGAAAATTCCCGAAGAATACTTACATTCGCGATAGTGGAACATTGGTGATCCTTTGCCTTCGTCTGAAATCCAAATCTTCAGAATGACCAAAAAAAAACTTCATCTGATTCGTCGTAAAAGTTATATGATGAATCTTTTCATTTTTCAGATTACAGACTCAAATTGAATAATTTCTAGCTATGAAAAAGCTGAGAATTATATTCAAAATTCTAATAGAAGTTGCTTCGAAAGTTCAAATCGAGTCGCGATCAAAGCTAGAAGTATTTTTTTTGTCTCCTCGAATGTTTTATGAATAGCTATGGTTTCAATGGTTTCAATGGTTTAATTTTCAAATAATTTGTTTCCAGATTGAGGGCCCATCATGACTCAAAAAGAACTGACACTCGTCTTCGAGCATCCGGATTTCTGAGGAGTCGAAAGCCTGGGCGAAGACGACGAGTGCGGAGAAGACGGCTAGCGATGACGTCATCATTTCGATGGAGCTGAATACCGATCCTAGACGATCGATAATTCCGTTTGTCGGAGGGGCCGAGTTTGAAAAGACTGGAAACTTGCCAATCTCTTGGTTTTGGAGCACGGCGGGTATGGGAAACGAGGAGATTTTTGGATTGGTTCAGATGAAAGCTTATATTGAGATGAAGCTTGCAAGTTTCAAGTAAAAGTTTTATCAGGTGAGAAAAATATGTGAACTACGTTCATCAAAAGAAATACTTTTTGAATTTATTTTCGATGAATTCTACCGTTTTTTGGATCAGAATTCATTGGAAATTTGAGGAGAGCTGTTTAAAGTTTGAAGTTTCAAGGCTGACTTGAATGCAATCTGTAACGGTCTCGAAATTCGAAATCGCACAAAAATCAGAAAATGAGAGAAAAAGACGTTAGGAGAGATCTCAGGTGAGTTGCAGCGGATTGGCCGCCTGCAAAGCTGCCGGAAAGTCGGGCCACGCCCCAATCAGGCCGAGAGCCTCAATTAGCCGGCGGTACTTGTTTTGGATGCGGTCATCCGTCGAAATGGAGTCAAACTCGATTCCGATTCCATCACCAGTGATTGCAAAAAGAGGAATCTCCGGCAAAACGAGTGCTACCGAAAGCTATATTTGAACATCGACACTCTGACGTCAACAATTTGGTCCTTGTAGTAGTGAGTAATGCGGAAGCGTTCAAAATCGCTTCGTTTTCGAAGGAAGTCCTTGGCCAAGTGTTGTCGCGGCACTTATTGAGAATAAAGAGTAATTGAAGAACAATTGTTGCGTTTTTTTCTGAGTTACTGAGCATTCATGCAATATTTTATAAAACTGAAGCTCTACGAATCAAGGAATAAAAAATTTCAAAACCGAAGAGAAGTGAGAAACATTTCTATCAAAAAAAAAAATCTTGCTTGAAAAATCCGTTTTTTTCGATGCTTCTTCAATCCGTTTCAAAAAAAGATTGTTGGATTTAAAAAAATTGAAAAAAATTGACTACAAGGTTCAAAAAACTTTTGAACAGAATGAAAAATAAAAAAAAAGGTTATTTCAAAGCGCACGACTTTTAAAGAGCTTGGAAATTAGAGGTTATATAGTCAAGGGGGACAAGACGGCTCCTGGAACTTCCAAATTTGCATGGTTATCGGATCCGATGGCCCCGCCCCCCAGCCTTTCGCACCGGAAATTGCGAGTTTCCCAACTTGATTTACGTTTTTTCCACTGCTTCGCCTTGGATTACAGTTGGTCCAGAAGTTCATCATCAAAGTTTCAAAAGCTCGAGAAGACTGGAATTATAACTAATTTCAGAAAAAGCAGATTGGCGAATAATATTTCAATCTTATTCCACGATATCCTGCTCATGAAAATCCTATTTTTCATTGTCAGGATCAAAACCTTAATAAAGATTCTAGACTGCGAGTATTATTCATAGGTTGCTATAAAAAGTCCATTATTATATTTTTCGAGCAGAATTGTTTTGGAGTTGCTTCCTCCCGCTCTTCCTTCTTTTTCCCCCATCCAAACTACGCATCAAAACGAATCGACTTTCAGAAAACCTTCTTTTTTGCCTTATTTGACTGTAACATCGTCTTTTTGAAACGAGGATTTTATCCGGAAGATGAAATTCAGGCGCTGAAATCACCGTGGGAACGTCCGGCACTACAAATCCTCATCTCAAGCTGAACGGACAGCCAAAGTCCAATCGGATCTCATTTTTTCTACATGAAGACTTTATTTGTTTCCCATTCCATTCAAAAAGCCTAGGAAATGTTTCTGGAAGTCAACTTATTTTTTAAAGTATTAATCTTGATTTGTTTCCAACTTCCACTCAAAACAGCACTTTCGGGTGCCGCTTTCAAGGCAAAACCAAAGCGGATACTTCGCAGCGATTTTTTCTCGAATTTTCCCGGTGATAGGGGGGCCGATGGTTCTGACATCGACACATCAGAGCCACACGACTGCATCACAAAAACAACAGCGTCATTATTTTGCGAAAAAAAAAAATCTGTTTACCCTATCCAACTGAGTCAGAAAAGGAAGGAACTTTTTTGGAACCAGCGTTGTTTAGACTAATATATTTCCAGTAATTTTTTCCTGACGTTTTAATGTTTGCGAAAACTACAAGTGCCCTTTTCATCGGCTTGGAGCGTTACGAGTGGGTCTTAAAATGCGTAAATTCCATGAACGAAATCTCAAATTTCAAATGGCTACTTCAAAAATGGCATATGAGTGGTTTTTCTGCAAAATGTCGCTAGTCCATTCAGAAACGAGTCGTAATTTCAGGTTCTAAAAAGGTGAAGAACAAACATTTCATAATTCATTAAATCAGCTTCTATCAAACAACTTCAAGGCAAGACGGTGGGAACCGATTTGGAAGGATTCAGCAAGAAGGTCGACAAATAGGTAAGAAAGAAGGGGCAAGAGAAGATTACGTAGGCAAGCAAAACAGTGGAATTATTACGGTAAAATGAACATCAGTCGAAAAAAAATGCATAAATAAACATGGAACGTGGTACTCGTCTATAAACATTTTAGCACGCTTTTAAAATGAGGAAACGCCAAGGAAGTGAAGTTCGAAAAAGCCATCTCAAAAAAGGATTGTACGATTGATCACCCTGGAAAAAGGAGATGATGACGGTAATCTAAAAAGAATTAGAAAGCACCAAAAAATCTAACCAAGTCACAAATGCAATCAAAGAATCGTACGTTTGGAATAAAAAAAGTAATTTGGATGGTGATGGGCGGCGCTCAAGCAAAAACACGCCCTGTGGCGATTTCATTCTCGAGCGGCTCTTTTCGGCCGCTCATTAGCCTATATCTTGCGAATGAGAGGTCCACTAAGAGTTGCTCAAACTCGAAAGAATTGAGGAGAAACGGAAGACTTCACATCGCATCAGTACAAAATGAGTACGAAGTTTATTAAGCGGAAAATGGAAGCCCAGCTTCTTCTCTGCAGCGCTTCCAAAAACTCAAAAAGGATACTTATTTTGAGAAAATTGAGGAGGAAGGCGTCTTAATCATGAAAAAAACTACAATACGTCTGAGCAACCCGGAAACATTCGCGTCATTCCACTTGAACGATTTTCTGACGCATCATCGCTTAACGGGAGCGTATGCTTCAAGAAATGTTCAAAAAACTGCAATTTCTTCGAATCCAAAATCAATCTATGGAAAATGAGAGAAGAGCAAATCACCAAAACCAGAAAGAGGGGCACAGATAATTATGAGAGAGGAAGAGAGATGACATAATGTCAGAAGAGCACAAAAAAAGACGGCGTCCTCATTTGGCCTTGACCACGGATCCGCCGAGCCCCGTAGCCATCGACACCACCTGAATCATTCATTTTTGGCTCGATTGAGCAATCTTTTTCTTTCCTGCTTGATTCAGAAAAGCTACAAGTTCCAGAAAGAGTCAGAAACGAACCTTTTGGAAAGAATTGTAGAAGTGGCTGCTCTCAAAGGGTCCGTCGCCAAAGAATCTGAACTCTTCGGCCTTCGCGTACTTTCGCTTTATTCTTGCTCTAAAATAATACGGTTTTGGACGGCACTTTTGATATTCTTCGAAACTAGCTAAAAATTATCTCGGTGGCTCAAAAGTTTAATTTGACAGTCCAAATTGAAAAAATATTTCGGAAATTTTTATCGGATACCTTCAGGCCGAAAAATTTAGCATTTGTTCATCAAAATGATGAGAAAACAATATTGCCGGCTTTTCCAGACAAAAAATCGAACCTGAGAGTCATTTTTGGGTTGAAAATGAAGTCGTACATCATCCCGACCCAACTTTCGTGCACCTTCAGGTTATCATAGTACTCTGGAGCGATCTCTCGAATCTAAAATATTTTTCCTTCTCTCAAAAAACTCGACTTCTTCTTTTGATCTGGATGAGATTACAGAAAAATGACCCGAGGCTTTAAAAATGACCAAAAAAAAAAACAAGGGACAGCAAAGCAGAGTCAAAGTTTGTTCCAAGGAGAACAAACGGCTTGAGTTACCAATTTCCGGTGAAAGTTTCGATTACTACAAGGAAGCGAGAGGCAAACGAGTGGGAGAGGAAGACGTCATCCAAAAGGGAGCCAGTTTCGACTTGCCTTGGGCAAATTGACGCCGGCGACGAACGGGAAATCGTGGTGCTCGACGTGGTAGCCGACGTTGAACACGACCATGTTGATCGGCCCGTAGTAGCTGAACATTCTTCTTCAGAACAAGAGATTGAACATGTATTGATTTTCCTTCAATTTATTCTCCCGCAATAATTGATCTTATTCCAGTAAGAACCTTGAATAACATGAAAACCGCAAAATTCAGTTTTTGTTTAGTTTAACACAAAAGCTGAATCCAAAATCTGCTCTCACAGGTGGAATAAATATATCCATCGGAGATCGAGTTTTAGCAATCAAAAAACAATTCCTTTCTCTCGTATGAACAAGAAATTTTTCAAGTGTCTGCGTCTCCGAAGAACCTGTAGGTCTCCTGTCCCTTCTGGAAGACGTAGTGCTCGGAGACAAAGTGTCCAGCGCAGGGATGGAGTCCGAGACCGACGACCATTCCGCCGAACAAGTAGGCCAGCGACTTGGGTCCAAACTGGGTGTAGATGAACAGGTCAAAGGCAATCTGCAGGCCCAGGTTGACCAGCTCCAAGTCCGTCAGTGACTGAAAAGCGAGTATTTTTGATATGTCATCCATTTAGAGTCCTACCTTCGGATAGATGAGAAATGGACGGATACCGTAGAAAAGAGGCTGGAGAAGCATCCAAACAAGTTTTCCGAACCAAGTCTGGAAAATACGAGCCTCGATCTCCGTCGGCACGTCCGTGTCGATCACATCCTCCCCTAAATGTCATTGAAGTTACGAAATTTCAAGGCGTTGAAGCTAGAGATCGAAGAAAGCAAGATATTCATACTTTACATGCCGAAAGTGAATGAATGTCGTGAATATGGAAAGCGTCTATTTGCGTTTGGATTGTAACAATTCTAGAGTTAATTCGAAAATCAGTAGCCTTTTCTGATGCTTCGCAAAAAACATAAGCGCGTTAGTCGTTCAGGGTCGGGCGCAGTTTGACGAAAACGTTTCGCTGATTTTCTACGTGCACTCATGAGCTCAAAAAGAGATGGAATCTATTTTTATTGGTTTCTCCAAAATGATCTCCGAAATGATTTCTGAAAAAGTACCATCCATTGAACTGACCAAGGTTTCTGTGGTGTTCGAGGTGGTACTTCTTGAACGAGATGGACATCGGGATTCCCATTGGAAGGTTCGCCAGAAAGCCGAACAGGCGGTTCTGAAGAAAGACCGATTCCGAGGGGAAAGATTAGGTAAAACGAACAGCGAGCGGTCGGCTGCAGCCGTAGGCCTGATTGTGGCTGACTTCGTGGACGGCCAGCGTCAGGGAATGGTTCAGGGTTCCCGAAACGAAGTAGGCCTGCAGAAAGATCAGCCACCAATCCGCATCTGCAACCCAACTGATGGATTCTGATTCTGATACAAATTTTATCATAAATCAAAAGGTAACGATCCAAGAATCAATGCCGTTTTCAATCATTCTTTTGATCTTTTGACATTCTTTTGAATTTGCCTTTTTGAGCTCAAAATTTTCCCGCGAAAATTAGGAACATCTATTAAGCAAATGGGGTAAAATCTGTGCTTTGCGATAAAATTTTTTTTTGAGTTAAAATCAAAGTGAAAAAAATCCGGAAAATCCGTATATTTTGTGTCTTATGAGAAACTCGAACTAGCGGTCGCAGTTCAGAACTATAATCACTTCTGATTTTTCTCCTATCTCGGTGAGTATTTTTAACATTGTCTTATAACATTGATTTAACTGTGTTTAAACGGCGGCAGGAGCTGTGCGAAAGTCGATTGCACATGTATTCTTACATTGAAGATGCAATAAACAGTTTTTTATAACATTAATCATCACCTCATCAAAAATAACAAAAATATTAAATTTCGCGACATATTTAGAAAATGCGCTGATAACTTGAGTTGCAAACCTTCTTCGACATGTTAAAGGTACGGTGATTGGTAAGCTTTCCTCTCAAAATTTGACAACATATTTATTTTTAAAATGACGAAAAGACTTGAAGTGATCTTGAAATGCTTACCTTTAAAAAAATATTTCTCTTTTTTTCAGTTCTAACTGACCTCGTAGTAGCCAGGCGAAGGTGATTTGGGCGGCGACCATCGCCAGAACGACGACTTTGAAGGCGGGATCTTGTCCGAAGAGCTGCTTGATCTGCGGATATTTCTCCAGCATCTCTTTCCGCCTCAAAACGGTTATATTCTGATTTAAATACACAGAGTTTTCAACGAACCGCGTCGCGTGTGGCTCTTCTGTGTAGGACCATGCGAAGTCCTCCGCCTTGGCTACGGATTGACCCATCTGCAGCTACTGTCTTTCACTTTCAACTCAAATGACGAGAGACGTTTGTTCTACTGATAGGTATTGAATAGTTAAAACTTGCCATTATTTGATATAAAATATCGAGTCTTAAGATTTTGAGACTATTAATGTCATCATTCCAATAAAATACGATGAAATTTATAATTTGAAGCTTGCCTCAAAAGGAAGGTCATTTTACTTTGGGTTCAGGAATTCCTGGAAATTGATGCACCGGATGAAGATCCTAGAAGTCTCAAACTGCCCATGAACCTAGCTTTCGAGAAAGGACACCCCAGAACCAAATAAAACCCTCAAAACCCAATAAAATAGGCTATTTTTGCACTTTGAGCGCTTATTTCTGAGAAATTAGGAAGTTTTGTAGGTTGGGACTTTCAGAATTGTCTTTTGGTGCATCAAGGAGTTCTGGCCTGTTCTCAGAGAGTTCCCAACCACAAAGTAAAATAACCTTCCTTGTCAGGAACGAGAGAATTAGAAATGAAATGATCAAGGATTTTTCAGATTAATCGGGAAAGTGTGGGAATCTAAAGTGTCCTCAAACCGCTATCGCGATTTTTAATTATAATTTTTGAAAATTTCTTATTTTAATTTGGATATGCTTGAGACTTATAGAAAATGTTTTAGAAAAGCCAGACGTTTTTTTTCTCTCCTTTGTTGAAAAAAGTCTTTACAATATGATCATACAAAGCGCCAGAGGAAAAAAAAAGACGATCGGTGACAAAAAAAGACATAAATATCAATTGTAATCAGGCGGAAACAGACGGATGCGAAAAGGGTACCAAGAGAATCAAAAAGAATTCTCTCAGACCTTTGATAAGATAGTTGCGCTTATCACCTGATCAACTTCAAAGTCCTAATTAATATACCATGTCAAAAATGCTGATATAGAGGACTCGATGGTCTGTTAGACCTTTTGAGATTTTTTTTTCGTTTACTTGAAGAATTTCATCATAAAAGTGGAAATTGAGAAGAAAAAGCGGAAAGACTAACCGATGAGTAGCTGAAAAATGAGGTAAATAAAAGGTTGAAAAGTTTATTGACACGACGGAAAATACTCAGAAACACAAAACAAAGTAAAAGAAGCAAAAAAGTTTTGAGCCTCAGAAAAACCGTCAACTTTGAAACAAAGATGAATAACAAAATCTTAACAATCTAAACTACAAAAACATAAATAATCTGGAAAACTATTCGAAATCCTATGCAGAAGCGACAGCAACGGGTTCCTCGTCCTCGTCTTCTTCTTTTTTCTGCTCCTCCTTCTTCTTTCCCTTTTTATTCTTCCTCTTTTCGATCTAAACGCGTTCAATTGAAGAAACACTGAAGAGAGGACTGATTGGACCTTTTCAATTTCTTCTTCGCTGGCCACCGGCAACCAGGAGCTCACGTTCAAGGCGTAGTGTTCCTCTCCGGGAATCGTCATCAAAAGAGCCCTCAAACAGACGTCAATCAGCGGTTTTCATGGTCGATAAATAGGAGGAACAAGCTCCGACCAAAGAAGGAGGTTATCTACTTCCAGAGCTGTTTTTTTTTTGGTGATTTAGGACCATGGTACGTTAACCAGACGCGAATCGGACGAGTCCGGGAATTTCTAGTGACCACTTTAGCTGCGTCGGCGCTCTTAAGTGATCCCTAGGATTGCTCAGAACCACCTGGAGCGCTTCTGGTTTACCTTACCCAGGCACACATAGTTAACGAAAAGGTATAATTATTCAGCGATGAAAGGTTTGATTCAAGGTGAAAAATTATTCCCAGCTCAATTCACATTGAAAGAGGCTCTTGACCAATAAAACTAAGAATTTGAAATGTAACTCTTCCTGAAGTATAATCAAGCTTTTTTTGAAATGAAGTATGAAGATTGGACTGTATCGCAATAATACTATCTGCATGAAAAACTCAACCAAAAGAATTTTTTTTTCTCAATTCTTGCGATTATTTCGAGACTTTGTTGAAAATCTTTGTTCTGTTTTATCTATTGGGATTTTCAAATCAATATGAAATTTGATACACCATAGCTTCTGAAAAATGCGAAAACAACGGATGATGAAATTGAGCAAATTTCAATAATTACATGTTTTTTTCGATTCGTTTCTTGAAATTTTTTTGTGGAGCATAAATTTTTGGAATCGTGGCGCTAAAAAAATTTCTTATTAAAAAAATATCAATTAGAAATGGATTTTGTCTCGTTTTACCACTGAAAACATTAAAAAGTGAATAAAGTATTTTATGACCCAAAATGGCTAATTTTCCATCAAAATTCCTAGTCAAACCTATTGACAAAAGAGCCGAGGGCGGGATTTCTGTGGGCGCAGGCCGCGGCGACGACTGCGGCCACGTTGGCTTCGATTTGCTCGTCAGGCATCGAAAGCTGAAAAAGGCCTTTCCCCATGAAAACGTCTGGAAATGAAGAGACTCTTCCGACGACGCAGTCGCTGAGGCCCCAGGTCGGATAGACCGGGTCCGCCTTGATGTTCAGCTTCACTCCGTTCTTGAACTTCTCGATGAGCTCTGGAAGATTCTCGCCGAGACCACCTCAAGTTCTAAATTGCCTTCAAAACTGGAGGCATACCAACCATTGGACCTTGTAGGAAATCTCGTTTTCAGAATTCCTCGCAGTGGCAAAATGAAAGAAGCCATATCAACGTGTGAAACACAAAAATCATAGTCATCGATTCGGAATTGGCCCTTGATAATCTGCAAGGCAAAACGAAACATTACAAACTTCAGAAAGCAAACTTTTTTGATCATGTCTTGTCCGACCGCAATTTCAGCCCCAGACTGTACCGCCAAATCTTGCAATTTCGTGTCCTGTACAAAGGCGAGAATCGTCCGTTTCTCGTTGTGTTTGAAGGGAAACGGCACCGGAACGATCTCGTCGCTGCTCGTCACCATTTTCGTCTGAACAAACAAAAGAATCCTTGAAACTATGTCTCTTTTTTCGGATTGTAACGAAATGATTTGATTTTCAGAGGTATTCAATGATAAAAGCTTTAGCAAAGAAGAAGTAGTCACGTGTGAGTTATATAAAAAAATTGATTTTTTTCGATTTGATAACGACAAAAAAATCTAGAGTGTATGATTCCACCATTTTTAATTTTTTACTGTGAAACGATCTAAAAAAATTTTTTTTTTTATTTCTTTTTTTTTCCTTGGAACAAAGTTTTTCCAGAAACGGTTACATTGAAATTAATATAAAAACAAGTAAAACCAGACCTACAAAAAAACTTAGCTTCACGGTTCAATTTGTAAATGAAGTAACTCTGAATTTCAAAAATGAATTCAACTAGTATGATGATGCAAACTATGAAGCAACCAAAAAAAATTGCAGGTCTACTTAAAAAACTTTTCTAGAAAGTTATTGAATTTTCAAAAAAAAGACCAAACCTGACGCTCAGTGTTCATGTTGAGTTCCAAGCGCAAACGGACGGGAGCATTCGGATTGTTGTACATATTTGGCGCCTGGATCTCTCGATGCATCAGAAGAGCCTCCGAAACGGAATAGTACTGCGTCTTGAAGTGGCTTCTGGAAAATTGAACTAATTGAATGAATTTCCACTGGCACATGTAGTTGTTTTTTAAAACCTCAACCCAAAAAAACCTACTAAATGAATCCGAAAGTATATAAATATCGAAAAACTCTCAAGGAAAAATTATATCCTATGAAGTTTTTATGGAAAAGAATACCAACTTGATGAACACGTCCAACGTCGGCTTTTCTGGCAGAGCGACTTCATTTTCAGGTACAAGACGTCCCGGAAACTGTTGAGAAGGCGACAATCTTCAAATAAACTTGTTTGAAGGATTATAATCAGAGCTCATGAAGATTCCGAGACGAAGAGCCGTTTTTAATTTTATCTAAAATCGTGCAATAGCCCTGGCGTATTCGAAAGCCTAACGAAAACTCTAAATTTTTTTTCGGAAAGTACTCGGACGTCGACTTGTCCCTAATTGAATTTCTAAAAATCAGAGAGGAAACGAGCGATAATGTAAATCCCAATGGAATCTTCTCCGATTTCCAGAAAAAGTTTTCTATTCGCAGGAAAGCCTCTTCATTTATGATCAAACTGACAAGTTCTTCATTCGTCGAATATTGATCCTCTCCATAAAGGTGTACTGTTTTCGAGCCGCTTCTTTTTCTTCTCTTTTTATCCGCCGCTCGAGCCTTTGCTGTCGCGTCAAAGTCTGCTTAAGTGCTCTTTTCCTCCCTAAAAGTATGTTTAATTCACCAAAATCCCAAAAAAATTTACCTCTGACTTGATGAATTTCACCGAAAACTGGTCGCAAAACAGGACCACCGCTTAGAACTGAACTACATGGCAAAGCCAATGTGTTTCGAAGAAGAGATAACATCTTCAAGGTTTCGATAGCAATCAAAAATTTAATAAGACATAGATAGAAGATGATGAGACATATTATCAAAGAAAATAAACAATTGATTTCAAAAATTTATCCAAAAAAAAAAATATATCTAGAGCAACACTGATACACAAAGAATCAGTACTGATGAGGAACGTTAGTTTGAGACCAGTCATACAGATTTAGCTCTCGCGAAATCGATGAGGAGTAAATCGGATCAATATACGTGCACCATGCCGTAGAAGAAGACCCATAGAAGGACAAAAGTGAGAAGACCGTTTCCATGAGACCAAGTCAGCGAGTTTCGGTCAGGGAAGTAGAGCGACCAACCGCCTTTTGCTTTTGTTTCCCAGATGACTGCCTGAAAAAAAAAACCGTAAACTTCAAAATTAAAAATCAAAAAATCACCTGGAAAAGAACTGTCGCCAGATACAACAGAAATCCGTTGATTCCTGTCAGACCGAGGATACCTGAAGAAAAGAAACCTTCAAAAAATTAACGAAGTTTTTTATTACCTGCAGCGATTCCCGCGGCGGACGATTGACAAGTTCTGCCAAACTCGAGGGCCTCCAAATTATGAGCCAAAGCTGCAGTACTGAAATTCATCGTTTAACAAATAATTCAAAATAGTTGATCAAACTTTAAAGAATCGTCCGCTTTGGAGCTGCGTTTGCGGGTGTCGGTAGACATTGCTGACTATAAATGAACTTATCTATTGTTTAATAAAAACAAAAAATAAGAAAACAAGAAAGAAAAGGAAAAAGGAAAAAGGAAAAGAAAAAGAAAAAAAAAACCGAAAAAGAAATCGCGCGCTATAGCCAAAATCGATTGGAAGGCCCGAAATGGACCACTTTTCCGGCCTTTTGGTTGCTCCAAACATTTCTTTTGTTCTCTTTCAGTGTATGTGTCATAGTTTTCTTGAAAGCCTGCAATCGATTCAGGGATAGTATGAACAAACCGCTTTCAAAGACGTTTCAAAGTTTCACGATTGGCAACTTCAGTTTTCTCAATTTTTCTTTCTGCTAAGCTGAGCTCGCAAATTGTTTATAAATTTTGTTATTGACGTCGTTTGGGTGTAAAATTCCTAAATTAATTAAGTAATTGCTCAATTGTTCCCATTTTGATCGTAAAAATCTGGCTAGTTACTTTTTTAAGTATGCACATGAGATAAATAATAAATATCCTTTTCAGGAGATGGCCGACGTTGAAATCAGTGATGCCGAGAAGGTTCGGATTGCTTCGGATTTCATAAAGCATGCGCCACCTGGAGAGTTCAACGAGGTAAAATGATGATTCGAATCAGATGAAATCTTCATATTCAGGTGTTCAATTCGGTGAGAATGTTGCTGAAGAACGACCATTTGCTGAAAGACAAATGCGTCGAGGCCATCTCTCAGTACAACGTCAACCAGTTTGTTCCTGTGAAACTGGAAGGAGTCGAGAAGCAGGTTTGTCTGGGTATTATTTTCTTTTAATCATGATAAGCTCAGACCTTGATCACTCCGTACAACGACTTGGGTAATGGAAGATTCTACGACGAAGTCTCCAGAAAGAGCTTCAAATATGATCACATGCGCAAAGAAGCGAGCGATGTGCAGCCGCATCAGAGCGAAGGAGGAATTAACGAACAATGGCGCGCCGCTCTTCAGAAGGTTTTTTATTATCTAAAAAAATAATTCAGCGTTATTTTGAATAGGAATTGGACCACTACGTCGATGAGCACTATTCGAAGTCTGGCGTCGGCGTCTGCTTCGCTCGGAATGGATCGTTCAACATTTGCATCGAGTCTCATCAGTTCCAACCCAAGAATTTCTGGTCAGTTTAACCCAAGATTTTAAGCTTCTGAAAAGTTTTTTTCGGGAATGGTTCAGTATTTTTTAGGCAAATAAAAGATAGTAGAAATTAATTTTGTTTTTGGAAACCAATTAGAATACTTTACCAAGCGCCATAGGATATATCGTTGTTCTTCTTTAATCAGTTAAAATAAATTAAAAAAACCAATTAATGGCTTCAGAGACAAGTTTTAAAAAAATTAAATGAAATCGTTTCTCTTAGTTTCAGTATGTTGAATTTTTTTACAAAAAGCTATTTTTTGTGATCTTTATTTTTTTTTTCACTCATATTTAGAACATATTCTGGATTTGCTTTTTGAACTTTCTGTTATATTTCAAATTTAATTTAGTAAAGTTGGTTTGTATAATGAAGGGATTGATTGAAGTTCTGTTGCTTATCAATTGGTTTAGCAACGGCCGCTGGAGGTCCGAGTGGAACGTTCCCGTTGGAGAAGGAAAGTCGGGCTCACAGGAACTCAAAGGTCGCATTTTGTCGCAGGTAAAAAAAATGAATAGAATTGGGAGAAACAGAGACAATTCTTTCACCAGGTGCACTATTACGAGGATGGAAATGTTCAACTATTCTCTGATAAGGAACCTCTCATCAAAGTTCAAATCTCGGTAGCACAGTTTTCCCTCAAGGTTATTGGGTGCCTCTTTCAGGCTGACATCGAAAAAACGGCCAAGGACGTGCTCCACGCTATTTGCGACGAGGAAGCCAAATATCAGGTGTAGATTACTTGTCGTTGAAAGTTGTTCCTATGATTGTTTCATGGATTTTTGCGTTATTAAAGATAGGAACTTTCACTGTTGGAGGAAATATTTTTTCAATAAATTGCGTTTATGGGGGAAAAAACTTAGGCTGTCTAACGATATACTGCACTTCTTTTTATTCGAGTAATGAAAAAAAAAAAATAATAAGTGAGAAAACTTTGAACTAACCATAGCTATCGTAGCGATTCTCTTGTTTAGTCAACGCCTTTTTGAAATGTAAAAAAATACTTCCATAGTCTACAATTATTCTGTTTTTATCGACCCGTTCTTGACCCTCAACAAATAATCCATTTTGTCGTTCAGAACGCGATCCAAGAGAATTACGCTTGCATGTCGGACACGACTTTCAAGGCGCTGAGACGTCAGTTGCCCGTTACTCGCGCCAAAATGGACTGGAACAAGGTAAAATTTTCCCGTTTTATCAAAAATCAACGTTTTTTTGAAGGTTCCGACCTACCGCATCGGACAAGAAATGAAGTAAAAAAACGGCCGTCTTTCCTTTAGCACTTTTTCCATTCAACCAATGTAATCTTCGCTTTTTCTTGCTCTTGTAGTTCCCGATTTGTCTTATCGGGTAGATGGTCAAACAAGCTTCCAAATCCGTACGAAAGCCACAATTAATCATCTGCCTCCGTTGCTGTTTTCGAACTTCTTTCCTCATCAAAAGCAGCGCGACGAGCTTAAAACTGAAAATACCAATATTTATCTATAACTTATAATCTTCTCAAATCCACTGCTTTACATAGATTCGAATGTGTTCCGTTTCTCGCCACACCCAAACAAACCTTCACAAAGATTTTTCCCTCTTTTGTATATTTCCATTATCTTCCCCTTCCTTTTTGAAGCCTTATTGTTACTTTGGGTTCCGTTCAGTAAACTGCTGCCCTCGATTTTCCTTCTTTTCTGGTGTTGCTAGATTTTATCCATGCATAGTATAATTGCAGCTTGCTGTGACGTCGATATATACGCGCCTTTTTTCTTGTAAGTGATATTTATCCACCCCTCAATTATAGTTTTTTCCTCTTGGCTCATCCAACATCACGAGCTTTTCTTCTCCATCCTCGCTTTTCTATTTCCATCATGTTTGTATTTCTATCCGATTGTTCGAGGATTTGATTAAATGGAAGCTCAATGAAAATTTTTCGCTTTTGACTCATTTTTTGTGCTGAGCGGTACTGGCCGCTTTTTTGTATCTCCACATCTCTTGACCATTGCGAAAAGAGCAGTCTTTTGTTTGCTTTCTTACGCGTCAAAGAACAAAGCGGAAGAATCAAAGCTATTTTTGAAGTATTTACGGAAAAAAAACTGGAAAGGAAAAGCTTGAATTTCAGGTATGCCAGCGCCTATATCCGTTGGTGCAAATGTGACCACAACTGCAGCTGCGATCACAAAGTGAGTTTCCGTCAAAAATTCTTTTAAATAAAAAGTAATGATTCTATAGCCCAGAAAGGAAGATATTTAATTACGCTACTCGATTCGGAATCGAAGAAGGAGTTAATATTTATCTCTAGAGTAACCTGTAAACTTTTATCTGATATCAGAACTTTTTGTTGTCGTTCAATTTTAATTCATTATGATTTTGAAGAGCGGCTTCTACAACGATGGCTTCTGTTGCCAACAAAATTTTAACAACGGTATGAATTATACTTTTCAAAAATTTCAACTTACTTTTTCCAGTTGAGCTCTAATGACACAGAAACGACCACGTCAACAACTTTGACGCCTTCAACGAGTTCAACGACGACCACCACCTCGTTGCCTCATACGACTACAGGTAGTAAAAGTTCGAATTTCAATAGAAAAAGACTTGATTTCAGTGGATTCTCCGGATCCGGAGAGCGTGGCGCTCGGAGTAGTTTTCATCTCTCTGATCATATTCGTTGTCGCGGCTGCGCTCGTCGCCAAAATTGTCTTCAGCCACAAGAAAAAGTGAGTTGAGTAGAACTTTTATAAAAGGGAATATTAGAAAAATTAAAAAAAGGAGGTCTAGAGTTTTCAAAAGAATTGGCCCAAATTCTATCAATGATTCGTTTTTTCAGTAAATCATGTTTCATTCAAGTTCTTTCGGGTAATATTAATTTGAAAGATGTGTTTTTTTGAAAGATTGCTAAACCATTTTTGATTTGAATTTTTTTGAATTTTGAATACTTTTTTTATGAAGTCTTTTTCAGTACAATATCGATAAGAGTGGGTTGTCAGTTTTCTCCTTTCTCGAGAAAAATACCTGATAAAAAAATTATTATATTTAAAAAAACAGAACTTTATCCATGTAAAATGACTAACTTTCACACTACAACGCTTTCAAGATTTTTTAAAAAGGGTTTGCCGCCATCACCATTGGTTTTTTTTTGGCAAATTACGTATTCGGAAAAAAGAAAATAACAAATCCGTTTTCAATTGAAGAAGAGCGGAACTGATCGGCGGAAGTGCTCGCTGGAGACTTTCTGCTTCTCGTCAGAGCGCGGCAAGTGCGTCTGCTGCGTCGAACCAGACGACGGCCTCGTACCTCCCGATGGGCGCCCGCAACGGATCCGCAGACGCCGCCCACGCCCAGCCGCTGACCAACGGTCTGGACAATCCTGGACCAGATCGTCTCGACTGGGAGCGACAGTTCTTCGACGACACCGAGGCCACCGTTTGTTTTCCCTTCCTTCATTCGAACCATATTTCAAATTATGGCTAAAAAGGCTTTCATTCAGATAAACGTCGAAATTTGAACATTGAAAGCTTGGTATGTAGTTGGAGTGTTGTTGAATGGTCGTCTTGTGAATATTTTTCTATTCTGGATTTTTCAATGTAATAGTTTTGAAATCATTTTCAAAATTTCGAACGTAAAAAGAGTTAAGAATCGAAGTTATGGTTTTGCAGGTTGCACCAGCTCGCCGAAACCTCTATGACTACTAGATGGTCATCTCACTTTTATTCCTTTCATGATATCCTCTGTTTTTCTTTTATTTTCTGAATTCACGTACAAAATGTTTACTTGCATAATCTTTTTGCCTGCACAAATTTTTTGACATTGCCAAAATTATTACATCTCTTGCTATTTTCATGCATTCCAGGTCCAGTGCGACTATCACTGATATCTCTTCGATGCTTTATCCATCATCATTTTCTTTGCGGGAAACTATCTTTCTTGTCAGCTTTCGTCGTTTTTATAGAGTAAAAATTTGTTCATCAAATTAGTTATGTACAACGGTTTGATAGAGAAAAGCAGAGATCGCGGATTGCAAGAAAACCCGACGAGGGTGAAATGGATATGCGACGTGAGCGAAAGATTTCATTGAACGACTCGATCTCTTTTTTTTTCCTGGTGGAACAAGTCGTTCAACTTTGCAAATAAGTACTAGCTCAGTCTAGGAAGTTGGTGATCTCTTCCGACCGGTATCTAGGGGAATCGCGAATCAAATGCAATTTCGATGAGCTTCTAGTAGATTGGCGTTTCCTGCGAATGATGAGTTGGCTGGAATTCGCTGGTTCTCAGCGACATTCGCTTCAGACGCGCCGCCGCCATCGCCGCGTGTGTGAACTGAAAGTTCCATTTTAAAATAGTTATGTTTTCGTTATGTTTCCAAGAAACTATCAAGAATGGAATTTCATGGATTTGCTGACAATTTCCTGTTATTAGTCAAGTTTAAAAAATACTTTCAAGAAGTTAAGCTCGAGTTCTAACCTTCTATTTCTTATTCAATTCTGAGTATTTTGCTATTTTGAAAGAAAAAAATGAAAAAAAAATTTGAGCGTCGGGATGTTTGTCTTTACGGTCGATTATCTATTAAATTCGAACACATTTCTGGTGGTTTTTACAAAAAATGTGAATATGAATGAGTTTTTCAGAAATTTGAGCCAGGAACTACATTCAAACGATTATTGATTCGAATCAGACGCGCGAAGAGAATTGTTTTGAATAAACAAGGGACAAACTATAGTCCTATCTTCAACTCGACCTCATCTGAGTAGACGTCGGTTTTGCTGGACGCAGTCGACGGGGCTCCAATGCTGCCGCTGCTCTGTCGACTGCGACGGCCCCTCACTTCCTGAACGAGTTTCACTTTTCAGACGGAAACTGCTCTGGAACGCTTGCCAGATAAGGAGAACTGCTTCCGCTGCCGGCACGAAGACTCGAACGAGTATTGCTCTGAAGAACGGACAAATATGATTGAGAAGACGTCCAGACTCACATCCCGGACGCTGAGTTTCTCCCGAGGCGATCGGGGGCTTGTGAACGGCGTGTTCGTGGAGGAGGAGGAAGAAGGACCTAGTCGGTCCCGTTCCGTTGCTAGAGAAATCCAAAAATCACCCGAGGCTTTAGCCAAAGCTGTTTTGTTTCGTTCACACGGTATTTAAATTATTTTCTGCAAGCATCACTTGCTGAGCTTAGAAAATAATTTCCTGTTGACTTTTCAATTATAGCAATTTTCTAGACTGATCAAATATTATATTTCTAAGACCCGCTGAGACTTGTTCGCTCGAAACTCACACTGAGCCCTGCTACGACGAGCACTGGAACTTCGTTTGACTGAGCCTCGCGGCGACTTGGACCTCATACAGCCGGCTGGAAAAAGTTTGAGGTTCCTCGGCTTCAGAAGAGAAGAGCTCACCGTCGGACCAATACTTGGAGAAATCTTTGACGCTTCGATTTGTATTTCGCACCGAAGGTGTTCTTCTGGCGGTGGTCGACGTCGGCGGAGCTGAAGAATTTATATTACAGGAAAAGGAAGACTTTTGTCAAGTATCCCGAGTCCAAGGCTTATTTTGAAATTTAGTGATGCCTTCTGGTTTTTCTATTTTTTTCTTGTATAATGAAGGTCATTGTGGAATAATAAAAAAAATTAAAAGGGATATATAAATTTTTCCCAGAAATAGGAAATAAAAAGTAATTTCACACCGCTTTTTGACAGCTCGCACACTTCTTCGTGTGTTGCTGGTGCCGCTGAACTTGGCCGCGCGATTTGTCGACTGACTTCCTCCCATCGGTTTCTGAACTCCTAGCATGAAGTCTATAGAGTCCGACAAAAAGGGCAAGTTTCAAATACGAACGCTCAAAAACTTACATTTACGCAAAATTTTTTTCAAAATAAATTTGTAATAAAATAATTGTTTCTATTCGAAATTTTGGAAAAGTTCTCATAAAAGGTTATAAAAAGCGACCAAAAAAATAAAAAGGACAATTCTAAATCAGTAAACCTATTTTTTCAACAACTAAGAGACTTTTAGACGACTTCAAGTTTATAGTAAATCTCTAAATTAGTCTCGCACCTTGCGAATGTCTTCTAGAAGTGACTCGAGAACTATAAAGTCTTATAATCATCAAGAAAAAAATAATGAGATTTAAAAGTTGACAGAAAAAACAGATGGTGTATTTTTTCGAACAAGAGAAGGGCTGAAAAAGTTTTCGAACATTCTAGCAGTTATTATGCATTTCAGGTCTGGAGGCTTCTCAAAAGTTTCTCAGAGCAAAGACTGTGAATGATGAAAACAAGAAAGAAGAAGAACGGAGCCGAAAAAATGAGAAGGACATGAGCTTATCGCCTCGGCAGGTTCAGCCGCGCGGAAAAAGCCTCTCGGAAACATTGTCGAGCCGCCTTCGCTTGTTAATTCGCGCGTGTTTTTTTCTGCAACAAATGACGCAACTCTGAATATATAAAAAGAGACATAATGGGGATCGTGTGTGAGAAAATTGACGCTTTTCAAAGTACTATGCAGAATGAAGATTACTATTAACACAGAGATCCTTTTCGAGAGGGCGTTCCAAAACTAACGGACTGCTAATCAACCGCTAATTATGCGTTTCTTAAATTGAGAAAGAAAATTTAAATTCGCAAAAAAACTTGAGAAAACTGAGAAAATTGAAATTCGAACTAACAGCTTATGCGGAAGAAGCATAAAGTACTCAAAACGTTCTTACTCTATGAATAATCTGCTAGCAGGTGAAATATTCGTTCCGCAGAAAACATTTCGAAGCAAACATCTGCGAACTGACACAGCCTTTTTTTCTCTCTATTTTTCCTTGAAAAAAATTTTTGAAAAACTTTAAGAAAAAAATTTTTCGTTTTGAAAACTTTAAGAGAACATTTTTGAAAAGAATGTTCAATCAACAGTAAATGCTCGAATGTTTTAAAGATTTCGGAGGACTTCAAATTCGATTTTGTATATTTCCAATGTTACGACATATAAAATCTCTCATAAGATAAAGCGGTTGAAAAGTTCACGCATCCCACAAACTTTCGGCGTTTGACAAATGGGTTGACGCAAAAAATGACATCTTGCGAAAAATAAAAGAAAAGAAAGGGTAATACATTTTCTCATACAACATCTCACAAACAACAACAAACGAAGCGTAAAAGTTGAGAATGAAAAATTGATGTCTATCTGAAATTCTGAGTTTCTAACGGCGTTTACTTTTTTCCGTAGGTTTAAAAGAACTTCAGTTTCAATTTCAAAAGACTTTTTTTCGTACCTGATTGATGTAACTCGTCTTCACTTCTGGTCTTTCAACTATTTGTCACAATAGGGAAATGTCTAACAAATATTGGAAAACCTTGAATCTGAAATTGAACATCCAACATTTATCGTCTCAAAAAGTGAAAAAGGACGTTCCAATAAGAAGACTCATATCAAATGTTTGGCTATGCGAATATGCATACTAATTGGTCAGAAGAAAAAAAAGCTGAAATAAAAGAAAACGAAGACGAGAACGAGAGCTTTTCCTGTTCGTCGAGTCCGAATTGGGCCGGTTAAGCCATTATTATCTCCGCTCTCGCAGGACCACAACCCACGCATAATTTGTTCCCGAAGCCTTAATTCCAATGAAAATTTAAAGAAATTTTCTGTAAGATTGAGAAACCAGAATAGCGAAAGCAAGGATGCGAAAAAATGAAGATCAAAAAGAAAAAATTCGCGAAGTAGTGCGTGTGATGAAGAACTTCATATGCAAAATAAGGCGACGAACTTCAGGAAGACCAATTTACGGAGGATTTTTTCATAACTCAAGAAGGAGGCTTTGCGGATTGTGCAGCAATTTGCATAATGTCGGCTTTTTCATTCACTAATACCAAACAAAGCTGTTTTTGGGCCGCGCTTTCTTCCTTCATCCCATCTTTTTCCGCCTTCCTGCTTGACGGGCTTGACGCACTCGATCTCGGCCAAATGAAGACCGAATAGTGGCATTTCGACGACAATTCCGACATGTTTTATGCTGAAAAGGGCTGTTTCACTGAGCTTGACCGCCGTTCGGCTGATTTCTTAATGTTATCCCGTTTTTCGGAAATCAGAAAGAAATTTTCAAAGAAAAAGAAAGTCCTTCCATAATCAAATTTCTGAAGAGGAACTTCAAAGTTTTCGGATATCTGGCAGCTTCATCCATGAAAAAAAACATAATTCGAAAGCGCAAAGAGTCTAAAAACCATCTTAAACTGGCTTGTGGCAATATTGAATGAAGCTTTTTGAAGAAATAGCGTTATAATTTACAAAAAAATAAGCGGTTTGAATTTCACTGTAAAGTTTTTTTGCTTTAGACTAGCAGTGAATTGCATATATATATTGAATCAAATACCAAGTTCCCCAAATTTAAGATTTGTCTCGAAAACTTCAACCTAAAAACTACTGAAACCTTTGCACAAACTAAATATTGAATATTATTTTGAAAAATTCCTGAGAAATATTTTCCAAAGGTTTTTTTTTCCTCTCTGTGAGCTCACTTTTCACCTCAAAAACCTGTTTTCCAAAACAACCTTTTCGAAGAAATCTTATCAATAACGATAGGCCGGCTCAAGCATGAGTTATTGAATTTGGGATGAAAGATAAAAAAACAAGGAAGAACTTCAGAGGAAAAAAAAGCGTCTTGCCTACTCGCATCTAGAAGTCAAACGATAAAGTTTTCAAAATGGGAATGTTGCGGCTGTTATTATTGTCACGGCGAGCGTAAGAATGGCGAGTTATCGTCTGAGATGCGCCGCCTGGGATTCGACGTCGACGGCTTCACGATTCTCCGCCCCTCGTCGGTTTGAATTTGTGCCGTAGGGCAAATCAAATGAGTGTTTTTTCGACGTCGAGCCACAAAGCCGGTTATTCATACTGTCGTTTCTGCGAATAGCTAAGCCGATTTGACAGAGACGGTATCTTCATTTGAATTTTAGCGAATATAAATTACCGACACATTCGCCACCACGTCACCGAAGAAAATTTACAAAAAAAAATACTTCTGTTTTATTTGTTTACGGAGGCTTTCATTCAATGAGATAGGCGGAGGGGACTAAAACTGAAACAAGAGATTTTTCATGAAGAATAGTACAGAGTTAAACTAAACATCAACTCATGGAAAGAAGCAAGAGAAGTTTGCGTAAAAGGTTTGATTGCTATTATTTCCGTTCTGACATAGAAAAAACAAGAAGTTTGTACCAACATATGTATGATAAAACTGACTTTTTCATGCAGCATACAATTCTAGAGAAAAAGTAGTAAACTACAAGTTGGTTTTATCGGGTGAACTAAAAACTAAATAAAGGCGCCGTTCAAACAAATCATATGGAACAAAACACTACTACACCTGCGATGACGTGTCAAATTAACAGAGCCAAAGATAAGCTCCGCCGACTCCTTTTGAAAATACGAGGATTTGCAGCTTTGATGCGAATATGAACGAATAAAGCCGCTCAAGATAAGATATCATGCTACTATTTATTCTCGGAATGGTTCTTTTTTGAAAGTCCTAATAAAAAAACGAGAAAAAAATAGTGGAATTAAAAAAAACGCTAAGATGGTTTTGAACGTGATAATGGAAGTGAATACCTTCTTTTCTTTGAAAAAAAGGGATTATGAAAATAACACGTTGAAAACGCAGCCGGAGCACCTACTATGGGTTGTTTGTGGCTATTCAAACCTTCGATAAAAAAAAGTTTCTTTAAATATTCCTATTTAGAACTGACATCGAATTTCGGACTCAAAATTTTCTGTTTCGAAAAAAAACACTGACTGCAGATGAGAGTGTAATACAATCGGTTTTTTGAACCCAGTTTACTTTTGAAAACATTAACTTCTCGGATATCTTTTTGAGTGCTTTTCGCCCCAAACATAAAAGTGAACCTACTAAAATCCTTCGCAGCAAACTAGATATAAAGAATATTTCCCGATAACTTGAAATCGTTGATCACTTACTAAGAAAAAAAAAAACACAAGTAACTCCATAGATTCATATTATTATTTTTTTGCATTCTAAGAAGCTAATCGTGATATACACTCGCCCAACTCTCAAGGCTCTTTATGATCAAAATTTCACGTCATTAATATGAGACAGCGATACACATTTAAAGAAAAATCGGAAAATTAAAAAAAAAAACTGACTAGTGAGAGGTGAGTTGATATATCGCGACGAAAAACAAGCAAAAACTTAGTGATTGTAATCTGGTGAACATTTCAACCAGACCTAGCTCATTTTCAGCTTCGAAAATGAACAGTTAGAACGAAATAGCCAAGGTAATAAATTGCACACTGACTCCAGTGAACAAAGCGACTGGAGAAGAATTGGCCTGGAGCTCCAAAAACAGCACAGACGACGACCGATTTTCTTAACTCGAATGGAATTGTTTCCGTTGTATGATAGTCGAAAGGAAAGGACAGGGAAATTGGATGAGGCCCTGAGAGCCGTGAAATGCAACCGGACCAGCGCCACTTTCAAATTTCATTCCATTCTTCCCAAAAAAGCATAAGTGCGGCGCTCCTCCCTCCGTTTTTTGTGAGAATTTGCTAGTCAAAGTTCTTTTCGGATGCTCACAAACAGAATAAATGAATATGAAAACTGATAGAAAAAAAGTCGATCAAAAAATTGAGAGACTATACAGTATGAATTGAAAAAATTGCATAGTGGGTCAAATAAAACATCGAATAATAAACGCAATCAAAAGGATCAGATGAGTTTCAAGAAATTAGTAGTCGGTATTCAACTGCACGTAAACTTCATTCACGGCTAACTTGTGACATTCAATTTTGCTAGTCTTTTCAGGAAATATCTTGATAACTGTCGTAAGCCAGCGGCGAGTAAAACACAAATCGAAAGAAAGATTCTCAAATTTTAAAAGCGCAAATGAAAAAATTCAACGACATTAAAAAAAAATTCAAAGTGGGACTTTTTTGCCCCTCTCCCATAGAGCGCAAGTGAGGTGAGCGCATATATACTCAGGCACTGGTGCGCGCACGCGCAGGGGGTACTGATTGTTTTTTTCCCTTTTCTACTGAAATACGGTTTTGAAAAATATTTTTTATATTTTTGTGAAACTACCCAGTGCCCCTGCTCACGTTTAAAAGTTGTTCCGAGCACTTTTGAACAAATTTATGAAAAAAAATTGCCAAGTGAAACTTTGATATTTCATATTTTTGTGCAATCTAATTGTTATAAACTGGTGCAGAGCAATGATAAGAGATGAATAGACATCAAAAATGTTAAATTTATAACTTTTCAATTAGTTAAAAAGCTAAAAACAAGAGTGACACCCCGCGCGTGCGCGCAGCAGGCGGCGCGCATGCGCTCTTTTGACAACAAACACGCGCCGTCAGTGCCTGAGTAATGAATTTTTTTCAAAAAAAGGTTCAATTTTTTTCAATGCTTTCAGGCATGTGCGTCAGGCCGGGCGGCACGGCCCGGGCCGGCCTGGCCCGGGCTTTGGGCTGACAATTTTAGAAAAATTTTAGAAAAACATAGTTTCTAATAACTCTATGAGAAAAAAAAGTTTAAAAAAACACTTTTTCTCGTTAAAAAAAGCGAAAAAAATTCGACTTGAAGAAAGTTTGAGTTTTTTTAGGCCGGGCCGGTAATTTGCTTAAGGCCTCCCTAGGGCCGGGCCGGGCCGGGCTTGGAAAGTGGCCGGGGGGCCGAGAGGTTGACGGGCCGGGCCTCGCGCAAGCCTGAATGCTTTTCAGCGCAAAATCCTATCTTTCATAAGTTTTCATGCCTTCTTCAAAGAAATCAAACCACATGCTGCGAAACAGGTAACTAGATTGAGTAATCGTCAGACAAAAGATTAAGAAAACCCTTCAATTTCATTTCGCGTCATATTGTGTAAGAACTAGTTTTAAAGATGCGGTTTAATTTTTCTTGTTGTACTTTGTCTTGCTATGTATATTTTTGTTTTTGATGCCTTTCTATTTGTTTGAAAAGGTTACAGCTAAAGTAATCGAAAGAGTAACTAGATTTAAAAAAAAGCAAGCAAATTTTTAGAAGACTTTTGAAATCTTTTAGAAAGCAACATGTGAAATTTTTTGTTTCATTCTCCAAAGTTGCATTTTTGCTTTACACATCATTTTTTGAAAAGTAGCATTCACGTTGAAGACTTTATAACAATATGTCCCCGTATCTGTCCATCATCACCGAGGGCAAAACGGCGATGCATCATCGTGATCATCGCGACGTCAGCTGCAGGGACTACAGCCGCCGGCGTTCGTTGCATTTTGTTTACGACAAGTCGCCGTGCAGCTCCGTCCGGCGGCACTTGTTTTTCCGCTCTCTCGCCGTTCTTCATACTTTTGTCTTGTTTTTGAGCCTTTTTTTTGAAAATTATATCATATTTCACCTTTTTCAGTTATCATTGAAATAAAACAGAATCAGCTGAAAAGATGGATTCTATCACCAAAACTGTGTGGTGTAAAAGTTAGAACTGACATTTCAAAGTTTTTTTTTTGCTTTATTTTTCTTTTTTTGTGAGGATATTTTTTTGTATCAAGTGGTAAATTTGAGGAGCTACAAAACTACAAATTAAAATCAAAAAAATTAAATTAATTTAATATAGCGCATTCTAGATTACATGTTATAAACTTACTTTTTGAGTTCAATGTCCCAATTTTGTTTTATTTCATCTTCGAGTTTGACAAAATTTTCATTCAATTTTCGTTTTTTTCATCCCATTTTAATTGGACTCTTCAAAAGGTTTGTTTCCGCTCGCCGTCTCTGATCTCTTATCAAATATGTCATATTCTCGCGCATTGTGATGCTCGAAATGCTTTAACAAAAATCTTTCCTGTCTGTTTTGTTTGCTCTCTGGTTTTTTATGAAGTTTGAAAAAAAAGTAGAGAACAGTAGCGAAATCATGCTATTCAAAAGTTTGCGAACGTTGGAATATTAGGTCCCGTGGCAGGCGAGGGAAATTCTAAAACAATTCTCATGGGATCGATTTTGCCGCTGAGTCAACACGTACGGTTCCTTTTACGATAGCATCATTTTCAAGCTTTACAAAAATCTCTTCAAAAATTGAATGTTTTTGAATGCACGCTTTTTTTATGTTTTCGGCGTCCGACCTTGATCCCGTTACACTAGACAAAGGGTGCTTTGCCATGGTCGCGAATCGGACCATTGCTAAGAAAATCGTGTATTTTGAGCTGTGAGAGATGTTTCTTTCATACTTTTCCCACTTTGATTAGCGCTAATATGTTATCATACTTTTTCATTCATCCGCCCTTATATATGGAAAACAATTTATTGACTCTTTGGGATCTCAGAGACCAGCTCAAATATTTTGTGCCAACATTCTTATATTTTCATATCTATGAACCACTGAGAACGTGATTCACAAGTAGTCAAAAACGCAAACAAAGCTACGCTCACACGTTTTTTCCTCGTTACTCATGCGTTCGCCTTCGCTTTTCCATCTTTCCTCGGTATTAGCAAAAGATCCTTTCGATCAAAGAATTTGGTTCTTGTCTTCAAATCGATCTTGAAGTTTTCCTTTAGAATTTGTTCTTAATTCGAATCGAATCAACTTAGGTGAATCTTTTCTCCTCGACTTTTTTGTTTGTTTGTGTGGAGTGTCAATGAGGTTGCGTAGGAACTTGAGGAACAAGAGTTCTCTTCGTTTTCCTCCGTTCTTTGAATAACCAATGTAACTTTCGCTTCATTCTCATAACAATGAGTCTCATCTAGTATCTTTCCTTATCACTGAGAGCAATACCACAGTCATAAATCGGAATGGTATTGCAACTAGGAGTATCGGAAGTTTTTTGATTTTAATGTGTTTCTGCTCTTTTCCAGTGCGTGGTTTCGTTGTTCTCATGTGTTTATTTCGACCGTTAAATCGATTTTTTCACTCAGCGAGTCATGTTGTAGAAGGGCCATTTGCTGCCAATAGTGCCATAATCGCATCAAAGTCGCTGAAAAAATCGTCGAATCAAAATCGGAAACTAGGAAACAGATTAGAAGAACCCGAATGAACGGCCGCGATGGTCCCGCCGTTAATTAAAGAATTTGTCTATAGGATAGTCCTTCCTTCAGCTCTTCTTTCAGGTTTTGTTATGAAACTGAAGATTCTGTCCGTATGATCTTCTTTTCAGCTGCCGTAATCCGACCGTCGTTCATTTCCATAGGATATGTCATCTTGGGATTGTTCAGCGCTCTCGTTCCGTCGATCAGTGCTCAGTTTCCCACTCCTAGTTGGTTCCTTTTTTCTCAGCTCTTCTTACTTCCTATTTTTCAGGACGACTACAAGCATATTTAATATTCACCGTGTTTTATACCGCTGTTTGTTTAATCTGTCAAATTGTCTACCAGGTTTGAAAGGAGGTTTTTCATTGAAAAAGGGAAAGATTTAGATATACGAAGCTGTACATCGGAAACATGAAATCGATTACGCAGCTTCGTGTAATTCAACTGGATTTGAGCTCTTACGAAGTTTTGGATTCATCAGGTATATTTTAAAGAAATTTTCATGTTTTTTTTCCATCTGCGAGCATTCGGTTAAAAAATCTGCGGACATTTTGATCTTTTCCATGTTATATTGTGTTATTCAAGACTTTCTATAAGGAGGAAGTCATAGAAAAGTTACAGAAATAGAAAAATAACATCAAAGAAATATAGAGATGGATTTATGTTAATATTCTGAATAAGTGTATTTTTAAGCTTCTATGCAATATGAGTTTTTTTCAAAAAGTTTAAAAAAAGTGGGAACAAGTGAATGCGGCAGAAAAGTATAAATGAAAAAGTAAATAAGAAATTATTTTCGCGGAGTTTGGAAACTTTCTGAAGTAAGAGTAAATACAAACACCTTTTGAAGACTCTAAAAAATTGTAACGATTGCTTCAGATTCCACGCGAACAGTGGCTTCGAGTCTTCGAGATCGATCTTTCCTGAGATCCTGACGTTCCCGATCGCAGCCTTCACAACTGGCGTCGTCTGTTTTTTGTCGCATCGCGAAGAAGAAATCGACGTCGTCGGAACCGTCCAGACTGTTCGCTCGAATCAGGCGACGTTTGCTCTGCAGCTGAATACTCAAAGAAGAAGTTCATTTTCAGGCCAACTCGACCGGCGGCTGGCAAGGGACCCGTGGCGAAGGCCTTCATCAGCGCCTTTAAAAGGCTCTCGAACTTTTCCATCATTCTCTTCGCCGCCATTGTTGGATGTATTCAGGTACAATATTCTTTTTATGAAAGATCTAATAATTAATCTGATATCATGGAAGGACTTTTAAGTGTGGCTTGAGTTATTAGATTTTTTTTTTCAAATCAAAACTGAAAAATTGCCGCGTGAGTGTAAGTAATGCTTATATTTGTTTTTTTAAAAAGTTCACTATTTTCTAAAGACTTCTTTATTCTGCCTAAGCGATACAAAAATCTTGCCTTCGAAAGTTTCGAGAGTTTAATTTTTGTTAAAAAAAATGTTTCGAGAAAGTTAATTTTTATTTTTGTAGCCATCATCCGTCTAAGAATCTCAAAAAATTTTGATGAAGAGAAATTCGGAATCAGCGTCAAAAACTGCATCTAGTAGTCTTATTTAAAAGTTCTACTTCGAGTTAAAATCATTTCCTAATTAGAAAAAGATAATTGTTAATTATTTTCTTTTAACTGTCATTTTTCCAACTTAGATACTTTTTCCAATCCTTCATTTTAAAGCCTTCGCTTCTCAACTTTCTCTACTTTTTCGCCTTTCTGTTCGTGACGACCTGGTGGGCTTCGTATAAGCCGCTCAGGTACCGGAACTTCAACTTCATCAAAAAGGTTTTATCTTTTGAAAGAAATTTTTTATTTCTGACTCTTCAGATCCTCATTCTCTATGCGATCTTTCACTTGACGGTCGTCTATGCCTACCAAATTCCTCTCGTTCATCAGTCCTGGATTCCGGCCAAAAGTTTAGTGGCGAGGTACTCTTTTTTTCAAATTTCTACTCAAACTTGATATCCAACTTATTCTAAAGTTTAAATTGCCTTACTGCTCTCCAAAAAAATTCTGATTTTTAGAATTTTTTTCAATCATTTCATTGAATAATTAACAAGGCTAGTTGAAAACTTTCAATTATTATCTACACAAAGATTCACAAACAAGTTTCAAATTTTCAATTATTTTTTTGAGAGCGGAAATTATTCTATAATGTGAAATTTTTTTCGTTTGTTCGGAGGGTGTAAATTTCAGTTTTTTTATTTAAAAACATTGAGTTGAAAAATAATCAGCTTCTGTATTACATTTTCCATTCTTTTCATAATTCACCCAAACTATTTCTCAGACTGGTTGGCTTATCTGTGCTGATGGATTCTTCATGTCCGGACTGGTGGAAATTTCCCTTTGTTCCTGTCGACAACGACGATTCCGCTGTCAACACCTGGCCCAAGTACGCCAATCCGATCGTCCTGCTGGTTCGGCTTTTGATCGTCGTGAAGAATCTGCAATAATCCCTTCTCAGGTCTTCTTCTACACCCTCGTTCTTCAATACGCGGCGACGCGAAACGGAACTCGCAACTACTTCGACGAAGAAGACACCGGGTCTTCTGTCCACGAAGAGGTGCTCCTTGTCTTTTTTTTTCTGTCTTTCGATCCCCTGTTCCCTTCATTGTCCTTGTCGTTCTTAAAAGCTCTCAATATGATGAGTTATCGGTTTCATTCTCGGTTTTGGGTGGTGGAATAGATTTTCTTTTTTACTTATCTCGAAATATTTTCAAAGTGGTGTATATGAATGAGCGCCCATCTGAATTTTGTCTACAAAATCTTAGAAAATGTAATTTTTTTTCTCATGGTTCGATTTTAAATTGTGGTGTTTATCTCTACGACTTAGTTTCTGACGGAAGCAAGAAATCTATTAGGTTCAAAATTTTCTGCATATTTCAAAAGCTTCTAGAAAATTTTTTAGCCTTATCACTGAGTTCTAATCTAAATTTCCACTGCTACTTCATGTTTTCCATTTTTTTTTTTCACAGAAATATCCAATATTCAATCTTCCTTCCTTTTTTCTAGCCTTCCATTTTTTTTTAATGTTTGGCTGCTCACCACTAACATACCAAAAAATAGCTCTACAAAAATATTTTCGAGCATGTGTTTGTCTACTGTGTCTTATCGTCGCGCAAGTGCTTTTGCTTTGAAAATATGTTTCAGAGGTCTTTTTCCGAGGTCCTCTAGATTTTGCATCCCGAATGTGTAGAGCGGCAAAGTGAAGGTGTTGTTTGATTTGTAGAGGTTGGCGTCCGGCGGAACGGTGGATACCGTGGTCGACGACGCGATTTCCGTCGCCTCGACTTCTGCCGGCTCGAGTAGCGGCCGACAACGCGGAACAACTTTGGTGGGTGGGGCGTGGATCAATTGCACTTAACTGAATGAAATGAATGCGTCGAACTCTGTAGTCACTGGCCGGAGACTTTTTTTTCGGATGGGTTTTGCTTTTAGAGGAGGTTTGTGTGCATGTCGTCGCTTATTGTTCTTTGCTTTGCTTGCGCTTCATAGTTTGAAAAGATTCCACAGGAATAGGGCAGAGAATCGGTACTAGTCTTATTGAGCTGAATATGTTTTTGAAATCGAAGCCTACGGTATGTCTCGAGTCACTTTAGAGGTTTCTCGAAAGAGTTTAGATTTTTACCTAGAAAAAAGTACTGATCGAGAACCAGATAAAAAAACGTCATATTTTTCTCAACATGTACAAGTTTTTGAAAGAAAAAATACTTTTTCGATTTGTTTCGTATATTTATGTCCAACGGCTTGTATTGAAAGAAAGAAAAGTAGAAACGAAAAAAAAGTTTTTTGGACGTTATGTTTTCAAAAAATTTTCCGAAAAAATTATGGTCTAGGAACGTCTTTTTTTGACTTCGCTCTGCTCTTTCAATGCCACTGAAAAAACGTTAATACCTTAAGATAGATTTTTTTAACAAAAAGCAGAAATTTCCTGGTTTTTACCGCCAGATCATTTTATGTGCTCAAAATCGTGTAAAACCCGATTTAAAAAGACTAAAAATAATATTCTTAATAAGTGAAAAATGAAAACAGCTTTTTTTCTAACAGAATTTCTTAACTTGCTTGATGTTACGGGGAAGGGAACCACGGCTTCTCGAGCTTTGTCACTCAAGAACTGCAAATAAATAACGGAAGAGCTAAATTACTGTTTTCAGCTCTTGGCAAGTCCTGATCATGGCGAGGACGAAGATCCGTCGCGAGAACGAGCTCAGGGAGAGGCTGGAGACGGGATTCCACTCAAGAAGGTCACCTCCAAGAACATCGACCGCAGGAAGATCAGCCACATCTTCAACGGTTCGTATACCTTTTTCTCCAAAGCTTTAGGCAGTTTTTAAAAGAAGATATGAAAGGAATATGAACCATTTACGTCCTCACATTACCCGGCGTAAAAGTTGATGCTTATAACCTCAATTTTTTTGGATTGGCGCTGATATTTTTGATAAGCCCGGTTCTATTGCAGCACCTGGAGAGGAAGAATCGGCGGCTTCAAAAGGAATGGTGGCGATTCTCTCCCTCCTCGTCTACCATGCCTACGCCCTAGCTCTAGCTTCGATGATGGTCTGCGACTTCAGAATAATACCTTTTTGACCTGAATATTCGCAGGTGTGGGCTCTCCTTTACCACTCGGTCTTCAGTCTTTGTCTTCTGATTCTGACTTGCGCCGTTTGGATCTTCCGTGATTCGCGCGGCGTTTCTTTCAAATTGGCTCCGCTAATCATCTTTTACATCGAGGTAGAGGAAAACAAACCAGATAGCTGAAAATTTCGATCATTTGCAGTTCCTGCTGCTGCTACAGTATGTGCTGTGCATGGAGATAACCGAGGTGACAAAGCAGTTCACCTGGATGGAATGGATGGGAATCTCCTTGACCAAAGACGCCGTCCACGCCATGGTCAACCTCGTCATCAAGGTCGAGAGGAGTGTTTAAAGCGGAAAAAATGAACTTTAGTCCGGAAAAGAAAACGGGTTCAAAGGCCAAGGTGCAAGCATATCAGTGTCGAGTTTCCCTGTCTAAAAATTTCAAAAAAACTAATGAAATAAAAAAATTTAATCAAGAGTTTTCAGAAATTATCTAATTCGTTTAATTTTTGAATTTGACTTATAATTTAAAAAAATTTTTCATTGAACTATTCCTTTAGAGCCAGAGAAAAACCCTTTTCCACGTGTTTCTTTTTTTCAGGTTATTTTGGAGAAACATTTCATTATTTCGAGAACTTTTTTATTCAAATCGTGTACTTGTTTGGAAAGAAGCTTTTTTTTTTTGCTCCCAATCAGCTTTCCTCGTTGTTTCCTTGTTCCGATGTTTGCCTCACTGTGTTTTGCAGAGAATTATTTATTTCGAACAGTTCTATTTTTTGAGAAAGCTATATCTTTAAACAAGTTTCACCATTTTTTGAGTCGCATTTCTCGAAGTTTCACGCTCTGCAGAAATATGTGATCTGAGGCAAAAAAAAAGTGTGAACTTTTTTCGTTGAGGACAGCTCTAGTTTATTAGAGATTTGCAAAATTTTTGTAAAGAACTCGTGTCGAATTTCGAGCTGCTTGAGCCTCAGTTGTTATTCTTCGCTTTCCTTGTGTCTTGACGCGTCATGACAAACGATTCGACCTAATTTTCCTAAAATTTATTCAATTTGATCAACGAAATGTTTGTTCTTTTGGGAATCGGAGCCGTTGTAAGTATTTCTCTTGGCAACATTTTTTTTTTTTTGAACTCGACCTTGGTTGAAAATTTGAGGCAATTACGTTTCTATCAAATTGACGTTTCCTGAAGTTTCCTTCTTTTAGTTTGCGAAATTTGCATAGAAATTAATTTTGAAATACTAATTTCATAGATATCCTTCCCATTTTGAGCCATTTGTTTTAATTTTCAGGTTTTCCTCAGTCTCCCCGTCTTCTTGCTGCTCCGTTTGAGCCGAAGAGAAAGGTCAGGGGAAAGGAGTCAATATTTCACTCAGAGAACGGTTTTACAGGTTCTACGAGTCTTTGTCAGAGTACGAAAGAGCCCGTCGCGCGAGTTCCTCTTATGGAACTTTCAGTTCGGCCGGAAGAAGACCCAGGACCGCCAGTATCGTGGTTCGTGAAGATCGTTTGGTGGAAGACTTAGAAAAAGAAGTAAAATCAAATTACCGGAAAACGAAGAAATAGGAAAAAGTCGGATTGAATAGTTTGCGTTGACATCATAATATTTACGATATGAATGGAAGTAGACGCCTTGTATGGTTGAAGGTCAGCAGAAGATGTTTGCTTCTTCAGATGCAAACAGACCTTTTTGTCTTCTGAAACACCTGTATCACTTGCCGATAGATTTTCCACGCATTGCAATCATATTTTCTCAAGAATTCCTTTCGTTTTATGGCTGTCGAAGATGTTCAAACGGGCTTCAAAACGTTTATTTCTGAATTGAAAAGATTGAAAGTTGGTTTTTTTTTTTTGAAATAAGATAAAAGATTTGTTCTATCAGTTGGTTTTCACAGCCCTAAGGAATATGTTTTTAGATCCATAAATAACCAAAGTCTATGTAGTCAGAATTTCTGTGAGTTTTTTCAAAAACTTCTAAAAGGCGAAGTTAGTTATGAAGCATAAATCAACGAAAATCTGATTTCAAATTTATGGACTCGGAAATTCGGGAATGATTTTGTTGATTCAGACGAACAAAGGCACGGCGCTGGCCTGTGTCCTGCAGTACATTTCCTCGCGCGTCGCCATCTACTTCATTTTTGTCGTTTCCCTCACTTTGCTCCTCGTCGCCACCAACTTCAAGCCTAATTTCTACACGATCGGCTTCTTCTGTATTTGGGCACTCTCGATCTTGTACTTGAAGGTTTGTCTTGTTCATGCATTCCCAAAGAAAGAAGGCAAAATATGGTTCCAAAGAGATAAAATCTGTGTTGCAAACCGGCCGTTTTTCGAGTGGCAAATCCACTGGCCGGGTATGAGCATATGAAGCGAGACACGGTTCCGACGTTACTTTGAGAGTTTTGCCGCGGTCTGTTTGTTCGGCGACTGGTTTCGACGGCAACCGAACGGCCTTTTTTGGCCTCGGGGGCTCTTCCTCAAACTTGGCATTTAGTCGTCTGGCTCCTGCCTTTTAGGAAGTGACTTAGGTGTGCAAATATACTAAAAAAAAGAAAGTTTGTTTCTTGTTAGTTTTTCGTTGACAAACTGATTCATTTCCGCATTTTTTCTCGTTGCATTTTGCTTTCGGAAAATGTGACAGCTTGGCGACTGAATTTTTTTTTTCGATTTTGCAGTTGATTTCAAAACAACTTTTCTGTACAGTTCCAGCTTATTCATCACGCTGTAAACATTAAATGAAAGACGCCTTTTTAAGCCTCTCCATTTTTTGTTTGTAAAATTTGTAAAAGCTTTCTTATGCGGAAGAAGTTTTCACTTTTTGTTTTTTCACATTTGTTAGGTTCTGTAAAAGGAATTTTTAGATGTTCCTGGAATTTTAGTGTTCATATTGGATCGAAAGAGCTGGAAGTGAAAGCTCCAAAATGTTGATTTATAGTAACCTTCATGAAAATAGGTATTCAAAATTTTACTGTTTACTGTCTTTTACTGTCTTGAATTGGCTGCCTCAAGACTTTTCAGTTGTTGAACGTTGAAAAAAGAAAGTTGAGTCAATAAATTAAGTTTCCTCAGAGAACGTCTAACTAAAGCTATAAATTCAAGTTTCTAATGAATAATGTTTTTTCGACGCAAATTAAGAAGGAAAAAAACAATAAATAAAAGAGCGTTCCAACACAGATATAGTTCTTACTGGAATTGAAGGGCTATTCCTCAAAATTGTATTTCGTCTGAGTTTAAATGATATTTCATCTTCACACCATCTCAATGGACATTCTAGGTATCTTTCCGTCTGTTCCGTGGCGTCGCCTACGCATTCTGGCTCTCTCTGACCGTTTACACCTCCGTGGTGATTATCGTCCTCTACGTCTACCAATTTCCCGCCGTGAGTTGTTCTTCTACTTTGAAACGTATTTCGGAGTAGAAAAAAAAGAGAGAAGTCGTACAATTTTCGGTTAACATGTGGTTATTGGAATTGTGCCACCTGCTGGGGCGTGCGCGTTTCTTTTGTAGGCAAATGGTGTGAAAAACCTTCCAGTTCGTTTTTCACTTCTATGGCGTTGAGTTGCGCAAAAGTTTTTGGGTCATCCGTTTCCTTTTTTCAGTTGTTTCATCTATCTTTTTTTTTATTTTGATAAGGAAAATTCGTTCGTTTTATATTTTGCGTTTTTGATGATTTCCAGTTTGAAACTTTTTTTAAATTTATTTTCTACGTTTAGGACAGAAAAACTAAGAGAATAAATTTCCGAGCTGCGTTTTTCAAGCTCAGCTCTCAGCAAAAATTATCACTTCAATTCGATTAAATAGTTTTTTTCTAAATTTGAAGCTTAAAAAGTAGACTTACCAGTTTTTCAAAAATTTTTTTCTTCATCGTTAGCACAGTTCAACTTTCTTTTACTGTACTCTGAAATAAGGACACTTCAGACAGAAATTTTGTCTTTTTTTAACAGGCTTGATGCATTTCTCACATTTTCTTCACGATAGTATGGAAAAAAAAAAAACAAGATGGATTGGCGCTCGACGCTATGTTTATTGTGCTCAAGCACTAGTTTATACGTCCAAAAGTTCTTGGGTGTCAAAAGGTTCGGCGACTCGGAAAGGCAACTTGACATCTGGAAGCGGGATAAACTGAACGCACACGTGTTGGAGATGACCTTGGCCAGTGAAGCCGCGTCCGACGATCCTTTTCAACGCAGATTATGCTGTAACCCCATAAACGCTTCATTTCGTGTTGTTCCCCTGTTTCCCATTTCACAAGAACTTGGTTTGAATCGATATTTGCAGGTATCTGCATGGTTCCAAGAGCAGACTCACCTGTCGCAGACGTGGCTCGATGCCATCGGACTTGTTGATTACAGTGCGCTCGGCGAGTCTGGGTTTGTTTTGAAATGAGAGGATTGACCTGAGATGTCATGCCTTAGAATATTCATTTTCACACTGATCTGGGATATCCTTTTGTTCACTCTTATTTTGATAGACATCAAAACTGACTTTCCAATTTTAAAGAAACATAAGGTAAACTTGTTCAAAGGTAAATAGACCTATAAATTTTTCAGTGACTCACGGCGTTGGCTAAACTTTGAACATTGAGAAAAAAAAAGAAAGCATTTTGAATTATTTAAACTTCTATATAAGCCTCTAGAGTGACTACTTCCAACTATTTTGCAGTTCCAAAAAAGAAATTTAACCTTTCTACGAAGCTATTTGGCTAGCTCACGCCTCTTTCAAGTTTTCATAAATTATAATGATTTCGAGAAGTTTTGAGACCATTTGAAAGGCGAAAAATTGATCAATAATGATTTCAGTTATATTAATTGTTTCAGAGCCTTGTTCCTTCGTCTTTTCGCACCGATTTGCCTGTTTGTGGTGACGATGCTGCAGTTGAAGTTCTTCCACGATCCCTGGATGTCTGCTGTTCATCCTAACAGAAACCGCAATGCGACTGAAACCGTCGAAGAGCTTCCCGTTTCAACTCCGCACAGTACGTTATTTTCTTCATATACAGTGGTGAGCGAAAATAGTTTGAGGTAGATTTTCTTAAGAAAAAAGTTTAGTTGGGGTGCTGAATTGGATAGTTCTTTTCTAGAGATACTGGAGGAGCAAGCTCACGATAACTTTTTTCAACAAAGTCCTATTTTTTTTTTATAGAAGCTGATTCAGAGCTAAATCAAATGAATGAGAAAATCTTGTTCGAAAAAATTGTGTGTGGTTGATTATCTTATCACTCTAAACTCAACGAGTATAACTTTTAATTTCTTAAAAGTGGCGAGTAATAGAACTAGTAATAGCCGAGAGTTGGGTCAAACGATCGTAAACGCTAATTTGTTTTGTCGCATCCGTGTTTTTGTCAACTGACTGGATCAATAAGTTTTTCTGGAGACTGGTTATTGGACTGTTTTCTCTAGAACAATTGCCAACTCAATATAGCTTTTTCAAACTGAAATTAAGATTTCCTTCCAAGAGTCAACAGATTCAGACTATGTAAACTGATGAATGATGGGAAAATATCAAAAAGTGTTTGAAAAAATTTTGAAAAGAATGGTCAAGTTCAAGAAATAATCGAGTTAGAGCGAATCCTATAACTGGACGTTTTCTGACTAGCCTAGACTAGGCCTGAAATCCAGGGTGGTAAAAGTTTTTTATTCAGTTTTTCTTTTTTTTTTTCATCACACCGGAAATTGAGCCCTTTTAATTATTATCATATCTGCTGCGAGGTCTTTTTTTTCGAAGAGAACATTTTTTGTCCATTTGGACCTGTCTGCACCCTTGAGTGAGATCAGCTGGATTGAAATGAAAGCTGGCTGATTGACCGAAAATCAAGAGGAGAGATAGACCTTGGGTCAGCGGAACCGAAATGGATGAACTATCATCTGGCGCCTCCGCCGAAGACGTCGATTTCAACGCGCAATCTTTTCTCCCCACAAACACTTGCATCGATTCGTCACGCTACTATTCAGCTGACTTGAATACTTTTCTAAACGACTCTTCTCTTTTTTTGCTTATTTGTAGTTCCGTACATTGCGAAGATCCATAGTTTTTCAGTTTAAAACTTTTTTCCATAGTAATTAATATTTGCAAATTTGCCTCTATCAAAGTTTATTTTTCCTTTCAAGAACAATAATTGAATTTTCGCACAGAACGGCTCTCATAAATTTTGTTCTGCCGGAAAAAAGCATTACCTCAGGTGGAAATGCATGTGAAACGGACGGCGAGAAACGCCACGATTCATTTCATCGTTTGGGAAGCCCTCAATATTTGTCCTGAGCGTTTTTTATTCTCTTTTCAATCGAATTGCCGTTCATAGTTCGTTATTGGAAAAAAAAAATTTGGTTGGTCTTTCAGTTTGTTGTGATAAAAGCTTCTGTTATTTTGAAAACTAATTATGAAATAGGCAAAGTTTTCTGTTGAGTTGACTTATCAGAAAGGAAACTGAGTCTTGTTTTAAACAAAGATATATCTTGGTCGGTTGATTAAGTTTGAAATATTTCCTTTTCTTTTTTTTTTTCGAAGCTCAGAGAAATTTGAGTCGATTTATACGAATCAAATATCAAGAAATTTGTTTGCATTTGCAACAAACCCCACTGGTCAAGTGTTTCTTTATATCCGCGATATTTACTACTCTCTTCAATGTTTCCGCCGCCGCCTCGTGTTTTTTTCCATCGCGTCATCATCTCTGAAACGCCTTGTTTACCTTCTGAAACTTCTTTTTTTATCTACTTTTCCCGCATTTCTCCTGGACCAATTTTCCCACCATTTTTCAAGAAATTAGTGGACGCATTTTTGGAATTAATTTTCTTTTCTTTCTGTTTTTTTTTCTCGTTTTTTCGTTTCACTTCAGTACTTCACCCCTATACCTGCGGTCTTCCATTGTTTATGTTGACTCATTCACCATCGGGGCTTCTCCTTTTTCTGTTTTCGAGCAAATTTTCCAACGACCACCATAATTTCTCTAATTTTCTATTCGTTTTTTTATTATGGCTTTATCTTTATCTTAGTTCTTTCTATCTTCTCAAAAAAATAAAATGTATCGTTTTTTTAGTATTTTCACTATAGTAGGACTCATGAGAATGACCTTTTCCATTTTACGTAACTCCAAAGTTTAAATAAATGAATGGTGAAAAAAATTTTTCAAAAAATTTTACCAACTTTTTTTCCCCATTGAAGTGTCAATGTACAAACAGATTGTCGTTCAAATAAGTAGTTTTTTTCTGAAAAATTAAACTAGTCCCAGGACAAAAATATTTAGAAGTACGTTTTTTTCGATCCCGGAAAGCTCATCTGCATATGTTTACGATTCGCTGATCGCAGGCAGCGATTTGCTTGGTTCCCAATAAATTATGAAAGAAGTGCACTAAAATAAACGCGTAATATGGTCTTTGAAAGCATGTGTTCATTTCTCTACTATTTTTTTCTTTTCTCGCTTTCGAGACGGAGGATTTAACTTCAATTTTTATTCTCGATTGAGTCTTAATTTAGCTCGAAATCAAATTTCCTCACTACTAACTCACAAAAAGGCTCTTGCGCATTTTGACTGCTTTTTCAGATTTTTTTTAAGGGTTACATTGATTTGAATTTTATTCGAAAAAAAAATTTTTTTTTTTAATTTGTAATTTTTAAAAACCAAAAAGTTTCCTCAATGTCTTTTTGAACGCGCTTTGCGCATCATAAACTCTTTCGAATATTTCTTACAACTCAGTTTTTTCGCTTTATCATTAGCCTCATTTCGACGTGCTAGATTTAGTTGCGTGAAATAAAAAGAGCGTTTTCTTTAAAGTAATTACCTATCCAGAATTAAATTTACTTTTGCATTCTAGTATTACTTTCGCAGTTGGAAGTTGTGATTAGCCTGCAAACTTGCAAAAAAAACAACGCTATTAAGGCTCTCGGGGTTTGACAGCCGACAAACAACAGCTACTATTCTGTTAGGTTGAGTCAAAACCGAACTCAAGACAAATGTCAGAAATTTAGCCGTGTTTTGGCCGCTTTGACTCGAGATTTATACTTTGGCATCTCGATTCGAATGCAACAAGAAAATGGGGGACAACATTTCTTATTTCATCTTTATGAGCTAGTTGATCGTGATAAATAGGCAACCGCATGTTCTTTGAAGATTTTAAAAGAGATTTGGAGCCTTTTGGCGAATTTTCTTTGAACCTCGAAAAAACGCTGGATAAGAAATATAGGTGTCGGCTTTGTGTTGAAAGGAAAACGATGGCATTTCATCACTCAAGCAATTCTTCTGGGAGGAACGCGTTGCGGAATATGATAGAGAAAGGCCGGAAAAAAAGAATAAAATAAAAGAGCAAAGAGGATTGGGCCATATGCAAGCGGCCACCACAAGAGATGTATGTGATAGCTGCCATCGCAGTTGCCGTTTTTTGCGCCTCTTTACATCTATCAATCGATCAGTCTCAGCCTTCAATCACGTTGATGGCAAAGTGATTAGAAAGAAAAGGGAAGCATTTATGAATAGATGTCCCAAAAAATAATGCGCTTGTTGAGTCGAGAAGCAACGTTTGTTTGGAAAGCAGAAGAATTTTTTTCCAGCGTAGTTGAATGAATTTCCCATTTTTTTGAGCCACTTTCATGTCGAGCCATTTTTGTTAATTGGAAACTCATTTGCAAGAATTTGAATCTCAAATTTGGAATTTTATCCTGAAAGAGGTTTTTTCCACTTTGAAAACTCTCGTAAACAATTTGAAATATTCCATTAAAATTTACTTCTTTTTTTTTTCTCGAGAGACGAACCAGTTAGAGTAATAGTTTTTGGTCTCGAAGAGAAAATTGGTATTCGGAACAGCCAAACTTATAATTAGTTATTCTTTTTCCCGTGTCCCTCAGCCAGAAAACTTCGAAGTGTCGAAAAAAAAGTGTCATAGCGACACGGAGAAGTTGTCTTTTGGACAATTGCAATGGAAACGGTTGTGTGGGGACTCAAAAGACTCATTCTCTGGATGCCTTGTCGCATAAAACGGGAAGACAGCCATTTTCTGGCACCTCCCTGGCCGCTTAGAGCTGCTCGAGACGCTAAGCTCCGCCCCACAAGGCTCAGCTTCTGCTCTGGAAACTTTCTGGTGATCCTACCTATCTGTAGTCTTTGCTCGGAAGTGCAATTCACTGCTCGCAACCAGAGAAAAGAATAACTGCGCGGCGGTCGCCATTATACACGTCGAGCCCTCAGTTATTTATTGCCGTGTCCTTGTGCCCGAAGAAGCGGAAAAAGACAGAAGCCGCAGATTAGATTCTCATGCTCGACACGTAATTTCGCCGTCAAACCACTCTGTCGGTTGTTTTTTCGCCGAGCTTCATTCAACTTATTTATTGGGCTGGGCCGACTCAATAGTTAACAGCTCGTCAACAAAGATCTGCCAGGTATTCTCGAGGATTTGAGAAGCCGCACACCGTTGCCATTCTGCTCCATTCTGCTCACGTCAGAACTCTGTCAGATACACTCTTCTCCCATATATTCCTCTGCAACTGACGAACATTGTTTTTATGTCTCTTTAAAGTTTGAACAATGTACGCCGAGTTCGTTCATATAATTGACTACTATGTTAACCAGCTCTACACTTCGTGGCAAACTCGTCGACAACTCGAAGGTCGCAAAAGTTCGTGGTTCCGACCCTGGTTGACTGGAGACACTTCTGCGGAGTCGGCAGCTGAGAACGGCAGTTTCTTCAACGTCACCGCTCTACCTGACTTTTCGAAATCGACACCCATCTCATCTTCGTTCAATGGATGGGACCCTTTGCGGAGTATCGAAGAGCAAAAAGGTCCAGCACTGTTAAGAGACAAGAGGAAGCCTGGAAGTCTTCCAGTCCAGAAGCAGACCTCCTACCTCAGTAATTCTTCTTATCCGGACCGTCGCCGTCAGCAGTACCGTCTCGACCTCGACGCCTACTGGGAGAGGTACTGGGCGGAAAGATTGTTAGCCTCGCCGTCGGACCGGAATATGCTGACATCGGTCATCAGCAACGACTCTGGAATCGAAGAAATGCCTTACATTGATGACGCAGATGACTTGACTCCTATTATTTTGGCCCGCGAATCCATGCGATACAATGGACACGCTCCAGACCGGCAGCACTACTTCAGACACCACAAGCACCGTCGTGAGTCTGATTGCCTTGTTAAGGAACTTGGGAAACTAGTTGAAGCGCATTTGTAAGGTGATGAGAGCAGAGAACAGAGGGAGTATTTTTAGACGCCTTGGCGTGTTATTCTTTGTTTTCTTGTTGCGAGTCTGTCTCTGTGTGTAGGAGATATCAGCTGTTCACAACGTAGAAATCGTTTACGATCGTTTAATTCATCGTGGGAAAGAGTAAAAAGGAGAAGATAAACAATATTCGAAGTTTATTGTAACTTTTTTTAAAATTATTTTCAGATGACACGTTGGCTGGAAAAGTGCGGAAGTTTTGGGAAGAGGGCAGTGAACACTTGTGGAAGTTCTTCGAAGTCCACATTTCGCGGATTGTTTTCATTGTCATCGCGATTTTTGTTTCCACCCAAGTAAGTTCTTTCCGAAAAAAAACTTATTCATTTTCGACTCATCAAAAGTTTCATATTGAAAGTTTTCTCAGATTTATGCGCTTTACGTTCCGTTGATAATTCTGCTGTCGCTGGCCGTATGTCTTCCAGTCGCCGCCGATGGCATTTTCTCCCTACTTATGTGTAGTTATTTGTTCCTCGTCGCCATCGCCAAAATGGTCTACCAAGTCAGTTTCCAGTCATTTCGATTCTAAAATTATGAAATCTTTTTCTCAGCTTCCTATTGTTCCTCCATTGGGCTCGATCCGAAGGAACATGCTGACGAAAAATTGTTCGACAAATGAGACGGTTTCCGACTGGATTGGACTGTTCAAAGAAGACCACACTCCTCTCAATTTGCTCTGGGTACTTTTTCATATTTTTTTTTTCCGATTAAAGAATAATAGATCTTAGTGAGTCTCTCACTGATAAGATAGGCCCCAAACCAATTTTTAAAAATAAACTTTCAAAACTTGGGTTATTTCGCTTACAAAACGGTCCATTTTCAACTAGAGAAGTTTCCATGTTTTTTCAAGCAGTTTTTTTCTTTTCAAATATTTTTTTTCTTTCAAAGTGTTTAGATAATTTTTGACCATCGAAATTTTATTTAAAACCTGACATTTTAAGGTAATTTTTGGAGAGAATTTTTCGAGTTTTCAGGGTCTGATCATCTCCGTGATAGCGTTAGCCCTGCAATCGATCGTCGTCTACCGACAGAGACACTACCGGATGACGCACGGAATTCCAGAAGATTCTCGCTTCAGAATTTTCCCCTCTTTCCACATCGACACCTACGATCGAAGCATCATCAACGGCTTCAAGTTCCTTCTCGACTTTGGCTTCTACAAATTTGGCTACGAGGTATAAAGGGAAATCATGTTAAATTGAACCTTCCCGTGTTTAGATCTGCCTTATCGTTATGGGAATCGACGCCTGGGTTCGTATGGACGCCTTGGCTACCGTCCAATGTCTTTGGATCGCTCTTTTCGCTCTGAACCAAAGGTTGGAGTGTTTATGAGGCTTTGAATTCATGGGAGCTTCAGAGCCGTCGCGAGAAGACTTTGGTACATTTATGTGGCTTACATGGGTGTCATGTTGCCTCTACAGTACATTTCCTACGTTGGATTGCCTCCTGACGGTTGCTTCCGTGAGTTTCGTAATTTTTTTTTTATGGAAAATGGTAGGTTTAATCTACTTCTTCTGTTGAGTTTAATGAGTTTTTTTCTTGGTAATCATTTATAAAATAATTATCAGTTTCTGAAAAAAATAGTCGTGAAACTCGTTTCAGTTGCATTTCATTTCTATTCAAATGAAAGATATTTATTTTTCTTAGCTTGATATACACAGAGGATTTTAGTTTTTTCTGAAAAAGTTGATTTCTCAACATTTCCTCGATACCGCATATGAATATTAAAGTTTTCCTTCCTTCGAAAGTTTCTTTAATATAATTTCCTCAAAATTTTCAGCCTATCCATGGTCCAACTTGCTGCCGAACAAATCGCCTGAAGCCAACAGGAACCTGGCCGTTTTGTTCGGACTCTCGACTTACGACGTCGATTGGCCGGCGAGCTACCTTCTCATGGATTTCTTCGTCTTGCTCCTGGCCTCTTGTCAAGTTCGTAGTCGTCCCCTAGCTCATCTGAATTTTCGATTCTTCAGCTGACAGTTTTTCGAAGAGAAGGAGAGGACAACGACTCGATCTACAAGGACGGCGACTACTCTCTCAAGCCAGAAAATCCTCGTTACGACTTCATCGACATCAAGAAGTTGGTGTCTTCATTTTTCAAACGTCAGGAGAAAATAAAATCCAGAACTTCTCTACTTGGAGCAAATCTGAGCTTTTGAGCGAATGAAATTTTAATCGATGAAAAAGATAGATAAAATTAAGTTTGAAGCGTTCATCTTCAGAAAGTCATAAAAAATAGACGTTTGAAGGCTTCTAAAAATATTTATCTATCATGTTGATGAGATTTTAAAAAGTATCTGGACATAAAAGTATAAGTTCAGTTCTATTTTAAACAAGTTTTTATAAAAAATATAGTGAAATTTGTGTGGGTCTGAGGTTGAAGTGAGTCGAAAATAGTTACAAAAGAAAAAAATAAAAAAATAATTAGATAAGTTGAAAAGCTTCCCGTTTTTTTAACATAGTCGTTTTTTTATCAAAAAGAAGCTTTCTCAATTCCTAAAAACTTTTTTTATTAAGAAGCTTTGTTGACTACGTGAAGGTGATCGTATTCCACTACGGCCACTGGATCACTCTGATCTCGACTTTGGCCGCAGGAATTGCGGGAACCTCGTTCTTCGCCCTGGGTAACCGATGAGAATTGAATTTCGAAGAAGAAAACGTTCAGGATACATCGTTCTGACTCTTCTTTTGCTCTGGAAAGGCAACAACCTCTACGTGATGAACTCTCACACGCACAATTTCCGGACGACGTTGGCCCGTTGGAACGTCATCTTGGCCTACACGCTGTTCACTATCTTCATGAAAGTCGTCCTTCAGGTATCTCATCCTTAAAACAGTCCATCTGATTAGGTAAATATAAATAGGAAATTTAAAGAATCACCAGATGCAAAAAGGTGCTTGTTTCACTTCCAGTTTTTTCTTTGAAAGTTCATTCATCCGTTTGGTTTTATCCATATCTCCTGTACACTGCTCTATCTTCTTTTTTGTGCGCTAAACACGAGAATTTCTTGACTTATTGAATTTTTTGCTTTATTTTGAAAAACATTTAATTCAGCTTGTCGGCTGCGTTTTCCTTGATTGGTTCAATCCCAGTACACCGTCTTATGCCAGAGTTTTATGCGTCATTCGCCAGCTTTTCAGGTTCGAATTTTAAATTTTAAAGTTTCAAAAATGTAATTTACAGTGTCACTTGCGTTAATAAGTTGTGCGTCGCCCTGCCAGATGTTGGAGGTTTGTGATTTTTTTCTTCTCGGAATAGACAGGATTCAAAAAAATCAAGAACTTGTTAAATTTTTTTACAGCGCAAGGTTGTGTTTTGAAAAAATGTTTTCTTTTAGGAAACTCGGACTTTGAGAAAAGATGCGCGGTTGAAACGAAAGAAGCTCAAATCGGCTTCGATGTGATCGCCCTCGGATTCCTCGTTTTCCAGATTCGAGCCTTCCATTCTTGGTTTTTAACTTTTCTCAATGAAATCATCATTTTACCTGTTCTTTCTAGGTATTTCCAACACTGCATGGTTGAATATCGATCTGAAGTCATTTTGGCCAATCGGTTTGTTTCTTTTTCTGTTGAGCTCTTTATGAGTTTTTTTCATTTCATTTTTATAGTCCTCGACTTGGAACTACGCAGTAAGTTTGCATTGGCGGGTGTGACTGGTTATCCCCTTACTTTTTTTTGAATTTTTGTTCCAATTTTGATAGCGTTTTTATTGGAGAAACAAAAATGTCTCAATAAAATATTTGTGTTCATTGGGATGCTACGAAACAATACATTTGGTCAGTTTTGAAGCATTTTCGCTGCGTTTCGAGACACATTTTGTTTCTACCAATGAATGCGTCATACGTTTGAATGAGTTTATTCAACCATATGATCGTTAAAAATAAGGAAATGTTGAAAACCAAACCCATTCAGTTTATGGAGGCCTCAAAAAATATCTTTATTATGTAGATGCAGTTTTGAAGTTGAGAACGATTTCAGTGGCGCTGTGCTAAAGAATCAGCTGATCGAGAAGGAAATGAAAGAACAAAATGAGCAGCAAAACGCCAAATTCAACGACATCAGAAGAAGGACCGAGGCCATCCGTGATAGGTTCGGCTTTTTTTTTCTTATTCCTAACATCATAAAAATTTTTTTAGTGAAAAGAGATAGTTTTTGCAATTATTTAGTCGCTTTTTATCTCAATGTTCAGTCTTTCAGTGAGAAAAAATAGGTGTAAAAAAAGTTGATGATAATTATCAACTTTTTCAGTTTTTGGAGATAAAGTTTTTGAGGCAAAGCTTAAAAAAATCAACGTCTTAGTTCACAGTTTCCCCGGATTTCAGATACCGCCGCCAACAAGAACGTGGCGAAGCTGCGGCTGTGATTGATCCAAAGACCTACGGACAAGGTTTCTTTTTCTTTCTAATGAATCCCAATATTCTGTAGAGCCTGAATCTATTGTTAATGTCGTGCTGTTTTTTCGGCCTTTTTCATCTATCTTTCGTTTTACTTCTTTGCCTGAAAACTCTGAACTTTCTACAATTTTCGAGTGGTTCTCTATCTTTTTGGGTACATATTTCGTGAATGCTTTGGGAAGTTTGGTAGTTTTGTCATGTCGTAGATTTTTGAAGGAATGATTACGGTTTCTTTGTTCTGTACGGGAAAAATATTTTTTTTTCTGTAATTTTTTCACTTGGTGTTTCAAAGCCTAAGTTCAGCTATCACTAGGGATGTAGACTTCAAAGTCTGGCTCTGAGACTAAAGCTAAGAATAAGAAAAAAAAATTTCGAATTTTTTGTAGTTTCCGAGCTTTTTTTGCCTTCAAAACCATGACAAAGGCCTAAAATTAGAGAAAAAATGTAGGGTTGAAAAATGCATCTAACTTTCACCTAGAGCCCCAATCTAGACAACTGACCAATCAATAACAAGCATAACCGGCAGTAGTTTAATGTTGATGACAGACTTCGCCGTAGACCGGGACGACCCATTCCCGTTCTACGACCCTCGGAATCCCGGTTGGTTGGACCAAAAGCCTTTTCGACCTCTTGAGCACCTCGAAACGGCTTCTTCGAGTTTGGTTGCCTCTGGCGCTTGAATCCCCTCAGCTCAACCCAACCAACCTAGAAGAAAACACCTGCTTCCGCCTACTAACTTGGCCGTTTTCTTGGTTTAATCAACTCAACTTAGTTTTGAGAATTATTTACGAAGATGAAGATATCAAAAAGAAAAATCTTGGGAATTCGAAACTCACGGTCAGTTAGCGGGTTACTGTGACAGAATTTGGGATAATTCGTCAGTGATTACTTGAATTTTTTGGTTGTGGTCTTAGATGGGAAATGAAAAAGAAAAGCTGAGAACATAGAACTCTCATTAAAATTCCCTTTTTTCTAGTGAGATCAAGCATTTTGGTTCTTCTACCTTCACAGATACTAGAACTGTGTGTGGCAAGATAAAAGTTCATTCAACGAAAGTTTGAGAACGTAATGGTTTTGTTCTTTTTTATTTATTTGTTTTTTTTAACACCTCTACTCTAACACTCATCACTCTAAACCTTCCACACCATCTTCTACAAACTCTCTATCTTTCCATTAACAATCCTCCGAGCACGTCTAACATGAGCAACCCGCTTCATAAATCTTTTTGCTCTCTTCTTTTCGAATACTATCTTCTTTTGTTTTACTTTTGCGTTAAATGCATGAGTTGATTTTGAAAGTGGAAATCGAGAGGTTCAAATAGAGCTTCGACATTTCCGAAAGGAGATTATGGGAATTTGAACGTTGGTTTTGCAGCGAAACGAGCCGGAGACTACTACATGTTCAACTACAACCCCGCCAACGACGACCTCGTCGTTCCAGTCGAAAGTTTTGTTCCAGAAGTCGATCCTGACGCCACCACCTACGACCGACTTGACCCTGGACAGGTTTGCCTCTTTTCCAATTTTTCTGCTTTAATATGTCTTAAAGTTTTCACACGCTTTTTTTCATTTTTGAGACGATATACCTTTGCAAGTTTCTAAAAATCTTCTAGATATCCCTAAACTTTTAGTAGTATTTTGAGGACTTCAAAATTGTTTTATCAGCAGCCCTGATGATTTTTAGTTCATTGAAAACAGAATGAAGGATTTCAGTTGATGTACGCAGCGACAAGCAAAGATTTGGATCTAGCCAAAACAATGGTGGCAGTGAAGAAAGGCGATAAAATCAAAGGTGTCGAGGAGAAAATGATAGCCGTCATCAACGATCCCCGAGATGTGGTGATTATTCTTCTCAAACAAGCCTAACTTTCTTCTTTCCCTCAGACTCGCCAACCTGCCGGGGCTGATGAGACTCGAGAAACCAGCGGCACGCCTCCGCCTCCAAATGGTAACCATTCCATCTTTCGTTCCATTCCAAACGCGGTCTTCAGATGAGTCGCAAGTCGTGACGTTGGCCCGATTCCTGCAGAAGATGATCGTGAGCACGATGGACATGGTCAGCGTCCAGCTGAACCGACTTTGCCGCGAGCATCGCTACGTCGGATTCGTGCTGAGGAAGGAGAAGGCCAAACTGAAGGACAGCTACGCCGAGGTTTCTCTTCCCATTATGAATCATTCCTGAATGATCTCTTCAGTCGTTGTCAAACACGAGCAGAAAACTTACCGAGTTGCGGACCGACCTCGACATGTCCACCTTGCAACTCGTCAATAGCGAAAACGACGTTGAACGGTTTTTTTTTCAATTTCTGACAAAAACAACTGTCTAGATCAAACAGCTCGAAAGAAGAGCACGTAAAATCTCTTTTTTCTTTGTTCTATTAATATTAACGGTTTTTAAAGTCGGTGCTCCTGAACTTCCACTTCAGCTTTTTTAGAATTCAGTTTATGCTGTGTCTTTTTATTTGAATCAATGGCTTGCCTTAAATAACTCACTCTGTCCTTGCAGAATGGAAACGGCCGCAAACTCTGACTGGCAGTCCAAGTCGGTCTTCGCCAGGTTCGCCAACGCTCTGAGCAGCTGCGCCGCCGCCCACACGGACCTCGTCTGCTACTTCTTGGCCGTGATGGTCCAGATGAAGGATGGAGGTGTGCAGACCACGTTTCCTCTCTTTCATCTCACCTTTTGAGGTCTGATCACTCTGCCTCTGCCGCTGATGGTCTTCTTGTGGGGCACCCTGTCCAACCCTCGGCCGAGCAAGTTCTTCTGGGTCACCATGATCGCCTACACGGAGTTCGTCATCATTGTCAAGTTCATCTGCCAGTTCTCCTTCTTCCCGTTCAACACCACCGAGTACATCAACGAGAACAGCATCAATCCCGTCGCTCTGGATAAGGTATCGAAACGAAAATTGGCAGCGACCCAGGAAAAAAGATTTTGCAACTGAATTTTCTAAAATTTAATTTTGAGCTCCACCCGAAAAAAAAAACTCAACGGATTCTGAGTGAAATTTTCGTATATTGAGAGAATTAAACCCGAATAATTTCATTAAAATGTCAAATCATGCTTAACTTTATCAAAGCGGCTTTCTCTAAATTTGTGGCTTTTCAACCGGTATAGATGAAAATTTTGTTGATAAATCTATTCGTCCTGACTGGCTGATTCTTTTTTGATTCTGATAAAAAAAAATTCATTCCTGTCATATTCAGATATTTGGCGTAGTGAAGCAAGAATCGTTCGCTTTGTGGGACATCGCCCTTCTGTTCTCCCTCTTCTTCCACCGCTACATGCTGCGAAAGTTCGGGCTTTGGAAAGACGCCAATCTGACGGAAACGTTCACTGTCATCGGCGTCGCTACGGAGAACACTTCGGTAGAGGAAATCGGAAGAAAATTTCTATTGAAATGTTGAGCAGTCGCCTCTGGAACCAGCCGAAGAAGGAGCTCCTCTGCCGGCGCCTGTACCTCCTCCAACTCAAGAAAACACGACAGGACCCATCGGACGGTTCATCGGACAGCTCTTCCATCCCAAGTTCCGCTACATCAGGTATCAGAAGCATATTGATTTGATTGAATTTTGCTCATAATCCGACGGAAATTTATTTTTTGGCTTTTTTTTTCTCCAGCCGGTATCTTAGTTCCTTGATTTGCAGAGATTTATACCCGGTGATGTTCGCGCTGGACGTCGTCTGCTTCTTGATTATCACCATCGGCTACGACGGATTTGGAGAAGGCGGCACCGGCAACGTCATCGGCGACATCAAGGTCTCTCGAGTCGTCGTCGACGTATTCTGAGTCCTGCTGTTTTCAGAACAGCCGAATCCCGATCACTCTGGTTGTCATGCTCATCGTCATGACCTTAGCGATCATCGCCGACCGCGCCTTGTACCTCAGGAAATGGGTCTTCGGAAAGCTCATCTACCAACTCATCACAGTCGCCTTCATTCACGTCTGGATTTTCTTCGTCCTTCCGGATATCACGCGAAGGTTTTCGAGGCCATTGGTTACCATTTTTGGCGGTAGATATCCGGATTGTTTAGCTTCTAAACAGAAGGCAGATCTTGAATAAACCGCTGCCTTTTTTCTGGATATTTGGAGTTCAGGGGATCGAATCCACATAGAAGTAACCAGCGTGAACTTTCAGATTTAGAGATATGACATTTTTTAAATCAGCTTGAACCCTAGCTTTAACTTTCTTTCATCTTCTCTTTGCAGAGCGGCCATCTCCAACGTCACCGCCAACTTCCTCTACGTCATCAAATCTTTGTACCTTCTCGTGTCGGCGTGGCAAATCCGCAACGGCTACCCGCAGCTGTGCATCGGAAACCTCCTCACTCATTCCTACGGCATAATCAATTTGGCTTTCTTCAAAATGTTCGTACTTCCTGCTCATCTCAAAACATTTATACACATTTTTCAGTTTCATGTTCGTTCCCTTCTTGTTCGAGCTGAGGACGGCGATCGATTGGACCTGGACCGACACTTCGATGCCGCTTTTCGACTTCTTCAACATGGAAAACCTCTACGGCATCATCTTCAACATCAAATGCCAGCGCAGTTTTGAAAATGTATGTTTTTGAAAAAAGTATGTGAAATTTTTAAAAAACGATAGAAATTAGGTATATGAACAAAAGTTTTTACGGGAGTTCTTGAAACTCGCATTTTGCAGAACTATCCAGCGCCTCGCGGACAAGCCAAAGGCGTCGTCATGAAATATCTGATGGGCCTTCCCTTGATTCTCGGCGTCGTCATCCTCGTTTGGAGTCCGCTTCTCGCCTTTTCGCTTTTGAATCAACTTGGTCCGGCTTCTGGTTCAAAGTTCTTAGAAATATCAAATTTTTCCAGGCGAAGTATCCATGCCACAACGGGTCCGTCTGACCGTTTCCATAGAAGGCTACCCGGTTGGTTCCTTTTTTTTTCGTTTTTATGATACAAATAAAGTGAGAAAAACTCAGGAATACAATTTTTCTGGGATTTTTCAAAGACATGTTTGAAAATTAGAATGTTGATTTTCGAAGCTTTCCAATTTAAAATGAAAGGAAAGCCTCATTTTAATATTTCGCGTTTTCAGCCGCTCTACCAAATCGAAGCCCAAGGAGTGAATAACGACGAACTTCGCTCGATTTCGGATGAACAACTGCAAATGTTGAATGCTCAGTTCACTGCGAGGTTTTAAGATTTGTTTTTCTCACACTTGATTAATATTATTTTCCTCAGATATGACCCAAAAGATCCAGAATCGATACAACGCTCCCGACAAGCTATAGCCTACCTCAAAGATTACAAAACCCAAGATATTTTGGTGCGCTTGAAGTCTTTTCTTTCAAAAATACGATACTTTTCAGATCGTGAAACTGCGGCCTGAATCACAGACTTATTGGCCGATTTCTCACGAAGCTGTCGACGCTATTGTGTTAGTAATATGGAAAATTTCGATGTTTTGAGACCAATTTTCAATCAAAATTCAACTTCATACTCAGTTTTTCTTTTGTTGCAGGGAGAAGTTGAACAACACGAACATGGTGATCAACTACATGGTGGCGATCGAGTTCACGCGTCCCTACGACCAAGAAAAAAAGACGGCGATCAAACATGAGGCCAAATGGATTGTAGAAATACCGCAGGACAGGGCGACTCGAGAAAACGTCATCCACGCCCTGAGAATGAACTCGACTACTAATATTGTATAACCTTGCAACAATTTCTAACAAAAGAGGCAATTTTGTAGCTGAACATTCCACACTCCTTGCCGGCCTACGTGCAAGTGCCCAACGAAGGAGAAGTCCAAGGGCCGGAACTCATCGGCAACTCCATCATGGAAGACGGAAAGACGAAGCTGAACAAGACCGGCGTGCCGAACAACCAGCAGAACACCCTCTGGTACGACTCCCTCAACCTCACACTCAGCACCGGATCCAGCGATGAACAGGTATCAGTCGATTTGATTGTGTTTCTACAATACTCTCTCGGGTGAGCCGAAATTTTGAGATGAACTTTATGAAATCTTAAATTTTGCTGTACTTCTGGCTTGCTTTTTCCGATGCATAAAAAAAAGATGTTCAAGAGAAGAAAAAAATTCATGCTTAAAAATTCCAGAAGTTGTGGAAAGCAAAAGCAGTTCATCCGCTGGACGACGGCGTCTTCCTCAACACCACAATCACCAAGTACAGCAAACTACCGTACGTGCAGATCGTGGCGTTCGTCGACCGCGCCTTCCCACGTCTTCTGGCCTCTGCCTTCAAGGGCGGGTTCGTCGTCACCTTCTTGAACCAAAGATAAAACGTCTCCTTGCAGAGTCTTGGCCATGTATGCCACCATCCTATTCGTCGTCGGACGAGGAATCGTCCGCGGCCTGTTCACGATATCGCCCGCCGACATCATGTTCAACGAGATTCCCAATCCTGACTACTTGCTCAAGATTTGCCTTGACATTTATCTCGTGCGAGAAGCCAAGGATTTCGTCCTGGAACAGGTGTGTCATCCATTCTTGAATCTTCATGTTGAAATACTACCGAATGAGAATAGAAAATCTAAGAACCTCTTCAAAGGTCGCTTCTAGTTAATCTTCAAGAAAAGATTTTTTTTTGAATTGATTTTGAATTTTCTGACCTTTACCTGATACACAAAAGTTTATTAGAGCAGATTTTGTGAAAACTGCATAGTTCGAAGTAAAGTTACAAGAACTTCTATTTTTTTAGTTACTGAACATATTTGAGAATTTTGTAATTAAATCAACAAACAATATTTCTCATCAAAAATCAAACACGAAGCCCACTGTTTCCAGGATCTGTTCGCCAAACTTATATTCCTGTTCCGATCACCGGCGACGCTCATCGAATGGACTCGTTACAAAGTTAAAGCCGACTAAATTCTCCACATTTTTTGTTAATTTTCCTGTTTTCATGTAGCCTTCATTCCACCGTGTAAGGGATCCTCTTGCCTTTCTTCCTCTAAACGACGAAGTGATCATTTATTTCCGCCTTTCACTCCTGATAGGGTTTTCCAATTTGTTCCTTCCATCGACCACTTTCCACCGATTCAACGAACTCCCCTCTTTGTTAGACGTTTACATGTTATTTTTTCATCATATCGTTCAACTTTGTTAACTTTTCTTGCTTTTCCGAGGTTTTCCCCCTTTCTCATGATTAACCAAACGATTTCGGGTAACTCTTCCTTACCTTCTATTTATATCAGTTAACTTTTTCTCTCTTCAAATGTTGTCCTCAGTTTCATTGCGTGTTTTATGTACCATCTGTTTGTATGTATTTTTGTCACGGCTTTCAGTAAATTTTTTGATTCTTTAAGAGTTTGCGAGATCAAATTGAAAAAGCGCTATTTCGAGAATTTCCTGAGATTTGCAGAATTCTCCTTATTTTCCAGGTTTATCATATTTTGTTTTTCATTTTTCGTAACTTTCTTGGGGTGATTATTTGGTTAATCCGTTAATAGTTGCAGTATAACATCCAAAATTTTCAACGGAAGGAAAAAATCAAAAAAATATGAGAATATGAGACAGAGGAGGGCTGAAACTTTTTCTTTTTCTCTCGAATTCTCTTTAATCTCGTCAACTACAAAGTCAAATTTTAAAAGACAAAAAATACAAAGCTCTCCGATTTTTTATTCCAAAACCGTGTATTTTTGAAAATAGGCCTTGTTTCGCACATAAAATCCAGGCTACAATGTAGCCTGGACAGGTCACTTCTGACCACCCTATCGGTCACTATTTCCTCGGCCCTTTCGGAATGACAGCCGCCTTGAGGAAACTCAACGTTCTTTATTGCCATGGCCTCGGCTCTTCCATCAACAATCGACATGGAACTCAGCTCGTCAGCTTCTTCCAGAACCTTCCGCACAATTTTGAGAGGTTCCTTTTTCCTCTACAACTGAATATTTGATAGGAACACTTTTTATTTATCCAGGCTGTTATATCGAAATCCAGGATCAATCGATAAACCTTGGAGTATAGTGGAATGGCGAGAGGATATTGAAAAACGAATCGGTCAGTTTTAGCGCGTTTTCGGCCAGCAATTTATTCGTTTCTGTATTTTATCTTTTTTTTTTCTCTATCATGTTTGAATTTAGAAGGACAAAAATTCGTTCTGATCGCTACTAGCGCGTCTTCTCATGCCGCTCTGAACATCGCTAAGGCGAAACCGCAAAATGTTGAGGTTTTCTTTCACAAGGTCTTTTTTCCCGATTCGAAAACCTCAGGGACTTTTCCTTTTGTGTCCCGGGACGTCTCTCGACTTCAGTTACGTCGACAACGTCGCTCCCAACGGCTTGAATGTGAGGCAAATGTCAAAAATGAAGCACATTGAAAAAAAATAAAATAAGAAATCAAATAATGAAAAACGCGAAAAGGCTGACATTTTTCTGAAATAAAAAGAGTTTTTCTCCATCATCTCGAAATGATCTCCTTCAGGCCCTAATCCAGGAAGGCGAAATTATTCACCCGGCTTCTAGAAATGGCCACGCGGCTCTTATCACTATCAAGTGTCTACAGCAATATCTGGATGTTTGTTTTGTTTTTAATTTTTGAAAGTGATTGCTTCAATTTGCTCAAAAATTTGAAAAATCATTGTCTTTATATGGAAGAAATAAGACTGTATACGGTGAAAAATTGCTCCAACCCTCGCAAAAGGAAATCTCAAAGTAGCATCGGTAACTTGGAAAATTTTGACTTTTTTTCATTTTTCATTATTTTTCAGTTCAAAGAGGTCACTCACTAGTGGGCACTAGAATAAACATTGTATTTTCCGAATTTTGAGAACTTGACATTTTGTTGAACTTGATAGAGACGAGGAACGTAATCTAATTTTTCTAAAGTTATTTCTCAAAGTTTTGTTTCGATTCCGAGGTTTTCTTGAACTCTTAGGCTAAATTGCTTTTATTTTCCAAGGTTAGACAATCACTTGAAAATGGATCCATCTTTTACAGATTTCCAATAAAAGGAGCTTTGAAAGTCATTTTTTGCTGGTTCAACCGGGGCAACTATTTTTTTTCAGTGGAAATGAGAAATATCTCCTAGCCAAAAGTGTTAACAATAAATTTGCTCAAAACTTTTGCAGACTTGCGTAACACGAACAGAAGGCCCTATCGACATCAAATGTCCCGTAGTCATTGTGCACGGCACCGACGACAAGGTTGTTTCCATATTTCGATTGGGAGGTTCAGGCTTCGACTTGCGTTATCATTCTTCTTTCTTTTTTCAAGTCTCTCACGCTTTTTTCTTTCACTCTTTGAGTTTGTGACAAAAATGGATAAATGTACGACCGGAGTCGCGCCCTGATACTAAAAAATGATGGCGAAAAATCGTCTTTCCACTCCCAGACTTGTAGATTTCTCCAGTTGCCTATGTTAGAAACCAGCAAAAAATAGACTCAATGTGTCTGGGAGAATCTAGAAAATTGTTCCAAAAATCAATAGATCCCAAATCTCCGATTAGTGGAAAAGCGAAACTGCAATCAAAGCCAGCCTAACACTTCTTGCTGCAGTTGGTTCCCTTCGGGAACTCTGTCAACCTGGAGCGCAGACTTGCCTCCGATGACGTCACTTTGGTTCCTGTCGAAGGAGGATCTCACTTTTTCGACGTATCAATATTCCTTCTCATCTCATCTAGACTATGTATTTCCAGCTCGATGAGAAGATCCTGGCCATTCTGACCGAATTCCTCGGAAAGATCGCTGAACCGAAACGTTCAAAACTGTAAATTTCATAATATTATTTATTATTTGTCTTCGATCTTGCATTTCAAAATAAACGAATAAACGAGAGCTTCTCGAACAAATAATAAATTGGAAGGAAAAAGTCAGGGGCCATGGCCATTGTTAGGCGTAATTGCCCTTGCGAACCAAATATCCCGCTTTTTCACTTTCTCTGCACGTTTTTCTTCCATCTCGTACTCCTGATGAGTTTCAACAACTGTTTTTTATTCGCACTGAGTTCAACTCTTCTGGTATGGTTGCCCCATGGCGACACGGCTCATCTGCGACGTCACACTTCCAGTCGACATCATCGGAATCTGACGACGACGTCGACGGCGCTGGAGACGCAGTGGCTCCGCGCGGACTGTCTCAACGAGGCGCACGTCGTCCGACTTCTTCTTCTCGACTACAACAAACACAAATTGCCTGGTAATCTTATTTTGTTATGAAAATCGTGTTGTTGAAGAGTCCTGAAGTGTATAATTCCCATCAGAGGTTTCAAATGATTTTTTAAAAACTGGCTCAGAAAAGCGCGGCGTGACGGTGAACGTGGAGTTCTGGATCCAGGAGATAACCTCAATTTCGGAGATGACCAACGACTTCGAACTGGAGATGTACATCAACGAGATGTGGGTCGATCCGAAGCTGCAGTTTGTTCATCTTCCCTCTTGCAAGGCCAACTTATCCTTGGACCAGGCCACGCTCAGCAAGTTCAACTTGAGACATCCTCTGGATCTTGACAAGGAGATTTCAGGTTCTGGACGCCCAACACCTGTTTCGTCAACTCAAAATCGGCAGAAATCCACGAGTCTCCGTTCACCAACGTCTTTTTGACTCTTTTCGAGAACGGCACCGTCTGGGTCAATTATGTGTGTAGTTTTTTTTCTATTGTTTCACTAGTTTACTGCGTAATTTCAAGTGTGAACGTGAATGGCTATGATCCGGAAATTTTGAAAATAACCCTATAACCAATCTAGTGTTCCTGTAAGTTGAGATATAACATTAATGAATCGAAGAAAGAACGAAGATTTCCAGCGAGTTCGAATCAAAGGACCGTGCTCGATGGATTTGGTAGATTTTCCCATGGACACACAGACCTGCCGACTGAATTATCAGAGCTTCTCTTATAATAACGAGGAAGTCCGACTTCAATGGAATGAGAAGCGACAGCCGGTCTTCGAGTTGGGAGAGGTTTCATGGCTGTCAACTCACTTTTTAAAAAATGATTCATTGATTTCTCGATTTTTTCAGATTCGCATAGCCGACTTCTTGCTCAAAGAAATAACGCCGGCGGTGGTCAAGCGCGTGAGAAACTTCAGGAAGCTAGTTTCAACTGTATTTCAGGATTATCCAGCAGGAAAATGGGACGAGTTGGTAGTGACGTTCGTGTTCGAAAGACGCTACATGTGGTACTTCCTGCAGGCCTACCTGCCAACTTTCTTCACGATTTTTATTAGGTTTCTCATGCTATTTGGTTTTTTTTTTCAAGAGGAAAGCGAATTCAGTTGGGTGGCGTTCTCCCTGGGACCTCAGGCGGTCACTCCGAGGACCATGATCGGAGTGAACGCGCTGCTCTCCATGATATTCCACTTCGGGTCCATTATGCGCAACCTTCCACGCGTCTCTTACATCAAAGCCATCGGTTAGGATTTTTTTAATGGACTCTTGATCCCTGAAGGGGATGTTTTACTGTCCGTATGTCTGAAATGACACAGGATTATGACTTTGAGTACTTTTCAAAAAAAAAATCCTTGAATCAAAGAAACTTTTTACGCATTTATAAAAAATGAGAAATGTTACGCAGAGCTTTTAACGTGACCGTGATACAAGTTTTTTTGAATGAAGCTTTTTTTCGAATTTTTTTATCCTCAAAGTGAAAAAAATATAATGCTTTCATTCAATTTTAATTGCCGCAGCTGTCTACTAAATATCCCTATTAAAAATAAGTTTAGTTTTAAAAAATCATGGAAAATAGAGAAATCTGCACTATCTATCGAATCGGACGAACTTATTGAAGAGAGAATAGTTTTCTTTATTAAGCTTCGTCTCGAAATTTGTGCGCTCTTGACGCAATACGTATCGTTTTCAGATGTTTGGATGCTCAGCTCGATGACGTTCGTTTTTCTTTCGCTTGTTGAGCTCGCCATCGTGGGATTCAAGCTTCGTGAGAAGGTCCTTTGATTTCCAGCTTCCCAGCTCTTATCTGAAAAATGACAAGATAGAAGAGCAAAGTTGGGTCCTCAAACATAACACTCATTCATTTCTTAAAGTGACCGAAAATTCTTCGATGGACTGGTTTCAAATACTGGAAGATTCAACTTTCACGCTCCTTTATTCCTACAAATTCAGACCCACGTTTTTTTCAGGGAAGCGAACTCCTGATCGTCAAAATCGACAACGTAGCCAAGCTGATGTTTCCTGCTGCTTTCAGCATTTTCAACGTTTGATCAAAGATTTTCTCCGGGAAAGTAACGAGCAAATTTTCCAGATAGTCTACTGGGCGAGGTACGGACTGAAAGTCGTCTAGGCCGAAAATCGCCGCGGAGCCAGCCATTCTTCCCACGGATATAATGCCCTCGACCGTTTGGGACGCCGCCCAAGTGTTTATTTCCGACTTTCCGATCCAATATTCCCCTTATTCCCGGCATTTCATACTGAAAGTGAGTTCAACTTGCTTTTCTATCAATAAAAACAATTCTTGAAACATATTTTTCCCAATTTTGAGGTCGACTGGCTGTGATTTAGCAGTTATTCACATGAAAATATTTTTTTACCTCAATTGAAAAAGTTCAGCTTTTCAAAATAATGCTCTTCAAATTTCAAAAAAAAAAAATCGTCATTCACTGTTTATACGAAAACTATTCATTCATTTCAACACTGATTTTTTTTTGTATTTTTTATTTCTCAGCACATTCAAACCTCATGTTTCTACCTTTTTTTTCTTTTTGGCCTTCTGAATATTATGAATTTTTCTCACTATTTTTTTGACATTGAGTGATGTGAAATCAGAAATAAAAAATTGAGATTAAGCATGCTTGGCCTTTTTTTCAATCAACTGAAGCTTAATATTTTTTTCTTTCGAAACACGAGTCTAATCAAATAATTCTGCGCTCTTAACCAGTTTTTCAATCCATTTACTATATTACCAGGATTTTCGCTCTTTTTCAGGATATTCTTCGCTCCCCCCATACCGCCGGAGTTCTAATATTTCGAAGGAAATTTTAATGTTATTCAGTTGGTTCAAGATTTAGGCCTTCAAATTTTGAGCAGATCTACGGTGAAATATAATTTTTCTCTTTTTCAATGGTACTTCAAAGATTTAAAGCTCAAATAGTCCATCCGAAATGTCTTTACAATACCCAAGACTCGCAGTGAAGTATATACTTTTTTGCTCCAGGTCATAAAAGTTTGGTCGAAAAAAAATGCGAACAAACGTTGGCAATCATCGTAAAGACATTGACTGGATGGAGGTCATCTCAAAGACAAATCCACTGCCGCCGCCACATGTTTCAGCAGCTTCATCTTTGGTTCACCCGTTTTATAAATTGCCCTTGCGATGATGTTTTTTTCGGTTTTGAAGGGAGTTGGCGAAGATTATAAATATTAGTGCGCCTCTTTTTGCTCCTCTGGTTTGTCAAGCTTCTTCGTACCTAAAACTTTTTCGATAGTCTGGCATTCTCCTCCGCAAATTTGCGGCATCTCGGATTACTGTAATTGCTCGAAACAATTCCGAAAAAATATTAATACATGAAATTGTATACTCTTTTTGAATTGTGATGAATAGGTGTCAATTAAAATCGATTACTCAAAAGCCGAAAGTCAAAAATTAGAAAGAAACCAAGCTTTGGCCTGTCAAGCCATTTCGAACAGAGCGAACGATACTTGTTCCTATAAAATGTGTCTTGGAAATCACCAAAATTGTTCTGAAAAGGGAAAAAAAGTCCTGTGAAAACGGCAACCTGACACTGATGTCCGTCTGAGGCGCCAACTTCAGTTCTCGCATTTTCCGTCTGAGATTCTTGACGTCGAAGATTTGTACGGCACGCGACGTTTTGTGTTTCGAATCGTTTCTATTTGGAATTGAAATTCGAGCGGATCGCAACCAAAAAAGGTGTCAAAAGGCTTTTTTGTTTCGTTTCATTACTAGTTCCTGCTCGAATCAAGTCGGCTGCCGCTCTAGACATGGACACTTACGTCAGGTTAGTCTTAAAATTTGAAAAATCTTCAAAAATGAGTACCACTCCTTCGAAAATAGGAAAAATTGTTTTCGTGACCTGAAATTTCTTCTTCCATCTTCCAAATAATTTTCCTTTTTATTGCTTTCTGACCCTCTTATTTTTTATTATCGAACCGTTGAGCTTCTATCTGCATCTTCGCGATTTTGTTTTTAAATTTTTCCAGCGTAAACTCGTTCAAAATTAGTATTCAAAGATAGTCAAAAAAATTTCCGATGGCTTAAAAAATTCTGAAGTTGACATGAATGGAATAATTCAGTTTCTTGGTACCGTAAATTACACTACCTTCGTTTTTCATCTTTCATTTTACTGATATAACTTCTAAATTCTTATTATAACAGTTTATTTTTTCATGTCAATGAACAGACAAAAGCTCTCTAAAAGTGTCGCCAATCTGCTGAAAACCATGGGAAATTCTGAAAATGGCTCAAAACAGACCCATGTTTTGTTATCGAATATTACCATGGTTAGACGTTCTTTGTGGTTTTTAGAGAAGCGAATTTAAGAATCCCACTCTTGAAAATAAGAAATTCTTCCGTTTGAGGATGGGTTCTCTATCCTATACTTCAACTAATTTCGAAGCCACTCTTTAAAAAAATTTAAAAGTTTCGAGCATTTATTATATAGTATATATAGTACGAGCATATATAGTATATTTCGAGCATTTAGCGTTATAAAAACTTCCATTTCAAAGATGAACATCAAAGTTCTTCAATGTGACCCATCCGGCAATAAGTCTTCCAGCCGAACTTCTGTTTAGGTTGCTCAGGAGTCATCTGTCACCCCAACGGAGAAATATCACGGTGTCTATCAAATGTTGCTCTGCTGTAATATAAACTTGCACTCTCGGGTTAACCCAATCACATAATTTCTCTCTTTTTTCCGACAACAGGTGCTCATCTTTTGCTCTTTAGCTTCTTTGCAGAAAATCGTGCCCTTTTGAAAGGAAAAGGAACGTGTAGGAATAAATTGTACCTTGGGAGGGTCTGACGGATATGAGAAGCACTATATCAGAGAAGATGGACAAGTCATTCGAGGGCCCAGTCGCTTACCTATTCATGTCCTTTGCCAGTTTATTCGTCTTCGCTTTCTCTGAATCACCTCGATGCTTTCATCCTTGAAAAATTCATCGAAGCACAAAAAGAAAAGTTTTTTGGAGCTCCCAGTGATAAAATGAAGACAGTACTTTCGGATTTCTCTCGAGTACCCCCACAACAAAAATTTCGAAAATAAACTTCAGAATTTTTGATTTTGGCTCTAAAAAAGTTTTATCTGTTAGAAATTAAGAAGAGGAAATAATGGCTGTAACAGATAAATTGAATAGCGAAAACTTGTCACGGAGCTTGAAAATTCACTTCGAAGTGATCACTTCAATTTGATTAAAACTGCGCGGGACAGTGCGCAACGGTTGCCACTCTGCGTCGTTCTGCTGGAAATCTCGCCTTTATTTTTTTTTTTACAAAAATTCAAATTTTACGATCAGAGTTTAAAGTTTTTGTGTTTTTTTCCATTGAATCTGTATTTTTTTTCTTTTTGATGAACATATAATATTGGTAAGTTAATCAAAATCGTTTTGAATCATTAATACCGCAATGTAAATTTTAAATGTGAGTAATAAAAAAATAGCTTCATTTTTTTATAACTCTTCTATAGATTTGAAATCATAAGTGGAGGCCCAGTTCTTTGTATTAACTTTTAATTTTTAATTTTTTTTCATACTCAAGCTCGTATTTTCTTTCGAAACTTGCTTCAGTTTAGCATCGGCAGCTGTTTTTTAACAGAAATATTCCAATTTATTTTTTTTTCCAGTTGTAGATTGGAGAAGAATCGTCACTATGAGGTCGAGATCTGCAGGGTGATGGACGTCAAGCAGAAATGTCGCGATGTGAGTCCCACTTTTTTTTGGATTTTTTTCTTTTAACCAAAAATCCGTCAAAAAAATTTATTATAAAAAAAGTTGCAATAGCCCTAAAAAAATACGTTTTTCAAAAAGTTTCTATCTGTGGTGATTCACTTAGCCAACAGCTGGATGATTAGCAAAATCGTGATTGGTTGGAAGTTTTTCGAGTCGCCGGGGACCATTTACGCGCTGTTTTGTCCTCAGCTTTGGTCTTTTGCGGTTGCAAAAGAGCCGAATTGGAAGCCGACGTCTTCTTGATGAGACCAGGAAATTTCATTGCAATTCCGCTGTCGGATAAGACTCTCGAGTGTTCGGCTCACGTGTTCCTGAGTTAGTGCGGGTAATTGGGGAAAATAAGAAGTCTGTTGGTTTTTTTTGTAGCCTGCAGAATGGAACTTGTGGCTTTCTTTATTTTTTCTTTTTTCAAATATGATATAATCTGTTGAAAAATTTTCTTTGCATTCGATTAAATTTTTCGATGACGATTTCGGACTTCTGCGGACGTTTTTTTTTAGGTTTTAAGAATTATAATATTCATCATTTTGAACATGAAGGTCTTCGTTCTTGGCACATCTTGGCACACGATTTGGCCAAACGAGTCTTGAAAATACTTAGCAAAAATTGAGAATCCGGCAAACTTCAAGGCTTCCTAGTTTGCTATTCGAAAAAATGAAGAATTCACAGAGTATTATTTTAATTTTTTCAGGCCTGTTCCACTAAATTTAAATATTTTGAGTAGATTCACCTTCCCATTAAAGCTTTTTTCAAACCTGAATATTTCCATTCAGAATTCGAAGCTACCCATTGAAGCGTTCTTCTTGCCTATTTCTTTGTCCGATTCGAACATGGAGTCAAGTGACAACAGTATAGATCCGCAATATTATTAAGTGCGTGGAGGGCCGCCGCGGCTCGAATTTCGCCGCACTTTTGCTCCACTTATCAAGCGTACAGCCTTCAGTCCGTCATTTCCTGACGCCAGTTCCTCCAGAAAAGGATGATCTTCCGGATTGGGAAAAAAAAGATGAAAAGAGCGACCCCGGCGGCCGGATAATGCGATTGTCTCCGTGCACTAGGCTCCAATTGCGGAGAGTTCACACGTCGTCTTCTTTCTTTCTAATTACACTTTTTCGAGTTATGAAAGGTCGAAGATGGCTTGAGCAAAGTAAATACACCAAACACTTGAAGAGGTCTCTGGGGTCTCGGATTTGTGGGCGTGTACTGGGTTCACACTAGAATAGCTTCGTGTTCTACGTGATTTCTGCGAGTTGAATGAGTTTTTGATGAAGAACCTGACTAGAAGCTAATGAATATTCCGAATGGTTATGAAGAGAAAGGAATGGAAATAAATCGATGAAAAAAATAAGTTCCAAATATAATTTTTCTTTTTTTAAACCTCTGAAGTTGAATAAATTATTTATAAAAAGGACGTCGGTTTTTTTCTAAGGGTGAAAACTATAAAAATTTGAAGAATAACAAACTTTATCGATTTTTTTACCTTTTTCAAAGCCATTCAAAAAGTGGAATAGCCATATCAAACCCCAGTTTCATATTTTTTTATTTCCTCAATACAGGTTTCGAATTAAATGAACAGTTATCAAAAATAGTTTTTTTCTTATCTTTTTGGTATTCAAATTGATCGGTCTGAGAAAAAAAGGGTTGGTTAAAATGTGACTCGTTTTAATTTCTCGAACAGATGCTTAAGAAATTTTAAGAGGCTTTGAACCAGAAAAACTCGAATAAAAGAGTGGTTTCATTGTTGGTGATTATTTTGAAGTTCAACAAAAGTTGATGATTTCGATGAATAAATATAAGAATAACTATTATAGATCTGGTAGGGAATTAGTTCAAAAATAAAGTCTATTGGTAATTTGAAGGAAAATTTCTGACAATTCTTAGAAAAGGCGGCAAACATATCTGGAATTTATTGGTTAATAATTGGACAAGCAAAACTTATTTTTTGGGAATCTACCAAAAAGTCTGTAAATTCTTCTTACTTAGTTTCTGTTTCATATGATTTAGTTTTCAAAAAAACTGCGAGAAACAGAAAGTACCTAACAGAGAAGAAGTCGAAAAGGAGGCCGGCTGCCTATAAAAGGATGGGAGAGGTCCAGTCGGACACGCCCCTCCGGAGACGACTTCCGAGGCATTTCTTTCGACGCCGCCGCTGCCTCCTTTTCTCTCTTAATTCTTTGTCATTTAATCAGCTTCCAATGGTCTTCCATTCTCAAACGGCGCGAGCCTCGAAGAAGAAAATCGACCTCGCTGAGGTAACCCTTTTTTTCGAGTTTTCGTCCACGAGGAAGTCGGAACAAAGCTGTTTTTCACTCCCTAATACGTTTGATGACATCCATTCCACGCTTCTCAGGCTTAGTACAAGGAAGTACCGAGAAAACAATTAAATAAATCGTGGACAGTAAATTTAGCTGGTGTAAAATCCAAATAATGGTCTTGCTTTTTTTTTAAAGTTTTTTATCCCTGTAGACGTGAAGACGTTTTTTTTAAGTTAGGAATTTCAGTCTCGAAAACTCATATTTCCTCGATTAAAAGGGTTACTAGGATTTCTTTAAAAAAAACTAGGGGCAATTTTATAAGTTAATATCGAGCTAGAAAGGTAAAGGTTTTGAGTATATTGCAATAACTGCGTCCAGTATCATTTGAAGGAACTATCAAATAAAAGTTACAGAATGGTTAACGATAACAATTGAGTTCTCAGTTTATTCGGCTTCAAAACGACCTTTTTCGTACTTTTCTGAAACTTTTTCTGCGGAAAGGAGCACTCGTTCAGCCACATCTATGAGCTCTCCTCTTGCCATAGAATCCGGAAAACAAAAAAAAAGCTACATCGAGGCGTTTATCTCGTTGGGCGGAAGATCAAAAAGTAAGAATGGAAAGAGAAAAAAAGAGCCCGAATAATGAGTCGACGTGATAAGGGCGGTGAATTTTCGGGAGCCTCGGGGGAGTCCGGCGGATGGACATGTGACCTTCGACGTTCCTGGACTCGCTGGAGAATTCCTTCCATGGCTACATTACGTTCTCCTCCTCTTTTTCTTTGCTTTCCGAAAGCTTCTCGAGGGAGGATGACGTAGTTAGAGCTCATTCACTCTTGTATGACACCTTTTTTTTTGAATTAATTGAAAATCTATTTTGCGAACATAATAAAAAGACTGAGAGCTAGAACGAAGTTATTTTCTCGAAAAAAAAACTGAAGATGAGTGGAAAAGCCCATAAAGATGATGAAGGACAGAGCTAAGGAGCTTTTGAAAGAAATATTGTGCTTTACCGAGGAATTTTCTGGCGGATAGCTCTCTCTTTCTCTCATTCACCTCCGGGAGAGTTAATTTTTGCAGAAAACAAAATGAGTCTAGAAAGTGTTTCCTTTTTTACACAATCCAGAAAATCCGTGTTTTAGAAAATAAGCATCGTTTTGGATTGGATGAGTGTATGGCAAGGAATCTTGAGTTTCGAATAGATTTTCACGTCTTTTTTGCAGTTGGCCCCGTACGCCTTGCATCTGGCGATGGTCGGCGCCGTGGCGGTGTACGTGGTCGCCGGAGCGTTCGCCATCCGACAAATTGAGGGAACTCTGCGACAAGATCTTCAGGTTCTCTTAATAAATCATTTTGTTGTATTTTGATCCATCTCAGCTTGATTTTTGTCCAAAAAGTTTTTTTTTACAAATTCCCTTACAAAACAGTTTAAGAAAACTGATATTATCATTTTTGGTACTAGAAATTGGTGTGGAGACTCCTTCAAGGCTCAAATCAAAGAATAGATCAAAAACCGTGAAAAGTTGTTCAGAAGACAACAAAGTAAGAACTGTTGTTGACCTCCAGAAGACATCTTCTAATAGTGTCTCGCTGCAAGACTCGGGCGGGAAATTCGAATTTGTGAGATTCAGACGCAACTGCAGGAGCCGACGAGCGACGTCGCCTCGAGACGGAAGCGATACGAGGAGCCGCAGACCCTCCCACGTGCGTTTTTCTCCCCTTTTCTGTCTTTTGCTTCCACCTTTGAAGGTTCGAGTTTCCCGGCGTGACGGAGTGAAAAGGATTACTTGTGAAATTCAATCTCGAGAAAAAGTAGAATAATTTCATGGGAACTCCTTTCAAGAACGCGAAAAGTCCCCTTAAATTTAAACGGGTGTTCAAACGTCGAAAAGAAAAGTTTTGGAGTGGAAAAAAATCATTCATTTCTGATAGCTGATTTTACTATCAATAACATTAAAATTTGAAAAGAGTAAAAAATAATTGTTCAATAGGCTGTAACTTTACGTATAATCAAATTTGACTATGAAATTAAAAATTCTTCCAAGCTCTTCATTAACAGAATCATCTCCAAAACTTTCTTCCTTTTTTTCGTGTTTTTTATTTAATTATTTCTGATATTTTTGGTTCTTCGTCTCTATGTGTAACTTATAAAAATATTTTATACCCTTTTGAATTAATTCAAACGAAAAATTCTAACATGGGGCTCTCCTTTATTAAGCCGTCAATTTCTAAAACGAAAAAATCGGCTGAGAGCTGACTTTTCATTCAATTTAATTCAAATCCGTTGCTTGAATATTATAGAAGAATTAGGCTTGCAGTTTCCAGAAAAAAGTCCCCTCTCCAAAACTGAAATTAACAGCTCAAATGCATTTTCATACATTTTCCAGTAGGTTTATCATTCGAAATATTCTTTCAAGACACCCATTCCAAAAAAAAGATTCTGCGGTCCACTTTCTTGAGTTTTTTCAACCCAAAGTACACTCTTAAAGAGGGAAAAAAGAAGTGAATGATGAGGTCCGGGGCCTCGAATTCGTGTCCAAATGGACGAAAACATTGGCTCTTCTGGGGCCTCGTTTGTCAATCCGTCGTCCAAAAATCCGTTCGCATGTGTCACTATATTTGGCAGACAACGCCTCTTCTTTTTTTCTCAAAAGCTCATTTCAATGAGGAATTTAGTGGACGACCTTTAAAATGTCCAATTTCAGGGGATGCGACACGGCGATGTGTCGCCGAAGCTCTGCAAAAAATCGCCGCTACGGGCAACTGCACAAAAATTTTTGTGAGTCTTGCTCATGAGAAAAATTAATTAATCGAAAAAGAAAAGAAAGAGCAACAGAAGAAAAACTAATTTCTCTCTATTAAGTTGTCGGGTCGTCATGTGCGGTGTTCCCAAAGACGTAAAAGCTTTTTTTGCAAAAAAATCATTTTGACGAAAAAAATGAGCATTTCGGCAGGAAGACTTTTGTTTTAAAACAAAATTTGAAAATCATCCAAAAAATGTTATCAGTCATATCGTTTTTTTAGTAGCCTTTTCTGAAGTCTGTTATGACAAGACGATGTTCAAACAACTATTGTGTTTTTTTGGAAAAAAATAAAAAAATAAAGGTTGGAAGTGACACAATTTTTTTGTTTTTTTCCTGCTTTTTGACTTCTCAGGAAGAAATTAGCCGGCTACATGAAAAATAAGTAATGGCTAGAGGTCCAAAAAAATGGCCGAAAAAAACTGATAAAATAAAAACGATCTTTTCTGATGAAAAAAAGGCTTAAATAACATAAACTTTAAAAAAAGAAGAAATTTTAGAGTTCTTTCAAACACGTTCCGATTTATAGTACTTGAAAGGCGGTTATTTCAAAATTCGGAAACCAAGATTTTTTTTCAATTTTCAATCGGAGAAAGACAAAAACTATCCATTAAATTTCCTGTAAATATGACTTTCATTGCTTCGTTTTCTTTTTTCCTTTTTCGAATGTTAAATTAAATTTTCAGCAAGAGTTGCACGTGCTGGACGCCTGTTACTACGACCGGCTGAGTCATGGCGCGGCGTCGGCGACTCCAGACGCCGAAGGTGAGCCCGAGATGGTCCCGAGGGACTTCCTTTCCTTCAAATAGAAGCCGCTCCGCCTGGGGATAGTTAACGCTCGATTTATGGAGGCCATGAAACTTTTGCGCGTATCACAACTTTCGGGATTCTTTTTTTCGTCGAAGCATTTGAGAACCATGATAATTTATCTCAAGGAGATCTTTGAGACCATATATGACGACTTCACAAACTGTGGAAAGGCATTTTTATTTCTTAAATTATTTTCGAGGTTCTCGAGTTTTCGAGGGGAGAGGGGGTCATTTTGGCAAATAGTAAAACTTCCAAAATCCACATATAGCTAGACGGAAAACAAGATGAAAGGAATAAATGACATATTTACTCTCGAATTTTCTTCTAGAAAACATCTCCAGAGTCCCACAGGACTTCTTGACCACTTGAATGTTTTCAGGGGACCTGACAACTGATGTGACTTCTTGACCATTTTGTTTTGAACTTGCAAAAAATACTTCCGAGTAGAATCTGCAAAAAATATCATGGCGTTTTCCAGTCTCGGTTGTGAACTTGAAGACGTCAAACTCGTCGAAAGGGGAAGACCAAGACGTCTACGTCTTCTGGACCGTCATGGACTCGGTCCTCTTCTGCTTCACTGTCATCACTACCATAGGTGAGGGGCGAAAACAAGGAGAAAGATTCAAGATAAAACGAAAGTTGTGAAAAAATAGGGCTCTTATTCAAGACCTGGAAAAATAATATATACGATTGGTTTTTCATAGTATAGTTTCGGAAAATAATATTCGTAAGTTTTTGTAAAATTTGACGGAAATCCCATTCCAGTTTACCAGTTAAAATATGGCAGCGTCTGATTTTTGACTCCGACTCAGACCAATTCCCTTGATTAAGACCGATTCTCTCGTTTTACGCAGTAAATAACCTCCTTTAGGATATAGACTACCTAGTTTTCCTTTCACCAACAAAAGTGAAAAAATAATTATGATTTCGGTGTTTCAAATAGATTTAAACCGCAACGCGACTGCGCCTATTCGAACCATTCCAAATGCGACCAAGTCTTAAGCCCATCTTGCTGCAGGATACGGTAACGTGGCGCCGCGAACGTTTTACGGACGGCTTTTTGTGATTTTGTATGGACTGGTGGGAGTGCCGTTCACGATGTTGGCCATCGCCAACCTCGGAAAGTTCTTGGCGACCCTCCTGAAATCCTGGGCGCGTCCATTCGTCCGATGCTTCCGGTTGGTTGAAATGATCTTTCAGTAGTAGACAAACTCAAGCGTTAATCATTTATTTAAACTTAATTTTGAAACTTTTTCCTAAAATGATCATCGAACTTTGTGAATTTACAGTAAGCTGAAAAATAAATGTTGTGGGAGCAAGGAGGACACGAACAATAATGAAGCCAAGGAAAAGCAGCATCTGATGGAAAAGTCAAGGAAAAAGGTCGGCTTTCGGATATAATTTCCATCTTGACAGTATTTTTCAGGCCAAAAAGATTGAGGAAGACAATTCGATGAGTGAAGACGACGAGGAGCCCGAAGAAAACGAAGGTTCGATCTTACACATGTTCAAATTTATACTTTACCTTCAGAATACGACACATTCATTCTTTTTCTGGCCTTCGTGATCTACATCGTCGTCGGCTCCCTCGTGATAGCCGCCTACGAACCAGAAATGGACTTTTTCGAGGTCGGACCAATCTTCGAGAAATTTGTCATCGTTCAGGATGTTGCTAAGCTGAGAACATCGTGTTTGATCTCCAGAGTGCCCTTGGAGCAACTTTCCAACCGAGAGAACCGCTCCCACTCAAAAAAGAGCGCAAAAGACATAACTCATCGGGTTGCAAAAAAAAAGACGCTTGTTTTTGGCGAATCAAGGGTGGACGCGACTTGTCACTTTGGCGCCGGCGCGGATTATGGGGCCAAGGAAGCAGTGAAAAATTGGCTTTCGCTTAAAACCTCTTGCCGGATTTGCTTTCCGGAGCATCGCGTGTACCTATTTTTCAAAACTGAGAAAAATAACCCGGAAGAGGATTCATTTCTTTGGAAGTCATTTTTCTGGTTCAGGTTTCATTTTATCTATTATCAGCAGTTAACATAGGGAAAACGCAAACACTCAGAATGGACTTAAAAATATGTTGCCTGAACATTTATCAATAGTTCAAAAGACCTTATTAAACTTCAATAGCCTTATATTGGAATTTATTTCTAACTTTTGAGAAAAAAACTTGATAAGAACGGTTGAAGAAGTTAGAAAGAAATTCCTAATGAGGATAAAATTTAAAGTTTTCAAGGTTTTGGAAGGTCCTTGAATACTTTTGTTGCTTTTTTCGCAATTATTCCCATGAATGAAAGAAAATATGTACGTTTAATGGGAGAAAATCAAAATATTCGAACTCATATACCTTTTAACTTCATTTTTTTTTCCAGGCAATCTACTTCAATTTTGTCACATTGACAACCATCGGATTGGGTGATTTGGTGCCTCAGAGCCAGACTTACTTGGTTCGTTCTATTAAGCACTCTCTGATTTTTATGAATTCTTCTTCGTTTTGTTGAATAAAGAGACGTTTCAGGTGATCACTCTGATATATTGCGCGGTCGGTCTGGCCCTGACGACGATCGCGATAGAAATCGCGGCGGACACGCTCAAAAAACTGCATTATTTCGGCCGGAAACTCGACAACGTGGCCAATGTTCAAGTTTGGTTCGGAGGCAAAAAGTAATTTCGAATCTTTTTATTGCTTTGAAAAATAAGAAAAATGTCAAGGATATCGATGAAGGCGCTGGTGAAGAACCTCGGCGACCAGTTCAACGTTCCGATCGAGGAGCTGGAGAACCTCGACCTGGGCAAGTTCGTCGACGACGCGATTGCAGTCGAAGAAGGCGCTCTGGCCACTCTTCGTGTCTGTTTTTTGCACATTTTTCAGTTTTTCTGCAATTTTGAGAGAGAGCCGATAAAACTATTCACTGGAAAAAATTTTTCAATTTTCCGAGTTTCCAACCTTTTCTTGCGAGTTTGGAAATTTGTGATTTTTTCAAATAACTTTCCGAAGTTGTCCTCGAGACCTGATTCCTCCCAGTCATCCTAGCTAATAATCCTTATTTCAAAGAAAGTGAAAATCCGTAAATTGTTGGGATCTCAAGAAGTTCATATTAGTAGAATAGAAAGATGAGGACAACATTATTTGGAGTTACGACTTTTGCAAACCATCCTAAAACAAACTCTGAAAACATGTTTTTAACGATTTTTAACTTGCAAAATATAAGAAGCCTCGACAAAGGTAAAAATTAAACTTTGATTCATAAAGTATAGTTGGGCCACGAAAAACCTATGATGTGATTTTCAAACTTTCGAAGTACCCAAAAAGTTGAACCCTAGAAATTTTCTTCATTTGCAGAACGAACGCGCATGGATGAACTCGAACTACTGGAGGGCGATCGAGAGCGGCTCGATGCATTACGTCGACGACGACGACCTCGTCACACTCCGCTCCAACCGTAACTATTACTCAGAGTTCTGAGAGACGGGCTTTTCCCGGGCTCTTCCCGGGAGTCTTGCGGGTCTCTTCTCTATCCTTGCTGCCTTTATTTGGACGATGTCCGTTCGTAAACGCATGAGTTGCCTGCGTATTTTCAGGTTTTCCATCTGTGTTATTCATCGTGAAGATATGACTTATTGTATGGATGTCCCCAAATATGCCTCATTTTCTCAATTCTACTTCATTGCTCTGCCGAAAAGTTTAAGGAACCTTGCCAGTCCATTGAATGTTTTCTAAACCTTATGGTTATTCATCATCTCTCCTCAATCATAAAGGACCTCACTCAATTAAGTTTCGATCAAAGAATAAAACGAAGCAGAGACGGAAAATTTGTTCTCTATCTATCTTCCTCATTTATCTCTGTCGTTTAAATCTTTCAATTCTCGAATAGAATTAAAGTGCACTTGAAGCGGCGCTCCTGCATGTTACGCAAGGAAGATGTTGTAAAAGAGCACGTTTCCCCCATTATCGATATAACCTGTATCTGTGAATAATCATCATGAGATCGTGTGTTGCAACTGGAAGTTTGAATCGTGTGATTCAATAAAGTGTGTTTCCAGTGCAGAATCGCAGGCAAAGAATTTTTTTAAAAAAATATTAAAGTTTTTTTCTTAGATTTGAAAGAAAAAAATATTTCAACGTTTTAAAGCTTCAGCTCACAAGATAATCGTTTTTTTTTCTAACAAGAAAATAGTTCGAGGTCATTTTTTCTCAATATTTTCGCGAATAGCAGTCATTTCAATCTGAGCATGAATTTCTCATTTGTATTAAGCATGTTGCTACTTCGAAACAGTTTTTCTCAAACTGAAATTCTATTTCATTAAGGCAGCATTTTTCGAAAAGGGATTCTCTTTCAAAAATCGTCGAACCGTTTCAGTATCAGAAAGCGAGTCTCGTCAATTTCTTCTATCGGTGGCGCCTTCGCGGCCGTCGTCCGTCCAGCTGGTGACCGTGTGCCACGCTCCTTGCGTCCCCAGCCCACTTCTGGAAACGCCGCAGACGACGTCATCCAGCGAAGTCGTCAACGAATACATCGTCCGCGCCGTCGTTCAGATGCAGCCGGTGAGTCTTTCTTCATCGATTTGAAGCTCTCAAGAGTTAAGGCCTTCGGAGAAAGTGAGATGCGGAAAATGTCTGTTTCCCCTGACCTGGAGCAGCTTCTCCAAGCGCATCGGAAGAATCAACAAGGTAAGAAACTTTGCCTCGACAGCTTCTGACTGAAACTTTTGCAGAAGCGCGGAAGAATGAAGGTCGATGGAGCGAAGAAGCCTTACGAAGATACGAAGAGTATAGGAAAACATGGAAGAAGTTTCGCCATACACAGAGAAAGAAATGATGATTTCCATCGATAAAGGTTTATCGAAAAACGATAGTTACAATGGAAGAAGGCTCCAAGGCGATGGAATACACGTTGTCTGAACTCGAAGAGTCGCTGACGGTGATAGGGTCCGAGTTTTTCTGAGAACGTCAAACTATTATTGACCTTGCAAGGGAGACTATTTTAGTGGGAATTGAGGAATTTCTATGAATTTTCCAAAGCCTTTAAAAATTACTTTTTTAAAAACAAACCAAGCTTTTGTTGAGGAGGACGACGGTTTTGGTACCGTCCTCGTTTAGAAAAGCGACGCCTTCCAAGTCAGAATTCTTCTTCGACACGTTCAGCTCAACTCTAACTGCGCCAGGCTTGACGAAGCGACTTGAAGGAATTCCTTAGTGATTAATCATGGAGACCAACCTGAAATGACCCAAGGCGTGCCACATCGGCTGCTTGTAGTACTCGACGGCGTCGGCGTTGACGATGATTGGCGAGTCGACAGTGTTGTTGACCCAGTTGGGACCGCCTTGCATGTCGAGCACGAAGTTCCAGTCAACCCAGCCGGATACCCAGTTCTCAACGTCCTGAACGAAGACGTAGCTGATCAGAGGGCCGAATAGACACGGCATGCCTGGATGACGTCGTTGGCGTATTGTTCGGCTCGATCCCAGTCTCCGAGGATCGGCTTCGCTTGGCCTGGCAGGTAGGCTGTGCACGCCTAGGAGTCCTTTTATCATAGGTAAAGCTCACAAGAAAGTAGGGACCGCAAAGTCTACTTCAAATAAAACATTTCTAGGCTTTTCTTTATTTTTATATTTCCCGGGGTATCTATTGACAAAAAAGAGTAAGCTATCACATAAATGGCCACGAGCAACCCGAATTTCAAGTCAAAATCCAACAAAAAAGTATTTTTCAAAAATCGAATTTTTGAGTGGCGATCTTTTGGTTGTATTATCTTTCTTTAAGCTTTAAAGCACAAAAAGGAAAAAATAAAAGTTGGAATAAAAACGTTAAAAGTAAATCCTAGCAATCGAAAATTTTACAGAAATTAAACAAAACACGATGTATTTAAGGAACCGTAAACTACCAAGCTCTTCAGAGTTATATTCGATTTTTCACAACTTGGCTTAGACACCTAACTTCTCACAGACTAGAATTTTTTTTTAGAAGTTGAGAGTTCCTGGATCTTCATTGTGTATATCTGAATATTTGGAGGAAATTTTGAAGAATACTCAAGTACTGGTTTTAGAATAACTTGTTCTTCAGACCTCACCTCAGTCGCCAGAATGAAGTAGTCGGGATGACGGGCATGAGTGACGCTGAGGACGGTGGCCGGCACGGCCCAGTCTTCGTACCAATGCATCGCGATCCCGGAGACGTACTGAGCCGCCAGCGGATCTTTCAAGATCTGCAACTTTGCTCTGAATGTCTGCAGAGCGAGAAAATATCGGCCCAAATCGGCATGTTGGTTCTTTGGTCGTCGTTGATCATCACTTTCAGGTCTTTAGTCAGGCTCGACGCTTTTAGAGCTGGTCCGAGGTGGTTCTTGACGAAATCTCTAGAATCATTCATTTTTTTTTTGAACAAAAAACCAAATTTAGACTCGCCATAATGTCCTCTTTTTCATCAAGTTTTCTTTTTTTTCAAATTTAAATTTAACAGACCAAAACCCAACTTCATTTATATCCATTCCCTTGAAGCATTTCATCTCTACGGGAATTTGGAGCGGTCTCTATAGGGCTTTGTATTTTTTTAGAGATCACTATAGGGGACAATTTTTTGGTCCCCATAGGCGTCAAAATTTTAGTGACCTCCATATTGTTTTCTGGGCGTTCCTCTAAAACCCAAAAGCTTTAGGGGTCCTCGTTGAGGCACCGTTAAGAGCTCCTAATACACTCTTTATAGGGGCCACTTCAAATCTTCTCAGTTTTTTAGTAATTTTTTCAACGCTTCTTAAATTTATAAGAGTTTTAAGGAAATCAAGAAGTTTATTGTAGTAAGTCAAAGATGTAGTTTTTTTTTGTTTTGTTTCATAAAGAGAAAAAAGATGCTGATAAAGTAAAGGTTATATACTTTACTATAACCGTTCATTGTTCCGTCATATTGACAATCCGGTTTTTTTGTAAACTAATTCTTTTTTTTTCGAACGATTGAAACTGGTAATAGGACCTCTCCATGGCGGCGCTGAAATACATGGTTTGCCATGGGTAGTTGGGATCGGCTCCGCTCATTGGCTCATTTTGGACGGTAAGGCCCCAGAAATCGATGCCCTGAGCGTGGTACGCTTCGAAAAATCTGGAAAAAAGTCGTTTCAAATCATAAACGAGAGATCAGTAAACTTAACGAAGTAGTTCGCCCAGGAAACGTAATAAGGTCCTGAAGGATCTCCCAAAAGCGAGCCGCCGCCTTTCATGTGTCCACTCGGCTTCATCCAGCCTTAACCGTCTGTTTTTAATTTTTCAATTTTCATTCAAAAATGAGAAAAAAAAGAATCTCACCTGGTGCGCTCCATGGAGAAGCGAAAAGATTCAGGCTATCGTTTGTCAGTTGAATTGCTTTCGAAATAAAAGGGATCTGCAGACAAAAATTTCTAACTAGAAAATCTGTATAATTATCTGCTCATTATGGATAACTATGGGATTTTTATAAAATTTTTAAGTTAGAGGAAGCTTTGAAAAAGTTTGCAAAAGTGAAAGTTTACCTCCCGGCCTATAAATATGTTTCGATGAAAGAATGATGAGAACAATTTTTAGTTCTAAAAAATGGAAAAAAGAGAACCTTAATGAAGAAGAATTATAAGAAAAACTTCTTATAATCAAGATATCTGTCATTTTTTCTAAAACTACTGTGATAGAGAAGATAAAACCTTGTAAAGGAAATCCTCCGCGGTGAGGTTGAAGTGAAGCCAGTCGAAGTCGAGCGGAATGTCGTCGTAGCTGTACTCGTGGGTCGAGAAGTCGGTGCTGGCCATCGGGACTCGTCCGATCGTGTAGCCGTGTCCTGACCAGCCAAATAGAGGTCAGGAAAGGAAACCAACCGCTAGGACTGAAGTACTGCGACAGGATCTGGTCCTGCATGGCCGGGGGCAGCCGCACGAGGTTGATTCCGACGGCGTCTGTGAAGGCGGCGCCGAATCCCATCATCGTCTGCATCTTCGTCGCCGTGTTCACCGTGTATTTCAAGGCGTTTCCTGAAAAAAACGATTAATAAATTTGAATAATTATACGAAGTATTTTTAGAAAATCTATTAAAAAAGTTGATTTTCCCAAGCCAAACTACCTGGCGAGCTGCTGGAGCTGGTCAGAACGGATCTTTCAAGCCGCCTGCCCGATTTGGAAGACGTAAAGACGACGGCATTTCCGGCCGTGACTTCTCCTAGAAGCTCGACCTCGTCGCAATAGGTCGCGTTGCAGACACAGACGACGCTTCCGTGGCCGAAGTCGCGAGAAGCGCAAGGCCGCGACGACGTCGCAAAAACACTCGTCGCGACGCTCAGCAGCAGCCAGAACTCGCCACGCGCCATTCTCCTTGTGCTTATCGCGATGCTGTTTCAGTTATCAGATTCTGCTCCCACGTGTTGTTCTTTTCTAATCTTTAATTACTGAGAAACGCAACTAGAATATTGTCTCTTCAATTCAATGTGAAAAAAGTACAATTTTTCAAAAAAATCTATTACTTAAACTATGTTTCCGCCTTTCTTTTAAATAGAGCAGTTAAATTTTTAATAGTCGAAAAAAATTCTATTATAAAACGCAGCGGTTTTGAGTCTTTGGAAAACGACGACGGCGGGCGTGAAATGGGAATTCCACGTGTACAAATTTCTTTTGACATTTTTTTCCATTTATCATCGTTGCATATTTTTCACTTTTTGGAACTCGCAATATAGCTGAATCAGGACTGGCTTGAGCCATCGAAAAAAGGGTCCGGACACGATAATAAGATATAATGCCGGGTTCGTGGAGAGCACGGACAGGCCACGCCCACTTAACGTCGTAAGTTAGCCGTGAATCGACCACGAAGTTTTTTCTATCCTTGCTCCTTCTCTCATATTGAATCATACTCCAAGTTTGTGAATTTTTTCTTTTTCTCAAAGATCGAACTGTATTTCTAACATTTTACTTCAACAAATACCACTTTGAAACTTTGCCAGACTGTCAAAATTATTGAAAAAAAAAGGAGAATCAGGTTAATTAGAGTATTTTTCCATGCACATAAAGTGTTCGAGGAACTGTTTCTCGCAGTCGAGTCCTCTGGGGTTCGTCGAAGACGAATTGAAACACCTGAAACATTATTTTTCGCGCATAATTAGGACGTTAACTGACTTAATGGCTTCTCGAATAAAATAGCCGCAACGGTGTGCAAGAGCCGAATGCAGACAAGGACACTCTGGGTTTATTTTCCCGTCCGGAAGCACGGATTCTGAGTAAATCGGGTGAAAATACAATAATTCTAACATTTTATCATTTTTATTTCGCATAATATATAACTCTAAAAACTAACTTCGTAGTCATTTTCAACTTTCTTTCATAACCATTTTGAAACTGGTTTTTTTATGGAAAATTCTAAAAAAACCTGGATGCTCATAAGGCTCAAAAAAACTTTCGAAAAAAATCAACGGTGGAGACTTGAAAAACTCTTCTTCTTTCAGAATCAAAACCTCTTCTTTCGGCGCCATCTGAAGACGTTCTATAAAAGTCATTTTGAAAAAAACTTCAAGTATTAGTGCAATAGAAGCGCATTTCATAGAAAACGAATAGAAACAAATTTTGAATGAATTTATCACCGGTGAAGAAAAAAAAACAAGTATGATCAAATATTGGTTGCAGAGTCGAGATTTGAACAAGATTTAAAAAAACTGCAGTGCAATTATACATTAATCAATCAGAAGATTGCGACATTGATGTTTTAACCAGGGAATAAAAGGTGCAAATCGTTTGAAAGTCAAATTTTGCAAGTCTGAGGAATTTTTTGTGATAAATCTGTGCGTATGAAGGTACAGAAACGGATATTTCCAACGATACTTTTATTGAATTTTTCATAGGACTTTAAAAACTCTAGCAATTATTTCTAAACAGACTTTAGCCAAGAAGAGGAAATCGAAGCATGCTAGATTTTTTTCTAAAGTTCACCAAAACGGAATAGTTCCTTTGAGGACCCTTGTTAGAAATAGCTGGAAAAGCCGCAAAAAGCTCCTAAAATGATGAAGATGAAAGTCTTCTGAGCTTCCTTTTTCATAGCCCCGGAGGATCCTTCTTTAATCCTCTGGATTTTTTTTAGTTGCTTTTCAAAATATTTTTATTAAACGAACTGAAAAAGATGCACAAGTAAAATAAAAAGTTTTTTTCGAAGGAAACGTTTGAGGAGCTTTTCCGTTTGGCTACAAAACAAAGACAGAAAACTATCATCAAGGACTTTTCCTAATGAGAAATATTTTATTACTTCTGGACGCTGAGTGGTTCCGTCTCAGACAGCATGGCCTGTCGCATTTGCTCTCGTCGTTCAGCTACAAACACTCATTGCATCAATGTGAGGCCAGGCCAACGAACTGGGGAGGTTCTGCATGCAGGCGACCCAGTCCACAAACTGATTGGGACATTTGACGGCGGCGTCGGCATTTTCCTCACTCGACATACACGTGTAAAGCGTCCGGAAGTAATGGCCGCACCTCAAAAAACAGTTCTTCGAGCAATTTTATCCAATTTATACCTGTGAGCGACTAGAGAACCTCCCGCCATGCAAGAACACTGCCAGTTGATAGAACCGTCTTCGAATCTTGGACCTGCCAATCAAAAAATATTGCACTTTTCTCTCTGGAACTCTTTGAAAACTTGCCAGAAGAAAAACTTGGAATATTAGAAAAGTTTTTGAACTTTACAGCTGTATTTTTCAAAAATTACTGCTCAAAGGTAGTTTTTTTTTAAGTTGCGTGCAAGAATTAAAACTTTCAGGTTTTGGAGAACTTTTCATATCTTGATAAACTCAGGATCTTCATATACATCGGAAAGTATTTAAGCTGATTTCTAGAATTTTCCAAAAACCAAAGAAGTCAGCAACAACACATGAACCTTTGATTTGAAATCCCTTCTTTCAACAACTCTTTTAAAAGCGCCAAAAAACATAAAGAAATATTTTCTAATCGCTCCAGTAACCTGTAGGTCTATATTTCTTCGTTTCCAGGAAACTTTTCATCCAAGAATTCTTCTCAGAAATGGGTTTCTGGAACTCTTCAAAGGAAATCTGGAGGACGTCTTCTCTTTTCTCACAATTTGCTCGACGAAACAACATCTGAAAAACGACCTCCAAAAATTATCAAGAATTCCAAAGCAGTACGTAGCGGATTATCCTTTTTGTGCGAGAATAAAACCGAATGAAGTGAAAGTTTATTTCGATGGTTAAGGTGTGAATAATTATTAAGGGTCTCAAACAATCGAGATCAACGAATAAATTACAATTTGAAAAAGGTGGAAAATAGGAAGGTTATAATACAATTAAGGACACTTCTTGTCGACGATTATTCGGCCCGTTTCCTCGTACTCTGACTTGCCGATCCACATTTGTTGGAAGGAGCCCTGAATAACCTTCCGCTCAAGCTTTTGAGAAAAGTAGACTCACTAAGGAAGCTAAGATCGATCCTCCGATCCAGGCGCTGAACCTCCTTTCTGTCGACGTCGGCGCCGCAGAAACTCGCAGTTTTATCGTCTTTAAAGGGGTATTTTTAATCATTTCGAAACATGCAATGTTACCGGGGGGCATTTCATGGCGAGTTCGTGGTTTAACCGTTCTGCGAATCCCAGAATCAGAGAATTACCGCCAGTCAGGGTAACTGCGCTGTATAGGGACTGCAAAGAAAGAAGTAACATTAAAAATAGAACACCTAATTTTAGGAAAAACAATCTCAAAAGAAAAATTTTGAAAAAGAAAAAGAGCCCGTTTACCTGAGTTCAGTTGGATAACTATCATAAAAACCTTAAAAATTCTAACTTTATAAACTTAAACATCCGTCGAAACTCGACAAAAAAACTTTTTATCGACGATATGTGAAAGCTTGGTTGTCTTTTTATGGATTTAGGAGGTCATGAATCTTAGAGGGAGTGTCTGTGATGAAAAATATTAAAGTTTGGATTCTTATTTTTGACCAAATTATCATTTCAGACTCTGAAATTCAGAGTTACCGGTAGTTCCGAATTTTCTTTTTCTTTCAAAGTTTGATAACTATCACTATCATAATAAAAAAATTTGCATGTTCTTCAAAGTGTTAGTCAATTGAAAAACCCTTTTTTTTCTAATTATCTCTTTGAAAAAAAGATCTCAACAAAGACGAAACTAACCGGTCGAATATCGATGTCGCTCATTCCGGCAGCGGCGGCGGCCATCTGGGCGACAGGCATCAGTCCCGTACTCGCCGTGTTTTTCAAGTACTTGAGGTCAAATAGGCATTCAGGCACTTTTATCCTCTCCGCCATAAATTCCTGGAGATTCTCCATCTTTTCAAGACTCCTTTTGGCCGAAACCTTGGTGAAACCGTTGGGTAATGAGTACGGGGTGGACGGCAACTTGTCCGCGTATTCCAAATCGATCGTCGCATCGCAAAGTTGGAGAATCGAGGCGGACATGTCTTCCAGAACCTAAGAAAACCGAAATCGTAAAATAAGTATTCTAGAAACCTCCTTTTAATTCTCTTTTTTAGATAAATATCTCACTATATATTAATTTGTCGCGTCTCTCTTCTTTTCACTATACGATCAAAAATATAGAAAGTAAAAAAATTTGGAATTAAATCACACGATTGTTGAAAAACTGTACACGACTCTACGTTAGTAAAGTACTTACAGACCCTTTTTAAAATTGTTTTTTACATTCATACTACATTGATCAATGTTGAGAAATATTCCTATCTTTTTTTAACGAAAAAATAATGATTACCAACCTGTTTTCGCATGAATTTATCATAACTTTCCGTGACCGCAGGTAGATTCTTTTTCGGCGTCCACCTGGGTGGTTGACTTTCCTCCACTTCCTCCTAATCGAAAACAACATTGTAACTTTTCTCCATCTTGCTGAACCAACCTTGGAAGCGATTTTGTAGGTGGGAACTACGTCGATCCCTTGTTCTGCGAGCATTTTATCAAGTTGCTCTGTGATCAAATCGCCTCCTAATGGGGATCGGACGACCGCTGAAACGGCAATCAGGACTATGACAGAATAAAATGAAACGAACCATTGGTGACCGCATATCCATCGTGAACGGGTACGACAGAAGTGTGTGTGGCGCCGCTGTCCACGATCAAACCTCCAGTTCTTCCGTTGGAGAAACTGAATCATTATAAGGATTTTGATCCGTTTCTTGTCCTCTCTACTCTCTCCAAAGAATAAAAAAACATACGTAGTTAAGACAGCGTTTTTTGAGAGGAAGAAAGCTGGAACTTGAAATTTTTCGAACATCAACTCTGTCAGCCTTTCCCTTTTACTGCGCTCGTTCCACTAAACAAAATAGGATTCCCATAAAAACAGAACTACTGATTTTACCGCGCTTTCTGTGAATAAAACAGGGTGTTCTTGAGGATTACTGTAAAGGATGTTGTTGTAGTTGTACTCTACCAAGTTTTCAAAGATATCCCAATCGTCAACTGAATTTTACAGATGAAATACCTTTGCTCGAAAACTTCACTCACTCATCCCATCTTTCATAAATCCTTGAATGTTTGTCCTCGCGCGGGGAACAATAATTTTCGTCGTGCCAATGAAAACATTCTTGTCACGCTTTACATGAACGTTAGACGTCTTCTTCTAAAAATCATTTGTTAAGAAGGTTTCGAAAATTACAAGCGCTTTTACCTCAGCGTTTTCTTTCATCTCTACGTCTTCATCAGGCTCAGGCTCTTGGATGGCAACAAAAGACGGAGTATCACCCTGAGATTTTATCAAAAGATGAACAGATTATGAGGCAGAAAAAACCTTTGGGTATTCTTCTCCAGCAAAGCCAACGCGAAATGTGTGCGATCCAGCGTCGAACACCAGGCCGCTAACGTCATCTAAAAAAAAGTTGCCATATTGAAAATTAAAATTTGAGCCTTCTCACCTCCGCCGTAGATTCCACCGCTCATTTTGATGCGCTGAAAGATATGAATATATTGTTAGAGGAACAGTAAAATTAAAATTATCAGCAAAATGATCCTGGTAACGCCTGTTTAAGGCGGCCGGTCGTAACGGGTAGTTCTAAATTTTTGGCAAAAAAAAATATAAATTCCTGTACTTATCGAGATGAGACTACTATTGTTACTTCGATAAATATGTTCTAAAAATCCAAAAAAATATTATATTAATCCGGAACAGACCGTGCAACAATCAAACGGCCATCGGCCTCCTTGGCACTGTTGCAAACATGAGTGATGAGAAGAAGAATTTTTTTATGTATTCAAAAGGGTTCATCTTTTTAGACCCCGAAGAAGATAATAAAAGTTTCAAAAAAAGTATTGTGAGAGGAAGATTGCAAAAAGAAAAATTTTTGTAAAGATATATCAAAAAAATTAAAAAAAGAAAGACGAAAATAAAATTTTTGAAAAAGCGGGGAGGCGGAGCCTAATTTGCGTTGGCAGGATGCGCGCAAAGATGCATGCGACAAGGCACACTTTAACAACGCTTTAATCTTCATTTCTTTGAGTTTTTTTATTACCAAATTATATCCAACCAAATCTAAGTTTTATAACCTAACTTTAGTTTTTCAATACGCAACAGGGCCAGGTCTAAAGGAATTAGAAATTTTCAAAATTAATAAAATTGTTTTCGTTAGGATTTTATTGACAATCGATCGATTCTTGATTACTTTTTTCAAAATGTTTATATTAGACGTTTTTATACATTTTAATCATTCTTATCGATGTCTCATCGAAAAATTAACCAGGAGATGTCGTTCTCACAGTGGAAACTGGATTATGGACATGCTAACAAAGGATCCAAAACCTCCGATCCGACGTTCAATCCCCCTGGATTTTTTTCGCAGTCAACAGGATTTCAGCAACATGTAAGTTTTTAAAAACGTTTTTTAAAAAGTCATCAAATTTTGCAGCTGGATTCTGAACGTCCGGCCGACCAACAAGAGCACTTGGCGCGGAAACGCGCGTGGGACGTCGCCATGGGACCAGCGAAAAGTCTCCCGATGAACATGTTCATGATGTACATGGCTGGACGCAGTGTGAGTTTTTTTTTATATCGAACTTTAAACTATTGATTGATATAGGTGTCAATATTCCCAATTATGATGGTCGGTATGATGCTTTGGAGACCAGCGAAGGCCTTGTTCTCAGTTAATGCGACCTTCAAGCCACTAGAGGTACTTTGATTGATTTTAATTGGATAATTAATCTTTTTTTGCAGAGTCCTGTCACGGGATCAATGATTTTGCACAAAATTGTTTTTCTTTTGGGTAATATTGGAGCAATCGGGTTAGCTATTTACAAGGTTTGTAGCTCCCTCTTTTCGAATTTTTTTATCCAAAATTCAATCAATTATTTTCTTCACTAAAATACGATAATTTAAGGTCCATACGATGGGTTTACTACCAAACACGCCTTCCGACTGGCTCGAATTCATCCCGCAACCAAATCGCGCCCAGTATTCTATTGTCACTGACGCTTTCTACTAGTCCAATTCTCAGGCTTTACTTGCATTCCATTTTCTTTTTGTTCATAATAATAACGAAATAAATTAATATTGATCATTTGAGACTTGATGGTTTTGTTCAATTTATGAAAAATCAGAACAAAATTAGCCAAGGTACAAAAGTCAATGTGAAACCTCAAAAAGTAGATAGGGGTTTTAAATAATTTTTTTGCTACATGTATTTTTTCTCTCTCAAAAAATCATGGACGTAGTTCAACGGCTAGAAGAAAACTGAATAGAACAATAGCATACAATTTTAATTCGAATAAAGAACATCCTGTACTAAAAGCTCATTTACTATCCCAAGATAGCCAAGCCTAAAACAGTAGAGGAGTTGTTCTTTCTGATCTTTAAGACCTTCTTATTTAAAAATTGGAAGTGTTCGAGTACCTGTTGGCAGTCCGAAGACGCACTTTTGAGTCAAGAGCATAGCTCATTTTCATCGAAAACATCCCTGTTGGTCGGAGAAAAGAAACTGTTTTTGCAAAAGTTGACCGGTGCAGAGAACCTCGAGGACACAGGACCTTCACGTGTGTCCGCAGAGCCCAAAACACGCCACTCTCGGAGAGGAGAATGGCGCGAAGATAAGCCTTACTATAAAGAGGTGCAGCCGCGTCGGCCGCCACCGTACCCTCCGGAATGGCCTCCGAACTGACGTTCTGGCAAGTCGCCACGACGACTCCCTTCAACCATGAGCTCGCCAAGCAGTACACGACGACGCTGCTGTGGCCCGTCTTCTGGATCTCGATGGCCTACATCGTCGTCATCTTCAGCATCAAGGCCTACATGAAGAATGTCAAGCCGTTTGATGTTCGTTTCTTTTTTTCATTCTGAGGAAAGATTTTTTTTTTTCAAAACCTCCAAACCTTTTTTTAAGCTCCAATTTTCTCTTTTTTGTATTAAGGCACTAGAGCAGAAACTTTTTGAACCTTACGGGGTTAAGAAATACTTGACAAAAATAAAAACGCTTCGCCTCCAAACTTCCACCTGAATACCTTCAAGATCTTGAATAATCAGTTTTCAAGTCTCCTCCTTATAGTTGACGGGTCCTCTGAACGCCTGGAACGCGGCTTTGGCCATTTTTTCGACTTTGGGCTCCTTGATAACTGGCTACGGACTTCTCTACGAGATCACCACTCGTGGACTCGTTTGTGAGTCTAAGATGACATTTTCGATTCCCAAAGATATGAGTTCAGCTTCGTACACCCGCGTCGGCGACTACTACAGCGGAATGTCCGGTCTCTGGACTTGGCTCTTCGTTTTGAGCAAGGTCGGCGAGTTCGGCGACACGCTTTTCATCGTCCTCCGCAAGAAGCCGCTCATGTTCCTCCATTGGTCCGTTTTCCATCTTGGATTCTTTTTGAATTCAAAGAAGCCATGAAGTTTCTTCTCACTACTTCTAAATCTTTCGGCAGCTTTTTTCTAAACGACTTTTTGAAGGTACCACCACGTTTTGACAATGAATTACGCGTTCATCACCTTCACCGACAACGTTGCGTACAACTCCTGGATCACCTGGATGAACTTCTCGGTCCACTCGGTCATGTATGGGTGAGTGACGTCCCTTCTCGTGTCCATCTCCGAAATCCTTGGTTCAGCTACTACATGCTCCGGTCCTTCGGCATTCACGTGCCAGCCTGGATCGCCAAGAACATCACGACGCTGCAGATCCTTCAGTTCGTCATCACCCATTTCATCCTTTTCCACGTCGGATACCTCGCCTCCACTGGCGTCCCTGTAGACACGACTCCCTTCTATTTCTGGTGAGTCTTTTTGTCACGTTAAATTTTTAAAAAAGCCCATTTATGCGCACGTGTTGAATAAAAGCATAGGATAGAGTTTGTAGATAGTTTTATGAGATTATGTTTTGAGATTTCTAAATCTTTTTAATATTGGTTCCGCTAAGCAATTAATGATAAATTAAGCTTATCAAAAAAGTTACCAATTGAAATTGGAATTTATTGTCTTGTTTTTTTAAAAAAATGAAGGAACAGCTTGATAATTTCTTTCCCAAGTTTGAATCTTTTTGTTGTTAAAAAAATTTCAAAGTGAAAATGAAGTCGTAATTAATTTAATCATTTTTTTCAGCCAAATTCCTCAAGCTTCCTATATAATTTTAATGCGTACTTTTTTTCTACGACGCTAACGTTTTTCCGTTTATTTTGATGTTTCTATGACCTTAACGATGAGGAAAAAGAGAAGGCAGGTCAGACTGTTCCAAATCGAGCTCAGGTCTTACTTTCTGCAAGAACTATCCTTATCATTTAAAAAAGATGTCTACATCAGCTCCAAGCGATGAAAAGCATATATGGTGTGATTTCAACGAACAATCACACCTCCTTATCAATTGTTTTCTTCTGGGACTGTCTATCGGCCGCTTTTATCAAAAGATGGACATTCTTTGTGCAAAAACTTTGAGAAATTGGAAAGACAATAGGTTCTGAATGGTTTTTTCTCCAGGTTCTGCTTGTTGATGGAGATCTCCTACGTGATTCTGTTCGGTAACTTCTACTACCAGTCGTACGTGAAAGGCGGCGGCAAGAAGTTCAACGCCGAGAAAAAGGTCGTCAAGGCCGAATGAAGTGTGAAACACAACTTTAAATAGATTTTCCTAATAATTCTTCGGGTTCGCCATTAATAAATTATTGATTTTTCTTACATTGTTGAATGATTCAAAGAGAATTTAATTAAAGCTTCCCCGCTAGTTTAAATTGCGAAGGCGTTGCCGTTCAAAATTGAACGAAAAAAAAATTTCTAAATGGAATACAGATGTTCGATGTTCGCTGAAGCTAAAATTCTGGTTCATAAGAATGCCGTCACTTTTTGAACGGTTTGATCTTGTCAGAGAACTGTCAGAAAATAGATAAAAGGTGAAAGAACGGCAAAAAAGATAAGAAAAATGTAAATATGTTAATAATCTTATTGAAAAAAAAAGCAAGGTTTCACAGCGAAAATCAGTGACAAAAAAGATATTTCAATGAAAAGTTTTAAACGGAAACTGGTACCTTGGTACCGATTGTGCCATATGGATACGAAGTATGTGAAATGAGAATTTTTCTCTTGAATATAAATAAAAATAAAACTTTTTCGTAATTTAAGATTATTGATACATTTGGAAATAATTAGAAGATAAAAGGCTTTTGCTAGTTTTAAATACCGCTTTTCGTCGTTTTTGCACTGAGGTACGCGAAGCTCGCAAAATCTCTAGATTACATAGAAATTAAAAATCGGTTGCTCATGTTATAAACTTCCATACTTATTTTATTATTAACTCAAAATCTTTTCCTATAAATTTCAATAAAATCAATGTTAAAAACGGAAAAAAGAAATCAATCAATCATTTTTATTTTCGCAACATTGGGATGGTATGGTGATGTTGCAGGGAGGAAAAATGACCCCTAGATGGATTAACTAACCTCATCTGTAAATAAAAACAAAATTTTTTGGAAAAGTTTTGGCGAAAAATTCATGAAATTTTGAAATACTTGTTGTCGTGAATACTGTTCAAAGCCCTTTTTATGTGTTAGATAGCACAGAAATATCGTATGGCCCAATTTATCATTGAAAACAGATTAGACCACAAATATTCAGGGCCCCTGTACTATGGAAAAAAGGTTTATCATTCATTTTGCCTTGTTTTTCTCGGCCAGCCGACCTGAAAGTACTAGGGCGAGCCCTTCTTCACCAAACCAGTGACCATTTCTGCAAGAAAAAGTATTTTACTCCGAGCAGGAGCTGCATGAGCACAACACGTGAAGCCGACGAATCGCGTGATGTTGGGCTCGGCCGAGGCGACACCTATAAAGGCCAAAAGATTCCAAACACTCGGTTCCGCCTTCTTCCTGATTCCGGTCTTATCTGGTCAACGACGAAATTTGCAGGAGATGGACCAGGTCCTGGGCTACGGTTTCGAGTATGGCAAGGCCAAGGAGTACGCTCGCTCCCTCGAAGGCTTCTCGGCTAAGGTTTGAGACTTCCTATAGCTCTTCGATAAAATATCTCGTGATTATTAACTTCATAAAAAAACTTTTTTTAACGGTATATCATATATTGAAGTTTAAGAGATTGCTGAAAAAACTTGAAAATCGAAAAATATAAGAGTTTATTACACAAAAAAAAGTTGGTTTTTCAAAACCTGATGACAGATTTGCCTCTTTCACTAAACATTTGAGCCCCCTACGAAGAAAAAGACTATGCTAGAAATCACACAAAAATGAAGTTTGCAGCTCGCGGTGGTGTACATGGTGACAGTGTTCGGCATCAAGTACTACATGCGAAACAGGAAGCCGTTAGATCTGCAGGGACCGCTGAACGTCTGGAACGGCATTCTGGCCGTGTTTTCGGCTCTCGGATTCCTTTTCACCTTCCCCACGCTCCTTCATGTCATCTTCACGAAAGGACTTTCGCGTGTGTCTTCTAATTTTAGAGAAGTCGTAATCTCTCTTTTACAGATACATATACGCACATTTCGGCGGTCTACACGAACTCAACCTCAGGATATTGGGTTTTTCTCTGGGTTCTGAGCAAAATCCCAGAGCTCGTCGACACGATTTTCATCGTCCTCCGCAAGCGACCACTCATGTTCATGCACTGGTCCGTCATTAATTACTTCAAGCTTCCTCGAATAACGAGTAGAAGAACGTTCCGCAAAGACTTTAATTTTTTTCGTACAGTCGTTAAAACTTTGCGGCAAAGTTCTAACAAACGTTAAAAATTTGTCTTAGTTTGAAAAGAATTTTAGAAGTTTTCTAGTTAAAATCTGGACTTTTCTTTGACGGTAAGCCGGTTGAGATAGCTCATATCTCGTCTGACAAAAGATCATCAGACAAAACCAAAGTCATCCGATGTCTTGACAATGTCGCGCCATTTAGCTGTTATCTAGCAAAAAACATTTTTCAGCATTTTATGTGCTAGGTAAATGATTATGTGAGGTGATAGGGTCCAAAGAAATTTATGAAGAAAAATATATTAGACCACAGATCGCTAACAAAAAGTATAAGAATGGTAAATCGAGTTGGGCTTCGGAACCCGGTTTGAAATCAGACTTTCTCTAAAGAAAGTTGTTGCATATCCGACACCTTTTTTATACCTAAGTTTTCAGTGTTTGGCACTGTCAATACAATTTTTTAGAATTCCTAGCTTTGCCCAGATAAACGACACTTACGAAATCCGAAAATCTGAAAAAATAAGGCATTTTTAGGTACCACCACGCGCTGACTGGGTACTACGCCCTTGTGTGCTACCATGAAGACAACGCCCACATGGTCTGGGTGGTCTGGATGAACTATCTGGTGCACGCTTTCATGTACAGGTAGGAGATGTTCAGGAGAAAGTTCTAGATCATTTCGGTTCAGCTACTACCTCCTCAAGTCGCTCAAGATCCGCGTCCCGCCTCAAGTCGCCCAACTCATCACCACCAGCCAGATGGTGCAGGTGATGCTCCACGACGCCTTCTTCTTTAATTGGCCCCTTTCAGTTCACGATCGCCATCGCTGCTCAATTGCACGTCGGCTACCTGGCCTATTCTGGTGTCCCCGGCCTGGCGGTCACTTTCCGCGGCTGGGCCATCGGCCTCTTCATGCTCGTCTCATATTATGCTCTCTGGATCCAGTCAGTCGGTCTTCCAAGTCTTTTTAATGCGCAAGATTCCCAGATTCTACAAGGAGAGCTATCTAAACAACGGCGGCAAGAAGTACAAAAGGGCCGAAACCGAAGGCGCAGCGCGCAAGGCTCAGTAAATGCGAGTAAAACCACATCTTCACGGGATATTTACCAATCTTTTAGTTTTATTTCAATTGCAATAGATATGAAAATTGCATTCAACGGCAACACGAAACGATACATAGCAAGAATGGCTCATGAAAAATGTAAAGCAAAAATCGATAGAGTCAATTGAAATGTTTCACTTCGAAATGAAAAACAAAGACCAACAATGGTGCAATGGGAAAAATATGTGAGAACCCGTAAAAGGCAAGCTTTTCGATATGTCACAATGGGACTGAGCCGCGGATCAGATCTCTCATTGGATTGAAATCAGTTGATTCGTAGAAACGTCTAGAAAATTCAGAGAAGATCAAAGAGAATTGACCGTCAAGCTGACCAGAGGTTAGTAATCTATTTTGAGTATCAGTTGGCTAATCTAGCTGGAGATTAGAATGGTAGAGGTGGTTAGTAAGTTAGGAAAGTGGGAAAGGACAACTTGAGGTACAGCGGAACATTCATAGAACTTCCTGGACAAAAAACTCGTGACTAATGGAAAGAGCCTTGAAGCACAGGTGGACATTTACACAGAGGACATTTACACGAACCACAAAGGACAGGACTTTAGCGCTTCTTCAGACACTTTGAGAGAAATCACAGTTTTTTGGTCCAAAGGATAGAAAAAAGACCTACAAAATTGCAAACAGTCACAAAATTCTACAATTGTCAGAAATCTAGATAGAAGGTTTAGACTTCGAGGAGGTCCTCCTTCTCGGAAGTGCCGACTTTCGAGTAGTCGTTGTCTTCAAGCAGGGCGTCGAGCTGTCCTTCAGACATGACGCTAGGCAGGAAGAAGCCGTCAGAGTGCAGGATCCGCATGAAGAGTCCCACGTTGATGACGAAGAAGCAGAGGCCGCCGACGAGGGCGATTGCTGCGAAAGCTCTGAAATCGAGGAAGATCAGGGTCGGAACTCAGAAGGAGAAACGGACGAGTGCATGTGGTCGAGGTTGACCCAGGCCCAGCCGACGAGGAACACCTGCACCAGGAAGCGGAAGATCACGAAGAAGACGATGTTGAAGTAGGCGACGACTCGCGAGAGGCCGATCATCGACGTCGTCGAGAGCTTCGACAAGTGCAGCAGGGAGCGCGAGTGGAGCAGCACCGATGAGACCTCAAGTTAATTGCTTGGAAGAGGTTGAGATTTGACAAGTTACCTCCATCAACAAGGCCCAGTAGGCGTAGAGCAGAAACTTGTGAGAAAGAACCGCCGTCGAGAGGACCAAGATCGAGGCCGCGTGGTGGAAAAGCAACACTCCTGTCGCAATCGACAGTCTGAAAATAAAATGGAAGATGAAAAACGTTTTCTACTTTTCATTAACAACTTTTGAAAAAAGTTGGAAATTTTTTTTTTTCAAAGATTCCGTTCCTTAAGATGATTGGAAAATTTTTAATTAAAGTGAAATTGGAGATGAAAATTATATTAAAAACATTTAGCGGCTTTAATATAATGGGTTGAAAAACAACCAGAAAAAAACATCAAAAAAATTGGTTTTAATTTGAGCAGATTTTTTTAAATTGGAAACGTTTCGACTATTTCAATGTTAATTCATTCTTTACCAAAAATTTCACCCTAATTACTTGCTTTTTCTGACAATGAAGAAAAAATAATGATGTTAATAGAAAACTTAATATTTTCACCATTATTCGCCGCTTTTTTTCATTCACGGACTATTCTGAAAAAAAAAAAATATTTATAGTTATTTTTCCTGGAGAACATCTGTCCTAAAGCCCTTCAAAAGAGCATCTGTTAACTTTCCTCCATTCAAAAAGAGCGGCGCGTACAGATTTGTTTACAGGAAAACGCAGATGTTCCGAAAAATTTTTGCGTAAACATTTCTCACTTGTCGTTGAGAAGAAGGTCGAAGGCGTCGTAGAAGAAATATCCAATCGAGAGCATGACGATTTGAGAATCCAAGTAGGAATAATAGTGGAGAGGCGAGGCGAACACCAGCTTCGTGTACATGAAAAAATAGGCGAAGATGAAAAGTCCCGAGATCTGAAAACCGACAAGATCAAGGTTTTTCCGCTTTTCAGGCTCAAAGCTCAATTAAAAAAACAGTGAAATAAAAATTTTCGACTTATTTTTTTCTTCTTTTCAAATTTATGAAACTTTAATAGAAGTACCTTCAGGTCCTTTTTCTTCCAAATATCACAAAACAGTCAATTTGAAACTTTTTGAAATTTTTTCAGATCGCATTAATATTATTTCACGTTTTTTTTCATTTTAATAAATATAAACCTTGAATTTGACAAGTTATCGAAGTGAAAAAAAAAACTGAGATGATTAAAAAAATGATAACGAAATCATCATATTTTTATTCTTCATTGAAAATTATCCTTATTATGCGAAATATAACTTCTGGACAAAGAAACCGACCGTAGAATGTATGAGAGAAGTTGTGACGTTTATCAATCTTTTCCTCTTGATTCCTTCTTGCCAACTTGTCCAGCAATGAATCGTTACTAACGTGTTAACCGCGTACCTGACAAGAAAAAACAGAATAAACTTTTTTTCCCGAAAATGTGAAGTTTCAATTAACAAAAACATAAATTAAATGAAGATGAACTCACCATAAAACTGCATAAAAATAAAAACTGTTGGTAGAAAGGAAGAATTGATGAAACCCCAGTAAGACGGCGCCCGCAATTCGCTTCCATCTGAAAGATTCATATAAAAATTTATCAAGTTTAAAAATGAAGAACAATTTTTGAATGAAATAATTTTTTTATTTGGATAATCTCCTCCAAATTTACTTTTAAACTACATAGACCGATTGTAACTCGAGAAAGAACCATTCGATAATATAAAAAAACGGGGGGTTTTTTTTTCAATTGATGCCGAGGCTTTTTTTAAAGAAAAAAATTTTTGTCCTGCACATTTAGCTATCGTTTCAATTTCGCATGAGTTGTACCTATAAATTTCAAGATGAAAAATTAACCCATGAGTAAAGAAAAAAAAATTTATAGTGTTCAAAAACAGTCAAAAATTGCTACTTTTGATGGAAAATCTGCGGAAAGGCCTAACGAACCATTGATGCCGAGGTCAGTGAAGTTGTCGACTTGGAAGAAGTGGAAAGGAGCCCGGCGGACGGCGTCGAGGGCCAACGCCTGTTTGCTGGGGAAGGCGCTCATCCGCTCGCCGCTGCAATCCCACGGTTCTTCCGCGAATGACCACACCTCACGTTCTAACTCTCACGTTTCACGACGAATTCACCAACGATTATATGAATCATGAATCTGGGGGAAGCTTCGAAGAATTGTGAAAGTGTATTTGAGATCTTCAGGATTTTTGATTGGTGTCGAAAAATAAATGAACAACACGGGTTTTGGTCGAGTCATTTTTTAACAGTCGATGTCAAGTCTTAAAGAAGATCGCTGACAAAAATTTCAAATAATAGGTTATCGGCAAACCCAAAATTTTGAAACAGAACATGAGACTTATTTTTAAATTCAAAAAAAAAAATGGTTGGTACAACCACACTAAAACCATCAAAATGTTCTCATTGGATGAAAGAAAATGATAAAAGAAAACGTTATCGTCCTATCGACAATAGCCAGAAGAAGAAAAGGGGATGATTGACATAAAGAAGCACTTTAAAATCGTTTCATACGGCAACGGTTGCATAGTTTCAAAAGGTTCGAATGAGAAGAAACCTGAGAGAAGGAGCAAAATATAACACCTGGCGTTTTAGTCGATACTTTTTCTCAAAACGTGAGTCACTAGGACGCATTTTTCGTGAAAATTGGGAAATCAGGAGAGAGTACTAGAACGGAAAGACGAGTATCAAAAGTCGAATGGTTTTTTGGATGGAGGGGCAAAAAGAGAATAAGAGACGCAGACGAAGTAACGAAACTATTTCAAGTACACGTCAGCCTCGGTGGGCGTTTGATTCCACCGGCGATGAGCCATTTGCAAACATTTCCCGACTTTTCCTTCCCTCAAAACTGTTCCGAAACCGCTAAGACAGAATAAGAATCGATGCTTGAAGGGCAAAACAAACAGAATTAGCCGAACTACAGTTTGTCTTCGTTAAACCAATTTCATCTATATTCTGAGACTTCAGAAAAGGGTGAAGTTTCAAGAATAAAATAACTTCAGCAAATTAATGATTTCAATTAGAAATCCAGAAATTAGATTATTATGAAGGGTCTGATTGAACTTTTTTTCTTACAAAAACTATAAATAATTTTTTTGAAAAATTCGCAGAAGAATTGATGAAACTTAAACATTGTTTGAGAAAAAAACCCGATGAGAAACACGAAAAAAACGAAAAATAACATTTTGTGAAGTTTTTCAACTCAGAAACATTCGAGAAAAAAATTGATGAAGATATTAAAATTGAAATGAACTGAAAAACCTGAAATAATCTTAAAGATAAATAATTTTTCTGCCATTATAAATCTAAACATTTTCTCTTGGGTTTCGATTTCCGAAGGCTCAAAAATCTAATTTTATCGTTATCGTTTCAAATGTCAGCGAGGCTTTTTTTGAAAAAAAGATAAGACACAAAAAAAGGTCTTTGGTTTAACGAGCGAGAGCGGCGACGGGTTTTATGGTGCGAGCGAGTGGGATGACTGAAAAATCAAAGGGGCGCTGCTTGGTTACGTAAGAGTCTTGCGTGGTCTTCGGCCAGAAACGGGCGAAGTAAATCAAGGAACAATTGGATAGAAAAACTAACAAAGGCCGATAGAGAGCAAAGAAATATCGAGTTTCAGTCTAATGAAAAATTGCCGTATGTAAAAGAGGTGAAAATGAGCTTCAGAGTCTAAAATAATCATATAATAGCAAGCAAAAGAAAACCAATCAGTATTGAGACTAAATAAAATGAGTTTCAATGAGAAAACGTTTCGAAAAAAAAATTATTACAACACAAGGTTGCGAAGAAAGGACATTTGTTCGTAACTTGACACTCTATCGATCAAAGCATAAGAGAGCAGTGTAAAATAATTGTTTAGAACTCGAAAATCAAAGGAAAAAATTCGAGTTTCACAAAAATGAGGGAAGATTGGAAAAAGATGGGAAGAAGGATAGATAAAATCTGCGCCGGACCAGTCTGTACGCTGAAAATGGTCAGCAAAAATGAACTGTGAGATCCCGGACAAAGATAATTGAATTCTTGAAGCAGCATTTAATCCTCAAGAACTTTTAGTTTGTTTTGGTTTATATCTAAAAAAAAAAGGGTCAATCGGGGTATCCACATCGTCAGTCAATAAATAGGAAATGGAATAGATCTTCATCCTAACGGAGTGCTATCTGGAAGTAAACGTCAGCACTCTCAAATCCAGAGGGCATAGGGATAGTATCGGAGTGCACACAGATGGTATTGAAAAAGCAGAAAGTTAGCCTCTGTAAGCTATTTATTGACTGACCCCGTGAAAATCCCGATTGAGTTTGAAAGTGTACTCCTTTAGCTATTTTGTGGATGCGACGATTGACCAGTGAAAGTGGAAAAAATCACTAGTTCTTAAAGCTGGACAAAAAAAGTAAAACGGATAAGCTGATTGAACTTATAAATCGATGTATAACGCATTTTCAAGAAGGAAAATATTTCGAAAAATTTAGTTCAAGTTTTGGCGCACAGTAAGTACAGTTTTCGAACAATTTAATTATATGAAGAACCAGCGTCGAAGCCGAAACGAATTCAAAGTATAGCTAAATACAATCATTTTATGAAAACTTGAAAAAAGAACCGTAGAAGGGTGTTCAGAAAATTTAATTTTTTCGATGAACGCGCGCGTTTTTTCTTTTTTTTGTCTATAGCGCGCGCGCTATAGACAAAAAAAAGTCCAAACAGCTGTTGAATGATGAGCAAGAGCCGTTTTTCGAAAGACTATTTACGGGGCTAGCAAGGCCGCCGTGGCTCTTCGTGTTAAGACCCAATAACACTAACGCGCGAGCGCTGGCCGTCGACGCTCATTTCTGGACAAAGAAAACAATTATAAATTATATCTATTAATTCACAATCAATTGTAACAAAGAATGCAATTAAAGGAACGACTCAAGAAAGCTTTTTCAAGATAAAAAACTAATTTCACTTGAACTCTATAAAAATTGCAACAAAAGATCGTATAATTTGAGTCAATTGTCGTTCGCCCACTTTCACGAGATATCTTTGAGTCCAATATTATTATTATTCCTTTTTGAAATCCGCCTTTTATTGCAAACCAAGCCAGTATCTTTGTCGACATATTATATTCGATCGATCGATTTTCTCCGCGTCCCACTTAGCCATCTAAACACCGCACTCGCGTACAAGTTCCCATTAGATTTTATATAAAAGAACATCGTTTTTACGAATTTATCTCCATTCTCGTCTCAAAATGGGAGTGTTTTTATACCGATACATATTTCAGGGTGACCAAAATGAAGCCGAAGAGGAGAGCGACGTTCTCTCCGAGGCGAAATCGTCTTTTCTCTTCACCTCAAACAAAACGGCGTCGTAGAGGTTGTTCTTGAGAATAACACGTGAAATGTACAGCTTCGTTTCAGGATCTCTGTCTCCGGTGACAAGAAAAACGTCTTCGGAGATGAGAGGTCCAGCTTCTGATTTTCGGCCTTTTGATTATGAGGAGCTCTGTCCTGTTTTCTCGAGACTCGTCAACGTCGACGTGGGCGAGGAGGAAGTTGAATCCACTGATCTGGTAACATTTCCGAAGCTCTTCGTTTTCCGAAACGATTGTTCAGATGCACTTACAACACGAGTTGGAGGCGATGCTTTCTAAATGCGCAAACGATTCAAGAACTGTATATGGACAACTCCAGTTTCTCAACATCGGTTCTTATCCGATTGCTGATATCCGCAACAGGTTTTTCTTTTCTTTACGTTTTTGCCGAGATATTCTAGTTTTCATCAAATTTTTTAAATTTTCGATGCTGTTTTTCATTTGTATTTTTACTTCAGACCTATGCCAGAGTGTAAACTTCGCGAGTCTGTTCCAGAAGTGGTTACTCCGACGGCTCCTGAAACCGAAGGGTTTGTTGCTTATTAATTTATTATTTTGTTCGAAACTTTGGAGAGGTTCTCAATAATGCTTTTTATTTTGTACAGAAGGGGTATTCTTCGACAGAATTACCTTTTTTGCTAAAAATTTTCAAAAGATTCATTGGCAAAACTGGTTTTCACCTTTACAATTTCCTTGTTTTGTGATTATTTTATTGGTTTTGAGGATTTGCGGACTTCCGACGGAAGACCCAGAAGATGACGTTAACGTGATGCCGCCGGCTCACATTCCTTCCCGTTTTTGGTCCTGGTGCAAGGTTTTCACACTTTATTTTCTATTAAATTTGTCAGTTTGCTACTTTCAGGAAGAATTTCTGAGTAATATTGATGCCGAGTACTTGACCGACTTCAAGGAGTTGATACTAGATAAGTTTAGTTCGAACGCCCTGGAGCAGTATTATGTGAATGGTTTGTCACTATTTTCAACCTATTGAGAGTTTCAATATCTTTCTAGAACCTTGGAAGTATCGAAAAAAGACTACGAGAACGCGAGTCACGAGCGGATCGAAGCCTAGGCGAAGAACCAGCGGCGAAGTCAGTTTCGAAAAGAAAGAAACGCCTACTTCTTCCAAGAAAAAGTGAGTTTTCAAATTTTTTTTTCTTGTTTCTTATACATTTAACTGTTTTCAGTTTAGTATTATGATTAATCTTTATTCTTGGTAGGAAAAAAAAGTTTTAAAAAAGCTTACCAGCTGCTGCTTAGATCAGAATTTATTTTCGAAATAACATCACATGAAAAGAGAAAAAATAGCGTAAAATAAACATTTGAACGTACGTGCCAGAGGTGGAGGATGGCTTCCCACTGGCCGCCCTGCCTGCCAAGCCATGAACGCCCAAAAGCAGAAATGACTTTTTCAATAGTAGGTCAATGACTAATTTCTATCGCTTGGCTAAATGGCTTGGCTTGGCCGCCAAGCCAAGGGCTGCCTTCCCAATCCTCCACCTCTGGTACGTGCAAAGGTTTTTAAAAATTTTTTTAGTTTGTCAAAGGTAATTGTAAATAATTTCAGCGGCTCCTTGACTAGAAACCGTTGCCAGGAACAATCAGCCGTTTTGAATGGAAATAAAATCGTTCCCATCGTTTCTTTGGTTACCGAAGCGTGTAGAGGACTCCGCAAGGACAGGTAGGCTTTTCTTTGAAATACAATTCTCAGATTCAAAAACTATTTAAGCTACAAATATTTTTCTTTTCAGCAAGATTTCGCTGGATAACGACAGGTCGCCTATTAGTGGACGGCGGTACAGTGAACGGCTCCAAATTAGAGAAGAACACGATTTCGACAGATTCCGTAAGTTTCTTTTACAGCAATTATTCTCTGGTGTCTTTTTTGGCATTTTTAGACGAGGGAAAGATCTCATATCTGTTTACATTGTTTTTTTAAATGATATTAATATTGAATTGTGAGTTTTTTTGCTCTCCCATGACAATGATTGATTAAGGTTTCGAAAAAAAAAATCAAGTATTTCTGATTTGATTTTGCTCACTTTTAAAAAATATTGAGATGAATATTTTTAATTATTTTAATAATCGTTTATAAAATTAATCAGTTTGACAGATAAAAATCACATGTTTCTTGCAATAACTTTTAAAATCGGAATGTTTTCATTCCGAAATTTTTCTTCTACATTGGTATTTATTGGAAAATAATGTTTTGAAGGAAACATCAAAACCGAACCGATTGACGTCGACGACGATCCCGTGGAAGTTGAGTACAGGACGCCGCCCACCAGTCCTCGATGTTCGTTTTTTTCTCAAATTTTTTTATCTTCTGTTTTTAAAAAATCATTTTTTTGAGCATTTAAAAAAATCTTTTGGAACTTTCGAAGAAAGCTGGAAATCTTTAATTCGGTGATTTGCGTATTTTTTTCTCAAGTAATTTAATAGATGATTTTATAATTTTTTTGGATTTGAAAATTTGTTTTAACTGATATTCGAATTAAAAGACGTTTTTTTGCTACTTTTTTTGTTTATTCGTGGCGTCGAGGTAACTGTAAAACGAAATGAGGTTTTTCATGCAAAGGTCCCTTATTTTATGTGAAATAGGGAGACAAGTCCGATATGAGCCTTATTTCCTCTTTCTTGCTGAACATTTCAACATCATTTTTCCAGTCGGAACTATTCATCCGCCGCTTGTTTTAGTGCACTCGCCGCGGGTGAAAAAAGAGCGGGAAGAGGAAGAATGGGAGAAGGCGGGACCTAGCAACGGCTACCATTCTCCCTGCGAAAACGGCAAATCCAACGGATTCTCCTCTCTCCACACGCCGAACGGCCGCGTCAACGGCGACTTCAGATCCTCAAAACGGAAAAACGGCGAAGTTTATCGTCCAAATCACGTTTTCCTCATTCTAACCATTCAGAAGAAGAATAACAACGTCTACTTGAGCCCCATCAACGGAAACTCCCGACGAAACACGGAGCAGAATGGTTTTTTTTGTCTCAATCTTCTCTGATCTGTTTTTTCCACTTCAGGCGATGACGATTCTTGTGAACTCGACCTGACGACCGACGATTTCGATCCATTACTCATTGGAGCGAAAATTGTCAATAAACTGATAACTGGAGGTAACTTATTAAGAAAAACAGAGACCTCAAGATTGCTTTTTTCTTGAAATATTTAGCTTGAAAACCTTTTTGATGTTATGTTCTTAGCCATAAGCTGTTGAGTTATGAATATTTCTAGGTTGAAAAAGTTTTTTTTTTGGCTGCATGTTGGTGAGTTAAAGCATGGATATTATTCGAAAAAAAAGCTCATATTCTCTAAAATTTATTATGTGCGTTCAATAAAGTTGATAGTTTCTTTCTGAACGTCTTGAGCTTTATTTTGAGGGCCTTCAGTCATTTCAAGAGACTTATATAAAACAAAAAACTCAATAAATAAAGATTTTGGACAGAAATTCGAAAAAATGTTTTTGCTTTCACGAAGTTTTCCGCTTACAGGGGTATTATCTGGGTCGACGGCTCACATTTTCGAAGAACTATCGAAAAATGAAGTTAATGGACAAGGCGCCGAGGTAAAATTTTGTGAAGAGGGTCGCTACGAAGCTGACGACTACAATGTTGTGAGTGATTCGAGGATATTTTTTGCTTTTTTGAAAATTATTTTATGGAATTAGTTGGCAAGTTGAGATATTCTTCAGTTTATGAATTCTTTTACGCTGGGGAAATATTCGAAAATGAATTACTGGGAAGGTGATTTTTTTTTCATAACTAAAATTTTATTTTTCTCGCGCAAGGAGTTTGTTTATGAATTTTTGCTGAGTTTGGTTCCAAGACGCTTTTTCCAGTTTGTAAGAAAAAGAAAGAAAACTTTTCTTCGAACATCCTTCTATTCAATTTTCGTTCAATGAAAAATATTTAGATCGTAAACAAATTTTTTTTTGTTGCAGGACGAGCTGTCCTCGAAGCTGCAGGAGTGTCAGATCGAGCTGAAGGAGCTCGAGCCTAAAGGAAACGCCATGGTGGCCATGGTTTGGCGTCGGGCTCGTGCTCAGTTCGCCTACTGGGAGACCTTCGAGCAACTTCACGAGGCCAATTATGATGTTCGTTTGATATTCTGAAATCATTCAAAGAGAAAGATTTTTGCGTTTCTAACCCAGTATGTTAATTCCTTTTTTTTTACCAAATATTATTAATACTTCTCATCAAACTTTTTATTTTATTCGATTTCTCAGTTGGTCCACGTTTTTCTTTTTAATTCTATTCGATTTTTTTCGTGTTCTATAGAAGGCTATTATTAAAAAAATTTATCATTTTTTTCCTTCATAATTGAAGTCATAATTCAAAAATTTGAAACTCTTTTTCCGCGAAAATCTCTGAGTTCTGAGATTTTCCTCGCTCTGAAAATGTTATTAAATTTTGACTTTGATTTTTTCAAACCACTTTTGTTGTGATTTGCAGTTGTTCCGACTTGGAGTGAATATGTACCGCGATTACCCGAGGCGTCTTCCAAATCTCAGTGAGCAGCCGCATTTGAGGGTTTGTTGGATGGTTTTTTCGTTTATACGTAGATTATTTATCAATTTTATCGTCGTTCATTGCGAATTACAGTCGATTCCTTCGCTTTCATGTAAAAGTTAGTCCAAAGGTTTTTGAATATAATCACTGAAAATATTTTAAAACTTACGTGTATTTAGTGTTCTTGGAACTACTGAAAGAAGAAGAAGATTTGAATTTTGAAAGCGACGTTTTTCAGGAATTTTTATCGAGCGGTTAAATTTTTCACACTAACAAGAAAAGTCATTTTACTTTGTGATCCAGGATTTCCTGCAATACGGACGGATTATTTCTTAATATTCTGAGAGATTTCAACCTGCAAAACTTCTTTTTTCAAGGGAATAATTGCTAACAGTCTGAAATGATCTCTTCTAGCAGATTTTGATGGCTTTCTTGAATTTCGCGAGCTTCTGTCTCGAAAATTAAAAAGTTGAGCTGCTTGAGAATCTTCTGATACATCAGAAGGTATCTGGCCAAATTAGAAAATATCCAATCACAAAGTTGAATGACTTTCCTTGTCAGATTTCTTGCTTGATCCCTACACGCATCATGTTCTTCATTCCAGGCTTCGATACGAGTTCGCAATTTCAAGGCGAGGTCCCACTACGGCCGTTTCTACAAGCGACAACCCCGATACCGTCTCATTCTGCCTTCTTCTCGAGCTTCTTCTCTTTATTAATAATCATTGTCTTTTTGGCTGGTCATCAGAGAAACCAGCCGATCGCTTGTGAATGTGTTCATACCTCCTATTTATATGTTTTCCTCTTTTTTCTGGTTTGTGAACGAGTCTCCATTTCTTGTAAACTAATAAGAGTTGTGCATGTCCCACGTGTAGATGATATTGTAGGCTCAAAAAAAAAATGAAGTAACATAATTCCGGCCACCATCTTGTCATTTTGTTCTCTAACTTATTTTTTTAATAAATCATATCCTCTTCTTTTTTCTGCGCTCTAAAAAGGTTGATTCGTTTAAGTCCTAAATTATTAATGTTTTAATTTATGTGTAAAATAGCCTTTCTCGCATGTTTTTCGTTCCAAACATACTCGCAATGCAAAGCTGGTTCTGTTTAGTTCTCTCCTCTCACGTCTCTCTTTATTTTTCTTTTTTTTTGTCCGCCCCACGGGAAATCCAAATTAGCTCCTATTCTATGTATGTATACAAATAGCCAAATTTTTTCTCCGTTCTCCTGGACGCCTATGAATTGATCTCCTTGTATCATTTTGTTTCCTCTCATCTTCCCTGATCTAATCCTGCTGAACTTTCGAAACGATTTACCCTCATTCTAGTTGCATATTAAAGAGTGCGTGGCACGATCGTATCTTTGCATAACTTCCATGGGAATTTCAATGGGAATAGTACAATAATCAGTAATTTTCTTTTTTTTTTCTTTTTCTGTACTCTTGTGTAATAAACTTTTGATTTTCATGAGCTTTACCTGGGTTTCCGTGGTCAGATTGAGCCAAAGTACCGTTTCAAGCCAATAAAACTTCTGGAAACCTGCCACAACCTTTTTTTAATCTTTAAAAAAATACAAAGGATTTTTTTCTTTTTTTCCGTGTGTAAGTACTGAAAAAAACTTTTTGTGGTTTTCTATGGTCTATATAGGATTTCCGGCTGGAAATTTTTTACGACACCAAGCTCTGAGGCCTTTAAAAACCGTTATTTTTCTCACATGTCATTCGAAATATAGCTAGCAATATATTTTCAAGAAAAAATAATTTATAAGAAAAAAGTTGCTCAGGCCGTGGGAAACGGCCTTGACGTCGAGCCATGATCAAACGGGTCGCCCTTTTGCTTCTGTGCCTTTTCGTCGTCTTCTCGCGCTGTCAAGAAGACGTCCCTGAAGATGTGGATCCGCCTTTGCCAGTCGTCGTGGCTAACGAAACGACGTCTCCAGCGGCCAAAGAAGCGGCTCCAGAAGTCGTCACTCCTCTCCTAACAACTCCCAACAAAACAGTTATTGCTCCAACATCTAGAATCTCACGTTTCCAATGTTTCAGGCAGAAATGAAAGCAGACATTTCCAAGAAAGAAGAGCTTCTGACCGGCAAAGAGGTTTCTGGGCGCATTTTCGGATTTTTTCAATAATCATTTTAAGTCAACTTTCGCAGCGACGGAAGCTTTGTTGCTGAGTACATTGGCTGCAGGTTTCTTTGTCAAATTTAGAAAGAAAACAGGAAAATACTCAGAGACAGAAGCGCCGGAAGCGAAAAAAGAAAAAGAAAAAGAAGGAGCGCCGGAGTTTGAACGAGCCGAAGAGCAGGTGGAAGGCGGCAAAGGCGAGGAGGTGATTATGCGAAAAAAGAGACAGCTTATTGAGATCTGCTGTAATATATTGAATGGACAATACTTTCAGAGAAACTAAACTGTTAAAGAAAAAGTATACGGCAAGAAAAGGTTCAGAAGTTTTAGTAGCACATTTGTTTTCAAGCTAGCATTTGCTGGTACGAAAAAGTATAATGTTTTCCGATCGTCGCCATGAAATATCACGGTTTTGCATAGAAACATTCCTGAGAAGTCAATAATTTATGAAGTTCTGAGTTTAAATCGATTGAACATCGATTCCAGGATCCTGACGCAAACGTCGATAAGCCGGAAAAGGTGGATCCCCCGAAAGACGAGGCCGACGGCGCCGCCAAGGAAGACCGCGAGACGGCCGCTGCCGGACAGGTGAAAAGTTTGCTTCTTTTTTGAGTTTCAAACCTCCTTTTGAGTTAGTTTTTTTTTAAGAAAACGAAAAACTTTGAACCAAAAAAGGATCCATTTTTACCGAAATGTTTTTCATCTGAGCATCCAGTAAAAAAATGTCTTTTTTTTTTGAAAATGTTTCTGAAAGAGCGCTGTTGTGCGAACACATTTCTTTTAATTTTAAAATTTTAAATGAAGTCACCTCTATATTTAATAAACTGGGAATTTCGTTCGGCGAATCTGAGCGCCGTGCTGCAATGTGATGATTCGCATGCAGAGCGGTCGCGATGCGTTTTTGGCCGCTAAAAAAAATTGAATTAACCGCATTTCTATGGTAAAAGTTTTTATTTGTTTGTTAAGAAACTGAAAAACTTCCGACAGAAATTCCTAGGAATGGAGGAATACAAAGTATGATCATAGTAAGTTTCTCACTAGTCGAAAGTAATTTGAATCTGCCTGAAAAAGTTTTTGAATAGTCAAAATAATGTAATCTGAGAAAGAACAAATGTGTTTGAGGTGGGCGGAAGCTTACACGAGGCGGTAGAAGAGGCCAAGGGGAATCCCGTGTTGGAAACGAAGCCGGAAGGAGCGAAAGTCGACGATGACGACATTCAGACCCTCGAGCCGCATCCTCAGACGGCGCGGTCCAGTCGCTATCAGAAAGTCGGTCTCATCGTCATCCATCCCTTGAGTGACCTCTTCAGCAAAGCTCCGAACTGAAACAGCCTCCGGTCAACTTTGACGACGACGATTCGACGGGATTCATGACATTCTTCCTCATCGGAATGTTCCTTGTCGTCGGCGTCTACCTCGTCCAACACAACAAGAAGAAGATCCTCGGCGAGTTTCTTGAACTCCCTCAAGAATCATCAATTTATTTGCAGGACTTGTATTCGAAGGTCGTTCCGGCCGCTCTTCGTCTAGACGGGGAAACGTCCGCTACAAGAAACTCGACCAAAATGACACTCCGAATGACGTCATTTTCTAAAGGTCGAGTTTCTTATGGAAAGCCCTGTGGACTTTGTAATTATTTTCTTCAAAGTTTTACAAAACTGCAATATTTGCTCCAGTCAAAATGATTGCCAATAACCATTCTTTAACATTAACCGGTTTGGGTCTACGTCTTTAAACAACATCGTTTCACTGAAATCATTGTAGAAACGCTTGTGAATTCCCCTGTCACTTTCATGTCGAAAATTGAACTTTTAAACGTTCATAATTGAAAATCCAGCACTTCTGATGAGTTGAAACGATATCTCTTCACGAAAATCCCCCATATTTCGCTTTGTCTTCTACGGTTATGGTCCCCGCGAATGTTTTAAAGCCTTCTGAATGTTCTCAACCTTACAACAGTGCATTTCTCTTTGTGCCTTCACTTTTCCAGCAAATTTTGAAAGATTCATATTATATAAACAAATCAATATTAGTGGCTACCCGAGTTGAAAGTACACTGAAAGATGAGTGAGAGTATGCGATTAATCGGATTCGTCGATGACGTCGTTGTGGCTGCCGAGGACGTCTTCAGAATATTCTGGACTCTGTCTAGAGCGAACAACGCGGTCCGATATTCTGGGAAGGAATATGAGGTACACTTGTAGAACAAACCCAAGAATGGTGAGAGGAATAATGAGCAAACAGGCGCTGATCAAGTAGAGCAGGCCTGGGAAGAAGTCCAACGTCTTCGGATAGACGTTGTTGAATATGGAGGTCGCCGCGAGGGACGTCGCGCCTTCTAGAAGAGAAATCACAGAGAAGATCTTTCCTGAACACTTATTGTCAGAAAGTTTGGGATGAATAGTAACTTATAATTTTGAAAAAAAACTGCAGTCTTCCAGGGAAAATTCAAAATCAGTAAGTACTTCAATGGATCCGACTGATCAGAAAAACGTGAGGTGCACGGAAAATAGCAAATGAAATTTGAATATTTTCAGTCCTTTTCAAAAATGTCTTTTTTCTATTTGTGCTTTTTCTAAAATATAAGAATCACGCATTTAATCACCTTGTTCATGCATTTCGATGACGCTGGAAATGAAAGCCCGGAAACCAGTCGAAACGAATCGATTGAACATCATCACAACTGAAGATTCATCATATCGTTAATGATTTTATCACTAATCCAACTTGTTATGGAAAACGCCATGTACTCGTTCTGAACGAAGGCAAACATGAACAGGGAGGCGATTTTCGTGGTGAGACCCAAACAGCCCAAAATGCCGTCGGAGAAGAACTTCATCCGCAGCAATGGATACAATAGCAAGACCTGGAAAAGGCAGAAAGTGGATGTGGATATGGTAACTCTGTAAAAAAATAGGACGAATTTCAAAGATCAGAGCGAAAATTTCTCGGCTAATTATCAGCGAAGATATCCGTTCCGTGGAAAAAAATCATAAAAAAATTGACTGAAACGGTCTTTTTTTCTTTTTTTTTTTTTGAAATCTATTTTTTTGCATGAAAGTTTTCTACGATAAAAAACTTTTTTTCATGTTCAAAGAAGATAGAAATCAAGACCAGCTTGTTTTGTCAGAGCAAATAACATTTTCAACAAAGAGAGAATATTTTTGTGAATTGTAAACTCCTCTTTAGTGTTAACTCAAAAGGTTAGAGGAGCCCCTCAAGGAGTCTCTAATAAATGGCCCTTGACTCTTCCCTTGAAACTCACGGTAGCAGTGGTGATGCCGTATGAAAGGCCGCTGAACCAGCCATACTTCTTGTCGCCCCACTTGAGCTCGTACCTCAGGTAGGAGTATTGAATGTCGGCAAGACCTGTGGATTTCGCATAGCAACTCAGAAATCGACAGGATCTGAACCTGCGAAGATAAGCAACTCGACGCCGAACGCGATGAGGTTGAGGCAAAGAACCGCCCGGAACTTTCTTTCCTTGCTCAAAACCTTGTAGAACTCGACGACGACGTTGGCCAGGTGCTTTCCAGTCGCTTTCAGCAGCGCTGCAAACGTAATCTTGATATCAACCTGCCCTTTTTTGATAAAATTACATCTCACAAAATCTAAGTGATACTAAAAAAGAGTCAAAATTTTACTTTTTTAGGTTTCGAACCTGGTCTATTATGAGTGATGGTGCCAACTGGCTCTGTATAGCTTTTCCGATTGCTTTCTGGAGGCAAAAGTAGGCCTGCAGATTGCAAAACTATAGTTTTTCCCTTTCTTTTGAGCTGACTTTGAGAGAGTCAAGAAACATACATTGTTCAGAGTCGCGTTCAATCGGCTCGAAATGAGATTCCTTGGCCAGAATGAGAAGATAGAGCAGAGCGACCACTTCGAGGGCTAGAATGATCACGAAAGTGTACACGTAGCCACAAGCTCTTCAAAAGATTATTTTACTGGTTGTCAGTTTCTCCTTTTTCAAAATTGGCTTTTGAGAAGTAATAAAACAACGAAGACAAACTCTCTGATGGTTCCAGATAGAGCGTAGCCGATAGTCCCGCCCAGGCCGATGGCGCCCTCGATTCCTGCGATCCGATAGCTCCGATGCCGGATCAGACTCGTCTTCACACCGTAAGTCAACGTCGTTGCTGCAGTAGAAACCTTTGAACTACCAAGATCATGTTGAAACGGACAAATGATAGCGATGAATCCGCCGCAGACCCCAAACAAGGCATCGCTAATGAGTAGAAGGTTGACGTCTGCGTGAAGGAAGTACGACTGGAGGACGTAGTTGACAGAGCCTGCGATGCAGCCGATGTAAGGGATCACCAGAGGGATCTTCATGCTCCAGTAGTCCGTCGCTGGAAAAAAGGTTTTGCAGCTTGGTGGTATCCATCTTTGCTTATTCAAAGCTGTTAAAAGAAATCGAACACAAAGCGAAAATTATTCAGAACTTTGTATTGATTCAAGACGAACCAGCGCCAAGGAGCAAGGTCGTGACTAGCGAAGGGACCATGAGCACGAGCGAGGAGATGAAGTAAAAGTGGTTAGAAGCGCTCTGGATGTCCTTGTCGTCGTAGTAGGCGGTGACGTCGCGGCAGAAGGTCACGTTCTGAAATTCTCGGGGTCAGACTTGCAGGATGCCGACACGAACTTGGTCGTACTTTCTGAGGCACTCTTTTTCGAATATGAGATTCTGGAAGACCGGATATTTGAGGTAGGAGCCGAGCATGTAGAGGCAGAGCGGGATCTCCATGCCCAGCATCCGAAAATATCGACGTATCGACGGCATTTCTACTGAAATAATCTGATTAGCCATTGTACGTTGTTCGTTAGAGCGCGATGCGCGATTTCAAGATTTAAAAGATTCTGTCGATAAATTTTATCATGTAATGTCAGCAATAAATCGTCACATGAAGGAAACGTGATGCAATAGGAATATGTTCAGAACGGAATTAAGTAGAGAGATTGGTACTTATTATTTTTAGTACTGGATTTTTGATAGCCCACAAATCTAGCATGAACCTGTCAGAATCTAAAAAAAACGGAGAAAACGAAAATAAATGATTCTGATCAATACTGACAAAAACTCAAACTAACCAAAAGTCATTTCTAAAAGTTACCCGACCAAAATAATAAACGTCTTCATTTTTTCCGAATAAGCTTTAAAAAAGGCATGATTTCTTTCCTTTCATGAATCTGAAGAGCTGAAAAACAGATTTATGACAACATTTTTTCAATCATGAAACTAACTCTCTTTTTGATTCTGCCGTTAAAAATGCGATTTCTTTTGATAACAACGGTTATTAATATTTAAAAAAATTTCTAAAAAGATTTCTACAGTTTTTTTTGGTAGTTTTGTTTTGTGTTTGTGAATTGATTTCGAAATTTTTTTGAAACTCTTCAGACATTTTGAAAAGTTCACCGTGTGTTCCTGTTTCGCCTCCCACAAAATAAAGTTCAAAAATGGATAAATTCTCCGAGGAATCGAAAAAATTAACGAGAAAGAGAAAAGGGAAACTACGTCAAAAAAAGAGGGAGCGATAGGTGAAAGTGGAACAGAAAACCTCGAGAAACCGAAAACAAGGCGCGAGGCTGAAAAACATGCCTTTTATCTGGAAACGGCGACTCATTTGAATATTTCAAAAACAGAAAAGGAAGATTTCGACTCTCACAAAAGTATATTATTAACACAGAAAGTGTCAACAGAGACAGACAAATATCGATAAAAAAAACAGTGGCAAAAAAGGACAGTCAAAAAAAAGGTAGAGAAAAGGCGTCACTAGATCAGTTGATGGTGAGGCTGATATGTAATTTAGAACCACTGATAAGAGTCGTTTTGCAGGGAAAGAAGGCGCCAAATTTGGAAGCTGTGAGAGGTTTTTTTTCTCGTCGCAAATTGAGGTTCCGTTTCATGTATTGGCTACTTTATAAATTAACTTTTCTTAGTAGGAACGAAAAGACTTTAAAAAAGTTGGCTGAAGGCAAAAACCATCGTTAAAAAATAAATTGGTTCAGGGGCTGTCTGAATTGAAAATGACAGTACACTATTTTTAAAAAAACTTTAAATATTTTTTCCAGGGTTTACGCAAAGCCTGCTAGGGTAAAAAAGAGCCTATCCATCATTTTTGGCTCTAAAAAGACAGCAGAGGAGAAAAATGATGCATAAGATCTCAAAGTTCTACAACGATCGATATTCCAAACTTCAAATTGCAGTCAATCTTCTCATCTGCCCATGGAAATTCTGAACCAATTTTCCCATCCTTCTGTAAATGTCCTGATAGTTCCAGTCAACCTGCTTCAATAAATCCGCCTGCCGCCGACCTTGAGCGGAGCCAAATGACTGCGATTTCTCATCGTCTGAGGAAAAACGACTTAACCAATGGAAATAATGCCGTCCAGCAGTGGGTCAACCAAATTAGCCAGTATTCCCGGTGAGGTCAGTTTGAGAAAAAGCCATAACGGTCTTATCCACTGCGCATCACACCTTTTCCCTCGCGCCACTGTTTTTGTTTCCAGCAAAAATGCACCGCCCATGGACTGATCCGTCTCCGGCCGCATTTTCGAGATCAAGCCTGATTTGTCTGCGAGCCGCGTCGTCGTCGGTTCCTTCGATGATCGTCGCTGGCGTTCTCCTGGCGCTGGCGACCAGCCAAACCTTCGCTCTCCAAGGCGCCGTCGATCCCGACTATTCTGATCAACTCCAGGTTTTACCACTTATGTCTGTGCTTTTCGAATCTCTCATCAGACTTTCCAGGTTTCATCCTTTCCAATTCAATCTGAGAAGGCCGTTCAGTTAAACTCTAACTCAGCTAAAGCAGGTCTTTCAATTAAATTTTGACTTTCTTCGTTTTGAAAAAAATTTTATATTATTTTTTTGCAAAAATACTTCATGATTTGAGAATTTTTGCAGAAGTCTCTCAGTCCAACGAGCCCAAAAATTCAACGCTAGAAGTAAGCTGATTTTGATATTTTCTCATTGCGAAATTTTTAGGAAGTCCCTTCAATAATGGATGAAATGAGCGTTCGGAAAGCCTTCCTAGAAGTTTGCCATTTTTCCGTCTCCGAAAAAGTTTGAGAGAAACTATTTGAGGTTCGCCAGGCGTATGAGAACATCAAGAAAAAGTGGAAAGAAGCTCAAGCACGGAAGAAAGTATTTTGAAAAGAATGGAATCAAAAAAATCGAAATTCTTTATTTCAGAACATGGCTTCAGATTCTGCCGACGGCAGAAGGTTACCAGAGTGAGTGAATTTGAAGTCTCTGAAGAAACCAGATGTTTAGACTTCCAAAGTTCTTGGGTGGAAACGACTTGCAGATGATGGACATCGATTCAATGGACATTGGCAGCGGCCTCGAAAACTTAGCGGAAATCGAGGCCGACTTGGATGGTCCCAACGACTTTCTCGACATTTCTGCGCCAATTATTCAGGCCGAATCCAATGATGTCCAGTCAGAATCACATGATTTCCAAATTGCTCCAACAGTTCTGAAAATGATGACAGATACTCCGAAAGAGCAGGCTACAGATAAGCTGGTGACAATCGCGCTGCCCGATGAACTGCCAGAAGAAGCCAGCAGCTTAACCCCGAGACCAGAGATAAAAACAACTCCAGTGATTGAACCTGAGTCTACTATCTCTACTGAAGCTCCGACAACACCTGAAATAACCACAGAACCTAGTACCACGACAGAAACTACCACAACAAGTACTACTACGAGTACAACCACGAGCACGACCACGCAACCCAGCCCTTCGACAACAGAAGAAGCGACTTTCAAAGTGGAAATCGAGGAAACAACTCCAATCTCTTCAGAGATAATTCAGACATCTTCAACGATCCCAGTTGGAGTAGTGGAGCTTCAGCAAGTCCCAGAAATGGTTCAGACCGCTCCAATGGCTTCCGAAATGATCCAGACAGCTCTCAGGGCTTCAGAAACAATCCATACCCCTCAAATAGCTCCCGAAATGGTACAAGCACCTCCGATAGCTCCGGAGATTTTTCAAACAGCTCCATTGGCCTTCGAGAAGGTCCAAGCAGCAGAAATGGCTCCAGAGATCGTTCAAGCAGTACCAGTGGCTTCAGAAATGGTTCAAGCACCTCCGATAGCCTCAGAAATGGTTCCAACATCTCCAGTAGCTTCAGAAGTTTTCCAGACCGTTTCAATATTTCCAGCGATGATTCAAACAGCTCCAGAAATGGCGAAAGCAAGTTCAATGGCTACAGAGATGATTCAAACAGCTCCAATGGCGTCAGGAGTAGTCTCAGAGTTCCAGCAAGCTCAAGGAATCATGACAGACCTAGAACCGTCGAAGTTGAATGGAGAGACGATGACAATCAGAAATGAACAGCCAACAGCAGCACCAGCGCTTGCAGTGAATTCGGAAGGACACACAAGCTCGTTCTCTTTGTCGAATCGAAACTTCATTTCGAGCGTGCAGATGGCCCTCCCACCTCTAGACGCAGTCGTTGGGAAGAAAAAAAGGAAGAACAGAAAAAAGCCGAGATCTGTGGACCAAGTCCTTCTGCTTTCTGGAGAAACAATTTCATCTGATGTGGATCCGTGGGAAACAGCTCCTTTTTTCCATTATAAAAATACCTCTTCAGATTGGGAGTTGAATTGGAAGAGTTGGCGCGCATGAGACCAAAAAGCGAAACTGACGAACTTGAGGTGAGAACTACAATCATAACCTTTGATAAACCCAGATTGAGGAAATTGGAAACACGATAGAAGAAGATATGAAGAAAATAATGAAAGTGAAAAGTGAGTCGCTCCATTTATTGTGTATTGTGCAATTTTTCTCAGAAGGAAAAGCTCAAAATTGTTTGGACTACGGCGAAGGAATGGACATACGCATCTTGGTAAATATAGAAACAGATTTCTTTAAAACCCTAATAGGAGCATTTCTCAATCCAGAAAAAACCTTTATTTCAGAGGATTGACGAGATCCGTCACATGGCTCAGGCTCTCGGGATGACTGACATGGCCAGTGTGCTCAAGGATAGTTCAGACCCCAGAAACCTCAGACGCGGAAACGTTTAATTAAAAAGATCGCACAGAAAAAATTCTTTGTTGTCAGTTGGATGTGCAACTACAAAGAAGGCGAATCCTCGTAGCCCAACTAGAGTTGCTGGTTTCCTTGGCCGAGGCGAAGTACGAACTTGCGCAGGTCCTCGGAAGGCAGGAAAACGCGTTGAGAAAGTTTGAAGCGACCCTGACACGTAGAAGTTCTCGCATCGGAGGTCTGTTTTCAGGATATCCAGACGGAAAGAAAATCCTTCCAGGAAACGATATGAAGCCGTTGAGTCGCGCGATTGCCGTAGAACCGACCAAGACGGGGCTCACTCCAGTCCAGCAAGTCCCACCTTCCTTGTCCCACGTTCAGGAGAAAAACCTCCCACTCGCAGGGAGACCTGATCCAATGTCGGATATGGGAATACAGACACCCCTAGACCAGCAACAACCGCGTTGTCCGTTATGGACGGTGGCTTCGCATTATTTTCTTTTTCAGACCGTTTCCCACCTTATTCGCCGCCCATCTTCTTTGCGAATTCTTTGGTATCTTCTCCAGACAAAGAGACGTCGTCTAGAACCGGGCAGAGGACAAGAAAAAGGTCCAGGCGACCGCAATCTATCGACTCAGATCCACCCAAACTCAACATGGCTCTGCTGCCGCCGCCACAGCCTTTTGGTAATTTTTCTGTTATTTTTCTTCACAGAAAAGGCCTTCCAGTTGTACGTCGCCCTACGGTTCCTCCGTCCCAACGTCTAACCAACCAAATCAACTTGATAGCGCCACCGCCGCCGCCAAGCGACGAGGAAATGCATGAACTGCTGGACCGGCTCCACGATGAACTTCGAGATTCTGTCGTGTACGCATAACACTGCCTTCAAACAAAAATGATTTTTTTCAGGCCTGACGACACCCAGGACTGTCTTCAAGTCGAGTGCAACTTCGAACAAGGTTTTTCTGTTTCACGTCTCGAAATAAAAAGCTGGCAGGGAACTTGTGTCGCTACGAAACATCGCACGATGAGGTAACCAAGCGTCGCGAGAAGAGACAAGTCGGCGATGAGACTTTCGTGTCTCTCACCGACATTTTGCCCCTGACCATCCGATCCTGGAGCGTCTGGACGGGCAGAAAAGCCGCTTATCAACAGAACATCGACGTCGGACGTGAGTTCCCACGTTGAATCAGGGTAATAAGGAGATTACAGCGGAGTTTGGCAAGGAAAACCGACAGTTTGCCGCAGTTTTACTTGAACCACAGCAAGTTGGCGTCCTGACTACGGCGGTACTAAATTTTTCAGAAGGAATAAGTCAAGGATTGTTTCAGTTGACGCCTTCGGATCAACAGCTTGAGATCCGATTCCGGTTGTTTGAAGCGACACGGGGACTTCAGCTGAGGGTGTGCTGCGACTCGGTCTGTCCTCTCCAAACAGAAGAAGGAATTCTTCGAGGTCATCGACGTTGGCTCCGGCGGTCCATCACGTGTCCTCAGTACACGCGAAACGTGAGTAGTCCATCAGAAAGGTGCAGAAAGAACAGAAGAATCTTGCAGCTTACCTTCGAGTGCAAAAACACTGGCCAGGCGAGGGCGGCCTGCGGCGTCGACGACGTCTTCCTCGCCTCTTCGGCCAAGTGTCGCAAGTTCTTCGACGCCCTCGACCAAAAACCTTAATGTTCAATCTTCGAGTTAATAATTCATCAATTCCGGGTACATTCGTTAGTAAAACGTACTAATAATAAAAAATAATGAAGTATGAAAAATGCGTTTATTGTCGACGAAAACGTGCATCTAACAGCAAAATCAAATGAAGCAACACAACAATAGAACCACAATATCGGCTTGGAAAGTTTCACACTAGAAGGGTTAATAACAGTAACAATGAAAAACTAAATAGAGTTAGAACGCAAAAAGAGTACAAAAAAATAGTTCCACCGGAAAAATAAGAATTTAATAATCGTCTCCTCGAGAAACGACTTCTTTGCACGTCGGACGCAACAGAAGAGTGTGCTCCCATTGGGCCGTGTAGGAGCCTTTGACGTCACAGAGGGGCGGATACGGATCGACGATTCCCTGAAAAAAATCAAGCATTTTTTTGGTATGAAATATTCTAAAAAGAATACTTTTTTTGATGAAAAAAATCGACCTCATTACAGAAATTTTTTTACCTCGCTACATGGCGCTGAAAAAATTATTAGAACTACTTTAATATAAATGGGATAACATCGTTTTTTTTTCAAAAATCTAACAAGAAAGCACAATTTTTCAGCTTTTTGATTAATGAGAAAAAGAAGCTAAAAATGTTTTTCTGAAAACTAGAGCATGACACAGAAAAAAATTTAGAAAAAAAGAGAAACCTTGTCACACAGATCCTTGAGAGCCATGAGATATTTGGTTTCTCCGGTTCGGTCGATCCACCGCCGACAGAAGGCCAAAGTGCCGAAGTTCTTATCGATGAGGTTCAAAAGTCCCTTGGATCGAGCCAATCTGAGACAAGAACAATGAGTAACTTGGCAAGCTTAGCCACAAAAACCTCAGGGGAATTTTCTCGTCGGCCAGTTCAAAGTTCTTCATGTAATGGGAGCACTCCATGTCATTTTCGAGATCAAGCCTGATTTGTCTGCGAGCCGCGTCGTCGTCGGTTCCTTCGATGATCGTCGCTGGCGTTCTCCTGGCGCTGGCGACCAGCCAATCCTTCGCTCTCCAAGGCGCCGTCGATCCCGTTTATCCTGACCAACTCCAGGTTTTACCACTTATGTAGGGAGCGCAAAGCCCCGCCCCTTCACGCCACCAAAATGACCATTTTTTGTTGCAAAAAAGGTTTTGAGGCGCTTATACTAGCTAAAGTTCCACCTTAAAAATAAACTTTTTCTGTTAACCTATGAAATCGACAACGCTCTGCAAGACTGAATATCTTTGAAACCATGTATTTTTCATGAATAAGCGAAAAAATAGATTTAACTCGAAAAAAACTGACAAGTTTCACAAAATCGTCGCGTTTCAGAAAACCAAGTGAGGAACGCTTTTAAATTTTGAGTATGTTACACATAACCACTTTCTTGATTTTTGACTGAACATTTAAAAAAATCTACCCACGCAAAAAAAATTATCGAAGCTTGTAAAGTGACACCAAACTTTGAAGTTGAAATGCGAAAAAATTTCAGCGAAGTGCGAAGAGGACTACAAGAAAAAGGATGCGCCAGCGGAACCGCCAAAATCCCAATTTCATATATATATAGTTCCCTTCCTTTTTACCTAAAAATATAAGCGTTTCCATTTGTTTGCCTATCGTTAAATCTTATTAAATTTATACCTAATCACGTTCCTAAAATTGTTCGTTATATTTTTCTACCCTAATTCATAGCTAGGATCACAGTCGCCATAAGTATTGAGTCCTCCCCAACAAATCATGCTCGCTAAGAACAAAAACTGTTTGTTAATTAATCCGGTATCAAATGTTAAATTGTTTCGCTAATAATTTGTCGTTTTTTTTATCACGATTGGTCGGTTTAATTACCCAAGTTTGAGGTGCCTTGGGACCCTCGGTGCAAAACAACGACCACTGGTAAGAATCCAGCCAGTCGTGATTGTGCCCAGGTTAAAGAATCTTGTGAGGTAATAAATTGTTTACTAAATCGGTTCACTCGTATTAAACCTCGCGTAAATACGCTTCAGATATGCGATTAATTGTTGTTCCTTCAACGCCTGGCGTTGCGAAGAGTTGTCGAAGGGGCCAAGGTCGAAGACCAGCCAGTTGACTTGTCGAATACCCTTGCCAGAATCTTCACGACGGATCAACCCGTACACCTTGCTGCGGCTCACGCCCTCTTGGTGTACGACTTGGTGATCACCGAACTGTAGTGTTCGCTGTGGCTCAGCCCTCGAACACTCACAGTGGACTACGGACGCTGTTATCCTGCCACCAAACGCTGAATAAAAAAAAAAGAAAGCCCAGTTCTAGGAAAACCCTGTCTGAGGCCGTGCAAATCTCTTTATTGAATTCAAGTAGTGGAAAGATAATCGTCAAACTCGAAGTTTAGCTTCCTACTCTCTATTTGTGTAGTATAAAGGTAGTAGTTAAACTTACTGCGACATGGTATATTTTTTTATTTTTATTTAAATACCAAAAAAATGTGTCCAAAAAATAAATACTTAGAATGAAAAATAATTATTGGTACAGCGAATCAAACTATATTCGAATTTTACCGAAACCATGAGACAATAGGATCGCGTCTATGCTTTTGATTGTGTTATTAAGCGTTCAAAAACTCTATCGATGAAAAAAATTATGAAAGAAATCTATAGACGCGAAAAAAATTACGGCTTTGAAAACCTCGTAAAAAATGGTAATGAAATTTTGGAAGAATTCGTTCAAGTGTCCGTAAGTGTGTTTGCGTCAAACACACCGATGCGCCCTTTTTAAATGTTGCAGGAGCCGTTTTTCGAAGTCAAATTGCACTTTTTCCTGTTTTATTTCGAAATAACATTAATGATTAGAAAAAAAAAGAAAAAAAAGCTAAAAATTCCTTTTGACATTATTTCTAGGTAGTTTTTCGATATTTTATCAAAAATTCCTATGAGGATTGTACAAAAGATTCATACCAAAACATTACGCTCAGTTCTGACAACTTCTCAGAACAGAAAACTGATTCAAAAACGGTTCAGAAATGCGCAAAAACATTTAAAAAGAAAGCGTGCGGCAGCGGGTCAACCGTGAGATTTTGCCTCCAGTTGAACGCCGCGCGCGCTCGTTTTTCGGCCATAACTGTTTTTCTTAGTGCACCTTTTTTCAAAAACTAAACGGATTATGAAAAGTGACAGTCTCCTCTATCGAATAGTGTAGAAAACATAGTTTTTGAATCGTTCTGAAGAAATGGCTTGCGGTCCCTACACTTATGTCTGTACTTTTCGAATCTCTTATCAGACTTTCCAGGTTTCATCCTTTCCGATTCAATCCGAGAAGACCGTTCAGCTAAACTCTAACTCAGATATAACAGGTTTTTCAATTAAGTTTTGACTTTCTTTGTTTTGAAAAATTTTCTATATTATTTTTGCGAAATAATTCATGAAATGAGAATTTTGCAGAAGCCTCTCAGTTCAAGGATTCCAAAAATTCAACGCTAGAAGTAAGCTGATTTTGATGCTTTCTCATTGCAAAATTTTTAGGAAGTCCCTTCAATAATGGACGAAATAGGCGTTCGGAAAGCCTTCCTAGAAGTATCCATTTTTCCGAAAAAGTTTTAAAAATTATTTGAGGTTCGCCAGGCGTATGAGTAGGGACCGCAGGCCAATTTCTAAAGTCAGTGATATAAAGTTGAAACCTATATGAAAAGAAAGATGATGGTAAAAGCTAACTGCGAAAAACAGAAAAGAAAAAAATATGAAAAAAATGAAAAAAAGTTATAAGCAAAAAGAGTGGCGAAATCAGGGGGAACCATTTTTGTGTAGAAACTTTCAGTCGCAGGAAAAGGGGCGTGTTTATAGATACCGCGCGCTCCTTGCTACGCGTAAATTCACCCCGGAGAAGTTTCGAAAAATATTAACTTGAGTTTTTAAATGAAAAAAATTGGAGTTTTCATATTGAATATTTTTTTCCTATTCAATATGGGCCTGCTCTTCGAGCACTCAGACTGCTGAAAAGTGAGTTTTGAAGATTATTTCGAATGCATTTCGTAAAATAAGAGAACAGCTGACAAGAATATGTATATATAGCTGATTCACGGCCAGCTTGGGACGCTAAGAGGGCGTGTCCTGTCTGCGCTCTCCACGAGCCAGGCACTGTCTCGTGCATTATCGTCTCAGGACCCTTTTTTCAATGGCTCAAGCCACCCGTGAATCAGCTATATGAATAATCACTAAGTCATTTTTCCAAAGACGTTTCGATCGTTTTTTTACTTTTTGATTTTTTTCACATCTTTCATTTTTTTCTCTGAACGATGTGCGTCTACATGGCGTGTACATGGATGATTTTGTAGATCTTTTTTTAATGAGATTCTGTAAAAAAACTCGAAAAAATTAGCAAAAAGCGAAATTTAATATTTCTGCTGCTATAATGGATATAATTACGCTGGAAAGAATTTCTAATTGTAAAAGGAGTAAAAAAATATTACCTAAAAACGACAATAAAGTAATCATAACTCATTGGAAACGTTGAATGAAATACAAAAAAACAATTTTTTTAAAAATTTTCACGCTTTCGAAAAAAATTTTGTCGCGGTGTCTGCGGGTTTCCAGCGACGCGCAACTTTAATTTCAATTGTGAGCTTTCAAATTAACCATACTTTTATAGGGCCATGCTTGGAATTTTTATTTTTTTAGATATGTTGTAGAGAAATGTCTAATCTTTGATATTATAAAATAAAAAAACTTGCCCAGAACGCTTTGGGCCGCTTTCAAAGCGTTACAAAAAAAAAAACGAAAAATTCTAAGCTTTCCTATGAACTATATAGTCGATGAAAAAAACATAGTTTTCTATTTTTTTAAAATTTACAAACAGCTGCAAAAAAACCGTTTGAAAAATTTTTTTCGAAAAATAAGGAATTTCGAAAAATCGCGATTTTCAAACTGCGTAATTTTTTTGAGGCCAACCATAAAATTTTTTTATTTTTTTGCCAGAAATATGTATTATTAGTTTTTTTCGTAATATTCAAAAAAATAAAAAAAGTTGCCCAGAAACTTTCAAGAAAAAAACAGGGATTTTTTTATCCGTTTTCGGCCACAAATGCGTTTTAAAAAAACTGTCGTCATGCATTCCTATTTCTCATTTCTAAGTATTTTTAATTTATGTAAGATTGTTAAGCATAGCTGATTGTATGTTTCCCCAATTTTTCTCCCAAATCGGTGCAAGAAAAACTGTTTTTATAATATAAAAAAAGAACCAAAATGCAACGAAAATGACGGTTTTTTTGAACAGCGAAGTTAGCGTGGCTATGCGGTCCCTACGTATGAGAACATCAAGAAAAAGTGGAAAGAAGCTCAAGAACGGAAGAAAGTATTTTGTAAACAATGGGATCGAAAAACTCGGAATTCTTTAATTTCAGAACGTGGCTTCAGATTCTGCCGACGTCAGAAGGTTACCAGAGTGAGTGAATTTGAAGTCTCTGAAGAAACCAGATGTTTAGACTTCCAAAGTTCTTGGGTGGAAAAGACTTGCAGATGATGGACATCGATTCAATGGACGTGGGCAGCGGCCTCGACAATCAAGCGGAAATCGGGGCCGACTTGGATGTTCCCAGCGAATTTCTCGACATTTCTGCGCCAATTATTCAGGCCGAATCCAATGATGTTCAGTCAGAATCACATGATTTCCAAATTGCCCCAACAGTTCTGAAAATGATGACAGATACTCCGAAAGAGCATGTATAATAGATATTTTGCCGTTCGAACGCCCCTTTTCGCCATCCTCATTCTGCATGTTTAAGGCATTTAAGGCTTATTTTCATTGATTTTGTGTCTTAACTCTTCGGAAATGGGTCATTTTAAACAACTTTCAAAAATGGTGAAAAGTTCGGAATGCGCTACCTTAAAAAAATGTGGTCGAAATCAGTGGTCGAAATATTGCGCTAACAATTTTTGAATAAAAAAACTGGTCCCGTATGGTCCTTGACTCGATGCGAGATATTCTAAAAATTAAAAACCTTAATCCAAACATTAATTAAAGAATTTAAGCAAATTTATTCTCAAAGAGCATTCCAAACATAAACCATCAATAATCAAATCATAATCATCATATCACAACAGATTCCTAGGACACAAAAAAACCCGTACTGAACTTATAAGACACCCAAAAATTAATACACAATATACAAAATGAAGACCAAAATTTTAATCATCAATAAACGTAATCCATAGCTCATAAAAGCACCAAAGTTTTTTCCATCATCCATTCCAAGTGGTGCGATTATTCATTCCAATCGATTTCTTCTTCCGGCGGTAAAAATTTCTAAAGTCACTGATTAATTTAATGGTTTTGCATTAAGTAAAGCTTACCAAAATCAATGGATGAATTTTTGTGATCGGAATGATTCCGCATCGTCCACCCGATGCCGGAGATGCCGGTCGACCGTTCTTATCAGTTGCATGAGGAATCTTCTCAATCTCAATCTGCAATTTTAGTTTTTGAAATATTGTGAAATCCCGCGCTGCTCTACTCTCGCATTCCGCAAAAATAAGTTGATCCCACATCCCGCACACGGCATTTTGAAAAAAGTCCATCCCGCCTAGGTCTGACCTGCATCCCAATTAGCCTTCCATCATCGCTCCAACAGCTTCCACCAGAGTCTCCCTTGAATGACCCACTCGAGCCCAAAAAACGCAATCTCGATGTGATGTCGCTGGATATAATTCCCGCGGAGAATGAGATATGTGACGTTCGTCCATGTACGACCGAATAACCCATCTGAAATCATTTCAGTGTATATAATAATCAAAATTCATAAGTTATGAGTATAAATACTTAGTTAAAATTACCAAAATGTATGGCATTCCTCTCTCCGGTTCGGCTGCTTCCAAGATCAAATCACGATTGCAGAGCTCGGCGGATTTAGATTGAAGAACAATTAAATCGAGGGAATCATCAACCAATACAACATAAGAATCAACAATCACTTTTTGGTTTTTATATGATGAAAGTCTAATACAATCGCCGTTCACAAAATGCTTATTCTCTCCGTGGCGGTAGGTAATAGCAAGATATCGAGTGACAGGAATAGCAGATCGTTTCAAATTGTCTTCTTTCGTATAAAACCAAGAGTATTTGCCTATTCGAGATATGATATCTCGATCCACCGGTAGAGGTTCCGAGTCCATGTAAATCCTTCGTCGCTTCCTAAATGTAGGTCCTAAAACAAAAACTATATAAATTGGGTGTCCAATATTCATCAAACCTTCAAAATCAGCAGGAATTGATGACCTTGAAGGAGCTCTATCGGATTCCACCTTAAACTTCAGATTTGAGTAGTCCTCAGGAAGTATAAAGGCCGTCCCCTTCTCATTCATTCTAAATTATAAATTTTTGAAATAAGTGAGAAATAATCCACCTGTGACTTACTCGCAATGGATCTCCTCTCTAGTCAGTTCATACGATAGAGAAACAATCGCCTCCTCCGGAAGCAGGAAGGCAGATGTAAGTGAGCTTTTGGCGAGAATATTTTGACACGGCACGAAATTGAGCTCCTTGTCGTTCATCTTGATTCGGATAATTTGAGGCATGCTTGAACATGAATCAATCTAAAAAAACATAGAATGAATTGTGTTTTTTTAATGAATCACTGATGGGAAATGACGAAATCAATGT